CAAGCCAAGATCACCAAGGGTCGCTCCAAGACTGGCTGTATAACTTGTCGTCGCCGGAAGAAGAAGTGTGATGAGACCAAGCCAGCGTAAGTCGCAGTCCACGCCTCAGCACGATGCGATTCTCGGTCTCATTCTCGATACTAATCTGGTGCTTTGGGTATGACGCAGATGTCTCAACTGTCAGAAGAATGCCGTGGTCTGTGAGGGTTACCCTCCGAAAGAGATTTGGAAGAGTGGGAGACAGAAGATAGCGGACGGTACGTATGATGAGGATTCGGATTCGGATTTGGACTTGGACCGGGCGCAAACAAAGGATCAACCACTGACTGACCTCGCACATCCACAGCCGTCCTCACCCACTCCCTGGCAGCTGTGCCGCGCAATCTCCCCCTCCTCATCGACGGAATCGAAACCGAAATCGATCGCCGCTTCCTCGACCATTTCGTCTACGGTTTCAGCCGCGTCTTGACCCTCGTTAATGATGACTCCAACCCTTTCAAGGAGATCCTTCTGCCCATGGCCACCCAACATCGCGGCTTGATGCACTCGCTCATGTGTCTGTCGGGATCGCATTTATCTGGGCTCGATCCGGAACCGAAGCTGAAGGAGCGCAAATACTTCCACTTCCATCGAGCCATCCAGGACTTGAAGGACAACATTACAGCTTCCTCGGCACAGGGCGGGGACCAGGACGAGCAGCTTCTAGTGGAGGACCCTATTATTGCCTCGACGATCGCCCTCAGTTTGAATACAATCTGCGAAGGAGAGACGAATGGCGAATATCGCCCGCACATGGATGCCGCCAGGTATCTCCTGGTGTCGCAGCAGCCGCGGAATGAAAAGTTCCGCCAGTTTATCGTCGAGTTCTTCCAGTACCATGACATCTCCAACGCGCTTACTTCCTTGGACCGCCGTCCCGCTCTGAACTCCGGAGGGATGCATCTTCCTGACTTTGTACCGGGAGCCCAAGCTGGCATGTTCTTGGGTGTCTTTGATGGTTTATTCAACTATATCTCGGAGATCACCCAACTACGGGATCGCATTCGGCAACGCTTCAACGAAGGATATGAGCCGGCCGTGGACTATCAAACTCTGAGCGAAGCAGTTCAGGTTGATACGGCCATTCGGACCTGGCAGACTTCGCACGAGGAGGACACCCCGAATTTCTTCCTGGCCCAACTATACAGACAGTCTACTTGGGTCTACCTCTACCGCACAATTCGCCCCTCGCGTCCAAGCGAGAAGATCGCTCAAGTTGTCGACGATGGCTTATCCTGGTTGGATCGCTTGCCGCAGGATGCCGGTGCTTACAGCATTGTCCTCATGCCACTCTTCTTACTTGGCTGCTCGGCATTCGTGGCGGAGCAACGTGAACGTATCCAAAAAGGATTCGAATCTCTCAAGTCTTACTCCAACCTGCGTAACATCGAACCTGCTTTCAAGGTTGTCACGCAGGTCTGGGAGATTATGGACACGAAAATCGAGGACAGCTGGGATTGGGAGAAGATCATCCATGACATGAATATGGACTTCCTCATTACCTAGACTGCCCTCTCCATCCCACCCCCCCTTTACTTTCTCCTCACTACCCTTTGATTTGATACCCTTTCTTCACTTCTCCATTCTCTTTTCTCTTGACTACTTGTTTTTGAATGTCTCACATTCCACATGATGATCTTTCCTTCGGGAAGACTGTACTATGTTATGTGGCGTTTTGTTGTTTTTTTTGTTTTGTTGCTTTGGGTCCGCATCTGCATTCGGTGGGGGGATTTGGCCTGTGCATGTCGTGTGTCTCTGTGTGTGTGTGTTCATGCTAGCTGGCGAGTACAGAAGGTATGTGGCTGTCTCACAGACCCCGCTGTAAGGGGTTTTGACCGGGGTTGGGGAAAGGGCGGGGATCGAGTGTCTACCGACGTCGATCACATGCCCTTTTCGGGACAGATCCATCATTACAGCCGTACTCCCTCTGTGCTGTTCTGCACGAGACACGCACGAATTTCAGTGCCTAAAAGTCGAGGTGGTGTTTTTTCTTTGACGGGCTGGTATTTGATCAGCGGGGTACATATATTGATGACGACAGGGCGTTTGCCATTTGATTTATTTGGACGGCGAGCTATTGGATTTCCTGGATTGGCCAATGCTGTATATATTCACGATGGCTTTTGTATTTACTCTTAATTTCTGCTCATGTGAAAGTGAAATATGACGTGTATAACTAGCAAAAGTACCTAAAACTTGAAGTACTACTAGTAGTAACTAGTAAGCTTAAGAGCGAATAAGGTCTGGTCTATTGTAATTCAAGTTGCAGGTTGGAGCTTGAATGAGATCAGTCAACAAGATCTTGAACCTTGGAATGCCCACCTGGCAGGTGCCAACCTTGGAAGATGATCTAGGCAATGTGAAGTGACGCACTGGCAGCTCTACAGTTGATCAATCTACTATGTTAGTAGATAACTTGGAAGTTTGCCAAGTTACAAGTCTTTAACAGCACTGACAGTCATTTCCGATCACAAGCTAAGGAAAGGGGTATCTCGTCGAAAGACCGACAAGCCAGGCTCGGAGGGACTACTGCGAGTATCTCATGTATTCTAAACTTGGACAAGATCTTCGCAATGTCACCTTTCAGCCCGATGTAGAACCCCGTATTGAAGAAGCGTTTCCCCACAGCTGCATAGTAATATGTCGGCTTGGGTCTAGAGACACCCTCATGACCATTTGTCTTTCTCAATGTACAGGATGACCTTTCAAGGCTTGGAAATGTTATACGAAATCACTACCTTGACGTCGGGCTGGTACCACTGAAACCGGGTTTCTGGGCATTTTTGGGCCGAATATCTCAGTCCGTTAGCGCATACCTAGCCAGCAGGATTTCATGATGTATGTAGGACTCAGTTGCACTATTTTTACAGCAGTCGTGGGTCATAATCTAGCCCTGAAATGGACTGGAACAGCCATGCTCATAAGATCCCTGGACATTGCATGACAAGTAAGAATTCCGATGTCGGAGATTTGTAAAAGTATCTTTGTACCTCAGACCACCTCTAGGCCGAAGCATTGTAGGAAATTTCTTTATCATTCTAGAAGGTTGTCTCTGCGACCCCAGGGATTCGATATAAAAGCAAACCTACGATTGCGCCATATAGTGACGTGCATTCCCATATGTAGTCTGATCTTGCGATTGTAGTACTTAGCACTTGCAGCAAGCTAATCCATTCTCCGCTGATCCGACTTATCTTAATGTGGAGAACTTGGTGCTCGTTCTGCCAAGGTGATTTTCTCGCGCTGCGGGCGTCATTCATAAAGATGATCAATGGAGATCGCATGGAGATATTTAGCCCCCATCATCTGCAGGAATAAGGGAAATTAAGCGGCGGGGTGATAAGCGCAATGCTTTTTCTGTAGATCTTCTTTAGGGAAATTTCAGTCAATGAGATGTTCGCATTTACGATAGTCGTGTTGAGCTGCTCTATTTTCACTTTTACCCCTGCGTAGGGCTAAGATTCAGATCCAATCCAAAACACTAGGGCGGTTACGACGATGGTTCAAGTTCAATCATGCGCACAGGAAGTATCCCGTCGACTCTCTTTCCAGCCTAATCTACATGTCTGCCAAGACGGGCTCACGTTAGCTAGTACCTACAGCGTCTATTGCTCCCATAATTCCTTTTGATGTAAATGTATGGTTGAGGATTTTGGTTTATGTTGAGAGTGAAGGGCAATGTAATCGAATGCGATTTCAAAGACGAAAGACCTTTGGTCCTCCATCAGCCTGATAATACCAAACACCAGAATTTCTCATTCAGATATGGAATGAAGATCATACTGATAAATTTGCTGAAAGAGATGCTAGTACTGCAGCCTATTTTAGATAGTATATGGCACCATGATCAAACCCTCTAGTAGTAGTACTACTATATGTAGGTACAATGGAATTGCTTCAAAAAGAAAAGCAGAATCATCATCCGAGTCCATTATATTGATAGAACAAGTAAATTGTCTTTCCATAACTGGGCCAACTTGTAAAATAACAAGTGCATATTGTGACACTTTCTGATCAGACCCAGTATTTAGCCGATGTCGGATATGGTGGAAATGGTCCTAAAGTTCCTCTGCCATTAATCTCGGGTTCGGTGGTGCATAATCTGGGAACCCAGGATCGGAGACTAGTCCGTGAGACAAAAATGGGGTTATCTGATGGACAACAAGGGCGATGGATTTATCAGTTCCGAAATGACGAAGACCAAGCGTGGGCAATTGGATATGGTTTCACCGATATTGAGTTTACATTGAAGGACTTTGAGGTCATGAATTTCTTTACGAGCCGAAGTCCGGATTCATTCCTGACAACGAAGATACTCGTGGTGAAATTTTCAGGAAGATGGGAATATTACGGGCAAAGTCATCATGGACCAAGAGCAGGTGAAGAAGAATCCGGGAGGAAAGAATACGCTTCTTCAGACCTGTCAGACCGAGGAGGAGAGGGTTCAAGTTTTGGAAAACTTATTCAAGTTGAAGCTCACGGAAGAAGAGAAGAATGGTATTAGAGGAAGAATATCATCACTGAAGACAGGAATTTGAAGATTAGATCAAACCACTTGATTCCCTTCCGGTTCGTCTTCCGAGTGACGAAGGATTGGTATGGCTCGGGCTTTCTTTTCCCGAGAGCCGCGAGGCTGGATAGACATGCGATAGGCATCTCATGAGCATCAAATTTAGCATGAATAAATAATAAAAACACAAATTGGCCACGACAAGCACGAATACTGTATACATCAAAAAGAGAACCAAAAAAAACCCTGAACTTCGGATATCGCAGAGCGTATCCGGTAGCCGGCAGTAGAAGTAGCAGACCCCGCGCGGAGTTACCCCGACTGACCCCCCCCGCGGCAATGATGTCCCGAGCTTCACCCCACGCTTTCTAATTTCCCCCTCTTGGTGTGCTTTTCTTCTTCTTCTCAACTTCTTCAACTCTCTGAATAGCTTGCTCAATCATCAAACAACATGCCATTCAACACTCCAGTCCAATCAGCCCTGAAGGGTCCCTCGGCCGCTTTCGGGTTTTGGCTCACGTACGTCCCCATTCATCATAATGCAACGAATAAAAGATTCGCTTGATCCCCAGACTAAACATTTGTTTTGTATACAGGCTTCCTAGCGCCGGTGTCGCTAAGACTATTATTCACGGTGCCTCGGGATCTTCTGCGAAATTCAGCTGGATTCTGGTTGATGCCGAGCACGGCCTTATTTCCGATCACCACTACTATGAGGTTAGCCCTCGAGCCAAGCCAAGATTGACTTGCGAAATACCGCAAGGTTTGTTCTAGTAGCTGACAGAGACACAGCTCAACAACGCCATTGGATCTGAAGGCGTCAGCCCCATTATTCGAGTACCCTGTGCCGAGGAGTGGATGATCAAGCGTGCTCTCGATGCTGGTGCCCATGGTGTAATGACACCCATGTGCCACACAGAGGTAAGTGCCTTGAGCCAGAACAGCCGTTCTCAAGTCCTCGTCATTCTCAACTAAAGGGACCCGAAACTAATTTTTCTTTATCAATTAGGCCGATGCTATCAATATTGCCAAGTGGACCCGGTATCCGCCTCTTGGTACTCGTGGCTATGGACCGATGTTTGCGCCTCACTCCTTCCCCGGAGTTGACCCCGGTGCTGACCATGACGACGGTGCAAATGACGGCCTGACCACTTTCGTGCAAATTGAGTCCCGGTCAGGCGTTTCGGAGGTCGAGAAAATTGCGGCAGTGGACGGAATTGATGTGCTTCTCATTGGGCCCTTCGATTTGGCCAAGCAAATGGGCGTTACTCGTTGCGGCGAGGAGCATGAGGCTGCCATCCAGCGGATTAAGAAAGCTGCCCATGCGGCTGGCAAGAAAGCTGCTATCTTCTGTATGTGTCCATTCGATTAAATGCTTGGATTAAGTCAAAAATACTAACAATATCCTCTAGGCACTGGTGGCGAGGATGCCCGCGTGCGCATCCAACAAGGATTCGATATGGTCTCTGTCAACACGGATGTTGGTGTTATTCGGTCGGCCATGATTAATGAGCTGAAGGTTGCCAATGGAGAGAACGTTCAGAGTGGACCTGGGGGCTATTAAATAATTTGATTATCCAATGACTGTTAAATAGAACAATACAATATGTACATACAGCAACATTACATGAAACCGCTGAACCCAAGTAGTTTGACAGTACTCCTGCGAGCCACTATGTACAGACATTAGAGTTTAATCCGCCATCAATCTCTCTGATCTTGTAGAGTGTCTAGCATAACCCCCAGCGGTCGTCTAGCCGGATGAAGGGAATCTGGGTCTAGAACTGCCCGATTAGGCAAAAGCGCCTCCTCGCTTCTAGGCAAGGTGTCAACGTCTGATTAATAAGCCGGAATATAACTGGCCGGGTGGGCTTATTTTTCGGGGAAATGTGGATCTCATCCCATCGCATGTGGCAGCGCAAGGTGGTGAACTGCATGAAGGGCATACGAGTACAGAAGATTCCTGGGCGATGTCTTGATTTGGGTGTGAATCTATCCAGATCCCGTCATTCTGCCATCATCCGGCATCCAGCATAAACTGCCTACTCTTGCACATCATCCGATCTCACGAGAGCAAGAATCACACGCAATGCAGCCGAGACATTGAAACAGGGGTCTCTAAAGATACATTAGTGTGGGGGATGATCCTGGTCTCTAACAGTGACCCTCACCCATACCGCCTGTGGAACCCCAAACGTCAGAGACGAGACGAAAAGGTGTTTTTTCAAGACGATTTCTCTACGTGTACCAGGCCCGACATTCACAATGGAGGAGGATATTGTTTCCGAACTCAATGTCCCCAAAAACGCAACCTTTGATGCTGGTCTCCTGGACGAGGTCTACAACCTTTCGTTGCGCGCAGTCAATCCTGTCGATGTAAACATCAAGAATCTCTCTCTCGACATTGACGCATCTTCTCCAATATGGGGAACATCACCCGCTGAAATCTGGCAGCGCCTCCGTGGCCACAAGATCGAAGGCAGTTCGAAAAATGTCCTTCAGGGGGTGAGTGCGAGCATGCCGAGTGGCAGTTTGACAGCCATTATTGGGAGTAGTGGATCGGGCAAAACATCTCTCCTCAACTTGATGGCTGGCCGTATGTCCTTGTCCAGGGCAAATATGTCGGGTACGACCACTTTCAACGGCAACACGAACATTGAAAGTGTTCGCAGCGCCTATGTTATGCAAGAAGATGTCTTGATACCCACCCTGACAGTTCGGGAGACTTTACAATACTCCGCCGATCTTCGCTTACCACCGCCAACCACCAAAGAAGAGCGTCGTGCCATTGTAGAACAGGTGATTCTTGAGCTGGGGCTTAAGGAATGTGCAAATACACGAATCGGAACAACAGCCCATAAGGGATGCAGCGGCGGAGAAAAGCGACGGACCAGTATTGGAGTACAGCTACTTGCAAACCCATCTGTATTATTTTGCGACGAACCAACGACGGGTCTCGATGCAACCAGTGCTTTTCAGATCATCCGGACGTTAAAGCGTCTAGCACAAGATGGGAGAACGGTTGTCGTCTCTATCCACGCACCTCGCTCGGAAATTTGGAGTCTTTTCGACAATGTAATCCTTTTGGCGCGAGGTTCCCCGCTCTATAGCGGGCCTGTGGCAGATTCGGTGTCTCATTTCGAGCAGTGCGGTTACGTTCTTCCTCCTTTTGTGAACCCTGCCGAATACCTCATCGATTTGGCTGCTATCGATAATCGAAGTGAAGCCCAGGAAACAGCGTCACATTCCCGGGTTGACCAATTACGGGAGACATGGCGATCTCGTTTTTTACAAACGTCGAGCGTTGAGAATCCTGAAAAAGAAGACACCGAAATGCCACCACTTGGCAGAGTCGATACGGGAGGCATGAAAACAGTATCATTTCGTCGACAGTTGCACGTGCTTACATCGCGCACTTTCAAAACTACCATTCGAGACCCAATGGGTGTTGCTGGGAGTTTACTTGAGGCGGTTGGCATGGCTGTCATCTGTGGTTGGATCTTCTTGCAGCTCGGTGAAGATCTTGCGGGAATACGCTCACGGCAGGGTAGCCTGTACACTGCTGCCAGCCTGAATGGCTATCTGATTCTCTTGTACGAGACTTACCGGCTTACAATCGACATTCGTCTTTTCGATCGGGAGCGCAACGAAGGAGTTGTTGGGGTTCCGGCATTTTTGCTTAGTCGCAGACTTGCACGATTTCCCCTAGAAGACTTACCTGTCCCACTTCTCTTCTCTATAATTTTCTATTTCATGGTCGGATATCGCCTGAAAGTGGCCCAATTCTTTATCTTCTTTGCCCTAGCACTTCTTACGCATTACATTGCTGTCACATTTGCTGCGGTGTCGATAGGTATCGCAAGGAGCTTTCCAGGAGCTAGTCTTGTGGGCAACCTATCGTTTACTCTGCAATCTTTTGCCTGTGGATACTTCGTGCAGTCGCAGCAGATTCCGGTATATGTTCGATGGTTGAAGTGGTGTGCTTATACTTTTTACACTTTTGGAGCGCTCTGCGCAAATGAGTTCATTGGAACTGGAAGTTCGGAGCTCGGTCAGTTTTATGACTGCCCATATTCCGACGACCCACTGGATCCAGAGTGTAAAGAGTATACTGGAACGTACATTATGGAGAGCCTGGGCATGCCGTCCAATTGGATCTGGCGACCCATTGTTGTCCTCGTGGCGTTTGCATTCGGCCACTATCTTGTGGCTGGCCTCTTGCTGCAGTATAATCGTTTTGCGATTGATATTGCCCAGGCTCGAAAGTCAGAGGCAGATCCATCTGCTGGGAAAGCAAAGACTGCAATTCGTCCCGCGGAAGAGGCGCGACAGCTAGCTATATCACTGGACAAGTACGCCTTGGAAATTCAAAAGCGACGATCTCCTTGGAGAGCTTCACAAAAACTTCAGATTCTGCGACCGATCACTGCTGAATTTCGGCCAAGCGAATTGAATATCATCATGGGACCATCAGGCAGCGGAAAGACGTCGTTACTCAACTCTATTGCCTGTCGACTTCATGACTCGATCGGAGATAAGTACCGTGTCCACGGGCGCATGCTGTATGATGGGGCCGAGCCATCTGAAAACGTTATCCGTTCAGTGAATTCGTACGTGACCCAAGATGACGATGCTCTCATGCCGTCCTTGACGGTCCGTGAGAGCCTTAGATTTGCAGCAGGACTGCGGCTCCCGACGTGGATGTCGCGTGACGAGAAGAATCGTCGAGCCGAGGAGATTCTTTACAAGATGGGACTGAAAGAATGCGCCGGCAATCTCATCGGAAGTGAACTTATCAAAGGCATAAGCGGTGGTGAAAAGCGTCGAGTCACCATTGCCATTCAGATCCTTACAGATCCAAAAGTGCTACTGCTGGATGAACCAACATCAGGGCTTGATGCTTTTACAGCGATGTCGATAATAGAAGTACTTCAGGGTCTTGCGGCCGAAGGTCGTACACTAGTCATGACAATTCATCAGTCACGCTCTGATCTCTTTGGTCATTTCTCACAGGTACTGCTATTGGCTCGCGGCGGTTATCCAGTATATGCGGGACCTGGAAAGCAAATGCTGGCTCATTTTGCCACATTGGGTCATAAATGCCCACGGTCGACCAACCCAGCCGACTTTGTTTTGGACCTGATCACGGTCGACCTCCAGCAGGAAGATCGTGAGATCTTGACTCGCGAGCGAGTGCAGAAACTAATCACTAACTGGACCAATGCGACCCCCCAACTTGAGCGTACCTCATCCAAAATTGCAACCCCAGCTGAGCTAGGTAGTCTCCGCCGACAGATGCTGCCGTTTCGCATCACCTTCCCACTAGTTCTACATCGATCGTTCCTGAACTTTTGGCGCCAGCCACCGCTTGTGATGGCTCGATCAATGCAGATTGTCGGCATTGCCATTATCATGGCACTATTCTTCGCGCCACTGAAAAATGATTACCCGGCGGTGCAGTCACGAATGGGTTTCATTCAAGAGTTTGCCGCGTTGTACTTCGTTGGTCAGTAATCAAGAAGACCCGTCGTTCCGTTACTCTATCAAGCAATGGCTAATTTCCAACAGGTATGCTTCAAAACATCGCCATCTATCCGAACGAGCGCGACGTATTTTATCGCGAAGAGGCCGACAGATGCTACTCAGCCGAGACTTTCATCTTATCCTACACGGCGATTGAAGTACCATTTGAAATCATATCGGCGTTGGTGTTTGGAGTGCTGGCTGCCTTTGCGGATAATCTCAAACGCAGTGTCCAAATGTTTCTTATCAGTGCCTTTAACTGCTTCTGCATCATCAGCTGTGGCGAATCTGTTGGAATAGTGTTCTGTACGCTGTTTTCGCACGTGGGTTTCGCCGTTAACGTGACTTCGATCTTACTATCCATCTCGACGATTCTTGGCGGCGTTATGAGTTTGAATGTGAATGACGTCTTGCAAGGCATCAATCACCTCTCTCCGATTAAGTATGCCATTGCCAACCTTGCCCCTTACTCCCTGCATGGGCAGCATTTCGACTGTTCAGCTTCCCAGCAGCTTGCAAATGGGCAGTGTCCCATCGAAACTGGGGAGCAGGTGCTTTCTCTATACAACCTTGACAAGAGCGGGCCAATGAACATCATGGCACTTGGCGTGTGCACTATCATCTACCGATTCGTCGCATATGCCTTTCTCAAGGTGATGCGGTCGAATCGGACAATGGAGCGGTGGCGCGAATGGTGGAAGTCCCGACAAAACATTTCTTGATGCCATTTGCTTGGACAGTATTGTAGGTACCATTCCTCAGCCTTGCGAGCGTGTGAATACAAACCAGTCGAGCATTCTTCTGTTTGTTATGGGATCATCGAATGACCCTCCTCTATTATGATGCGATCTCGGCGATAGTATAGCCATACACACGTAGGGCGCGGTCAACCGGAAGCGTCGGAGGCCGCCGGGATCGCGACCGCAAGAACGGCCGCTTGCTGCACAAATTCAACATTTGTTCCATTAGTAATGCTCGGTACGATTGACGAGATTCGACGATGAAGATGAGTCACGCCTATCCTATCGTGGCTCTTTTTTCTCATCTTCTTGCCCAAACCAGTTGGGCACCAGAAGAGTATCACCCTGGTACCAAGAACCCATCCACGGAAATCGTCAAGACCAAGAAACGGTTTTCTGCATCGAATTGACCTTTTGAGTAGTCTTAAGGTTCAAGTTTGCCGGTTTAAGGTTCCCCCAATTCCTTCCGGATGATTCTAGTCGAAAGACCACCGGGGCTAGGGGACCTTAGCGGGGTTTTTACTCGAACTTTCGGATAGAATCCTCGTTACCCTTTAATCCGCGAAGAAGTGTAGAATGGTTCAACCTTCAGCCCGATGGGTAGAATTGTATTGCCATTGGACGAACCACCAATCTTCCATGGATGAGTGTTGGTTCGCCCAACTCGGGCAGCGCCCGAACCAACTGTCACCGGTGAAGTTCCATTGGAACCACAGGAACAACACTATGCAGTGGCCAACCGTGTCCTCTGTCGGAATGGAACAGTCGGCAGTTAACTTTCGTACCTTTTCGTGGGTTTTCATGTGCAAATTTTTCGTTGCTGGTGTGGGTATCCGATGACCGCATTTTCAGGAACGCACTGGCACCGCCTGGTGTGGGCGGAACATGGCCATTAGAAGTGTGTGCCCAGTACCTGCATCAGGTACTCACTCGTACAACCGAATAGGCATCTTCCGGTCAAGCGAACAAGACAAGTAGAACAACCTGTTTGATCCAGGTAACTGAAACACGAACGGTGTGCCCGGATCTCCGGTCATTCGCTCTCTATCTCAGCCTCGGTGGAGAACGAAGACTGCGACACGTACAACACTGGAGTTTGTCGACTCCAACATGCAGCAGCCAGGGTCCAGGCTTGCCTTCCGACTGGCGGAGAATCTACAGTTGACGACGAATGGCTGCGGCTGTATTTCCGCTGTGAAGGGTGTCTCCACCGTCCAGCGCCTCGGCGTGGTAGATGGGCGAATCGGAGCACGGGGAAGATCGTGCATGGAGTTGAACTTTGTCAAAAAGAAAAATAAAACGAATCGTCCATCTGGTTGGAGGGTCCCTGTCTATCACTTGGTCTAGACTTGAACCCCTCCCACACTCTTCTTTGGGCATGAAAGAAAAAAAAATTGAAACTCGGTCTGTCAAAGTTCCACAGGTACATCGCCAGCCATGAGTTTGAATCCGAGGTTGGATCCAGATTTTTTTTTTTGGCTTTGTGGCTTCGTGACTTTCGTGACTTTGTGGCTTTGTGGCTTCGTGCGCTTTTTCTTTCAAGCCTATGTACCTGCCCCCCGGAGGCCCCTCAATAGGAATACGAAAGTTTACTACAAGTCTTTCAATGAAACATAGGCAAAAGTATTGTGTGAAAATTGTCAATTTTTTTTGGATGAATGTTGGTAGTTATTCAACCTCTCTATAACAAGTCTATATCCCCCATAAAACTCCTTTGGAAGCCAAGCTCCCATATTCCTGGAAATCCGGGGGTATTCATATACATCAAAAATAAATCATAAGTCTCGTGACAATGTCCGGCCCACAAGGGGAGACATGTCGAATCAACCGAACATGTAAGAAACAAGTCCAATCTTGTTGGTTGTTGGGTGAAGAGGGCCACCGACTTGGGTGGAAAGAAGAAGTAAAAAGAAAGGATCACATCCCAACAAAGAGATAGTGAGACGAAGAGAAAAAAAAAAGGACCCTTTGAAAGAGTGCGCGGGTCAACCGGCAAGGTGGAAAGAATGGAAAGAAGAGAAAGTAAAAGAGCAAGCTCAGATCATAACGTCGAGGCAGAGTAAAAGATAGATTTACTGGCCGATGGTCAGGCCCAGACCGGTACTGATGGGGCAACCGTGAGTAGCGTGGTCATCGGTAGGCTGGAGGTAGGCAGAAGCGCAGTTGGCATCACCAGCCTGGCAGATGGCCTGGGGGCAAGAGTCGGAAGCATCCGCGGAGGGGATAACGGCGAAGCCGTACTGGGTGAACTCGGAGCCAGTGCCCATGTTGATGCAAGAGAGGTCCCAGAAGATAGTATCAGTAGCCTGGGTGTACTCGAACTGCAGGACGTCGGACTGGTTGGGGTCGGTAGCGAGCTTAATGGAAATACCACCGCCGTTAGGGTTGGTCTGCCACTTCTCAGAGTAGGTACCGCCACCGGCCTTGATGGTCTGCATGGGGCCAACGTCCTGGGAAACAGACCAGGCGTAGATGTCCTTGTCCAGGGTGTTGGTGATCAAAACACTGCCGCTATCGGCAGTCGCCTGGCGGCGGACCATGCCACCGGGCAGAGCGGAGGCCAGAGTAGCGAAAACAGCGGCGATGCCGAAAGACTTGGTGAACATCATTTTGAATGTGATATAGATTGTTTGTTCAGAGAACGGATGGTAAGGCGATTGTGTGTCTTGGGAAGTATGTGTCTGAAAAGACGTGGATGTGGATATAGTAGACTGGATAAGTCAAGAGAAGGTCTGGTCGACAGACAAAAGGAATGTATCGAGAACGACTCGAAAGAAGGTAGGAATAGTAAATGAAGGTGATATTTCGAAAGGACTGTGATGATAATTCGAAACAACGAGGGTGCACAAGGGGGGTCTTTATAACTTTTTGGAAGGGTCCCTGTTCAGGTCCCCCGGACAGGCACCGCTGCAAAAGAAACGTGGTGGATCCAGCCACGCAGGGCCAGATCCATGGAATCAATGCCTGGAGACAAGTGGGGACGAGGATAAAAGGCGAACAAAAAAGAAAAAGAAAAAGGAAGGAAAAAAGATCGAAAATAGGTGTGGGTCGGGGAGGAGGCGAATCATGGCGGGTACCGTCGAGAGGGAGGATGTCACATTGGAGATGCGTTTCAAGGCCACGACTGGGCGTCTACAAGGCGCGAAATGAAGCATGCACAGTATTTGAACATTGGGGAGAAATTCTTCGATTTGCAATTGGCAATCAGCTCGTATTCCGCCAGCGCATGTATCTTTTGAGTCTTGTGAAGCGGTGTGATAACGAATAACGAATGTTCAAGGGTCAAATTGACGTGTTCGATGGTATAGTGCGTGGGCATACCACTTTTGAGGTAGTGGCAGTGACACGCTCCCTGCCTACAGACCAGGTGTTCGCCTTCCGCTACTGTGGTTAAAGAGCGTGGCAATAAACCGTTTGGGGCAAATCTCTCCCGTCATCCGCTCCGTGACCTTCCGCGGTTCTCCAACACGACAGAACGAACCTCCAATGGCAAACATAAACCAACAGGCAAGAAAGGGGCAAAGACGAGAAATTTTTGACATCTATCGACTCAGAGCCATGGCTAATCTCCACGGCAGCTGTCATAGCAGATCACAGCTCGGCAGCGTGGCTGCACTGACCGCTGCAAGCTGGTGGTGATGGTGGTGGTGGTGGTGGCCAGACATCATCACCATCGTACGAGTAGGCGATACCTCGCCTTCAGGCTATAACGAGTGTTCCCAGGTTCCTAGCCGAAGGGTTCATCGGGCGTCAAAGCTGCCATCTGATTCTGGCCAGCAATTGCTAATCTGGCCAGCCAACTATCTACGAGTACTCTTTTCGACGTGTCTGGTCCCACTCCACCCTCCATGAGATCTGGACTACTCGTACGCTTCTTTTGCCTGAGCACACTTTCGAGACCCTTTCGACCTTTGCTCTCTATAGACGAGCTGAATACTACCCACCTGGTTCCTGAATGTTGCTGGTCACTGCCCGGTGGGAACCCTGGGCAAAACCCCACTCGCCGAAAATTCTTGGTCTCCATCAATCCGCCTCTGACGTCGGCCCTAATAGGGTGGCGATGCGCTTTTTATTTTGCTGACTTTGATTTTTGCTGTGTTGACAATGGAGTACCACCTACCTGTTCAGTTCGCCGGTCGCCGGTGGCCCCAGCTCTTTCACTCGTCAGGAACAGGAAATGAACTCTTCCTGACTCAGCATCTGCAGAGTTTTTTGGTATACGAGTATACTTCTGATACTTCTGATACTTTCGAATTACAGATCCTTCCTGCATACCATGCCCGCCCTATCTCCGATCGCCCTTTAGTCCTGGCCTTAGCTCGCGTCCGTTCCGCGGCCGGTGGCCACCTTAACGGTCTGGTGGGCCGAACTAGTCCCTCTTTCCATCGCGATGAGAGGATCTCCTCGCTTAGTCCAAGGTACCTTGGCGATCTTCCAGAAAGCCATCGTGATTCTAGACCGCCACTTGTGCTTCGTACCTGCGTGCTAGCGTCGACTCTAGGGTAAACACGGTTAGGGCACAAAGGCACCGGGCGGCTGCCATATCCACCAATGGGCCAGATCAGCGCGGAATGCTCTAGTACCTATCATACCTGCTAATCCGGAGTACTCCGTAGTTTGAGGGTAAGTATACATACATAGTGGTCGGAATGGTAATGCTCAATGATCAGAAAAAGACTACCTGGTATACGGAGTACTGTGTACAGGAAATTAAAAATGAAAAGAAAAGAAAAATCTTCTCCGGTCTCGCGCCTTTTGTGGCACCCCGCTGTGGTCTGTCCCCACCACCTCACAGCCACTGAATCACCTCTGATTGATCAGATGGCCTTCGTCCCTCCGTCCCTTTTTCGTTCGTAGCAGGGGACCCCTGCTACCGGACCCCTGCTACCCAACGGGGACCAGATGGTGAGGATACTCGTAGTGGCCAGGCTGCACCGAACAATCCCCTTGAGTACGGCATGGCATGGTGCCTAGGGCGGGGGAGTATAGATCAACCCGCTCCTACCAGTACGGCGCTCGCATAGCCGACAAACTGGCCAATGTACTGTCACCCGTCTCCTCCTTCTTGCGGTGACCGGCAAGCTCGAGATTAATCTGCCGGTGAATGTGCACCAGCCAGTCCACGTAGCTTTGGGCTTCGTTGTTCCTGTCCTCCAGAAGCAGTCGGGCAAACTCGTACTCCGCCCCATCTAGACCTTGCCGGGCCAGTTGGATGGTGACTGCTTTAGACCCACGCACCGTTGAGAAGTATTGCAGAATATTGCGCACCTGAGCGTTGAGGTGCGTCTCCAATACTGGCAGGGATGATGTGTTGGGATTGAGCTCTTGGAGCGAGTTCGCCCCTGGTCCGAGTAGATCCTCTAGAAGATTCGGTGAGACTTGAGCATGCAACCAGAGTAGAACGGCTTGTCCGTTGTCCACTAGGTATGCACCTCCTTCCTCAATCTTTGAGAAGCTAGCGCGTAGTGTCGGTGGGACCTGAAGTTGGCCTTGCTCGTTGGGGAAGCCGTCTTCTGGTTGCAGGTTGTGGATGGGGATGATACGAGGGTAGAGATAAAGAGATAGCTCTGTACAGCCGAGGGACCGAATCATGCGCATGTCATGAGTACGGCGGTCCGATGATTCGTTGCCACCTGTCGAGATGTCTTAGCAGAAGATTTACAATGGTTGTGTCCTAGGAGGTAATCTCACCTTTGAACGCTCTCGACTTAATAAGACTGAGCATGTACATCGAGAATTCTTTCAGGTTCTCCGGCAAGACCAGCTGGCCTGGCGGGTGTGAACCGGAGAAATTCTTGCGGTATCCGCTGAAGATATCGACCGTCTTCTCAGAGATACTGGCACGGATATCCTTGAGGGTCTTGTCGAGCGTTTTTGAGGCAGCTGTTATACAAATATAAGCGTCTGAAGGTCAACCAAAAAACTGCAGAATAGTATCGACTTACCCTCCTTGGCAATGACAGCTACTACGGCATCTTGATCGACATATTTCATGGTCTCCATGGCGCCTTCATTAACTGCGGCCACCACATTGATGCAACGAACTCTACGCTGGCCATCAGCAGAGGTATAGAGGAGTGCGGCCTGAAAATGGGCGTCAAGCTTGGGGTCCAGCTTGCCATCATAGCTGAACACAACGCCAATGGCTTTCTCTGCATCTACGCCACCGATCTCGAGGTCGGCGCCGAGGGTATGTTGCACGAAGTTTCCATGGTAAGAAGACACTTGCAAGCCGTTTGAGCACCGAACCTTCATCAACGCCTGGTAGCCCGTCTCCCGAGTGGTGGCATGGGCTATCTCCCGGCGAATCTTGAGTAAATCGCGCGGTGCATGGAAATTTGGGTAGAAGAAAGTCTCGCCGCCCGTTAGAGCAGACACATGACCTATTGAACGAATCAGTCCCTGTGCATCGAATTCCAGATATTCGTATCCTTAACATACCCATTGTCGCCACATCCATGTAAGTGCCACCAGGGGCGGCAATGAAGAAATCCACTCCCACCCCCGCTTCAGACAGCTGGCTCGCTGTCTTCTTCCATGCTTGATTCTCGGTGGTAAATAGTTTTCGCTCTGCATCCGTCCCGTGAATCTTCACATCCTCACGCACTGTCAACTGTCCAGGGCCCCAGGTGGGCAGGCTGGATACTGCGCAGATGACCTTTCCGCCGGTGGGCTGAAGAGCTGCAAGAGCGGCATTGAGTGTTGGGAGCACGACGGGGTCAGGGTTCTTGATATGACCGAAAATACTGGGTATCCGTTCCAAAAGCGATGTGATCACAGACCTAGTGCATATTATTAGCAGCATATCCAAGCATCTCGGCTGTATCCTTCTTACTTGGACTCATATGGATCCACAAATAATCCCTCGCTCAATGGCACGAACGGTTCTTCCAGGTCGGTCATAACCATCATCTGCGCCTGATCCAATGTGCCCTAAACATCCTGTCAGCAAACAAATCCATCCCAGGAATCTTGATCCTTTATTACAGAGGGAAGAATGAGCACTTACGGTGAGATTGTAGAAGTGAACCTCCGTGTCGAACGTGACAATGCCGACCTTGGATCCCGCAGGAATCTTCCGTGCTTTCGCTTCGTCACCCTCGGTGCCATCAACGGCTCCATCCTCGCCATACAATGCCTCAGCAATGCCTTCACAAACGCCCTTTAAGAAACCTCGATGCACAGATTCGCGACTGACGTCAATCAGGAAGAGCGTCTGTAGGCCCACCGGTTCCTTGTTCCAGTATTCCTTGGGTACCAAATACTCGACTGTGCCCATCATCAGCTCCGGTCTTTGCATGCGGTCTACGCGAGCCCCAGAAGGATCCAAGGGCGCAAAGTATTCGGCAGGCGTATCATTTGCGAACGTGCACATATTGCAGACGAATTTGCTGCCACCTGATCGGAAAGACATAAAGGGGTTGATATATGTTCGGCATCGTCGGCATCGCGGAGGACCAATGTCCCCGAAGTCCAGCACGGGGATGGGTTGCTCGCCGGGATCCAAAGGTGCGAGGGGTTGGATCACCATGCCCAAAGGCAGACCGGTGGAGGAGAGGAAATCGGAGGTCGAGGGGATGTTGTTGAGTGTCAGACGGGCGTACTTGGGCGAGGAGTTGCCCTGATCATGGGCCACAAAGGGGATCGACGCAGGTGGAGGGAGGTGGCGGTCCATTGTTGGATAGACATGATTGAAATAGTACTGAGCGGGCAAGTCGCGCGATCGGGGGATGCTGGGGATCTGCTCAGGGTCAATTCTACCTTGGGTGGACACCGAGTCTGCTCCAGTAGAGATTCCTGGCTGCGAGGTCATTCCCGGCGCTGGCTGCACGTATCCTGGGGAAGCACCAGCGACAGGCTGCGGAGCTTGGTTTAGGCCAGTATTCAGGAATTGGGATGTTGGTTGCGGGACCCCCGTGGCAGCAACTCCCTGGCCAAAGGCCGGGGCAGGGGCAGGGGCTGCAGCACCAATATCGTGATGTGCATGTCGATGCTTCTTACGATGTGACCTGGCTCCAGCATCTGCTGCGATCCCAAGCCCGCTCATCTGGGAGGACAATCCGGCCATACCAAGGTCTCCAGCGGCACCCATGGGTGCTTGCTGCCCGGCAGCGGCATTATACCCAGCATTCGGGCTGGTAGGCAGGTTCTGCTGTTGAGGAGAGCCATAGGCGGACCATTGATTCGGAGAGGGGTTCGGATAGGCAGCTCCTGGTTGCGGAGGCGCCCCGGGGTGGTAGCCTGCGTATTGTTGCTGTTGCGGAGGTTGTGGTTGTTGCTGCTGCTGTTGAGGATGAGGATGAGAAGGAGGATTGGAGGGGTCACCAGGAGCTTCCCCCATTGAGTGATACATCGGGTCGGCCATAGGAACTGGAACCGAGGAGACCTGGAAAGGGAGTGCCCCGCGGTGGTGGATGTTGATGATATACCAGATCGGACACCTTCCACTTGGCGGAACGGGCCATCGTACCTCCGAGGTTGCCTTGCCTTTGTTCACGTGGAGCCAACCACATCATGGGAAGTATACTACAACAGCAATCACCACAACCACCACCACCGTCAACTGGCCGTACTTTTGTTCCATTTTTGTACACCTGATGGAGCATCGCTACTGGCTTTCGTACTAAATCCGGTTCTCTTGACTCTCGGGTGATGGTTTCTGCACTTCTTCCGGTCCGCTGAGAACCCTGTGGACACATGCATACCATACAGTACTTCATTCGCAGATCCCCACCGCTCTTCTAGGATGGCCCTCCGTGCTGAGGCAGGCTAGCGAAGGTCGGAGGAAGCAACCGACCATCCAACTTTGGTCAAGCTCATCTGTTCGTGGTCTTCGACCCGACAAGTCCGCATCCCACTTAGCTCTGAAGTCGGAAGATTCTCGGGCATCCCGCATGTCCATCCCCTCGTCCATCTAGCCCCCTATCATCAAAGTCCCGGTCGACGCGGTACTTCTAGCTGCATCGACGCCTCGGACAACCCCTCGAATCAATTGAATCGCGCTTATCGCTCCCCCGGCAGTCTGAAATCCAATTGTTGCTCTAATTTGTGTCCGAATCACGCCAAATCGCCACGATTCTTTCTATTTGCAAACTTGCCACTTTAGGGTTCTCTAGGCTTGTCCAACTCACCGTCTCTTTGTGTGTCTTCCGAAGCGGACCTTGGCCCCTCCATCTGGCGTCACTCGGGTTTCTCGAGTAGATATATCTTCCATAGCGCCGGGCCCCGTAAGTCATGCATAAGCTTTTTTCTTTTGCTTTTTCTCCATCCCGCCCTGTATATTACTAGTACCTAGGTAGTTTATCGTCACTCAGTCTTAACGATGGGCCTAACAACCAAACCTCCCGACCCAGATCGCAAATCACTAGGAGTTCGGATTGAGCGGCCAACCCTTGAATCTCAATCTGCTCCTAATATGGCAACCATCCAAGACGATGATGAACTTCTTCTAGCTCGTATTGGCTATAAGCAAGTATGTACCCCTGATAATTTCAATAAGTGTTCCAGTTGATGAGCGCTTCCAAAGTTCCCTTCTAACGTTCTCAATTATATTGCATCAGGAACTACGACGAGAGTTTTCCAAATGGTCCACGGTTTCCTATGCCATCTCTATCCTCGGTGTTCTGGGCTCCGTACCAGCGACCTTCGGTTCTCCACTGGCAGCCGGCGGTCCTGCCACGGCTGTCTGGTGCTGGCTGATCGGATCTTGCATGGCGATGTGCATCGGCAGCTCCGTTGCGGAATTAGTTTCAGCCTACCCGACAGCTGGTGGAATGTACTTTGTCACGAAGCATGTCGTGCCCCCTGATCAAGTCCCAATTTTCGCGTGGATCCAGGGTTGGTGCAACCTACTGGGCCAGACGGCTGGTGTGTCAAGTGTTGCATATACTGTCAGCCAGATGCTGCTTGCCTGTGTTAGTATGAATTCGGAGCTCATTGATGGGAGTTATTCATATTCGCCGTAGGCCCAGCCAACCTATCATTTTGGTTCCTCACATGCTGATATTCCCGCAGGTCCGCAGTGGAGACTGTATTGTTGTCTATCGGGATCCTGTGTATTCTTGGTATCATATGCTCGTTGACGACGAGAACATTGCATCGCATCATCCTTTGGTTCGCGCCGATAAATAGTATGTTTTTGCTGAAAATTTACAACGCGGTATGAATAACTGACAACGGCTAGTCTGCGCGACTATCGGAATTTGTATCGCTCTGATATATTTGACCCCAGACAAGCAGCCCGCCTCGTGGGTTTTTACCCACTTCACTGATGGGTCTGGGTGGAACTCGAAAGTCTTCTCCTTCTTTCTGGGTTTCCTTTCCGTCGCATGGACTATGACCGACTACGATGGTACAACACAGTGGGTCTCCCTTTCTACCTACATGTGAAACTATATCTCACAGTCCTCTCTAGCATGTCAGAGGAAACACACGATGCGGCTGTCCGAGGGCCAGTCGCCATAAAGACAGCTGTTCTCGTTTCGGGGGCTTTCGGTTGGCTTTTGACTGTCTGCATGTGCTTTTGCCTATCTGACTTTGATCAAATTCTCAATACCCCTACAGGTCTCCCAGCCGCACAGATATTCATCAACGCTGGTGGTAAGCGAGGCGGCACAGTCATGTGGTCTTTCGCCATCCTTGTCCAATTCTTCACGGGTTGTTCAGCCATGCTGGCTGATACTCGAATGGCTTACGCATTTGTCAGAGATAACGCCCTCCCTTTCTCTGGCTTTTTATCGAAAGTTAATTCTCGTACCCATACGCCCGTAAATGCAGTCTGGTTTGTGGTCTTCTTCAGCGTTGCCCTGAACTGCATTGCCATTGGTTCAACAGAGACCGCCACGGCAATCTTCAGCATCACCGCCCCAGCATTAGACCTGTCCTACATCTCCGTCATTCTTGCACATCAGCTCTACAAAAACAAGGTCAAGTTCATCGAAGGCCCCTTCACTCTGGGCAAATGGGGTACTACGATTAACTATATCGCCGTGATATGGGTTATGTTCATCAGTACCATTCTTTTCTTCCCATCACAGCTTCCTGTTACGGCAGCCAATATGTACCGTGGACCCCCTCCCCCCCCTTGTCTGAAAACTCGACACCACACTAACTTGTTCTAGGAATTATGCGATCTGTGTCGCTGCCTTCATCGCCATTTTCGCCCTGGTCTGGTGGTGGGTTGCAGCCCGAGGGTATGATACACAGACTAATTGAAAATTGAGTATCAACTAACATCACTCGCATAGAAAATACACGGGCCCTCAGACCAATGATATTATTCAAGAGATTCCTAATGATGAAAACGAACATGATTATGCACAGTCTGATGAGGGGTCTGTTTGAGAAGCTGATCGTGCGATACGGTATTTCAAAGTTCGCACAAATTCAAGCACCCAAACCTCTCATCAAAAGTAGATATAGAACTAGAATAGAATACCGGGACATTTGGGAGTTCATTGAACATCTGGGCACATACAGGATAGAAAATTTGGGGATTTCGTTTCACATTTACAAAAGAGCAGGATTTGAATGGGATTATGGAAAATGAATCGTTACCGGTATTGTTCAGATTATACATAAATTGAAGATAAAGTACACGTGCATTTCAGCTTCCTGTCACAATGGCAAGTCCCTCGTAGATCTTCTTCTTGACAGCAAGGAAGCTAGCGGAATCTCGGCCTAGAGCTTTCTGGTTGGCAGCTGCCTGGGCGGATGCCTCAATCTCAATCTTACCAGTACCAGATTTCCGGACAGCCACTAATTTATCGATAAGCAGCGTACCCTCACCCCTAAATTCAGCAGTATGGCCAGCTGCTTGCATGAGTTTTCGCAGATCAGCCAGCCGCAAGTCACCGACATGCAACGGCCGGGTCATAGATCTGGTCCCGGCAGCCATAGTAACAGGCAGTGTATCAAGAAGAGGGAAAATATCGGATTTACCCCCGCTCTTAGGAACAACCGCAGAGGAGGCGGCCTGCTCGTTGGCCAGCTTCATCTTCTTGCCGGTTGCCTCAGGATCGGCTTCCTCCTCGCTGGGAGGCTCTGGTCCTCGCAATTGGGCTGTCAATGCAACGACACCAAGACTGCGAACATGCTGCCATTTCAAACGTCGAACAAGGGTGTTGCTGAGCTTGACCATCCAAGCATTTGTGTCAACACTTGCGTCGACGAGCTCGCCATTAGCAGGGGTAAAGATGATCGCTGTCGTATCAGCAGCCGAGTCAGCACCAGCTTTAGCAACCAGGAGCTTTTTACATTCGATCGCAAGCGCCAATGTCTCATCCTTCATTCCGCCAACAAGAATCAGCTTTTGGGGTTGGATCAGAGGAATCAACATTTCGAGACTTCGCTTATCATGCACGCCCATAAAGTCGACAAAGGCGATACGAGCATTGATGGTGATTGATTGTTTGGTGTATACAGCCTTAGCAGGGCCTTCGAATGCCTGGCTGTCCGCCTCATCCTCTGAAAATGCAGCAACATCACCAGCTTCGCCGTCGTCTGCAAGACTGTCATTGTCTGCACCGGAGTCAATCTTCTCGCCATTTTTGAGCTGCTGGCGCTTGCGGCCCGCGGCGCCTCCCGATAACCTGCGTCCGCCGGAACCAGCGGTCTCGTCCCATCGTCGCTTTTGGCCGAGCTTAGTTTCTGCGTCTGTTCGGCGTTGTTGCATATCAATTTCCTCGCGTTCCTCTGCTCGCAAGTATTCTTCAGGTCGAATGAATTCGCCATATTCGTCTCCCTTCTTTCGGGGTGCAACATAAGGAAACATGCGCTCACGCCCCTTCTTCCCACGTACGTCGTAGTCGTAGACATTCCTGCGCCGAAGCAGAATATTGATTCCCAGGTCTTCATCACTGAGGGCCAGCTTGTTTCGGTTTGCATGGGCAAGTGAAGTCGAAAAATTCAGAACACGACCTTGCTGCTCACCATCTGAATCTTCTGACGAGGTTGAACTAGATCGGTCATCCAGCGCGTCTGCGGCATTCTCGAGGGTTTCCTGGCCACGAGTCTGAGAGGCGTCTTCGTGTTGTCGCTTTGTGGCAAGGTATTGCTGATAAACAAGCTGGTCTCCTACATCGAGGGGAGCTCGCTGAATATCCGCCCATTTCAATTCCCGTCCACCACTGTGGACTTGTTCCAGCATTTCGCCGTCTGATGTTTTCTCCAGCGCAACGCCATCTCTCCGCTCTTCGTACCACTGCCAGATAGTCGCTCCGATGGATGCAGTATTCGACAACTCTGAGCCTTCAAGGGGTGCATTTTTACGGAAAGATTCCGTCAGCAACAGCAGGTTGTTCGGTCCCTCAGCAATTTGTCGCAGGGATTCTTTCGCAAAGCCCCAAGCCAATGAAGTGTCAGAGGCAATAATCACTTTAGGACCCTGGTCTGACAGGAGCTTCTCAAGTTGCTTTTTCCGCTCGATGGTTTTGAGATGCTTGAAGTTGAAGGGACCGCCGCCACTCTTAGAAGTGCCTTTGTCTTGCCCCTGGCCACCAGATTGTTGGCCAGTTGCATCTGCACTCTCGGCAGCCTCAAATTCGCGAACTATATTCTCGTCCATCCATTCGAGCATACTCCGAGCGAGGCGCAGGGTGGTATTGACCTTCCTGCCAGCCAGGTAAAGACCTGCACTCTGAAGTACATCCTCTTTGCCGCCTGCTCCAGCATCACGCCAAGCATGCTCCAGCGCGTATGCCAGCTCCAAAACCCGAGAGCTCGTGTCTGTTGGGATAAGGACGGTACCACCTTTAGCCAGGGTGTTCCGAATCATTTCGAGAAGGAGATCATCCCTCTTTCTGCGCCCCCCGGAAAGCGAAAACTTATCACCTCCCTTTGAGCTACAAATAAGAGCTGTTGGTTTGCGCAATTGTTCAATGACTTCCGTTCCACTGGCCCCGGATCCTCCAAACCATGCGGCACCCGCTACCACGCTCTCGCGTGCCTGGTTCCAATCCATCGCGTAAACAATAGATTCCATGCCATGCTGAATATGCCATATCGTTCCACCGACTGTGTGGCCGGCATTATAAGCGGTAAGAGTAAGGCCATCCAAGGGCGGCGAGAATGGGGATGGACGGGGTTGATGTGGTTGCGAGTATTTAAGAGGTGTGATGAGGGAGAAATATCGGGCAATTTCTTCCGCAGTAGGTGGCTGAAGCAGAATGCGGCCGTTGCTGCCAGCAGCTTCGGCGTTTCCACTTCCATTTTCCGTTGGTGATATCCCGGACGCGGCGGCATTTGCGCCGGGCTCTGAGATAGACCCTTGGGGCAGGAATGTAGCAGCGAGTGGCGCCGAAGCATAAAGGTCTTGTAGATTCGTACGGCCAAAGGCAACAACCGGGCCCGTCGCATAAATGGGAATCTGTGTGAAAAGAGGGAAGGTCTTGCAGCAGTGGACGAAAGCGCCGATGTGTGCCGGGGTTGCGTGAGTCAAAAGAATGAGGGACAGAGTTGGGACTTGTCTGAATATTTGCGAAAATTAGTTTCAATTGCTAGGAAGAGGCGAGGTATCAATTCGAAACTCACCTTTCTAGCTCCGCAAGATCACGAATGTCAAAGCTATCGTCCCAACCGACATCGACCAATATCTTGATACCGCCGTCGAGCTCGAGAATTGACTGTGACGCTTTGGATGACGACGATTGCGCGCCCAACAGTGGCGTGAACGTGAACATGGTGATCGATCACCAGTGATCTCGGACGTGTAACTGCGTCGACGAGCGTGTTCGCAGATGGCAGGTGACAACACGTCCAAGCGGGCCCAGGACTCGATTTCCGGCTAAACGAAAAGAAGTAGCATTCTCCTATATCTTGGGTTATAAAGGGACGCGCATCCGCTTGGGGCGACAAAGGAAAGACGAGTAATGGTCGAAATAGCTGAAGGTCCTAGGCCCAAAGCTGCCTTTGTTGCCGACGTTGGGTCTTTGATCATGTGATCCAATCATTGACCAATCAAATGCGTTCTACTACTATATTCATACGCTGGCTTCGACCTTGGATATTCTTCAATTCAAATAAATATCAAACTATTAAAATATCTTTCTTAAGTAGTGTAGCCCCAAATATGGCTACGGTGACCCTTTCATCCTTGAACTGCTACTCCGAGTTGACCTGCCACTGGTCTCGGACGTTGCAGGTGAAGATTTCTCATTCTGTTTCTGTTCATAGTGTATCAGTAACTATCATTGTACTTTCATACCCAAGCAGAGTAACTTACGGTTTTTTGGCGAGATGAGAAAGGTCGGTATGATGTTGGCAACTTCGGAAGAATCACTTTAACTCTTTGCTCGATCTCTGGAGGAAGTTTAGCACCCGCCCACGGCTTAATACGACGAACAGCTCTGGGAAGAGGAAAGTACTTCTTTCGATCTTGTGAAATTTTACAGGCTTCTTTACAAGTCTGTATGTAATCCAAATTGTTGTCTATGGTCGTATTCACCTCACCGGGTGCGAGTGTTGGAAACCTTTTGGAAATATTGGCTTCGGGCACGGAGTCTGAATCTTCACTTTCACACAATTCCATGGTGTCTTTCGCTGGACTGGTATCTTTCTTTGCTCTTGCCAGAAGCGAAACTCTAGTAATGATCTCTCTGGAACCTCCTTTTGCTGCTAGTTTCGAGTCGTTAATGTCCCAAGCCACATTTTTCTTGGGGTTTTGCTTCGGACCCTTTTTGAGCGCTGATCTAGTAGTTCGAGTCGTGCCAGTGGATATGGGGTCTCCATGAGCAGCCTCTTTAGCTTTTTTCGAGGCTCCCTTTTTAGAAGTCACTTTTTTGGAGGTTGAATTTTTGGGGGCTGCCTTTTTGCTTCTACTCTTTTTGGCTGGAGGATTTGCCACAGCTGCATTAGACAGTGGACCCGGTTTAGCTTTTCCCTTTTCCCGGTCTTTTTTCCCTCGTCTCCTTGCTGCAACAATGGCCCCCATGTTCTGCGATACCTCCATCGCCATCTCTACCTCATTTGGTAGGCCCCCTTCAAGATTAGAACCGGAGGAAGTTCCTGGAGTACAAGTTAGTGGATGGTCATTCGTAGGTTCAAACCAAGTCCAAGCTGGTGCCTCAATATGATAAAACAGCAAATAGTATGCAAGGGGGTCTAAAGAATGCCAGCCAAATCTCTCCCACAAACCCATACCAGTTCCAACCATTTAATCAACAAGTGCTTCCTTTCTTCTGTATTGCATTCCCGGGGCCATTAAGCTAGCTTTTGGTTCTTTTCTGTGGGAAAAGAACCTTTGCCTGTTCTTCCCAAAGACTCCATTGACACATTCTAAGTCACATCACTTTGATAATTCCAAATGAATACAAGAAAAGACAGAGGAACATGCTGAGGACGAGTAGAATTACACAAAGCCAAACACACTTGTACTCACCGATCTTCGCAATTTTGCCCTCTTTCCGGCCTTCATCTTCAGAGCTATCAGATTCGATTCCGAAAATCTTTCGCGGGTCTGCTTGATGTAAAGGACCATCCGCTCCTTTATCGTGATACAATAACCTATCCGCATAGGTGGGCGCTTTTCCTCCAGCTGGAGTCGATCCCTTTGCTCGAGGAATAGGACCTGGACGTTTGTAATCATCATCCTCGCACCGGGCCTTCGGATCTCTGTAATCCTTTCGAAACTCCGTGTAGAAATTTGTATTTGGCCGCTTTGGAGGGGGCGGCAATGGATCCTCGACGTTGCAGACTTTTGGCCAAAGAGGGCCGTTGGCAATCTCTCTCTTCATTTGCATTCGGGAGATTGGATTCTGTAATGCATCCGTGAGGCAAATGTATGCCACTTCATACAGCCTTTCCCCATGTAGCAGATTGGGAGGATCAGCTAGAAGCCCCACGTCAAACACCCACTTCAAACCACCAAGTCCAATTGAGGAGTCGAAAGATCTTGGATGACTCCCTGAAGCCACTCCCTCAAGAATTGATTTGCCTGCAACAGTTCGAATAAGGTCTTTTTCTAGATCCTTGCCTTGGGCGGGCTTGGTCGTATCAGAAGCAAATCGCCATCGTGGCACAGGTGCGTTCTCTCCAAAGGAGATCGGGGGCATATTGTGATGCCATACTTTGGGAGATTGCTCTGGGATAGGGAATTGATATATAAATCCGGTTGCATGATTTGGATCGGGCTTTCTATTTAAAAGGCCTCGGCTTTCCCATTCTGCCCCTGGTGGTGAATCAAATAGGTCTGGATTTGCAGCACGAAATCCTTGGGTTTCAATCTGTTTCGAGGAGCGCTTCCGTTTCGACATCTTTTTATTTTGATGGAAGCTCAAGCGTGCCAAGAGTTAGGTTCTAGAATATTATCGTGAGCTTTAGTATCCACGATGATAAAAGAGAAGGTATTTGGAATTACCTACCGAAGGAAATTTAGCACCGACTATATATCGTACAATGTAAACAAAGAAAATTACCGGGGCTTGAAAGCGAGTAATTTCCAAGGTTTGACTTCGAGTGAATGAAATCTTCGAGTTTTCCCTCTCTACTGGACAGATAATGCTGCGCAGAATTACTCGTAAAGGTCAATCGTCAGCACAAGTCGTGGGCTTCATGTAACATAACTCACCGGACAAAGCAACCCTCGAAAACTTTGCTTCGGGCAAATTTCGCCCTTTGTAGTTTCAGTTATGGAAAGACCGCAAAACCTCTTATCCTGAACAAAGATTCCCCGAGTCGTTTCAAAGAAATCTGCTCTCTTTGGGCCTGTTCAAGTTGGCTTCCAAGGCGACCTATTCCGATGTGGATTCGACGCAAATTTTGATGGAAAGAAGAACTCCTCTACGCCGGACTGAATCAAGATAGTACTAGTAGGTACTAGTAGTAGTCGTAATTCAACCCAATTAATATCCGTCTGAACAGGAATGGTGACAGGGCTGCCTTCGAGCTGCAGTACTACTAGTGCCTTTTATGACTATTCATTGCAAAAATAATACTCTCCCTGAATGCTGTCATTAATATGTATTACTATATTTCTAACACTGGGGCCAATAAATCCATACAGATCTCCATACTAGGTATTCAGTCCTCCACCCCACATAGTGTCTTTTGATCAGATCCTTGCCCGTAACTGCTACTACCTGAGGGGGATCGACACGTTTCCCTGGACCCCCAAAAAATTGTGAAGGGGTAAACCTCCTTAGGGCTGGGCAGAAAGTGGAGCTACTTTGACAAAGCACGAAGCAAAGAGAATATTAAATTGTGTCTGGTGGCACAAAGATGCTGACCGAGGAGCCAGAAAAGCTACTTTGAGACGAATTTAGAGTTCGGAATTTGGCAGCCGGCCACGCTCCTGGTCAAAGAAAGGCAGGGCACATTCTCCGGGGGATTCTTTGTATACAGCTGCGCCAGCCCAACAACCATAGGGTAAGGTATTGGTGGAAGTGAGTTCCAGGGTCCCAGCGGGCCTGGGAGACAAAAAGACCACATCGATCTAATTTGGCAATTTAGCTCACCCCTTCTGGAATGCGGCCATGCGACTCTACGTATTGTCACTGCCCTGTGCCAAAAGTTTTAGGGTAAAATCGATCTCAACTACCGAGTGGAACTCGGCAACCGATAACCGTGTGGTGTTCATCAATTCTTTGCATCGGAGCTGTTAGGTCGGAGATGTTCACCGACTCGAACTAAGATGGAGATTGGGATTCGGGCTGGATAGTCCGAGACAGAAAAAACCGTGCAAGAACAAAGCTGACACCAAACCATCCCAATCAGACTCGAATAGTCGAGATATCGTTATTTTAGATGAATGGAAACTCTTCATCCCGAAAAGTTTAAGAAAGGCCGTTAGGGAAGCGTGTTTAATCAATCGTACCCGCACATCTGGATCACCGTGCCCTCCCACATTCCATCAAATGCCAATGCCGGGATTGAGATCATCGTTAACATTTTGAGATGTCGAAAGAGCCCGTGCTTGGACCCTCTCACTTCGTACCGACAGAATTGAATGATTCGAAAACGCCTTGACAGGTACGAAAGAGGAATGGGAGCTGCTACTAGGTAATTGTTCAAAATTCTCGACACACTACTCACAGATGGAGGGGGAGAAGGAGTAGTCAACCCTAGCATTCCTCTCCTAGAGCCCTCGTCCTTGGTCCATATGGCATACAATTCGTTGTCTTGGATAGCCATTGACTGAACAAAAGACCGAGGAATTTGGGCCTCACGGAACGAATACGGATCATCAAATGTACCTTAATTGGAGGGAAAATGATTAATTTGCTAATGGCGTTCAGCCACAAATGTGCTGGAATGTCCGCCCTCCCTATTCGAAATTATTTCTCCATATAACAGAATCGTAAGGTCTAATGCTCCAAGTGACAGATAGAACATTTCTCCTGAGTACCGAAACAATTTATTGCCAGTACCGGGGCTCATCGAAGACATGATAGCGGTGTCCACGGACACCATCACCACGGAAAAGAGCAGGAAAACGGCGGCCAGCAGGTACCATCTCCTCCGGGATACGCATCTCGTTCTCCGGCTCAGGCTCACCGATGACAAATTTGCCGACCTATATTACTGTCAGTAACTGAAAAAGGCGATGAGCAGGAGTTTTTGTGAGTCTTACCTGGATTTCTGTGTCGGTGATAGTGTCGCGACTAACTCTGGCGTAGCCAGTTCGCTTCAAGCCCTTGAAGAGAATGTACTCGCACCATCGGTCCCAATCGGTGGGGTCGATATCCTTCATGTGGCTCACCTCACTAACATAGTTGTTGTAGTTACCCTCGAGTGGCTTGGTGACTAGGTAACTCAACAGAATAAGAGGACGAGGGGAGGAGCCCATCAAGTTCGACAGATATTCACTCTGAAGACGACGGTCCTCCGGATCTTCCTCCTGGCCGGAATGGAAAACAACCACGTCGATCATCTCACCATACATGTCGAGGGTGGCGTGAATGGCAGGAGCTAGCTCACCGACGGGCGATGGAAGAAGATGGTGAGTGGAATTCACAATGGGGAACTTGGAAAGAAGAGCAGAGCCCCAGGTGTGCTTGTTAGGGCCCGGGCCGAAGTCGGCGTAGTAGCCTAGATCTTCGGCAATATATTGGGTGACATCCTTGTTACCCATGATAATGCGCTGGTTATCAGATTCAAGGAATCCAATAACGTCCAGCTCAAGCTCCCCGAGGACATCACGCATGCGTCGCTCTGCAGCCCACATGTTATTGTCCAGTCCAAAGTGAACTGTCCAGATACCAGCGGTCACAACCTTGTCCTCCTTGTGGTGAGGTGTGTAGTCGTTAGTCGGGAAACGCAGGTACGCAATAGACACAGCAAGCAGCTGCAGCGCAGCAAGGACGTAGATATAGTAGGATCGCTGTCTCTTACTGTTGGGGCTAACAGGCTTGTGCTTGCGGGTGCGGGATGAGTTGGTGGTGGCAGCAGAGAACACGCCAGCTCCAATGAAGAGCATAGTGGTAATCATGAGCCAATCGGTACGCTCACGAACAAGGGGGCCACCGGGAACGAAGGCGTATGCAACAACCCAGACATGGAAAAGGAGCAGGAAGACATAGAGAAAGAACCCGAGGCCGAATGTACTCCCTGGGGAATGGCGGACGCAAGAGGTGATGATGAATGGAGCGGCGGCCATGATGTAGAATGCAAAAATGAGGGCGCCATAGTAGCCGGTCCAGTGGTGGTAATAGGTGAGAAGGGCGGCACCAACCGATCCAAGGCCATACGCCGTCCAGCTGCCTGCCACGCGAGGATAGAACACACCGAAAATCAGACCAGCACCCATGGCGAAAATGGTGACCGCACCGTGGGGAACCGCAATTGGTCCACGAACGGGGTATCCCTCCCAAACCCAGGAGATCATGGTGCTGGAGTCGGTCAATAGAGAAACAATGGCGAACATGAGACCGGCAAATCCAACACCGGCCAGAAGCGACGAGCCCTTCTTGCCGCCGGCAGGCATATAGTCGCCGCCGCTGGTGAAGTTCGGCCGGTAGGATCTCAGCACGGAAACAATCGCGATAGCAAGACCAATCTTGTTCCAGCCACCATTCTCAGTGTGCATAATAGGCCAGAGTGGGTTGTTAGTAGAGCAAGCGAATTTAGCGACGACAGACATGATGAGACCGATACCCCATGCCATGATACGGGTCTCAAGGCGGGGGGTGTTGCCACGCTCAGCGAAGAACGTAGCAGTCCATGCAGCGCATGTGGCTGCAAGGGCAAATGCAGTCACGAAGAGGCGGTTGGCGGGGTCCTGGAACTTGTACGCCAGCAGGGAAACCAGCGAAAGCAGGTGGAGTCCCCGCAGGTTCTTGATAGCAGCATATCGCAGAGACGGGATGGCGAGGAACACGGGGGAGATAACAGCCGCGATTGCAACCTCGTATCCTGAGATGCCCATGTGCCATAGGGGGAAGTACCACACAAGAACAGGCAATCCAGTCACGATGGTCCAGAAGACGAACTATGGCCAAAAGTTAGCAACGAAACAGTTAATAGTACACAGAATAGAGTGCCATTACCCCGTTGTAAACATCACAAGCAGCGTCAAGAATCTCGGCCCAGAAGAAACCTTCACCGAAGGTATTGCCGACAGGCTTGCCTTTCCTAAACTACGATGTCAATTTCCATACTGGGCGGAAATAGATTATGGTTGCACGCACTCTTTTTCGAGAACAGAATCCGCAGTCGTCTTCAACTGCCTAGAAGGAAAGAATTTTAGACACAAATTGTTTTCTTCGTAACCAACGTAACTTTTGACAATATACATTTGTTGTTGGGGGTTTCATTTCGGAAGCCAGGGTACATACCCTCTGCTCATTCCCTTCACGTCACGGACCACAAGCTCGAAGCCCTCAAAGTCCAGCGCGGTGATTGCATCGAATCCAACATCAAACAGGATCAAGGACCACTCGAAGAAAGCATAGCGTGTGTAGGCTGGGTAATGGTATTTTAAGTTAGTATAAAACATCAATTCACTTGAATAGATACCCTGGATAGTAACTTACCACCAGGAACCTTGTGCACCTTGTGCTGGATGAAGTAATAGATCAATGGCACCAGGGTTCCAAAGAAAAGGCTGGCCATGATCTTGCGGTACTTGACGGCTCGGCGATTGTTAGGGCTCAAGGCGAGGCAGCCCAGGGTCCATGGCAGGGTGGCGACAAGATAGGAGATCATAAAAATGTCATGCCAATCGTGATCATCGGTGGAGGTAACGTAGGTCCATCCACCACAAGTCAGAGTTCGGAAGATGCCCACGCCAGCAACAATCTTGGGCAGGGTCGAATTAGGACGTGCGGTCAGCACATACCACAAGAAAACGAGAACGAAACGAGGACCGGAGGTGATGGCAATAAAGACTTGGAAGAAGGATCGTTCGGGGTATCGATCACCAATGGTTGCGGAGACGGAGGGGAACCATTCGTCGGGGTAACCGTAGTGTTCATTTTGGACGATCTTATGGTAATGCAATGCGACACCGACAATCAGCGCGCTGAAAAAGGCGGCATATGCAAAGATGGTGTGAGTCCATGCGACCCATTTGCCGTTGAACTGCATTGAATTGGGTCAGTCATGAACCGAGGTTCTTATCGCGTGATGAAGGCACGTACGGAGACCACGGCATCCCCGTCCTTGAATCTGGGTGCCATGGCGGCGCAGAAGGAGGGAGAGTTCTGCAGCCGGTATATAGGAACAAATTGAATGAAGAGAAGAAATAAGTGAGTGTCGAGAAAAGAAAGAAAAAAGGAAACGCAAAACGAAAGGAGGATGTAGGAAGGCCCCTGAGGAAGAGGGAAAAACATTCGGATCCGTCGGTGCTGTCCAAGTGTCCTTGTGCTCGGCGGTGGAGCTAGCCCCGATGTGGAATAGCGGCAGATGGTCGGCGGCGCTTTGTTGCGGGATGCCGACCACTTTTTTTTTCTCCAGTGACAGCAGCCTCAACCATGTCGGCCGCCACAGATAAAGCTCGCTTTTTCCTCGAGCAGTCAGTGCCCGAGCTAAAAGATTATGAGCGCAAGAAGATTTTCAACAAGGTAAGTTCTTTACTCTCGGGAAGCCCGTGGGTGGAAGACGAGTTTGCTAACCGTGAGACCACCAGGATGAAATTGCCTCGATCGTCAAGAAACGGTCGGATTTCGAGCACAAACTCAATGCGCGTGGCGCGCAGCCCGTCGACTTTGTGCGATATGTCCAATATGAGATGAACCTCGACTCACTCACCAGAAAACGAACAAAACGACTCGGTATTCGCACCGCTGGGCACAGTGGTCAACGGCGAATTTTCTTCATCCTCGACCGGGCCACCCGCAAGTTCCATGGCGACCTCAACCTCTGGATTCAATACATTGATTATACACGGAAGCAGAAGGCGCACAAGAAGCTTTCTATGATCTTCACGGACGCCCTTCGATTGCACCCAACCAGCGCCGAGCTCTGGGTGTATGCCGCCAAATATTCTCTTGACGACCATGCGGATATGTTACAGGCTCGGAGTTATATGCAGCGAGGCTTACGGTTTTGCAAGAGCGCTAAGGTGTTGTGGATTCAATACGCCAAATTGGAATTGATCTATGTCGCCAAGCTGGTGGCACGTCAACGGATATTGGGACTCGACGAGGCTAGCCAACGGCCTAAACCTATTGAAGATAAAGAACTCGACACTGACGCCGACATGATCGCGTTGCCGTCGATCACGGGCGAGGACATTAACCCCAGTGGGGGCGATGACAAGGCCGTCGAGGAGGCCTTGGAAAACCTCAATTCCACACCGGCATTAACTGGTGCCATCCCACTCGCCATCTTCGACGCTGCGATGAAGCATTTCAACAACGATGATCGATTCGGGTTCGACTTTTATGAGATGGTCTCCGAGTTTCACGATGCGCCGTGTCTGCGCAAGATCCTTGACCACGTGGTGGAGACGATGCGGGCGCACCAGCCTACAAGCCCTCGTACCCAGATTTGTTACATCAAGTTCCCAACTGCGGGTCTTTCCGTCACATCGGCCGAATTTCCACGGGCCTTTGGTGGCTCTCTTACCCGTTTGAAAGAGACACACCTGGGCAGCGCGTTGGCGGGCGAGGTCGTGAATTGGCTGCAGTCCATTGTCGAAACGGAGGACTTGGATCCCTCACTGAAGAAGGTTATTGTGGCGACCATGCGCAATGCGGAACGTGTTGCAGCCCAGGAGTAAACATTGAGTACCTTGAGTACACTAGACCTCATTTGGAGGTACTATTATGATTCTGCACATTCAAGGCGTTGTTGGGTGGGCTGCGAATAATAAAATTCCAGGGCAGATAATTCCAATTACCATGTTAGCTTTTGTCTCTTTGATCTTTTCTCTCTCTCTCTCTCTCCATTAATTATCGTATTTACTCCCCCGTCGATTGCTCTTTTTGTTGCTGAGATATTTCTTTGATTTGAGCCGCGCCTCATTTTGTGCACGCTGCAGCTTGTGTACCCGGACCGATTGTTCCTGGGAGGTCTCTCCGGGGATGACCTGTTTTGCCGAGCTCAGGAGCAGCTGGTGGAGCTTGTCAAAGCACGCCTCCACGTTACTCGATTGCTGTCGGGATTCGTCGGATTGTATCACCAGGGCCTGGGACCGGTCGGTCGCATAGCGGGAACCGCGTAGCTGGGGGTGTAACAAACTTGGCACCAATGGAAGCAAGGCCACCAATGGGATTTTCAGCGTGGCCTTTGAATTGACCCTGGAGGAACCCCACGATCAGCAAATGCCAACTAGTACATACAGCGTACGGAGGACGGAGCACGGAGCACGGGTAACAAGGAACAGGTAACTAGCAGAGGAAGGAGGAGGAGGAGGGGATCTCGGGGTTGCACCGACTTGTTCACATTTTGTCCTCCGGGACCGCTAGAACGGCTGAAAGACAGCTGGGCGATATGGCGGGGGATAGTATTCGGATGCAGGTCTTTCAGCCACGACCTGGCTAGTTCGAGGTCCAAGTCAGCCGACCCATTTGAACGCGAGGCAAACTTTCTCAAAGACGACCACCTGACTGGAAGAATTTTCCAAAGCGGCGTCATTTCTGTCAGGGCGAAACTTGGGACGAAAATACATATGGAGATGGGTGAAGGGGTGAAAGGGAAAAAGGTGGAGCTTTGCGGCACTAGAACCTTTGAGAATGGGGTTGGTGTGACTAATTAAAACAGCTCTAAAGTTGCCGTGAAGGAGATGGAGGAGGTTAGGGGGGGGGTCTGGGCCATACTTAATACAGTACGGAGTAGTTAGTGCTAGTGTTACAGATATTCCAGTTTGTACACCTACTAGTTGGTATACCTACATAGTTAAATCAGGACTTAAAACTAAGTAATATTACATGTTGTACTCGCAACCCCAAAATAAGCACTAACTATCGGCCGCGGTTAGCGCCCTCATTGGCGGGAACTCGGTTTTTATACTGTAACTGTACAATACGTTCCATACTCGTACATATGTATGTATATGTATGCTCTAGTTAACTACAGTATACTTGTCCGTACATAGTACCTACTGTAAACCATGTACTACTCAGTAGAGTACGTACTACTCGATCGTCGGCATGATGTGCTCGTACAGGTGTCTGCATGCTGCATCCGAATCCTGCAACCCTGTCTCTTTGGTTTTGTTCTTCTGATACTCTTATTCCAAGGTACCGTCCTGCCCCTCCCCTTCCTTTGTCCCATATTTCTATACTATTCCCCTCACCCACTGGTCTGCTCGGCCCCGTCTACCCTATCTGGGAGCCTTACCGCCCTTACAAACGGGCCCGGTCTTTTTCTCATCGCCCCACCTTAGCTTGCGATTGCAAAATTCGGTGTCTTTGCGCCGCCCTCCACTCCGTCATCCTCTCTCTCTCCATTTCCATTTTTTCCCTTTTCATCTCCCTTCGCCCCCTTTCCCCTTTTGTAGATGAAACCTCCTCCTCCATTCTGTCTACATGACGCCCAGTCCCCCAGATGAAGCTCTTCACTTCCGCGGAAAGACCCTGACTCCGGAAAGTCCCCGACCGCTACATATCCCGGAGCCAGCCAATATCCCAGTCCTCGAGAATCAAATGGACCCCGTCTTCAACGATACTTCCACATACGACCGCCCTGATTTCCCTCGGCATCCCTTTCAAAATTATCACTCACAAGATGGATGGCCCAATCTTCCTATGGAGGCGGGGGTAGCTTCGGAATTGGCCCGACACCCAGGTAGTTTGCATGGTGCGCAGCCTAAGGATTCTGCGATGATGAACTTGAATGATATCAGTGTTTCTGCTCCCGGTTTCTACTCTTCTACCCCAGCGGGCATCAGTCAGGCTGGCAACACAAACCCCGGCCACCCTCTAGCGGACTCCAATCCCTCCTATGCGCCTCCGGCAGTCCCGGTCCACGAGGGCTTCGCCACAACGGGCAATATAGACAATGCCGGCAACCCGGTAAATTCATCCGCTTTGCCAGGTCACCTAGAGGAGGATCTAAAGGAAGATGCAGCGGCAGGAGGATCGGCAACAGGAACAGGAACAGAATCGGGTTCAGGCTCGGCTGCAGTTGGGGTCAATTTTCAAACTCTGCTGGACAATCTCTCTCATCCATCTGCTACGGCGACCGCTCCTACAGGGGCTATGCCCTCTCTAGTGGAGGAAGGCTCGTCACTTCCCAAGGCATCTACGGACGAGCCTCTCCAACCCGGGTTATCATCCTCACTGGACGCTCAGTCCGTGAACCTCCCGGCCCGCCCTCCCCTCCAAGACCCCTCCACCCAGCCCAACTACCCTCCCCATGGTGATCCTGCTTATCACCAACTTCCCCCTGCCCAAAATCCCGCCTACGCGACAGAATCCAGTAACGATGCCCTTCAAAACTTCCCCTCTATGCCCACCGGAGGTCCCCCCGGGCACTGGTTCCGGTGTCGGCGCTCTCCCCCTCCCCCCCATCGCCAGCTTCCAACAAGCCCAACAAACCACCCCTTCTTCGACCGCGGATTCACAGACGTCTCAAGAAGGACCCTCGCAAACCCCCAAGAAAAGTCGTACCGATAAACCAGCGGTGCGACCCGGCAAAGGAGCGGATGATGATTCGCCTTGGGGGCCGGAAGTCCAAAAGAAATATGATGAGTTCTTGCATGATGAGAGAATATATGTGACCGAGGGTCTCTGGGATCGGTTTCCAATGGGTTCGAGGCTGTTTGTGGGTCAGTATACTTCCTATACAGTATGGCATGTCACTCCAGAGCATCCAGCTGACTTTGTTTTGCTTTTATACAGGGAACCTTCCCACCGAGCGGGTTACGAAAAGAGACATGTTCCACCTATTCCACAAATACGGCAAATTGGCCCAAATTTCGATCAAACAGGCTTACGGCTTTATCCAATTTCTCGAGTCCGACGCTTGCCACGCAGCATTGCAGGTAGAACAAGGCGCCTTGGTCCGTGGGAGGAAGATTCGTGAGTATTTGAAGACACAGGTGTACTCTATGGCCATTTACTGATATATTATCTTTGTGATCCGTAGATCTTGAGATTTCAAAGCCACAGAGATCGACCCGACCTGGCCCTGCAGAGCCGGTTCGTGCACCACCGCCCCGTCGCTCCCGAACGCCAGAGTTCAGCCGAGCTGCCCCTGTCCGGAACAACGCTCGAGCCACTGGTGATCGTTTCGATCGTCCTCACGAAACGGCTCGACCCCCCTTCAGCGATTTCCGGGACGAGCCCTCACACCGCAGGCGTGATGACTATCGACCCCCGCGATCACCTTCTCCTCGACCTCTTCGCCGAGATGGATACCGATCACGAGATCGGACACCTGAAAGGCTCGATCGCCGTAGAAGATCCCGGTCCCCGCGCTCTCCACGATCCCCGTACGCCCGGGATCGTCGGTATCGCAGCCCAAGCCCCCGGCCCCGTGGCGTCTACGAAGGAGAAGCCGATCTCCCAGTTCCGAGACGGTCTCCACGAGATGTGCCAGAGGTCCAGGTCCTTGTTTTGGAAGAAGTGGACCGTAACTTTATTCTTCACGTGGAAAATGCCTTTCGCAATCGCGGTTTGCGTGTAGATGTGCTTGTGCTTGGTCCTCGGATTCCCCTCGGCGCTGCGGTTCACCGTCAATACATCGAAGGTGTTCTAGCAGTTGTTCGACTGTCGCGGCCAAACCAATTCTCCCGCAAAATTCCCCTCCAGATATTTGACCGAAGTGCCGGACCGGCCAACGTCCGCTTCAGTGACTATCCTGAAGTTGACCCTAATATCGCCGCCGATGTCATGTTTCACCAGGCCCAGGCGATGCAGCGAGGGCCTGTTCCGGCTTCCTTTGCTCCTAATCCGGCTTTCGGCGTTCCCCAGATGCAGTCCATGCCCATGCCCATGCCCATGCCTCAGCCTATGCCCCAGCCGGGCTTGCCAACGCTCTCTAACCCACCCAATATTGCGAACTTGATCAGTTCCCTGGATGGACCCAGCCTTCAGTCTCTCTTGTCCGCTCTCCAGCGGCCGGGGCCACAGTCACAGCCTGGATCGGCAGCGCAGTCGCCATTCTCTTCTCCTAACCCCCCCGCCGCCTGCCGACTTGGCCAGTCTGTTGACCAATGCGAGCCGACCTCCCCCGGCCCCTCAACCCCCGCAACAACCTCTTCTCCATCCACCTTTTGCCATACACCCTCCCACTGTCCCTGTCGTCTCTGATCCAAACCTTCTTGCTCTTCTTGCTAAAGGCCTCGGGGGCCAGCCGCCACAGGGCCAGACACCTGTTGCTGCGAATGTGCAAAATCTCATGAACCAATTGCTTCATCGAAAGCAATGAATTAACGACTTTCCTCTTTCTGTTGCTTGCTTTCGAGGCACAACTCACATCCTTTCCCTTGTGCTATTTTTGTGCAGTTTGGCGTTTTCATTTTCAGCTTCATGCTGCGGTGGTTCTCTTGAATTTCGTTTTCATACTGGCATCAGCCGGTGGCTGCAATGACTGGCGTTTATTTAAATTACTTAATGGTGCTCCTAGGGGCAGCAAATACTACTAGATATTAGGGTGATCAAGGTGCGGATTGGAGTTGTGTGTATCTTTCCATTTGCGGTCATGTATCTTCGAGATATTCTCGTTCACCTCTGCATCCATCTATCTCTCATCCGCAACATGGATATAATGTGACGCTTTCTCTGGAAATCAGCTTTTTTCATTTTTGCTTCCTTGCTTCCTTTCGCTCGACTCCCAGGCCATCAAATCATCCCAATACTCTGAAAGCCTGTGAGAGTCATCATTGTCCGCCTAGCTACATAACGATCTGTGTTTCTATCTTATTTACCTAATTTTCATTTGATCTGTCTTCGGGCATACCTTTCTTTATGAAATGACATAGTTTTACATTCTTGAGATTGATTTTAGAATGACAGTGAAAAGTGTTGTCGTCAGAAAACATGAGTGGATATGGTACATAATGTACAAGGGCCGTCCGCCATCAAACAAAAAATAAAGCATTCCCTTAATTCGAGGTACTCCGACCCTGCGACTTGAGCTCCTGCACTGTCGCAGCATCCTCCTTCTTGATACGCGCAATTGTCTGGTCCCGGTTATATTCCATCACGCGCTTTTCCTTGAAATATTTCACCTGTAAGGCCAACTCTGATCAGCAATCGTCCCAATCATCCAATCTCAAGCAATACCATGTGGATAAAAGCTTGACAGTTTTGATAATGTAAATACTGTTGTACGTACCCAGGTCGCTGAGCAAGCTGCCTCGAACTCTTCAACCTCCTTCGCACACTTCCGTCGTGCCTCCTTGTCATCCTTAATACCGTCGAGAATATCGTTCCGATCCAGGCAGGCGAAGAATAGATCCCGTCCCTCCCAGCAGCGCTTGCGACTCGTTCGATCCGGCGCAATGCGGCCACCATCGGAAGCTTTGTTGGGTTCACCACCGGAAGACCAGGGGAGCCAGCCCATTTTGAGGGATATGTGTGTTGTTTTCGGGGGTCGAGGAGGTAATTGAGTAAGGTGGATATCAGGGACAAGTGCTGTGTGGCGAGGACGTGAAGGTGAAGGTGAAGGTGATCGGAGCCGTGTCACGCAGAGCGGTGCAGGTCGTGGCTCCCGCGGGCTCGGCAACGCCAAGCCAAGACTGTTGATCGTCACGGCCTCAACGCTGGCCTTCCTTTTCCCACTACACTCACGACTGCAACGCTCTATTCTTATCCCAGGACACCACATTGCCTATACAACCCAACGCAACCACTATTTGCATCCTACTTACTGTTTCACGACACTCGGCCTGCCCTGCGATCGCATGTTCATACCCGGCTCCATTCGCCTGACTTGACGCAGCGCTCATCCACCCCAAACTCCCACCCTTCTCGCTAGACCTCGCCGAGGCAAGGTCTTCTGGTCTTCTAGTTGATGGCCGGGCGCCGGCGCCTCCCAGCTGGGTCACGAACCGAACTGCCGCCACTGAAGATTATCCGCAAGATCCTACTGCTTCAGGTTGCCTATTATGTCGGCGCAACGGTACTCATCCTCTTCACAACGGTCGTTTACGGTACGCCATTCTCGTTGAACCTGGTCTTTGGCTGGGATTATTTGCGCGGAGATACGACGGTGGGCTGGATGCTTGGCTTGGTTTGGATGTTGAACTGTTTCATCAGGTGGGTTGAATCTATCTTGCATATGGAGCTCGAGCTAGAGTACTCTACTCATATACCCTTGAGACGCCTGGCTAATCATAATTTCCTTTTTAGCGTGATATTTCTTCTTCTATTCGTGTCGCGGTCCAAGTTGGTACCGGACTTCGCCCTTACAATCCACTTCCTCCACCTCGTCGCCACCATCCTCTATACTCACTCACTCCCTTCCAACGTCCTGTGGTGGGGTCTACAATTTGCCAGTGCCGGGATGATGATATTTGTCGGCATGTGGGCATGTCAGCACCGAGAACTACGTCCGATCACTTTCACTGGACTCGAGGGTAGCAGCCAGGCCGGGTCTTCGTCGCAACAGACCGGTGGTGATGGCCAACAAGAATCGAGCTTTGGGCGTGGTCGTGGCCGCGAGCGCAGTCTCCAGAACGAGTACGAGATGGATCGGTTGAAGGCAAATGGACAGCATGCTGTATAAAGGGAGGGTGTGTATTATGTTTTCTTTCTTAAACACGGTCCTCAGATGACCGCTTCTTTTCTATTTTTTTTTTGGTCTATGACTCTGGGGGCTTGTTTCTTTTGTTGGCTCTGATGCCCGGGTATAGCGGGGAATTCATTTGCATCATTCTCATTTCTTGTATACCCTGCCATGGTTGCATCTATATAGATGGCGTTTGTCCTGAGGATGAAGGAAGGAAGGAAGGAAGGAAGGAAGGAATGGTATTCATTTTTCATTTGTCAACTATAGTGTTTCAATAATCCAACTGGAGCTAGCCTCCGTATCTTCATTCTTGCAAGTTCGTGCCTCAGACTGTCTTCAAGTTCGTATTCGGATTCGTCTCGTCAGCAGACTGCTTCGGTGCTATTTGAAACTGACGTATTTCGGTCCTATACTCTGTTAAATCTTGGGGTTGATACGACTGTTTCACCGAAGAGGATGTTGATGGACTTGTGGTACAGAGTAGTACTAGTAGTACGTACTCACACTAACTTGGAGTAGTTTTTGTTTGTTGAACTGGAGTCAGTTTGAACAGAACCTTGGAAACTTTCCATGCCACCTGGGCTGTGGGCCACAGTGGGCAAGGAGCACCTTCGCAAGCTTGAAGCAATATGTTCGATAGCTTAACTCTTGAATAATTCAGCACTGTTACGATACTAGTATGTGCTAGCTCACTATAGCATCACAGTAACACACTACTAGTAGTATCCCTCGTCTTGCTGTTCCTGTTGTCCAAGGGCCCCGTTAGGCTACGTTCTCTGCATTGCGATCTTGATCTCGGCAGTTCAAGACAGGAGACAAGGGAGCTTGGAGGTGTTTTGGTCATGTCATGAAAATCAACTAGAGATAAAATTTCCAGACAACAATCTGCTCGTCAGAAACCAAATTCACTATTCAATAAACACATGTGAAGCTGATTTTCGTTTCTAATTTTCTTTAAATGGTGTACTATCTCGCCGAATACTGTAGCAACCGTCCTTTATTGGAGTACCCTCCCATTGCTCTCTTCGACAATCAGATCGAATTCTGGTTGAAACTCAGTGTAAAGATTGTGCTATAAATTATTAGTACAATATCAATTTCATACTCAACTTCCTGTCACTCACGGGGTTCTGAGCCATATTGGCGGTATATTGAGCGACCTCGTCGTTGATAATTCTCTTGGGGATGCCATTGGCAGCAGCAGCCTCAGCCAGAAGCTGCGATTGACAAGCATTTTCCAAGAAAGAATAAAGGATGGCAGCTTCATCAACCGTTGTGCCGACGGTCAGAAGACTAGAATCCCCTCGTTAGAAGAAAGGAGCCAATTTAATTTTTGCGTTCATCCACTCACCCATGGTTTTGCAGAATGCAAGCAATGTTATCTTTGCCAAGGGCAGCCGCAATTTGCTTCCCCTCATCTTGAGAGAGAGCAATGCCACCGTGGTCCTCGTAGACGCCCACGCGGCCGAACAAATTGCATGCGTCTTCATTCGATCAAGTCAATATTTCCGTGTTATGGTAATTTCAGGAGTCAACAAAGACATACCTTGAGTAAGCATCTCGATGTTCTTTCCAAATGAACTCCACGTTTTTCCATAGATGCCATGTGTGTGAGCCGCGGCAATGACATCAGGTCGAGCCTTGTGAATCTCGGAATGAATCATAAAGCCAGCTTCATTGATGGGAATTTGGGCACCACCCTCTGTAACGTAACCTTCATCATCGACAAGCACCAAGTCGGAAGCCTTGATAGTGGAGAAATGTTTGGCGAATGGGTTCATCCAAAAGTGGTCCTTCAGGATAGGGTCTTTAGTACGTTAGCTTATACCTAGGCTTCCATCATGATCTGATTAGTTCATACCTCTCATCGAGATATGTCCAGATACACCCTCTCCATATCCAAGCTTGCCGAAATAGCGGAAGGCAGCAGCCATGTGTTCCTTCATCCACTGTCGCTGCGCAAGAGGGTCCGAAAAGGTAGGGATTCCGCGCAGCTTCAGGGCACCATCGCGGGTTCCTCGAGCTAGGGACTGGAAGGCGGCATCTTGGGCTGCGGGAGTGACTGTGATCTGTTCCTCACCAGCCAGGAGGAACGAACGTTGAGTCTGTTGTGTGGATGTAGCGGTAGTCATTTTGGATGACAAGATCGGTCACGACTATACAATCCTCTTGACTTCAAGTTGAAGACGGATATTGAGATCTGGAGTGTGGACCAGAGTGAATCAGCCAAACGGGAATGCGCATTTTATAATAAAAAATCAGGCGGACGGGATCGCCTACCAAATCTCCTTTCTACAGATAAATGCACAGGGAAGGTAACTTAGCCACTGGCACGCTTCAAATGGCCCCGTGAAAGTTTAACGGAGGGCTTATCTCTGGGGGCCCACCCCGCAAACCCCGCCTGAGTTGTCATTGGAAGGTGTCACTCCCTTTCGGTTAAGTGTCAGAAGAAGGCGTGTCGGACTTCTGTGCGCTGCTCTTTGCCTGATAGATTGAAGAGTCATCCTGAACGAGATCTTCTTGCTGGTAAATCGCGCTCTTGATTGGAGCAATCCGTCTGATCTTGCATCATCTCTCTAGTATAGCCCTTTAGTTGTTCATTCCAAGGTTGCTCTCTCCTTTCATTTCTCCATGATATGGCACTATAATGAGGAATTGGGGGATTTATTTTGGAATTAGGATCAGAATTTGTGAAGTCTGGAAGGGAGCATCGGCCAAATGAGCGATAATGTTAGTGGTACTCACAGAACTATAAGTTGGCAGCCTCAGGCTAGAACATCTAGCACGTGACCTTTATCAGGGCTCCATATCGCGGAGGTTCCTGAGGTCGCGACAGCTGTCTTACTCCACGAACCCCGCCGACACTCGTGCCCAGCCGAAGAAAGGCCCGTGGTCTGATACAATCGGTCAATTACTCTGTTATAGTCCCTATCGACGAGCCAAATTCGCCTTGCAGCCATCGTCGAGACCTGCCACCTTACAAATGCTGCGTGTGAGCGCTTGAGTCTTGATACCCCACCGTGTTTCTGTTAATTCGCCTCGGCGTCTGGCCACAAACGTTCATTTCGAAGCATTGAGTTCCTATTGAACGTCTCACATATTCATTATGACGGAAGGGGATCCATCCTACATTGACTACGAGGCCTTCTTAGACCCTGACTTCTCGCCGTCTGGGTTCGCCAATACACTTGTACTCAGTACCAACAATGCCACAGACACACCTCTAGATTTATCGACGCCACTATCACGGGTGCTCTTTGATCTTCAGGAAATTGACACCCACATCCACGGCCTAACTACGAGATCCGCCCTGCCACTACTGGCCCATACGCAGGGTCAAACAGGAGCCGCAGAACATATATTGAAGGAAACGGGGACACAGATTGCTTCAGTTACACAAGGATATGAGCGCTTAGAGAAAGAGGTTGTGCAAAAATGGCAAGCGGCGGACGAAGCTCGAATTGCCGCTGAGAAGTCATTAGCGACGGTTCGGCTGGCACGAGCCGTGTCGCGCTGTCTCGGACTTGGTCGACAGTTGGAGAGTCAGGTTGCGGAGATATTGGGCCGTGGCACTGCCGGTCAGTCTTCAACTGGTGTCGATGGGGCGACTGCAACAACAGGCAAAGAAGGATTCCGAGCTCTAGAGCGCGCGGCATATACGATCCTGAATTTGCGACAGATGTACTTGGCCTCCTCGGAAGACGAAGAGGGATACGGACTAGATCGAGTCAAAGTCACTCGCACGTTGCGCAACGAATTTGTTATTCCAGCCGAGAATATGGTCAAGTCAAGGGCCCAGCAAACCATCAATCAATTTTCGATATCTAGCCCGGGGGGGCGCCTCAAATGGCCAATCATCAGGGTCGAACTATAAGCAAACCCGCAATTCAAAGTCACGCTTGGCTACAGCGGCGGCGACTCTGTATCTCCTTTCGCCCATTCCTCGAGAACCAGTCTCAGCCATCGACTACAAACCCGAGCTTTTTGTTTCAACAGTCCAGGGTTACATGCATACGGCAATTATGAGTTCCGTGAATACTCTCGCAAAATCCCTGTCTCAACTGCCTACAATGGATCGAGCACTGGGAGATGTATCCGCACGCTGTCAGGACATTGTGGCTTTCGAGACTATTCTACGAAACCTCCGCGCACCATCACATCCTCTCCTCGAATTGACCAGCACCAATGTCGACCTACCTGCGTCAGATGCCGAGGCCGCCGCTGATAAAAGTAAGCTTAATCTCTTACAACCGGTACTTCGAAATCTCGACACATCTTCTCTGCCATCCTACTACTGGCGTTCACTTGCCTCATCCCTCTCTAGCCGGGTTCAGGAGATAATCAATCGCGGCGGCGTGTCAGCTCGGACTCTACGTTCCAATCGGGATCGCTTGAAAGCCGAGATCAGAGACTGTGTGCTCCGGTCTTCGCAGGCCTCCACTGCCGGAGTAATGGCCGACAAGAGCCGATCAGGGACCGACCCCGTGAGCGCGGCAAACTGGGAACGCGAAGCCGCGGTAATGGTTAGCTCGGTGGTCGGGCCGTTGAGCCGTTGAAGTAGATCACCGTGACCATAATCCGGCTTCAAATGTTGTTAATGCGCCCCTTTAGCGAAGCCTGTGGTCTGGGAAAAAAAAAGATCTCGTATAGACGTCATCATAAGGAGATGATTACAAAATATAATGAACAGACACATATCACTTTCAACCCCTCAAGATGTCACCCCAACGTGACAATGTTCTCCATCTTATACTGACTTCCGTTAGTTATACGTACCTCGCCATTGATCTGACCCATGTAACTCCAGTTCCACCTTCCGCGGTACACCCGATCTGAGACCAGCGTGACAGGGGCCTGTCTACCTCAGGAATCTAAAGCAGCCATGTCCCAGGTACCTGGGACAACAGAAAAGAGGGAAAAAGGCAAATTAACTGGAAACGGTGGTTTGAACCTTGAGAAGATGACTGGGTGACACTAGCTGAAGAACCATTCAGACCTCTAGCACTAGGAGTGAGGCCGTATTGCCCAAAGGCTCCGGGATTCGGAGATTTTACGGTGAATAAGAAGTCATCTGACTCTTGCACGATACACCGGGTGGCTTACTGAGATCATATTTTGAAGGTGGCTGGGACCTGACCGCGCGCACTGCAGCTTGACTCGGCTGCCTTGCTGTGCCATGTACGGAGTACAGCCTGAGAGTACACGGTCCCACCGGGCTGTAGAACAGGTTGCCGTGTAAGTCGAGGGCGATCTTTCCGAAGAGCGGAGGGAAGCTGTTGAGCCTTGATAGCGAGCACGTACTCATGGGGTCACTATCTAGAGATAGATATCAGATGGCCTCATATAGAGACGGGCAGAATGTGAAAATGAGGAAACAGTAGGAGGGAAAGAGACAGCGCTGTACGCCCAAGACCGCCCGTTCTAAAATCACGTGTATGTATAGACGAGCATCGTTCGGGAGAGTACCGAACAGCCTCATCTTCTGGATCACCGACATTTTCCCCAGCTCAGGCCAGGTCAGCGAGAGTGTCTGTGCCCGTCCGTGCCATTTTTCTGGCCAAGGCCCTCCAGGTACGCATCCTTTCTGCGACACCCCCCTCAGGTACATGGATCCTCCTGGCTCACCATGCAGTGCGCGGGGTCGTCATTGGCCGTGCGGGGCACAAAATCGACGAGGCCACGCGCGGAGACCTGTCATCTGCATCCACCTGACCGCTTCAAAGGCGAAACAGCGATGATCGGCCATTCTCCACCCCCTGCATGGACCTCCAAAAAAAGGTAAAGAGAAACCAGGAACTGAAAAGGAATGGGGATGGCGGCAGGAATGTACCGAGTACGATGTACATATGTATCCAATTATGGAACGACGCTAGACTACACACTATACACGCCCGTCAGATCGCAGGATCGCCACAACGGAGTCTACGACGTCATCCGATCCACTACGTCGATCGTAGACTTCCCACTAGGCCAACCTGGGGATCCTTGAGTCCTCGATGGATCCTAGATGGTCCCATCACCGCCGTGGCCCTGCTTGGTGGAGGGCATGATTCAGGCTATCGATAAGCCCTGCAGCCGGTACCTGGCTCTACTTGGCCACCAGGCCGTGCGTCTGGCCGTGGCGCCCTGCATTTGTACCTACAGGTACCCGACTCGGACTGGTCTTGGTCCCTCCCAGCCGCCTGCTGTCGCCTTGGATTTCCATGCCAATCAGCATGGCTCGTCTTGAACCATCTTGATTGAACAGCCCCCCTCTTCTCCTCTCCGATGATAGAGGGGCAATGCGCTGATCTGCATCTCGGTGGTGTCAACCGTCAAGTCACAACGCGCTCCAGATATGAATGGTAGGTGGGCACCGTGTCTCAGCATACGTGTATCCCACGGTGTCTGCACCAATCGTGGCGCAGGATCCCACTTTCTCTTTCCCCCAGTCCATGGCCGTGTCTCCGATGGTGCGACGGATCGGAAATCGAGGACGAGGAGAGAATTTACTGATCGAGAGAAATGAAGCACATCATCAATATGGCGGGTGGCGTCACGGATCCAAGTGCCGTGCGCGGTTTTCTAGGTCCAAACCCCCTCTTCTCTTGCACCCAAGGCTGGTTGGGGTTGACTCGGGGAGAAGGATGCCGACGTACGCAAAATAGAATCCCGGGACGAAAGGGGGAGATGCCGAACAGGAAAAACGAAATAAAAAAGAATAAAAAAACAGAATTACAAAACACAAGGCAAACATTGTTGGAGAATATTGCGGGATTAGAGTACATTAAAGTACTCGCGTACCGTGGGATCTCGCCTGCATCATCGTCATGTGGATGGACAGCTGTACGACCTTACTTGGAGAGGCGGCAATCATGGATATCATCTTCCATCTTTCGTGCCGTTTGCAGACAAGGCCCCAGGCCGAGAACCCCAGCAAAAGGAGGAGGGGAAGAAAGTGGGGTGGGGGGAGAGAGGGGGGGCAAGATCTTCCAAAGGTTTACCAAATTTACACGACCCCCGACGCAGGCACGGTGATCCTCAACGGGCGAGTCGGTGGCCACCGGGCCCTGAAGGTTTCAGCTCGCCGTGAGCGGGGAAGGGTTTCCGCCGCGGGAGAGTGGTTGGATGAACTCTCTTCAGAGCTATGGTATGGTACCCTAACCTTGGGCGGCGCTAGGGGGGGACTCATGGCTATGATATCCGAGGTGGTTAGTCTCGGGACTATACGAGTGTAGGGTACTCCGTACTCCGTACAGTATATCGGAGGGGACCCTGGGATCCAACGATGAGACTGATCAATCCCCGCATCTTGCCATCTCGTACTGAAGAGGCTGGCCAGATCGTACCTCATCCGTGGGCCATGCGAGGCTCGAGCCAAAACGCATGCTGTGGCGTTTTAGCACTGGGCCCCTCCCTTCATTCTGTGACAGGGGCCAGACACGGAGATTTTTTTTGTTTTGTATCGAAAGAACGGACCATTCGGAATAGCCAGGTTGGACCCCTAACCAGGTAACGTACGAATCGAAGACCGGGGAGAAGTATGACGAGGAACTCGTTCGGCTGCAAGAGATACATCGGATGCAAGGGGGTCGCATGGGCAGCAAATGGCCCTCTCGTTCCTTCTCTTTCTCTTTCTCTCTCTCTCTCTCTCTTTCTCTCTGTGTGTGTGCGTGTGTGTCTCCAACAGACCGAACTATACCAAAGTCAACGGGTGTGGAAGAGGGGTGTGGTCTCGACCAACCTGTGGACACCAGCGCCAAACGGACCGGTCGATTGGCTCCACCAGAGGGGACAGTGGTCAACGTCAAAGACTTTTTTTTTTCTAAGATGTATCGGTGGTTCGAGGAACCTGGTTGAATCATCAGGTGCCAGGTGCCAGGTGCCAGGTGCCTGGTGCCTTTAGATATCCCGGGCTGTTCGACTGTGACTGTCCACCAGTACTATGTTCAGAGTGGTCAGGCACTGTCCGGGACAGGTAGGAATTTTATTGAAGATCCAACCTATGTATTCGTACGGATGTACTCGTACTTGTCTTGTATAATGTAGTAGGGTTGCTGCGATATGGTGAAACACTCGATGATTCGCGTCGGTAGGCCCGGAAGCCCTCGAATTCCTGGGATCTTCCATCTGACTCGGCGTAAGCTGAGTTGAAGGGCTCTTTTGCCCCTCGCTTCCGATAAGCCTCTTCTCGTCGTCACCACTCTGGCTTTCTTCCCACTCTGTGCTTCTCTCTCTATCCGATCCTTCTATCTTTCTTCAGGTTTTCTTCCTTTTTTTCTCTTCTTCTAGTGCATCTTCTGCATCTTCTTCTTTGTTTCCTTCCCTAGGCCTTTGGCTATACTCTTTCCTTGCCTTCGATCATCTTGATCATCTCGATCTACCTCATACGACAATACGAGTACTCGTACTTCTCTTTCTTAAAGCTCTCCGGTATCTCCACCAGGCTTATTTACCCTGAAACCTCCCCCACCTTCGACGATCCCAGTTCTTCGCGTGGCGGTCTCCCTCGCAACGTGCCTTTTTTGAAAGAGATGCTTGCGATCGGCTAACGATCGTTTCCCTTTCCTCCCACATTTCCCCCCCCCCCCTCGCCAACCCTTGCGTCGCCACATCTTGCGGTGCAGTCCATCTTCCACCTTTAACCCCCCCCCCTCTTTACTTCCCCCCTCTTTCCACAAAGGAAAAAAGAAACGAGGAAAAAAGAAGAAAAGAAAAAGAAGAGAAAATCCAGAAGAAGAATACTTTGTCCGTGTGTGTCCGGGTGTGTTCGAGAGAGAGAGAGAGAGTTCCAGGTGTGAGAGACAGAGAAAGAGAGGCAAGTAAGCGCCAGCCTCCTAATCGTACGTGTCGAGATTATCTATTGTCCTTGTCCTCTTGTAGTGGCCCTGGTTACTGAAGTTATTTTTTTTGCGCGAATGTTCACAGTCAATCTCGCCTTTCGACTCCGCATCTCCCTCCCCTCCGAGTACGCCGGCCTAGCCTGGCGGCTCTTACGATATCTCCACCCCCTCGACATAGATTATAGACTCCCTATCGCATCTGGGACTGAGTGAAGCGGATCGTGTTGCCGGCTTTGCGACCGCGGGAGGATAGGGTGGTTTTCTGTTATTCGCCTCTGGCCCCTCGCTCCGAAGCAAGCGAGCTTGACATCACCCGCCTCCACTTCTTACGTCGCCGATCATGGCTTCCTTCCTCCCTGTCAACACCTCGGCCATGACCGACGATACCGCCATGGATGGTGCGACCACTCCTCGTGCGAATCCAAATGGCGTACCGGCCACCCCGGGTCGATCTTCCACAACCGAGCAACGCATCGACGGCGCCATGACTACCGGACTGGAAAAAGACGTCTCCGTGCGGACGGTAACCTCTGGTCATACGAGGACCTCTTCAAACTCCGACGAGACGATGCACGGCGATTCGGAGGGAGAAAATGATTTGACCGACCAGGAAGACGACCAAGGGAATGCGCCTCCCTCAAAAAAGAAGAAAGGACAGCGCTTCTTCTGTACCGATTTCCCACCTTGCAACTTGAGTTTCACCCGCAGCGAGCACCTGGCCCGACATATTCGAAAGCACACCGGTGAACGCCCCTTTCAGTGTCATTGTTCTCGCCGGTTTTCAAGACTTGACAACCTTCGACAACATGCACAGACCGTCCACGTGAACGAAGAGATCCCCGGTGACTCGTTAGCCGCGACCGGCACCCGCTTTCAACGTCAGGTACGAACAGACCGAGTACGTCCTCCTGGCCGGGCACGAGCTGGTACTGGAGGCAGCCAGGGAGGCCACAGCAGAGGCCATAGTCGGAATCTCTCAACCTCCAGTATCACATCTACCGCCTCTACATATAGTCAACCCCCAGAGCTTCGGCGTAGGCCTCCGCCGTTGATGATGGCCACTGACCCGACGGCACGAGCTCGACTAGGACTGGATCCGATGGGAGAGCCCCCAAGTACGCCACCGGGCCAAGTTCGTGGCATTCCAGGTCCTGCAGCCACAGGTTCGCCATACACCCCATCCAATGCATACTCTGCCGCAGCAGGCAGCAGTCCACATTTCGCCTCGCCCATGTCCACTGCGTCACACGGCTTCTGGGAGGGTAAGACAGCTGCCCGCCGGCTTTCTGTACCAACTAGTAGCAATCCATTTCTCGCACAGCATGGAAATGCGTATCCTCCTGCTTACGCCAACTCACCCGCTGGGCCTCCCTACCCAACTGCAGCTGGTGTGTTTGCTAGCCCTACCAGCAGCAACTACCCGGCTTCACGGGACGAGAGTACAATCAGCGCTGCCGAAGCCGAAATGCGGAGACGAACCTGGCATCCTTCCACCTACCCTACGTTTGGTCGGCCAAGCACTAGCGGCCTGAGTCAATATCATACACCCGACACCGTCCAGCCTCCATCATTCGGAGTCAACAACTCGACTGAGCAACCACCTCGACTACCCGGAATCGAGAGTTTCGATAAAGTTGTCTCCCAGCAGCGACCTTTGACTCCACCTACTCGAAAGGCGAGCCCAATGCAGCTTGATAATCAACACCGCCCGCCTCCACCGACTTCCACCCAGGCATTTGGCTCCACTTTCAACTACTCTCAACCGTCGGTGCGGCCCGCGCCTCCAATTTCTGGCCCCGGTCATCGTCGTGGCCATGTATCTTGGGATATGTCTCTGCATACCAATCTGACGGGTCTTGATATCCGTGATCGGCGGTTATCAAGGGACGCATCGCAGTGGAGCCAACAGACCATTCAAGAACTTCATAATGTCTCCTCTCGGCCCTCTTCATCTTACCAACCGACATTCGGACCCACTGCGGAACGAAGCCCCGAGGAGCATCGCGGGCATGCGCATAACCTCTCGACTGGAAGCCGACCGTCACACACTTCCCCAGAAGATTCCAGCAGCAGCGAAGGAGTTCACACCCCATCCACGACCTCGGTCGAGTACCATCCAGCGATCGTACACAGCAGCGGATATATTGAATCTCACGACTCCTCACTTCCATCCGCTCATCCGCAACCGGTAGGAACTCCTCTTCGAACGGACGGCTCTCGCCTCGGTTACTAATGCCGTCATAGATCTGTGGTCGACAAGCTTCTCACGCCGACGGCTACCCTGGTCATGCCGAGCAAGAGCCCCGATCGGATGCCTTCACAGACTCCTCCGCACGAGATTCTGGTATGGGACGGCTTGAGGCCCTGGTGGCTGTCGCAACTAGTGAAAACAAAGGGACTGCCAAGCTGTTCCTGTAAATTGCCGTACCCGATGAATATTTGAACAATGGGTGCTATATACAATTCTCGTCGAAGAAAAAGCATCTGTCATCCACGTCGAATATGTGGCATGGATTTAAATCGCCATTGGAATCCCTCACATCATTCATACTCAACACTCGCTCTCTTACAACCACCACTCAAGAAAGTAATTGAGGGCACATCCCCTGCCCGTCTTATTTACTTTCTTCTTTTCCTTTTCTTTTAACCCACAACCGTGCAGAGCTCCTGATGAAGTGACGAATTAACGAATTTATACATGAAATGAAATCCCCTTGTGTGTTTGGGAGTATGTTGGGTTTGGTTTGGTTTTGATTGGTCTCGTCTTTGATCTCTGTTTTTTATTTTATTTATTTTCTTCGTTTTTCCTCTGGTCGGTTCTAGTTCCCGGTTGACGGTTCTTTGCTGCATATCCTGGCGTTTCGAGCAGGAGCGTTTGGATGAAATCGTGTGCATGACCGATACCCCAGCCTCGACGAATTGGTTTTCACTCGCCCTCCCCTCCCCCTTTCTTGGTCGTGGTGTGCCTTCGATCTCTTCGACACTCCGCCTGCCGTACATTGTCTTCCTCCCCGCTTCCTCTTGATTTGGTCGGTGGTTTCTCCACGTCTCTATAGTTCCAGTTCCGTTGCCTGTTTTACTATACTATTTTACTTCATTTTTTTTACACATCCTTTTTGATCCGTCTTCTCTTTCTCTGTCATGTGGTGGATCATATCATGTCATGTCATGTCATGTTACATACGGGATTTCATCTGAACTTATGATATGTTTATTCTCAATATGACTGAACATGCAAATTTGCATCGATATATAACATCCTTGACTCTGGTGGTGGTGGTGGTAGTGGTGGTAGTAGTAGTACTATATATTGGGCACAGCTACGAGTACGTAAGGGACCATTGAAACGATGACGTTTACCCCGCAAGACTGGAAAAAGATCGACCCGTTCCCGCATTCTGAACTATCGAGATGCCCAGCACTGTCATATGAGAGAGGCCATCCCATGGATGAGAATGGACCAAATCTAGTCTGTGAAGAAGGGACCGTGGGTCGTCCGTGCGATAGCAGACGGAATTTCGAGGCGACTATGACTGGTCGGTGACGTCGGGGTCGGTGCAGCAGCTCTGGTTGCTCTGCGGCGTGGGGTGATCGAGTCAAAGGAGAGAGAATAAAGCAACAGCAAGAACCCGTTCACCAATTCGCAGTAGTAAGAATGAAATTCACTGACATAACGAGATCCATCTCACCCACCCCGAATATATTATGTCCGTAAAGTAGCAGGCGAAAACAGGTCTGGCCACAACCGGCCAAGTGTGAACGGGGAGCTCCATTTGGGAAGACGTCATCGCCCCGTGGCTGCGACCTTTTGTTCTGGCTCCTTTAAAAAGCAGACATCCCTTACCCCTTCTCTCCTTTTGTCCGGTTTTTGTCTCCTTGAAACCTTTTCCCTTCACACATTCAAATCAGATCTCATCATGTCGAAGAACCGAACAGGCCTCTACCTCGGTCTCGCCGCTGCCGGCGCTGGCGGGTACTACCTTTACCGTGCTGGCGGCGATGTCCAGGGCGCCAAGAAGGAAATGAAATGTGCGTACCCTATGATCTGATTGTCTGCTTGAGAAATCCAAGGGACTATCTATCTCAATCAGCATTGTAATCTTAACTAACATTCGACCCAACTAGTCGATGCCGAGAAAGCGCGCGAAAAGCTCCCCCCATGGCGATGATGCGCAAAAGAAGGGAGCAGAAATTGGCAAGGAAGCCGGTTACCAAGTTGATGAAGCTGTATGAATTCGACTTTGAATGTCCTCTTTGTCGCTTCCCACGTCGCTGACCAGATAAATACAGATCAACAATGCCCGATCCAAGTTCAAGCTTGACGAGCGCATCCCCGAAATAGCCCAGGATGGCAAGGATAAGTTCGATGGAATCCGCCAGGACGCCCGCGACAAGATCGACCAGGTGGATCGGACTGTTGAGCAGAAGGCGGCAGAAGCCAAGGGAAATGTCTCTGGTTGGTTTGGTGGAAAGAAATAGAAGTAGCTCATTCTCTATATTTTGAGTATGATGCTGCTTGGGTCGCTGGGGCTGCAGTCCTATGCTACTGATACTCTATGACTATGATGTGCATGATTGTTACTTTAATCTATCCCCTTTGAACTGTTCGAGTTCTCATCACCGCGTATGGTTTATAAATACTCTATCTAGTAGCTACCCAGTAGGTGGAAGGCGGCCGCGGTTAAGATACCTATCCCTGGTTGATTTAATAAAGAAATAGACGCAGCTCATACTTCGTACTTGGGTAGAATTCCATCGATCCTCTACGACTTAGTTTGCATTATTTAAAAGCATCGCGAACAATTACAGCTCATCTTTTTCATGTATCCCAGCCATACATAGTGATCTTGCTCAGTGGCGTGAATACGATGGCGTGCGCTTCACCCTGGTATACCAGAGCAGTTGCTCGCTTCAGTTGGTGCAAATTCTCCTCAAATTCTGGCTTTGATATCTGTCCTTGTTCAATTGGTGTGGACGGAGCCGTTCCATCATACGCTATCCGCACGCCTGTTGGGATAGACATATTTTTGACCGAGGCGGCGGCTTCAATCTGAGTTCAGACTCATTTGCAAGGAGGTTGGCCCCTCACTATTCCAAAGGAAATCACTCCCAGTTCCTCAGCACTAGGTAGCCCTGTATCGGATTATGCCGAACATCTGCCCAGGTGGCCGCAATACCCCCAATGATCCCCATACTCGTATGCATACGAGAGTAGGTACGGAGTACGGAGTACTCTGTAGTCCAATACCAGCCGCACCTGTTTGATTCGCAGCAGTCGGGTTAATTGCAGAATTACGGAGTAGTAGCACAAACCAATTAGCGGGCCGGGGGCGTCGGGCATTTGCCCGTGCAGTCTATGGGCACATTCCGATGCCAGGGGATTACCATAGTGACGAGAATACCACCCCACTGAGATGTCTCTCGTCCATTTATCTATTTTATCTGAAAAGTCCCACATCTTTGAGAGTATTATTTCTCCGTCTTACTCTGAGATCCCAAATCCCAAATTCCAAATCTATAATTCTGTTCTTTTCCTGTTACACGTTGTGCTGAACGAACCTGATCCACGCGACGCGTCTCCACCCTCTAATTTAATTATCCCCCCAATTGGGTTAAGGGCGTTTCTCAACGCGACGCGTCTTAACCGCGTCTTCTTCCCCTTGTCAGACACGACTTTAATTTCCTTCCTCCACAGTTGAGCTTTCCTCATTTTACCTCACTTTTTCTCATAATACTAGGTATCTCTTACCCTGATTATTCGCAGCTTGCATTTATCCGTCGCAACTTCCTCAACCAACTGCAATCGACTCTCGGAAGCCACAAAGTGGAAAAAAGACCTGCCGACAGCAGCTGCGATGTCTCGCACCGCCAGAGCGCCCTGTCTTCCTCAGGCCCAGCCAGGAATCTCAGTTTTTGGTCGGGCAACTAAGGCCGGCGTCACACCACAATTGCCCGCGAAGAAATCTGCGGCCCTTCTAGTCTCCCCGTCCAAGAAGCGAAAACTGCAGGAACTTGAAAACGTGGATACCTCCAACCGACAGCCCGTTGTTGAAGAACCCGAGACCCCATCGAAGACTCTGAAACTCAGCCAACTGTCTGTTGCCTCGCCTCGCAGTGGCCACTATGCCTCGCCTAAGCGTACCCCGAGCCGCCGCACGCGTACCTCAGCCAAAATCGCCGAATCTCCCTCCACACCCAACACCCCTTCTAAGCAGCGCACTCTCAACTTCCAAAAAGTCGTCCCCGAGCCGAAAATTGCACCTCGTGCCAAATGTATTTCCGAATTCATCGACCTCCACTCGGCCATGGTTCAGGCCCTTTCTATCCACGCAGCCCACAATGGACCATCAACACCCGCTGATCTGAGAGAATTCCTTCCCAGCGTCACCCGCATTTGGAAGAAGCGCAAGGTTCAGCCTAAGGACCTTCAACGTATGGTCTGGGTCTGGGAGCGCAGCTTGAAGGCCAAAGATATTTCCTATCGTCTAGCCAACTATGGCCTTGGAAAAGTCTGCCTTGAGCGTGCCGTTCAGATCGACGATCAACCTTCAGCTCTGCAGGATGCATTTGAGCAGGCATTTGATCTCCTTTGGGAGCAAACCGAAGACTCCTTGAAGGCGGCTGCCGAAGAAGACCGCCCGGCTTTGTTCCTTGAAACCCTTGGTCTCGCCCCCATCCACGAGTCCCTTGCCCCCTTTTCCGCGTTCCAGAAAGGTCAACAACGCCTGCAGGACTTGAGAGGAGGTATCATCCGCATGAGAGCCGAGAAGATGGGCTCAGAGATAGAGAACGGCGGTCCAAAGACCTTGGCGGCCAACAACAATCGCCGACAAGGTCTCCTTGACCGAATTAGGAATAAAGAGCTTGTCCAATCTAAGCTGCCGCCTCCGCCAACGAAGAAGGAGCTTGTTCGCCAGTCTGCCGCCGAACGAGTTGAAGAAGTCGCCGGAATCCTTGCCCTTCTTCGCCCTGCCGGATACGTGGGAACTGGTATCAAAGCGATGCTCGCCTCTCAACGCAAACCATTCAAGCTCGAGACTATGGTCGAGCACGTGCGCGACTCGGTTCGCAATCCTATTCCTAGAGAGGAAGTGGAGATGTGCATTGAGCTTCTTGCGGACGCTCGTGTGGCCGGACACTGGATCAACATTGTGACGATCAATGAGATGCGCTCGGTGGTGCTGAAATCCTGCAAGGATATCGCAGCAAAGGATATCGGGAGGAAGGTTGCTCAATTGGAGGCAGATTTGGACAAGACTGGCTCTTGCGTCCAGACTTCCATCCTAAGAAGCATTTGAAAGATCTTGGATCGTCGAATTGTGTGGATGTTTCATATTGACCCTTCGGAGCTGGTCTCCAAGCGGTCCTCCATCAGCGTTGTTTGATACCCTCCTGTACTCTAGCATATCATGTCTTACCCTCCACTATCAGGAGGTATTTTAGCTATTAGACCCCGACAATACCCTCAAATTAATATAATACATACAACAAAGAACAACACCTGGACATTCGCACCTTAACAACCCAACTATAGAACTTCCTATTTACTGAGTATAGAACTGGGTAGGAGAGCGGGTAGGATATCAAATAGTATAATGTTGGTGTCTCCAACTGGCTATCTCGGCGAGTACTAGCCCTGGTACTTTACGCGTGGACATATCACGTGCAGGCGCGCCCGCGGCCCGGCACGCGTCGCTGCTCACGCCAATGGGCAACAGTACAGTACTCCTCAAGGCCTGGTGATTTCACTGCTTCTGCTTCCACTGTTTGCAGAACCATCGACAGGATGTCTTCACGACCGGATCTCAAGGTCTGTTCCCAAAATTCTCACTCTTGTCAATTTTCAGCAAGTGATGGCTAACCATCTTCTCAACACCACAGGTCGACGACGAAGTTGGTTTCATCCGCTTCTACAAATCCCTCCCCGAGTCGGACAACAATGAAACGATACGTGTCTTTGACCGTGGAGACTGGTACTCCTCCCACGGCAGCGATGCCGAATTCATCGCTCGTACTGTGTACAAGACGACTTCTGTCCTTCGCAACCTTGGCCGCAGTGAGACTGGCGGTCTGGCCTCCGTCACACTGAGCATTACTGTCTTCCGCAACTTTCTGCGCGAGGCTCTATTCAGACTGAATAAGCGGGTTGAAATCTGGGTCTCTGGTGGCACGGGCAAGGGCAACTGGAAGCTGGGAAAGCAGGCTAGCCCGGGAAACCTCCAAGATGTTGAGGAGGAGCTGGGGAGTGTTGGTGCATTGTCAATGGACTCGGCACCAATTATTCTCGCTGTCAAGATATCAGCTCGTGCGGGTGAGGCTAGAAACATCGGCGTGTGTTTTGCAGATGCCAGTGTGCGTGAGCTTGGTGTGAGCGAGTTCATCGACAACGACGTTTTCTCCAACTTCGAATCATTGGTTATCCAGCTCGGTGTCAAAGAATGTCTAGTTCAGATGGATAGCTCACGGAAGGACATTGAACTGGGCAAGATCCGGGCTATCGCCGATAGTTGCGGTATTGCCATATCTGAACGACCCGCGGCGGACTATGGAGTCCGAGATATTGAGCAAGATCTCACTCGTCTGCTGCGTGATGAACGGTCCGCTGCGACTCTGCCTCAGACGGAACTCAAACTTGCCATGGGCTCTGCGTCTGCCTTGATCAAATATCTCGGTGTCTTGACTGACCCAACCAACTTCGGCCAGTACCAGCTTTACCAACATGACCTGTCACAATATATGAAACTGGATGCTTCCGCTCTCCGTGCGTTGAACCTGATGCCCGGTCCGCGGGATGGAGTCAAGAGCATGAGCTTGTATGGCCTATTAAATCACTGCAAAACGCCCGTTGGCAGCCGTTTGTTAGCGCAGTGGCTGAAACAGCCACTGATGGATCTTGCCGCTATCGAGAAGCGACAGCAACTGGTCGAGGCGTTCGTGGTCAATACAGAGCTGCGACAAACCATGCAAGAAGAGCACCTGCGTGCTATTCCTGATTTGTATCGACTTGCCAAACGCTTTCAGAGGAAGCAGGCAAACCTGGAGGATGTTGTCCGGGTGTATCAGGTAGCGATCCGTCTTCCAGGGTTTGTGAGTGCACTCGGCGATGTCATGGATGAAGAGTACCAGACGCCTTTGGAAACCGAATACACTACCAAGATCCGCAGCCACTCTGATAATTTGGCCAAGCTCGAGGAAATGGTGGAAACTACCGTTGATCTAGATGCGCTGGAGAACCACGAGTTCATTATCAAGCCCGAGTTTGACGAGGGCCTTCGTGTCATTCGGAAAAAGTTGGACAAATTGCGATATGATATGGACATGGAGCATCGCCGAGTGGCGAAGGATTTGAATCAAGAAATGGAGAAGAAGCTTTTCATGGAAAACCACCGAACGCATGGTTGGTGCTTCCGTCTCACTCGTACCGAAGCCGGCTGCATTCGCAACAAGCGAGAATATCAAGAGTGCTCTACTCAGAAGAACGGTGTCTACTTCACGACTACGACAATGCAGTCGCTGCGCCGGGAGCACGACCAACTTTCCTCCAACTACAACCGCACCCAGACTGGACTTGTCAATGAGGTCGTCAATGTCGCTGCTTCATACTGCCCGGTTGTCGAGCAGCTTGCTGGTGTCCTCGCTCATCTCGATGTCATCGTGAGCTTCGCCCACGCATCCGTCCATGCTCCCTCTGGATATGTTCGCCCGAAAATGCATCCTCGGGGTACAGGCAACACTGTGCTCAAGGAAGCCCGCCATCCTTGCATGGAAATGCAAGACGACATTTCATTCATTACCAACGATGTCTCTTTGATTCGAGATGAATCCTCTTTCCTAATAATCACCGGTCCCAACATGGGCGGAAAATCCACATACATTCGCCAAATTGGCGTGATCGCGCTCATGGCCCAGACCGGCTGCTTTGTGCCCTGTACTGAAGCAGAGCTCACCATCTTCGACTGCATTCTTGCTCGTGTCGGAGCCAGTGACTCTCAGCTGAAGGGTGTCTCTACTTTCATGGCTGAAATGCTCGAGACAGCTAATATCCTCAAATCTGCTACGTCGGAGTCCCTGATCATTATTGATGAACTGGGCCGCGGAACTAGCACCTATGATGGTTTCGGTCTGGCCTGGGCGATTTCGGAGCATATCGTGACGGAGATTCGTTGTTTCGGTCTCTTCGCGACGCATTTCCACGAGCTCACCGCTCTGGCTGATCGGTACCAGCAAGCCGTCAAGAACCTACATGTTGTGGCGTTTATTGGCGATGGCAAGGACTCCACTGCCGACGATGAGGCTGAAAAGAAGAAGCGTCAAGTCACCCTTCTCTACCGCGTCGAGCCGGGCATCTGCGATCAGTCCTTCGGTATTCATGTAGCGGAGCTTGTACGATTCCCCGACAAGGTTGTGAACATGGCTCGTCAAAAGGCAGAGGAGTTGGAAGACTTTACATCTGCGAACCCTGAGAACGGCGAGCAAGAAGCTACACCGTCACTGGAGAAATACTCCCAAGAGGAGGTGGAAGAAGGCAACACACTCTTGAAGGACATGCTTGTGAAATGGAAGGCAGAGATCGAGGGCAAAGAGCTGTCATCGGAAGAAAAACGCCAGATCATGCGCGATTTGGTCCAAGCGGACAGCAAACTGCAGGCAAATAAGGTGTTCCAGGGTATTAAGGCTCTATAAGGGTGGGGACTAGGCTGTCTTATGGAGTATGGCGTTGGTGGAGGGACCACTCGGAAAAGACATTGAATGAGACATTCTTCCATTACGTATTTCGGGATCATCTTTCAAGTATTATTCATAAATGTCTTTCTAGATGATTTCTATGCGCGAAAAAGCACATCAATTATTCCTCTGTTAGAGTATCCAGGCACAGTCAGTCACGTGGGGCAACTCTCCCGGCCTAGACGCAACGCGCCTCGCCTCGGGGCAGCGAGAGCGGGTCGACCTTCTCGTCTCTGTCCCTCGTTTGCTTGATGTTACTCGCGCCTCTTCTCAATTCCATTCCCGCCGACTAGCGACTTTGATTCCTCTCACTGCCATCGAAATTCTAAAACGCCTTCGACTGCCGCTTCTTCAGCTATGCGCGCAAACTAATACGCGGACCGCTCAAACCACTCTGATTCATGCACCCCTTTTCTGTCCTCACCCTTGGGATCTTTGTCGCGGGCTACATCACCGCCAGGTGGGATCTTGTCACCCGCCTCTACGAATTGGCGATCTTTGCGTGGGATCACGGCGTCGTGGTAAGTGCTGTCGTGGCCGCTTCAAGGTGGCCCCTCCGTTCCCACTTGAAGCTTGGCTATATGCGCGCCAATGGATTTCAATTGCTAACCACAAATTGTATCTCCTAGACACGAACTCTCAAAGGATTCGTCTTCCTGTCCATTTTCTTCTTTCTACTCATCGTGCCGATCAATTTCCTCGCGTCGAAGGAGGGAAGCCAGGTGAGCTCTACCCGTAGCTCAAGATGCCAAGCAAATACCGGATATCTAGAGTCATGAGGTGTATAGTTGGGAAGCGCATGGGGCTGATATCCTTGGAATATAATAGCATCCGCGCCACGTGAATCTCGGTGTATCCGCCAGAGAACAGCTTCGCCGTCGGGGCTCATTCTGAAGGCTGAGCGGAGGATGACAACATGATCATGAGTGATGGGTTGCTACGGGTATTTTGGCCATATGATCTCCCGCGATCCTCGTCACCGGGGGTGATCGTGGGGTGGCGGAATTCGGAGCTCGATCTATTCGTTCTGACAGTTCTGGAGGATGTTGAAGTGCGTGCTCGTTGCCCGATACCCTTGATCTCTAACGGTTAAATGCTAATGCAATCGTCAACTATTAGCCTCGGAATGTCGAAAATGCGCTTCGGGCGGGTATTCTATTTCGAAATAGTCCTCATCCCATTGTTCGAATATTCACACTTTGCGGACGCTCTCAGATGCACGTTCTCGGCTCAGCCAATTCGCGCACCCCTCCAACATCATTCAATCCCTCGCACCTCTATATCACCACGCATTCGTCATCAAAGGCCCCGCAGATTCAGTGTTCGGCTGATGCGAACGTGTCTGTTCAGGTCATAATGTATCATCGCCCACATCCAACGCGCATGGAATACATGTCCCTTAACCCGATTTCACTTGCGCTTGGCGATAAGGTGGCGACAACGGAGAAAGGAAGTGCAATACTGGCAAACGTTGAGTCAGAAGAAGAGAAAGAGAAAGCGCGAGCTCGAGTTTTGGTTGACAAGTTAAAGCTCCATACAGTGGTCAAGCACATTCCGTCGCAGAAAGAGCAGGCCCTCCCACTTATAATCAACCAGGTCAATTGTGCTTATGAGATGGCACAGCTGATGCACAAAAATAGTCATCTCATTGGAATTCGTGCCAAGCGAAGTATGAGTGTCGGTGAGCGAGTAGTAGAATCTGCTACGACGCTGTGGGGGTTCATTGTGGTCTGCATTGCTCATGTATTCTGGCAATGGATTTGGCCGGTTGTTACTCGGATATTCGTCATAGGCCTGGTTGGTCATCGTTCCGTTGCTGAGGTCGTCTTGCAAATTCTAGAGTGGCGAGCCCGACCAGACGCTGCTGCCATCAAGGACATTTCTGCGACAGCTCAACAGGTCGATATACGGCTGCAGCAATTTTGCTACTGGCCTATACAGTATGTCAAACTACGTCAAAGAAAAGACAACTGGGAAAGTGTCACAACCAGCCACCCGGATTATATTCGATTCTACAACAGCTTATGGCTTGTCGCAAATGATGTGATCATTGGTATTGCTCTCGGGTCATACATCATTGATAACGCAAACTGGGTGGCATCGCAAATCAATATCATTCTGACCGGTTGGACGGTGGAAGGCTTGCAGCGGACCATTTCATGGTTAATGGACTGGCCAGCTGGTTTGAAACTCAACAACGAGCTTGCAGCTTTCCTTGGTGACTTGTTCCTATGGGTCATCGAGAACTGGGCTGCCTGCATTGCCAACCTTCAACCTTATCTTCCTGCTGTCATCTACATTGTGGGCTGTTCGAGCTTTGCAGGGGCGAGTATGCCTATCGCGCTCTTCTCTGACCTTCTCTCGATCCTGACCGTCCATATCTACTCTTTCTACATTGCCTCCGCGAGAATTTTCAATTGGCAGCTCACCATCATCATCTCTCTTTTTCATCTGTTCCGCGGAAAGAAGCGAAACGTTCTCCGCAACCGAATTGACTCATGTGACTATGACCTCGACCAACTTCTACTCGGCACTATTCTGTTTACAGTGCTGTTCTTCCTTCTTCCCACTGTGATCGTCTTCTATCTGACTTTTGCATCGGCCCGCATGCTGATAATCTCGATGAAAGCCGCCTTTGATACATGTCTCGCTTTTCTTAACCACTTCCCTCTATTTGCCTTGATGTTGCGCGTGAAGGATTCGCAGAGATTACCTGGTGGTATCCGATTCGAACTAAAGGATGAGCTGGACAAACAAGCGACAGATCCAGACTCTTCTGCAGTTTCCTACATCCACATTGAGGTAAGTCACCATCTGGTCGACTCTTTCAACGGCACGAAATTTACTAATACTCCTGAAACCAGTCCATTCCTCTCCCGCTGCGTGCAATGTTTGACCAGTACTTTCAACTTGGCCATCGACTTCGCAAGCACTACTTGGCACCCCGCGTTATCTTCTGTCTTGTTACCGGACGCTTCGTTCCACCCATCCACCGGCGTAATTTATACAGCATGCAATATAGTATGCTTCCGGCCCGCCGTGCAGGAATGGTGGAAGTCTGGTCAATGCTCACACAGCCGAAGAAGACTGGTAGCGGAAGCTCCGGGACTGGCTCGATGGGTGGCGGAATGGGAACATTGGGGGGCCCAGTCCCTAAAGTGCCACCGAACTTTGGACAAAATGATCCTCGGAGACGAGGCCATCGATGATATCGAGTCTTAGTACCATAATACCCTAGTAAATAGACTTTGATTGAGCATTCTTATATCAACAACAATGATGACAGATGACCACGGGAGAAACTTCAATCTACTATCCATGGATCTAACTTAGTTAAGTGTAGTACTTGCTACTGGTACTATAATAGTGTGAGAATGAATGCGGAAGTATGAGTATTTTTCACTTCTGGCACCCGGGTACTAGAAGCCTTCCAAGTTCAAGAAGAATTTAAAAGTTCAAGTTTGATGCATGAGAGATATATACCTAGCAGCCCTGGAGGTATAATGCTGGATGGATGTAGACAGGAGAGCAGACAACTCCAATCCATGAGTAGTACCTTCTTAATCTTAGCGCCGGACCAAAACAAACTCGCTCTTGCAAATGTATAATACAAAAAAAATGAGTGGAGATCATGTATAGGAGACCCCATGCGAAATATAATCATGATTTCCTGAGAAACTCGGAATCAGTTTCGCTGCTGCTCTTGCGAGCATCCTCAAGCATCGTATCGATGCCTCTCTCTTTGAGGACTTTCTAGAAGTCCAAATATTTCGCTGTCAGCCGCAAAAGAACATCCACAGATATCACAGATACCGAACTCACATTCAGACATTTCTTATATTTACCGAACAGCTCCTCACACTCATTTGACGTGGTGTTGCCACGCAGGTATTCTGGATTGCTGTCAGCTCGGTGGTCATCTGTATGGCGTGGAAAAGAGAAACATACTCTCACTGTACCACTTCAAAAAGCAAGTGTCGTATCTCCTATTCAAATCAGTGTTGGTGTGTCGATACCTTCATAAAGGCTGGATATACAGCTTGATGGCTGTTCTCGGCTAAACTTACTCTTTGATTTCGTTGCATTCCGGCGCGATGGAGGCTGCCATATTGAAATATTTTGAACTCCCGTGGAAAATGAATAGCAGGATTAACTTGAGCCTTTGAAATGCACGCTTGAAGTTATAGAGCGAGGCAGAGGTGGAGTTGGAGTTGGAAAAGACGAGCATCGCCGGAGATCGGCCAATTAAACACCGGAGGCCACCATCTCATTTCGGTAGGCGGTCAAGTTGATCCGCGACTTTTTTTCACAGCCTTCACAAGGTTATCTCTTCGTTGCCATCTCGTGTCGACATATTTTCTGGAGCTTTGCCATGGATTCCGCAGAGTTCCCTCCTTTCCAGGAGAAATTATCATCCAGCTTGGTCCAAGTCACCCGGACGGCTGGCCAACTCTCTTCGGAGGATCTGAACTTCCACCGCACTTCTAGCGCGGACTTCACAGAGTCGCTTGATGAACAGAGTGATCGCATTCTTGCTCTGACCTCGGCTGTGCTTAAAGCTGCTACTGCTGGGTCGGACATCGCAAACCCAAAACTTGCAAATGAGGAGGGTCTGGAGGACAACTGGCGAGGTGTCGTGGATGTGATTGACTCGTTATTGGAGAAGGCCGATGCGTGCCTGGACGAATTCACTGGCGTGATAAAGAAGCTGAGCCCGTCGCGCGAGGAGCAGCCTCCTATCAAACGGGAGAGCAAGTTCCCGACTATCTACGATTATGGTCCATCCAAGATCCCGAAGCCGCAACTGCAATTCGACCGCAAACCTGATAATTCGGACACGGCTCCCTTTCACCCTCTTCTGCGGACCAAGCCAAATTCCACCGTTCCATTGAAGCAGGCTTTGAAGAAGAAGCAGATTGACGGCAAATTCACTCACCCTAGCCCTTACGAGACCGAGATTCGTGCCGCAAAATACCCCGAGGCCACCTACAAAACCTCACCTCCGATCGATTACTTGCCATTCGAGAGCACAACCGCTACATTTGTGGATACATTGGATGGTGTCAAGGAAATGCTATTGGAGCTTAAGGGTGCCAAGGAGATTGCCATTGATTTGGAGCACCATGACGTCCACTCCTACCATGGTCTGGTGTCTCTGATGCAAATTAGTACCCGCAACAAGGATTGGGTAATCGACACTCTCAAGCCTTGGAGAGAGGAGCTACAAATACTTAACGAGGTTTTCACGGATCCCAAAATTTTGAAGGTCCTCCACGGTGCCACCATGGATATTATCTGGCTGCAGCGCGATCTGGGCTTGTATGTTGTTGGCATGTTCGACACTTTCCACGCTGCTTCTGCCCTTGGCTACCAAAAGCGAAGCCTGAAGTTCCTTCTGGATAAGTTTGTCAATTTTGAAGCCGACAAGCGATACCAGATGGCCGACTGGCGGGTTCGTCCACTGCCATCTGCCATGTTCGACTATGCGCGATCTGATACCCACTTTCTCCTTTACGTTTATGACAATCTGCGGAATGCGCTTATTGCAGCCTCCGAACCAAACAACAGCCTCATTGATTACGTCCTCGAGCGCTCCAAGAACGAAGCGCTCCAACGATATGAGCGTCCCGTTTACGATGCAGAGAAGGGTCAGGGCCCTGGAGGCTGGTATGACCTGCTTTCGCGGAACTCGGGCATGCTTTCGAAGGAGCAGTTTGCCGTCTTCAAGGCGGTCCACAAGTGGCGTGATGAAGTCGCCCGAGAGGTGGACGAGGGTTGGCAGTGCGTGTTCCCGAAACACATGCTGTTCAAGATTTCCCAAGTCATGCCCCTTGATATGGGTCATTTGCTCCGAACTTTGTCACCCGTGACTCCTCTCACCAAAGATCGGGCTGATAGTCTTTTGGAAACTATCAAGGAAGCTAAGGCTGCTGGCGCTGAAGGCCCCGAATGGCGCGATATGGCACCGCCACCGAAGTACGCTCCCGCTATGTCTATGGACGTGGAAGATGTTGACTTCCCCACCGCCGAGCGTTATGAGACTTCTCAGTTTTGGGGCACCATTCTCGACGCTCAAGAAAAACCTACTCCTCTTTCATACTCCCTGACTGCGTCAGCTGAAGCTTTACGACTATCTCTTCCACTGCCACCCATGCCCTCCACCGTCTCCGAGGTGCGTGAGACTCTTGCCACCGCTGCGCCTCAGCAACCGCCTGCGGCTCCCAAACCGGCCCCTGCTGCGGCACCATCTGCCAAGGAAGAAGACGAGAAGAAGGTCTTCACTGTGAAGGAACTCGGCGGCCCCCGCAAGCGCAAGGTCACGCCAGTTGAAACATCCGACCAGGGTGCTTTGACTGCTGATGGCCTTGATGATACAAGCAACGACAGTAGCTCTGTCGAGAAAGAGCGCAAGAAGCTACGCAAGGAAAAGAAGGCTAAGAAGGCCGCCAAGGCCCAGAAGGCCGACGTTACCCCCTTCGATTACGGTGCGGCAGATTCAGTTCTTCATGCCCCTTCAGCTTCTGCTCCAGGTGTCAAGGCCCCCAAGAAACAATTCAACCCTTACGCCAAGGCGCTGGAAGCACCATCTGGTGTGCGCAACAAGAAGAAGGAAATTGCTGGCAAGTCTGTTACTTTCCGAAAGTAGAACAAAAGCGTTGTGGTCTTGTATTATCCACCAAAGCATCTCTGGGGTTAGGGTTTGGCTTCTGATTTTGAAATCTGATTCGGGAGGGTTCTTTTTCTTTTCTCACTTTACAAGCATAGCGATACCCGTGCGTCACTAGAAGACTCTAGGGTCGTGCTTCATGTACGTATAGATGGCAATGAGATACATGTACAGAACAAATTCTGAGAGTCGAGTGTAGTAAATAGTAAAGATTTCAATTTGCTATGTTATAAATATTCTGTTTTACATTGTAATCATGCATCTTGGGGAAAACCCCACTAATGTCCCACTGCAATGGGCTTCTCCATGGTTCTCATCCGTTCCTCGATTATGTCCTTGCGCTCTTTTCGTAGTTTGCTCGCATATTTGACGCCAAAGCCATGCTCAAAGACATCTTGAATCTCCTCCAGGACGAGACCCGAAACCTCAGGATAGAAGAAATAGATCCAGACGTATCCCAAACCGCAGATTGCCGCGAAGAAACCAAATGCGCCGGAGCCTGTCATTGACTTCATCATGGACAGGAAACAACTGGAAATGATGACATTGGATCCCCAGTTGGAGCAAGTGAGCCACATCGTACCCATGGCACGAACTTCGAGCGGGAAGAAATCTGTGCTCATCCATGCAGTATTTCCAACTGAGGCACCGTAGAAAATCACAAACCAGATCATGAAAAGAATCACAACAATCGCGGCAGGTGTTACTCCATCTGTTGCTTCGATTTCGCCAGTTTCACGGTTGAATGGTATCCAAACGAAGGCAATTGCGATAGCCAGCATGCCAACAGCCATTCCCCAAGCAGTAGAAAGAAGCAAACGCCGACGACCGACCTTGTCGATAATCATCATATTCACCCAGGTCATGATGAAGTTGGTACCTGCGATGACCATGCCCACCGCTACCGGATTCCCAAAACCAATGGACCCTAGGAGAGTGCCGCTGTAGTACATCAAGCAGTTGAATCCCGACAGCTGGGAGATGACCATCAGGCCACACGCACTAATCAGAGCCCGAAGGTTGCTGGGCACCATATGTAGCTGCTTGATTTTCCAGAATGCACTGCTGCTTTCGTTGACCTCCCGTGCCTGGTCGCATGCTATCTTGATGTTGAAAAGAACGGCATCCACCTGGGTTGGAGTCGCACCCTTGTAAATGTTCTGTAAGACACTACGAGCCTCTTCCTCCCTTCCATTATAGGCCAAATGACGCGGAGATTCCGGGCAAAACGGCAAGAGACAGAATAAGATAACTGCAGGCAGGCCTCCCAGTCCAACCATATATCGCCATCCGTGAGGGACACTCGCAAATGCGGCACCAATGGCATAGGCGATGACCTGTCCTCCGGTGATAGAAACATTATTTAATCCGATGAGCTTTCCACGAGCTTTGGCGGGAGCGATCTCGGCAACATATAAGGGACAGACCATAGCTGCCGACCCAACGCCGAAACCGACGACAGCGCGTCCGATGGACATTTGGATGATCGTGTATGCTGCACCCTGAAGGACGGCACCAGCAACGAAAAGGACACAGCCGATGTAGATGGCCATTTTACGACCGAGCTATGGAGGAGGGTCATTAGCTTAAATCACTCCAGTGATCCTTGAGTTCGCGCGAGATATAAAATGAAAAGCGTACCCTATCTGCCGTGATTCCTGCAAAGATGGCACCGAAGAAGGCACCTCCGGAACAAAGTGAAGTGATCAACTCTTTTTCATTGCTGGTCACGGGTCTATTATCGAGATCGTCGTTTAAGTAAACCAATGCGGCTGAAATGATTCCGGTGTCGTAGCCAAAGAGGAGACCTGCCATCGAGGCCGTCGCGGCAACTAGCCACACAAACAAACTGATAGGAATGTTGTCGACACTAGTGGCCACATCGGTGATATTGTCTGTCATACCGATCTTCTCGATATCGTCGACATGCTCCGCTTTCCCTGTCTTGGACGTGCAGTCCCCCATTTGACCCTGTGAGGCCTTTTCTAACGAAGACATGGCCAGATGTGTATGAGATTCTGATGAAAGGTGTATAGAATATTATAACAGAATTGTACGCCAATAAAAATAAGACAGTGGGGAATGCGGAAACCGCTATTTTGTTGAGATAATAGTATAAAGTCCCGAACCGTACGTACGTCAACTGTGTCTTATACAACCACTGAGTTCCACGATTATTACGCGTACGACATTGTGGACACTATACGACCCCCCATCTCCGCATATTCCAAGTTGCAGACGGGTCTGGGGATATTCCCGCAGTGTCCACTGTCTTTTGAGGTGGGGAAGAGTTCTCATCCACCTCTTAGCCCTCTGTTAGGCTGATCCCTCCCCGGATGGGGAGCGCGAAGCCTAAACTTCGCCATAGTTTCCCATCTTGGGTGATTTTCCGGATTGGCCCGTTCCCGGATCGGCTATTGGTCTTTTTACTGTACACTTACATAGAGAAGGACCTGGAAATAGGTTTCCTGCTGCTGACCATCTGGGGCCCTCTGAGACGCAGCCCAGGCTGTGGATCTACTTGTTGGCTCAGCTTCCCCGTAGCCAAGAGCCCAAAACGTGCTATGTACATAGGTCATTACCCCATGGGGAACTCGCTGCCGATGTAGAAGATGCAGATAGAGCCCGATGACGGCATGAGATGGCACTACTAAGGACCCTTCCCCCGGGCCCGCCTTCTTCGCCCAGTCTCGGGTGCCCGACTCAGGGACCTAGCCCTTCGGCGTGGTCCCGAAACTGGTTTGCGCGGCCTCTCGTTGGCGAGTTAACCCGAGCATCGTTTCAGGGATGCAGACGTGAGTGATAAAACTGTTGCTTGTGGTTTAGAGATCGGGGTACAGAGCGGCTTTCGAAGGTGCTGTCTTCTCCTGATTCTCGGAATTGATTCTCCGGGGCACCCACAATCTCAATGACCGACTTCTGTAATTTTGTTGGGCGGTTCGATATGATCTCTCGCAACCATAATTGGCTCCCACTCACGCATAATCATTGACTCGTCTCGGGCTGGCGATTGCGTCCTCCAACCGAATCTGGTTAACTCACCGAACTAGCGGCCGATCTTGCGAGAAGATGCCAAACCAAATCCACACAACACTTCCCGAAGACTCCGTCAAAAAACACCGCAGAAAACGTCATTAGCATCGGCATCTATCCGCCATGCCTCCCAACCAATCCCGGCCTCTACCGGCTGTCAGTCGGATCTATCTTATGCTTTACAACACCATCTGTGCTTTTCTCTGGTTACGTATCCTGGTCCTCGCCGTTGACACTCTGATCTCTGCGCCGGACAAAGACATTTCCGTCGCATACACCACCCTTGAACCTTGGACTCGGTGTGCTCAGACCTTGGCTGTGGCTGAGATCCTACATGCCGCTACCGGTAAGCCCCACGCTAACATGTATTTCATGCATGCAAGTTCTATTGGCTGGTTTTCTCATCGGTTCGCTGTCAGGTATCACTCGCTCGCCTGTTTTCACTACCTTCACACAGGTCTTTGCCCGCTCCGTACAGGTCTGGGCCATCAACTATGCCTTCCCCGAGGTGACCGCCCCATCCGCGGCGTATTTGGCTATGCTACTCGCCTGGTCAACCGCCGATGTTATCCGCTATCTCTATTTTGCCATTATGCTTGCCGGCTACCCCGTCCCAAGAGCATTGAAGTGGTCAAGGTAGGCCCAAATCTCGTTCGCCCTTCGGGTTTCTATGTTATATGGTCATCGCTAACTGGAGGCTCCCAAATAGATACTCTCTGTTCACGATCTTGTACCCCATCGGGATCAGTAGCGAATGGTGGCTGATGTACAAGGTAACAAACGTCACAACAAATGTGGCCCTTGCCTGCACTTTCTACTTTTGCCTAGGACTTTATGTGCCTGGTAAGTACCATCTTGCCTTCTGGGAACCGGGTGGACCAAAATTTCTAGTCACGACGACCATATCTAACCAGTGACAGGTTCGGTCATGATGTATACATACATGCTGAAGCAGAGGAAGAAGGTGTTGACTCAAAATTGAGCCTTTCTGATCTGAGCTGCTATTCAGTTCGGGGCCATGAGTATATTTCCTCTTCGCACCTCGAAATCGTCTACGAGTCGAATCAGCTTCTCTTGATTGTCCCTGTAGCACAGAGTGAAGGTAGGGTAGTAGGTTGGTCATTCACTATCTACTATCTGACTGAATGTATTCACATGGGAGTTTGGACCCAGCAAAATTGATAACTCCAAGTTGAACTAAATGCGATGCATCGTTCATGCCTACCATCAGAAAGATTGAAAAAGCTCCAAAGCCCCCGCAACATTTTCACGAGCGCCATGGCCATGATGAGGAGTGACCTCAGAGGACACTTACAACCCTTGGAAACTCCCTACGAAGCTTCCGATGTTACGAGCATGATTGGCCAACTTGAAATCATCAGCGTCAGTTCTATGGTCTACCGTTTAACATATTTCAGTCTGGCCCTGAAACTATATGGATTAGTGAAATTGTGCAGCATGACGAGTGAATAGCATAAATCGTAGTGATACTATAGGAAGGTAGTTCATAAGCCGATAAATTACCACAGGAAACCCCTCTCAAACGTTTTGTAACACCCATTTGACCTCATTTACGACCGTTTCTGGTGCGGTAATATGAATAAAATGACCGTGCCCCTCGACATCTACAAATCGGTGATTCTTAGACAGATCGAGGTTCTCTCTTTGAAGTTTCTCATTAATGACAGGGTAGGCCGCAAGCTTCTCGGAGAACTGGCGCCTCTGCTCAAGAGTTCCATTTCCAGCCAGAACACCAGCTTCAAAGGCTTTGCGCAGATCCAGCTCTGGGTGTCCTTTTAAAACACTCAGAGGATACCTATTTAACAAGGGGGGGATCTCGGTCAAACTGGCATTTTGCGCGTAACGTCGCGCAACTGTCAATATAGTGCACCATTTCCTTTTTTGCAGTACGCTGATGCTTTTCGCTCGCTTGTTCATCCAGAAAAGCCTGCCATTCGGTATTTGTCAGGACTCGTGCTTTGGAGAGCCCCGTCACCGTGTTCCAGTCCAGCCCCTGTCCAATTGCTTCAAGGTTGGAATCCGGCCAGAGTGTGGTACTCCCTTCTTGATTCGCATCCACCATGACCATCCCGACCACGTCCTCAACGCGTTTGTCCTTATGGGTTAACTCGAAAAATTCCCGTGAAATTATCCCACCGTATGAGTGGCACACAATAACATAAGGTGGCGCAATTGCCAGTGCTTTGAGTAGAGTGTCCAGTTCGAGGGCCATGTCAGATGCTGTGGGAGGCTCGAGCGACTCGTCAGATGCTCCCATTCCCGATCGCTCGTACAGGAGAGTGCGAACATCTGGCTGGAGGAGACGGCGGACAACGACCCATTCGGTGATGCTGCAGGTTACTCCTGGGATGAAGATAACGATTGGAGTCCCGGGCACGCGATCTGGTCCGTAGACAGACACAAAGAGTTGATGTTCGGGCTGTAGAGGGACCAAGCCTTGCGACTCGCCCCGTTCCCAGTCGATGGCGACCATGTTTGCGATTTGGGCTGTGTTGGCTAAGAGTGAACTGCAGTGGGAGAAAAGGGTCGGAAGGAGAGTACACAGATTCACAAGCGTGGTTGGCGGGGAGAGAGATCTTCAGCTTGGGGATTTGGGTATGGGAGTGTACCGCCGACATGCTGGGTGTGGTTGGCCGCTGCACCTCAATGCCAATGCGCAGCTGCCTGAAACATCTGACTTTAAACCGCGACTGGCGGATAAGGTCACGGTACCGGTAGTTGAGCCTGTACTTCAGAAGCTAGCTATAGTTACAATATATTCACATACAGGCAGCAAGATATGACTGATCTTAAACTTGTATATCAGTTCAAACCTCATAGCAGCTATTAGGGAACATATGGGAAAAGAAAGGCGGGGTATCCCACTGATAACCTTGGGACGCCTACCTTATTGTGTAGTTTTCGGCGACGGTGAATCCATTTAAGGCAGAAATCGGCGAGATTTGGACAGAATAGGTTTAGTGTGATCTGGACCCAGACTTGCCAGCGAAACCATCTTCATTATCATTGGCCCGCGTTACACTCGTTACGCCTGAGGTTTAACAAAAGACAGTGTCCGATGACCCAAGTGACCTGCAGTACATCTGCTAATCTGCTTTTTGATAATAGAAGCTCCGTTCAAATGAAATTACTGTTATCTCGATTTATCTCGTTCACAACTCATCAATGGCTACTGCTGCAGTTCAACGCGTAGCGCCTCCAGTGCCGAGGGGTTCTATAGACGAATGTTTTCCGGATGGACTGGCCCAAAATGGTGGAAGGATTCCCACCGAGCGAGTTGGGCTTCTTAAGCCTACACCTGCATCACTGTCGATCGACGAAATGAGGCAGCGGCTTAAACAGGACGGCTATCTATTTGTCAAGGGACTCATTCCCCGAGAAGATGTTTTAGATATGCGTGAGAGGTAATTTGGCTAGACTCTACATCCCGAATACTTGAAACTATACTGATCTATACTCTATATCCCCTCATACAGCTATTTCCGCCAGTATGAATCTACCTCGCTTCTGGAACCTGGAACCTCACCTCGGGATGGAATATTCAACTCGTCTTCACACCCCGATGCACACAAAGGAATCGGTGGTTCAGGCTTGCCAGTCGATCCCCTTGAAGAGAAGTGTCTCATAGATTCCCATAAAGACCCACATTATCGGGCTTTTGTTGAGCATCCGGCTTTGACCGGGTTCATCAGGAAATTCATGGACTGGAAGGAACACCGAATCTTAGATCGGACAATGCTGCGTCACAATGTGCCATTCGGCCTGGGAACTGGTATCCATTATGACAAGCTGTTTTTAAGAGGGGGCGAAGGCTTCTTTTTGACTGCTTGGGTTCCGATTGGTGAGACTATCATATTGCTCAGCCAAACTTGCACTCCGTATACTGATAGAACCGGGTCGTGCAGGTGATATTGCTATTAATGGAGGTGGCCTTTGCTACCTCGAGAACTCTGTGTCACTTGGTCGCCATGTTGAAATGGATTACACCAAACGTGCCAAAGGATTTACCGAGGAAGAGCGCATCTCCGCTTTCAATGTGAACATGCTTGACGGAGGCATGATCGCATCATCTCCTCAAGATTTCCAATCAATGCATTCCGAGCATGGGGAGCACAAGTGGCTAGTTACCAATTACGAAGCCGGTGATGTTGTCTTCCACGACCCATATAGTATTCATGCCAGTGGGCGTAATGAGGATAAATCAGGTAGTATTCGGTTGAGTTCGGATCTGAGGTTTTATGATAAAAGTGATCCCGGCATTGACCAGCGGTGGTACAGAATTTGGACCCCGGGTGACGGACTTTGAAACCACATTTCCCAAATTCAGGGAAACTGGTATCATCTTCCAAGGCTGCATAACTTGCGTACTATGATAATAATAGTCGATTGTGTCTGGTAGATCAGGCTGTACATAACCAGATATCACGATTTGTATTTCAATCCTCACAACGTATAGATAAAGCCATAAACTGTCTTCGCCTCCACTCACATTAAACCTCAGATACTCGAAAAAAATATCAGTAAATATTACGCTGGTGAGATCTTGTTAAAGTTAACACTGGCTACTTTGGAGAGCGGGGCCAGGTGACCGACTGCATTCTTGTCCCACCAAACCAGCCTTCGCATTTGACTCTCAAAAGCCACGAAGGGTTTTGGCGGTACGTTTTAAATTGATCTGCAATGGCACCAAAAGCGAAGCCATGGTATGTATAACCGCCTAGCACTTATTTACGTGGTATGCTAATATGCCTGGTCAGTGATAATTGCCGAAGTAGGTCGTAGCTTGCAACCGCTCCGATCTCAAGAACCATCAACTTATTGCTCCTTGATTCCAGAACATCATTTGAAAAGTATGGGTCATAACTCTCTTAAGCATTTGTCACGTACATCTTGATACAAACGATTTGCCAACAATATCCCAGGCGATAATGCTAAGCCAAAATGCTCAAGATGCCAAAAGACTGGACGAGATTGTACTCGCCAAGAAACAAGGTTTAGGCACCATAAAAGCTCATCTACAAAATTGAATTCAAGTCCCCAGGGTATGTTATTTGAGTGGAAACCATTCTCTAATTTGAGTTAACAATGAATCCATATAGCCCTTCAATACATTATGTATAGAGGCACATGATGTCACTAAGACAGCGCCCAAAAATGACACGAAAGGACGCCATGCTTGCAAAAGTTTCACGTAAATGAAACTAAAATAAATCAAACATCCTCATGGACACCTTCCGGGTCCTGAAAACTCGGTTTCTGCCCACTTTCAATGGGGTTTCTTCTGTTCTGGTGTGTACTTACCGCGTCACCTTCGGGCCCTTGACGGCGGGGATGAAGTTCTCTCTGGTAGACAGGCTGTTCTTCTTCTTTGAGACCCGCTCCAGTCGGATCTCTCCGAACGAGGAAACTCTGAACACGAGCATCATTGGAAGGCATCTGATCCACAGTATGCTTCCGACGGCCGGACAGGAACCGCGACGATTCTTGGTTGACCTCGCGAAGTCGCTCTTCATAACCAGTTTGTTGCTGTGAGATCCACGATGCCTGGACAGCGCCTCCAAATAAAACAAGAAGAATCACAAGCCGTGTGAAAGTGCGGTGATCAACGACGTGCTGCTGCTTCTCGTGTCGGTTATTCCACCGCTCCCAGTCTTCCCACGTAGCGTTTGCATAGATCGCTGGCCCATATGGCCCCCATTCTGCAGATGCTTCAGCTGTGGTATTATACCCTTTCGGCCCGTATTTCCACCCAGCGCCGAACTGGTCATATGCAGCTCGCTTATTGGGATCGGAAAGAATTTCATGAGCTGCTACGACAATGTGGTACCGCTTAAGGCGAACTTCAGGTGAAAGGCCTCGACAAAGACGATGCTCATTGCAGGGTCGATCTGGATGGTAGATCTTCACGAGGTCGTAATAAAGGTTTTTTGAATACGGAGCGGCATGATCCAAATTCAAGACTTCATATGGGGTAAATGATGGTGTCCCTGGCCATGAATACTCATGCTCTGGGAGATTCGAGATGGTTGCATAGTTCCGACCAGCATGTGGTGCCCCAGGGCCACGGCCTGGGTTAATCCTGAGACGGCGGAGTGGCGAGACCGCGGTACGAGTAGTCGAGCTTAAGAGCTGAACGCCACCACATTTAAGAGATACGCGCTTCCTGAACATTTCCGCATGGCTTTCGAGAGAGAGCACGGTAAGAAAGCCGGTGCTCTTCGAGTGTAAATGAGAAGTGGAGGTGTAGCTCCCCTCAAGTTCATGCTGGTGCGGCCTCGGGACTGATCACGTGGTGCCGGAGCTTTGGAGATTCTCCAGCTGAGCTTCAAACATTACTCTTCCTTCATTTCACCTCAAACCCCGCGCTATAACAATGGGAGAGTCGCAAGACGATCGTGGCGACCGCCGCCGTCGCTCCCCAGACGGCTCGCCCGATCGAAACCGCGATCGACGAACTCGAGATTCACGGGATGACCGCCATCGAAGCTCGCGACGTCGAGAAGATGACGCTAAAAGCTCCCGCAGAGACAGTCCTCGACGACGCCCCTCTCGAAGCCCATCCGGAAAAGATAGGAGCCACCGAGATCGTGACAGCCACCGCCGAGAACGCCGAGAACGATCTACAAGTGCCGACGAGGATCGCCGACGACACCGACACCGCAGCCATCGACACCGCGAAGACCGCGATCGCGATAGTGAGCGATCCTCTAGAAGACACAGAAGTCCACGGCGACGCTCCCGATCTCCACGAAAACCACCCAGTCCACCACCCAAGGAAATACAGCGACGTGGCCCTCTCCCTTCTCAGGGAGATGCCTTCTCAACCGAATTGACACAGTCGGGCGATGGACCCCCGCTACCAGAGAAGGAGAAGCCCAATTTCAAAAATACCGGACGTCTCGCGGCGGAGAGTAATATGGTTCAGGTTGAAGGTGGGGAAGGAATTGTCTTGAAATACCACGAACCACCAGAAGCACGCAAGCCACCGCCCAAAGAACCCTGGCGGTTGTACGTCTTTAAGGGAGAGGACCTGCTGGAGATGGTGGAACTGGGCGAGCGTAGTTGCTGGCTCGTTGGACGTGAGAGAGCTATAGTGGACTTCCCTCTTGATCATCCCAGCTGCTCGAAACAACATGCCGCACTTCAATTTCGCTACGTCGAAAAGAGGAATGAGTATGGCGATCGCATTGGCAAGGTGAAGCCATACATCATCGATCTGGAGAGTGCGAATGGAACTAGTGTTAACGGAGATCCGGCTCCGGCTGGCCGCTATGTTGAGGTTATGGACAAGGATGTGCTTCGATTCGGTCTTAGCTCTCGCGAGTACGTGATGATGCTACCGAGTTGAGATTTGGACATCTCTGGTCGAACGCCCTACGTCAAGAGCATAACCATACGCCGATTTAAACATGCAAATTTGATATTACAGATTTCGATATACAAGTTATGCGATATGAGGCAACATAAGAACAAGCGTCATTATCACAGAGGCAAGAAACATTTGACATCTTCAATCAAGATGCTTCTCCTTGGCTTCCTTGGCCTTGCCAGCTGCTTCACCCATGGCCTCTGAGGCCTTGCCTTTTGCCTTTCCGGCCATGTGCTCCGCCTTTCCTTTGCCCTCTCCCGCATATTGAGCCGCTTCGCCCTTCGCCTCCTGCATTTTACCCTTGGCTTCTTGTCCAGTGGTACCCATAGCATCCTTAAGCTTGTTCTTGGCTTCCTCTACAATGAAGAGTCGACTGTATCAGCATTCGGCAAACCCAAATTCTCGTCAAGGATCGGAAATTAAACGAACCTCCTTTGTCAATACCCTTTACGGTCGCATCGGAGACCATTCGATCAGCTTGCTTAAGCGTATCCTTAGTCGCATCGATAGGCCCTTTCTGATAGCTAGCCGTTGATGAGATGGATCGGAGGGTGGTGACCCGAGGCGCAATAGAGGGTGCCACTCGGGACTTAATGACTGGAATGAAGCGTGTGGCTGACATGATTCGAAAAGTTCTCGCGTAGTGGGTTTCAGATAGCAGTCGTGTAGATGTTAAAATGTATGGACTTAGAAGCGTCGTAATTCTTTCTTCACTTCAAAAGAAAAATTTGTACGTAGGATTTGCTTTTCGGGTGTCTTTTGTACTCAATAAATAGTTGGACATGCTTTCTCCGGTTACTGGAATCTGCGACGTCATGACCATCTCATTTCTTACGTCGGTGCACGGTCACGCTTTTAGTCGGCTGCCAAACCCTTGCTTGCTTGGTTTTCGATTTCCCAGTAATTACCTCGATTGGAATGGTTCAAACAAGGACACTGACAGCTAATTCCTGATTGTTGTGGAGTCGGTTGAGCATGAAGACTATTGGCGGAACTGAATCCTCTGCGGAACGGGTGCTTGTATCGACGTGTTAGAATACCAAGCCTGGAAATCGACGTAACAACCCATTCCAAAGGCGCCAATTTTACTAGAGTATTTTTAGGCGTTTAACCCTACTCATCATACAGGGGCCTCTTTCCCTTTTCTCTTAAGGTATAAAATTAAAGCCAGGCCGTAAGTAATCAGACTAAATGAGGCAGAGCCCGGGGTTTGTTGCTTATTGCATGGAAAACGGCCTCTCTAAGAGGGGGAACTAATTGGGCAAAGGTGCCCGGCAACCTGCGCTACTTGATAAGAGAGAGAAAGACTTGAATCATAGTCCAAAATCTAGAAGCGTTCGATTGAAACCATTCAAAGTGAATTGCCGCAGCCAAATACAAAATAACAGCCCACATTTATCATATTAGTAGACGATACCGGGTGATTGTTTAATACCGCTGAAGAATCAAAAGATTATGCCGCAGTTTTCACCTCCGAAATAGTCGAAGATTGAAGCCGTCCGATGACCCGTATGGTCAAAGCTCGAAATAAAAGAGTCAGAACTTTTCGAGTTGGGCTATTAGTCAAACAAAAATATTCCAACCTAGCCCATCAATTGATCTACATACACCACGTCTATCCGGGGGACCCGAGCCGTTGAATGACCCCGTTATTCATGAACCATGCGCTCCGAATGGTCCCAAGACGACTCTAACACATTCCCATTCGAGACAGACGCGACTAGTCCTTACTCATTTGGACAAACAGAGTGAGCCCCAACGACAACAAGCAGATTGGCGACGTTTTCAACTACATTCATTGGTCACACTAGTACAAAAACCCGCAAAATGTCATTAGTCTCAACGAACTGCCAGACTGTATTACGAAAGGAGTCCTTCGACAAGGACGATCATTTCCAGATTCTCATGGGTCTGCAGCCTCTGAGAATCCTTCCTTCCGAAGAGATACTCCAGAGACCTATCATCTACCAATTGTTCCCAGTCTTTGCAAAGTGCAGGCAGACGAGAGAATCCTTCGTCCCGTCGCCTTCCTTGGCTCTAGGATAAATTATAGCACCTAATTGACCCCGTAATATATGTGAAAAGTAAATAAAGAAACAGAATTCTTTCTCAAGTTCCATCGCTACTTCCTCTATTTCATTGATATAATTTTCCCCCGATTAAGAAGGTCACTATCATGACTCCACAACTCAATTCCCCAGGAGAATATGTCTTAATCCGTACCAAGGATGAGCTCGAAAGGTACCAGAGAATTCCGTCCATCCCAAGGTCCTTCCGAAATAGTTCCCCTATTGCGATGAGTTAAACCATTGCATATAGACTGGAAAGGCAGTACAATGTCTGGCAATCCAATATCGGCTATCTCCTACACCCAGCAATCACCCAAAGGGGGAAACTGCGCGTGGCAGATGTAGGAACAGGCACAGGGTCAGTACACACACATTCTCCCATGTTTCATATAAGTTGGTCGATTTTCGAGAATTCCATGAGGACTCCAGCTCATGTATACGTACAAAGCTAATATTATATGCATTAAGTATATGGCTACGAGACCTCTCGAAGATCCTCCCCGGAACTTGCCAACTCGACGGATTCGATCTCTCCGATGCGATGTTTTTCAAAAAGACGCCAAGACCGACGAATGTTAGCTTTATTCAACACAACCTCCTCAAGCCTTTTCCGGCCCAGTTCACTGCCCAATATGACGTCGTCAATGTTCGGGCCATGGTGGTAGCACTATCTTCTGACGAGTGGGAGCCTGCGCTCCGCAATCTCATGTCTCTTCTCCGTATGGCTATTTATTCAAGTCGGAAGCATCGACTCGTACGCTAACATAAAAAGGACCTGGTGGCTATATACAGTGGCTTGACTGCTCGGCAAAAGACTTCGTCGCAAAGGGAGCAACTGAAGGCAGAGTTCCCATCAACGCTGAAAGATGGACGGAGCTTCTTCGCAATACGGCCAATGCTTTGGGAAAGACACCAAAGTAAGATAGATGATCTTCGCTCATTTCCAAGGCCGATTTAGTTCTGACATACGGAATAGCGTTAATGCTCTTTACCGAATTTTTCGAGAGAATGGCCTCAAAGATTGCAGTGAAAGGGTGTATCCATTGGATAACCCGGCCGACAGGGATGAACTCAATAAGGCAGTTCTTGATGGGATCCATAACTTTATGATTGCCGCGCTGAACGGGCGCACTTTTGAATGGGCCAAGTCGGCGGATCAAGTTATGGCTATGAAAGAGGCAGCTCAGCAGGACCTGCACAACTTGAACTGTTGGTTTAGTTATAATGTTTACGTTGTGGTTGGGAGAAAGGCTTAACTATTAACAAGTAGGCTGAGAGACCGGTACTAGTACCAGTAGTAGAGTTACAATGCGAAAGGTTTCACTAGAGTCACTGCGTATAGGAACGATAATATGAAGAGGCTCTTGCAAAAATCATGTATTGGAAATGTTGGGTATCTCGTAATAAATCCCTCCTAGGGTAAATGTCAAGTCCCCAGTCGCACACACGCGATTTCTGGAGAAGAAAAGGCAAAAGAATTTAGCATGAAGTAGACAAAAAATGTGGAAAAAAGACAGCAAAAAAATAACCTAGGCCCTCCTCCTATCTCGTTCCGCCTTCCTCTCGGCGATAATCCATTGACCACAACTTTTCCCAAGGACGGGCCCTAGCCTGTCGCAGACCAGAAGCTGAGCGCGAAGGCGGTGATGCTGGTAATGTAGCGCCGATGTGTAATTGCGCTGCTGATACTGATGCGGGGTCCTGATTCTGTATTAAGAGGCAGTTAGCATTCACAATTCCAAAGAAACGACCCGGTAAAGAAGGAATCTATCATAATTTCCTACTTTTCACGGGTCTTTGAGAAGGCCACGGCGAACCTCGTCAAATATCGGTGCGGCCTCTCGAGCCTGAGAGCCGGTATCCGCGTCGGCTGGTCGAACGATATCCGATGCTGAATCGTTGGCTTTGTGAGAGGGCGTGGGTGTGCCTCGTTTGGAGTTGGAACTATTACGTCGGCTATCTAGGCTTTTCGATAGAGTCTGGGCGACCGTGCTTTCTTCAGTCGGTCGCTTGAGACGTATACTGCCTTTGGCGTCAACATGCGCGGAGGCAACGGTGCTTTTCGAGATACCTGGCGTAGCTGGCGCGCCGGGCTTCTCTTCAACGGCATCAATGAGGTACCATCGGAGACCGTCCGAAAGCTCGAAGGGATTGTCATCTTCCAAAGACGCGCCGTCGCTGGCATCCCCGAGTGAGTTACGGTCTGCGGCTGCACTGTTCAATGACTTGGACAGGTCGACAACTCGCTCTTCAATCTTGGTGATGCGAGCCAATAGCCAGTCTCGTGTGTCTAATTTGTGAGAGTCTTGCTCGCGCAGGAAATTATGAGGCGCATTGATGTTGAAGGCTGCCCACGAACGGATCGCTTGGTTTCGGGTAGGGAGAAACAGGGCGAGATCTCCTTCCTTAAAGGAGCGGTACGCAATCTTCTCATGGGCCTCGCTTTGAACCCGATGGTAGCGATCACGATACGTTCGGGATTCTTTCAGGTACTTGCGAGCATAAGTCTCAAGATCCTTGACTCGTTTGATGACCGCATCTCCGAAAATCGAGAAATCGAAGCGTGATAGATTTTCCATGAACGCAATATAATTAGATTCTTCTTCCTCGGGGGCTTCTGCCTGCATCCAGGACAGTAGAGAAGCGTCGGGTCTCGCCGAGACGATCCCAGATTGAGCAATACTCTCCCCAAGACTGGACGAAGCGTTAACCTTCGAAGCTCTCTGAACGGCAAGATGCCCGTCCTGTTGAATAAGCGCAAAGCCCATCTGCTCAAGTATGTGCACCAGAGTGTCAACCTGTGAGTGGAGCTGCTTAGAGACATCATAGGATCGCACCCCTCGGGCATGAATCCGAGCCACGACCTGCTGCTCTGTCTGGGAAGCACGTTTGAGCTTCTCTTCGCATTCGGAGTGTTGGCCTTTCAGATTCCGGGTTTCGCTCTCGGCGGCTGCGAGTTTTTGAGAAAGAGTTGCGCGCTTCTGTTCTTCTTCGACAATTTGTTCTCGCAAGGCATCGGATCCGCTTTGACCGGCTGATACGTGAGTCTGCAAGGAATGCAGTGCAGAACGCTCGTGTTCCAATTCTGACCTGATATTATCCAACTTTGCTTGTGTCTTTGAAAGCTCTTGTGTAAGTCGTAATATTTCAGCCTCTTTACTTTCCAGCTTATTTGCTTCTTCCTGAAGATTTGACTCAAGTTGAGCGTTTCTTTCCCCAAGAGACTTAATTTCTTCCGCTGCTTGCGATGCGCTCTCTTCGGCATTTTTAGCATGAATGGAGAGGCCTTCGGAGAGAATGTCGACGGCTTTGATGAGACTAGGAAGTTCAGGCGGCACGGCTCCTCCGGGTGATAAGTTCATGAAAGCTGACTGAAGGGCGTTATGATTATCTTGGTCCCTTTGGTCCTGTTTGCTGTGGTAGAGCTCAAGACTTTCAACTTTTGCTCGTAGTTCTTGGTCTCTCTCTTGGTGGGCTTGGATGCGATCATTGAGCTCAGTGGCTTTCTGAGCTTCCTCCGCAGAAGTATCTTGGGCGTTCTGTAGTTCGAGTTCAAGTTGATGAATGCGCTCGTCCGATTCTTGTCTTTCATGATCGCGACCATCCATGAGCCTATCTAGCTCTTCTTCAACCTCCTCGTTTCGGTGTCGGAATTTCTTAAGTTCAGCTTCCAGATCTCTCCGCTCATCTTCGAACTCACGTTGCTGAGCCTCGAGGTTCCCAATCAAGTCCTCCTTCGTGGACTGAGCTTCGTGATATTTGGACTGAGCTTCTTGATATTTGTCAGAGTTTGTCTGGCGTTCGAAATGTGCTTCCTTGTGAAGCCTTTGCACGATATCCCTTTCAGCAGCTAGTTCAGCTTCGAGTGACACGATGCGCTGAACCAGCGCCCGATCTTCCGGAGACTGAGTCATTGATACTCGTCTTGAAGAAACAGAGGAGCGACGCGACATGGCATCGGGATGTGGCGATGCAGGCGAACTCGGAAAGTCAGGGCCAAAGTTACCACTTGAGGGTCGACTGAGATGACTTTGGCGATGCAGCAGATCCTCAAGTTTGCGGATGCGGCTGTCGGACCCTTTGACTCTTTCTTCGAGTTTGGTTTTCTCTTCTTGCAGGCTTCGCACCATGTCATCACCGCGAAGTAATATTGAGCTTCTACCCAAATCGAATACACTTCCGTTCTTAAATGCCTTGGCCCGGCGTCGTTGCTGGCGTGTTGGTGCATCCAAGTCTTTGAACTGTACGGACAGGTCATCCGCGATTTTTGACAGGGAGTGTTTCGTCCTTATTTCGTCGATGTAGAGTTCAATTTCTTTCCGATTGACTTCCGGCCACCCATCATCTTGGCCCTGCAAGTTGACTTCGATTCCTGGGGCAGTGGTGTCTCCAAAGGATATAAAATCGCCCATAGATTTGACCCATTTTTTGCGGCGGCGCTGTTCCTCGTCTGTGAGAACAGCCATTTCCTCTGCCAAACTAAGCGAGTCGGTTTTGATCTTATCGCTCCATTCCCGGCGACGTATAGACTCTATCAAGATAGATCCGTAGACCATTGGCATCTGGAAAACAGAGTATATAACATCAAACGCGTTGCTATTCACATCAAGATTGACAAGCTGGGAGTGGGCATCAGCAAGACGAGACTCAATATGCGATATTGTTCGCATCTGTTGAAGGGCCATCTTCTCTGCAGCTCCGCGGCGTCGCCAGGACTCCTCCATGATATGCTGAATATCCTTACTGAGTTCGAGAAGCGAGGGGAGAAGATCTTGTGTATGGCTGAGGGCCAGCCTAGAAATAGTTGCCAGCATCTTCTGGTTGTTGGGTAAACCAAGGACGTGCTCGTAATCGGAGCCGATTTTCTTTGCAATTGTTTCCACCTCCTCCAAAAGCCCTTCATCGCCATCATCTGGACCAGGTAGCGTCTCGTCCAGCAGATGTTGTGTCTCCACGGCAATATCGGTGACCATCTTCTCAATATCTTGGATATGTCCAGAGAAGCGTGGCGAGGCTAAAGCTGCGTCTGACCCAGCTTGCTCAACCTCGAATACGTCGACAAAGTCGCGGAGGGTTCCCGTGGGCCTGTTCTTGTCCTTCTTTGGGGTGGATGGGCGCCCAAGCAAAGGAAAGTCCTTTCGCGCGGGAATACTTTCAAGAGTTGAAAGAGCACGCTGCCAGCCATCTAGGGCCGCCTGTTGTTCCTCTACAAGTGTGTTTGCCCATGTCTGTGCTTCCTGGAAGCGGTGTTCAAGCGTTCCCACATGAGATTTGAGGTTCTCCAAAGCTACACCCACTCCGCGGTGTATGACCTCAGTGCGCTCATTGTCTTCGCGAACCTTTTTCGCATTCACTCCGCAGCGAGTGGAAAGGTCAAGAGCCCAAGTCCGCCTTTTCATGAAAAGATTTCGCCATGAATGAAGGTCGTTCTGGTCGGTGATAGATGCTGGTGGGTTTGTCGACTGCAAGGGTTCCGGTTGAGGTAGCTCCGGTAGTTCAACATCGCCCGGGTCGCTCACATATTGCCGATCATAAACAAATATTTCAGTCTGCAGTTTTCCATATTCATATAAGCACGCACTCCAACAAATCCTGGATGGTCTATCTTGGCTGGGGATGTGGGGGGGGGGGCCTTCGTACCTCAGTGGCAAGTGTTTGTATCTTCACATTTTTCCCCCGAGCGGTCATCAATATTTGTCTCGCAGGCGGAATAGACGTATTTCGGACAATCCATGATTTCAACGCATCCGGTCTAAACAGTCAACAGGAGTGGAGTCAGCGTGCATTCACGTAAAGCGAGGAGCAACAGGAGAGGCATCCCCACACCGATATCTGGGAGAGTGTACATACGAAGCAAAGGAAACCGGATCTGCGAGAAGATGCTCACCAGAGTGAGCGATGTAGATATGCAACGACATTCCCCCTCCTCACCATTCGATTCGAGCCTGAGAAGCTCGAGTGTCCAAGGGAAATGGGAGGGGATGGGTAATAAGCCAAAGGAACTTGAAGGCTGCAGCTCCCCCGTGAGCAGCTGCCTTCCCCACCGCCTCCGCGCCCGAGCATTATCATATCACCAGGTGCTTACTACTGGGCACGAGATCCCGATCCCCTCCATGGCGACCAAACATGCCCAATTGCCGCACCTGCGGTTGGGTGAGCTGACCCTCCTTGGTTATGCGGCAGATGACTCTCGTGATGTTGTGACCTTATCCGATCCAGAGGCACTGATCCTGCAACTCGCCAACCAGGTCCAGGAACAACAACTCGAAAAGGCGTTGCTAGAATCAGGTACGATCTAGATCCTCGAGGTTTTGGCTACTCTTTCTTTCACTTTTATTCGCCGATCAGACGGGTGACCTTTTTATTTATTTTATTTTTTCCATTTTTCGTTTTCTTGACGATGCTTATTTTATTGGCTTTGGCTTTGCGCTGATTACTCCTCAGATCCTGGGCCAGAAACAAGGCCACCCTCTCGCGATGAGATCGAGGAACACCTCGCGAATGCAGAACGCGAGTTGCTCGAGGCGCGCGCCACCTACACAGTCAGGAGGAAAGCCGCTCACACCATCCTCATGACCGACCCTATCCTGAAAGCGGTTCACCTGAAGGCCACTATTCCACCTGAACGGTAAGTACTCGAACTATCTGATGCATTGATTCGCGTCTCATGGGAATCGCGTAGGGCCCTTCTCCGCCTTGTGAACCGGCGCGACGTGCTCGCGCTAGCCCACGAAAATCTAGCCTCGGCACATGACCAGGTACTCAAACAGCTTTCTGACTCGGAGGTTGCGAATCTACAAATCAACCAGGAGAATCAAGAGCTGGTACGACAGCTTCTAGAGCTTACCAAGCAAGATGAAACATGGAGAGAGAAGCTGAAAGATGCGAAACTCTTGTCACAACTGGAACAATTGGAAACCGACTTCAAATCCAACAAAGCCCAATGGGATACGATGAAGCATATTGCCAGTGCGATGGTCGTCGGCAGCGGACTGAATTGGGCTGATGACGACCAGCTTCAAGCTTTGGTCCTGGATGAGAGTGAAGATTGATATTTATGACGAACCAACATGGTTCTTTTTTTCTTTACGAGTGGATCTAGTTGCATACCCCCAATAGGCCGGAGTTCCGGCGTCAACCCTCGAAATACAAATGTGATTTTCCGTGCATTTCTTTATCCTTCTGGAGCTTCCGGGCGATGTGCACTCGTAATTACCCAGGCAGGATATTAATAGGCTTCGGGTCACTTGATTGTGGCCCTGTAAGACCTTTGACCCACGCAGTACATCACCGCACCCGCAATGATGGAGTACCGGGGGGAGGGCGGAAAGGGAAAATGGAAAGGGGAAGAGTGAATTAACAGGATAGCGTATCTGGACAGGTCACCGCTTGGACTACAGGAAACATCGATTGGCAGAATACATGGATGCATATTAGGCCGGAGCCACATCCAGGGCGTCGTAGTGGGAGGGCAGCAGGATTACACAGTAATTCATGCTGCTCCCACTTGCACTGCGACGCAACCAGTCGATGACGCTAGGGTGGTATGTGATTACCACAAGAGTACCAGAGAGTACCAAAGAGTACCAAAGACCTTAGTACAGTACCCTACACTACCGTATTGCTGGTACACACTGTACCCTGGTATGTATCTGTATCGGAATGCCAGCCAAAAAAGTAACTTCCCCCCATCAAAAGCTGTGCTTCAAGAACTTTTGCACCTTTGCACTGCCGAATCCCCTAACAGCCTGCATCATTAGCGTGCAGAACATGACAGGTTCTAGGTACCTGCCGCCATCCACCAAGGAATGAATTATACCGAGGGAACAAACTCGACGCGTACCGTTCGTCCCTTATCCTTGTCCTTTTCTTACTCCGCCAGCTTGTGATTGCCTTTGGGGGGGGCTGCTCAGCCAGTAATGGAGCTGGACTGCTGTCTAACCCATTCCAATCCCGCGATCATCCCAAACTCCGTCGGGCCCACGCCTTGTTATTTGTGGTATCGCTCCGGCGATAAGTTACCCGTGTATAGTCAATCCAGCTTCCTTTCCGCTCGCGCGTTGTTGCTATGGTACTGTCTTCCGTACTCGGGTGCAGACCAGATAATTACCGTAAGACCCAATAACGGATGGCCGTGGAGTCATTTACCACACCCAGGACCACCCAATACTCGGTTGCAGGGTGGAGAGATGGAGGGAGAGGGGGGGTAAGATAGTCTGGGCGCGCACCATTTATTACACAGGTTGCTCTCGAGGTGGCCGTGCTTCCGCTCTGGTTCGAAGCTAGTCATGGAGGCGCGTCTGCTCTGCACGACCGCACCACCAAGTTCTACGTATAGCTGCGGCATATGAGGGAAGACAGGGTACAAAGTGGTCTCCCCATGCCCCCAGGCTCCCCCAGGCTCCATACATCCATACATCCATACGGCGGTATTGTCTTGGGGTTATTCAGAGCAAGGTGCCATTTGCGAGAATCATTGCCCCGCTTGAAAAGGGATTCGTGCATTGTGCATGGTAGTGGTGGTGAATGTGGTGGTGGTGGTGTGGTGGTGGTGTGGTGGTGGTGTGGTGGTGATGGTAGTGAGTATGCCATGGTCATGGTCATGGCCACCCTAGGCAGAGAATATTCACACGGATCAGAATTCCCGATATCCAGATACATAGACTTACATAGGATAGATGCTAATGAACTGGTGTGAATGGAGCACCGAGTACATACCAGTGTACACCACGCCATACACAGTGTAAGTACGGTAGGTAACTATGTATGGTACAGTATGTATTACTAAGATACATTCCCTGGCCAGTCAGCACCCGCACGCCCTTGCTGCCCACCATTTCGCCTGTGCCCCCCTCTCTCTCTCTGGCCTTTCCCTAGTACTACTGCCTCCCCTTCCTCTCTTCTCTCACACTCTCCCTCACGCTTCTACTACCAGAGCCCTCTCCCCCATACAATCCCCAGGTACTGCATATCCCGACTCTATATATCCCACACCCAATTTTTTCAACAACACCACCCACCACTCTTTTTTTCCGCGTTCTTCATACCTTGAATCACTTCTTTCCAGCCTCTTTCCCTTTGCTATTTTCTTCCTCGCGACCGTGATCTTCACTGTTGCGCGCTTCATCCTCCCATCTCTCTCTCTCTCTACCAACAACACACTAACCAAGCTCTTTATCACCAACAGCTCATCTCCAAAAGCTTCGCGCTATTCTATTTATCCCAAACTTCCTGTGAGTTGAACATTTCCTCCTGGTTCATTTCACCATCTGCTTTGCCATCTTGATCCCCATCGTCGCGCTTGCTTCCTCGAGCGCGCCTGTCCGTTGCCGAGTCAATCTTCACTCTGCGTTCAATCGCGCTCTTCCCTGCATTTCCCTAGTCGCATCGAAGTCGCATCATTCCATTTGTGCTGCTGCCGGGCGATTCCCTTCTGCACTATCACGGTGTTCCCGGCAGCTTCGGCAAAATCTTTGCTTGTTTATCACGTCACCTTTGTCTATATCACACAGTGCTAATCGATTTCTGCAGACAACATGCCTAAGGAGAAGACCACGACTCGCAAGGGCGGCAAGGAGCGCGTCCAGCGCCGCAAGAAGGGTAGGCTCTTCATCGTCCACCCGGGCGCATTGACTCGTCGACCCTCATGCCAATGCTAACTACCACCAGACCCCAACGCCCCCAAGCGTGGTCTGTCCGCTTACATGTTCTTCGCCAACGACAACCGTGACAAGGTTCGCGAGGAGAACCCCGGTATCACCTTCGGTAAGCTTTTCTTCTACTCCATCGCATGAGCTCTACTTCTAACACCACATACAGGCCAGGTCGGCAAGAGTCTTGGTGACAAGTGGAAGGCTCTCACCGAGACCGAGCGCAAGCCCTACGATGCCAAGGCTGCCACCGACAAGAAGCGTTACGAGGAAGAGAAGGCCAAGTACCAGGCTGTAAGTATCCCTTCGTCCACACTCAACCTCCCCTCAACACTAACTTCTCTACAGCAGCTCGCTGAGGAGGATGAGGAGGAGTCCTCTTAAGCGCCTAGCCGCAATATCACCAATTGCGCGGTTCACGGCGTTTGTGTCTTTACCTCTTTTTCGCTGATCTCTGGTTGTTCTCGTCGTTTCTGCATCACTTAGGGCTTTACGGAACGGTTCTACGGTGGTTTCTTTCTGCTTTTTTTGAACGCCCCCCGGGAAGGATGGGGAGGTTATCGTTTAATGGGAAATGTCTTCCGGAACTTCGGGCTCCATCCTATCGTTGTCAAATTATCCTCAATTTGCGTTGACGACTGCTAAAGTTAAAGCTGGATGGCCGGTGCCACAACTTGCAGGAATTCCGATGCGAGGTCGGCTTGCCGTATCCTAGTCTACTCAAATCAATAATATTTCCCTAAAATCGGCTCTTCCTAGTAAACTGTTGCTAATTTCGTACGCTTTAGCTATCCTCATCCCGACATGGTTTCTGGAATGGGATCTGCTTGGTCGCATGGCTCCGGTGGCCCAAGCTCCTACCCCGACGGGTCCGTTTGTTTACCCCGACGCGTCTGGGGGATCTCCGATTGGCGCCTGATGAACTAGGTGTCGATGTTCTTCTTGGCCTTGCGATCCCAGTGGGAGTTTATGCAGAGTTCCCTACTGATACTGAAGGGACAGTAATACCTAGTTACTGGCAAGAAGTGTAGTGGCCTTGATCACAATTGAATAGTTTCTTCTCAGAGTCAGTGTTGCCTTGACCTGGGTAATGCCAATTGAAAGACCCTCGCAGCACAGCTGGCTAGAGTCCTTTTGTTCAGATGTCAACCCAGGCCCCCAGAAACAGGTTACCCTAAATGCCATGCGATTATAGTAGTACAGATTTGAGACCGAGTAGTTCAGCTCCACACCGTGAGAAGCCGTGGGGTTCTTTGTCTACTCCAGTCACCACTGCGAGTCCCTACAACCTTGGAAGGCGTTGGCTGCATAGACTAGTCTGAGCTTAGCAATGACTAGTATGCTACCAAGCTTTCTATGGAGATTTCTGTTATTGACCCTCAGATCCATTGATTGACCTTAGTCACGGTAGTGGGGCCCTTCCCCAGTGGCTTAGGGCAGCAGGCGTATTATTATGATACTCTATATATATCTCGCATCTATGGATAGATATGATCCGACCACTCAGGTCTACTCCAGGGTGACTAGTACTAGAACTTAAATTACTCGGGACTTGCTAGACAGTCTAGACATCCTGTCCACTGCTAGCACTAGTACACGGTGGTCTGAATCTCTGAGTCTCTACTAGACCCCCCGGCCGCTCTGAGTAGATCAAATGCCAAGAGCCTCAATCCCCCCCGGAGATGAAGAGCACTGGCAGGCGGACTCGTTGCAAGATCATTGCCAACAACCTTCAAGTTGGCAGTGTCCTGAAGCCCCATAGACCGGACTGGATGTACACATGCTGCTATCAGTATTATGTACTACCTTCCAATGCCTGGAATATTTCAAGTTAACGGGATGAGCCATTCGACCGGCTCATGTCACACATTGACCGAGTCCGCCATTATTTATTCAGTAGAACCCCTGTAGTGAGCGAAAGACATTCCGTGCCTTGTCAGTATATACCTATAAAACTTGAAACCCGAGAGCAAAAGCTGCGCAAAAATTGGAAGTTAAGGTTCGATCACTGTATGCACGCACTGCGGGGATGTTATCTTCACCTGTGGATAGCGTAAGGTATGTATAACTCTGGGGATCTCAATTAAAAGTGGTACGTCTACTAGTTGAACCATCTTGTAGAGTCGCTTGTCATTTTAAAGAACAGGTATAAACGCATAAACGCCCACTTGATGTGTACGGAGTAGACCACACCGCATGCGCAATGCCAGGGCTGGGGATGGCGTCAGAATAGAACCTTGAATGATGGAGTATAACTTAATCCCGTCTCTGGTGAGTACGAGTATGTGCATATCTAGTACAGAGTACTACCATCCTGGACCGTAGGGCAAACGGAGTGGGGCAGGTAGGGACCAAAAAAAGAAAAAAAAAGAAATTCAATGGATAGATCGTCATAAGCAAAATCAAGTAGCATAATTGCAATCCAATGACTGGGGATGAGCCACCCTGAGACCCCAGTAGACCCCAGTGGACCAACCAGAGGCAGTCAAAGCATAGTCTAAGCCCCAGCGATGAGTCAAAGGGAAAACACGAGGGAGCGCACAGGGCCGCGTCGGGCTCCCAACCGGGACTAGTGGAAGTCGGGGAACCCGAAGAGGGAAAGCGCCCCTCCGGCCCAGGCTCCTATACAACCTCCAGCACCGCCAGCCTGAGGTTCTCTTTCTTTTCCTTTCGGAGTCCCTTCGGCTTTCGACTTGACAATTAGGATTCACGGCCTTGAGCCCCGGGGCCGCCTAGTCTTTCATTAATTCCCTGAACGGTTACAGTGTCCATTCCTGTATACCCTCCCCCCCCCAACTCTTCGACCCCCTCCACGTTAACGATACCCACCCCACCAATCCCGACATCATGGCGTCTCTCGGAGATCAGCTATTCTTCACGGATGTCCAGACTCAGTCTGATGACTGGGTAGACTTCGAGCAATTCCTCGACCTCCCGGTGGCTTATGGCGATGACTATTCCGCCTCCGCCACCGTCTCGCCCGACATGAGTCTTCCATACGATGCTGAAACGCTCGGAAATGACCTGCCGGACTTCTCTCAATCCGCCTTTCCTGACATGATCAACTATGGAACCTCCGATGATCAGTTCCTGGCCGACCAGTCCCCTGTATTCGGAATGATGCCGGATACTCCGATCTTCGACGATGAGATGTTCAATTCTTACCAGCCTTACGACGACAACGGGCTTTCCTTCCGCCAGATGGTCGAGACGCAGGCCGCCGCCGACCCTCGTACCACTTCTATCAAAGAAAAGCGCCGCGAAGCCGCCATTGAATTGCACCTCCAGCGATTGTGCGATGCCACCGCCCGCGATCTGGACATGTCTTCCGATTCGAATACCAGCTTCTCTTCCCCAAGCTGGTCGGATTGCATGCGTGGAAGCATTTCTCCTCAGCCTGCGAGCTTTGAAAGCCCCGAGAACACTCCTGCCTCCGCCTCCGCCTCTAGCGCTGGCACTGGAGGCCTCGAAATGGTTCTTGACCTGAACATGAATGCGACTACCAACCTGCCAAAGAAGCAGAAGCCTCGCTCCCAGGCGCAGAAAGAGAACTACATCAAGGCTCGCAAATATGGTGCTTGTGAGAAGCACAAGAAGCAGCATAAGAGGGTAAGCATGAATTCTCCCTTAACCAACATCATTTTAGAGACGAGAATGCTGATTCATGACTAGTGCAACTGCCTGGAAAAGGCCGCCGCTCGTGCTGGAGTCAGCGACGTTCCACTGACCACCAATGTCAAAGAACGGCCGCGCCAACCAATGCTTCATGCTCCAGTTCTTCCAGATACGCGCCAATCCGGCGTACCCGGACACGATCCTTCACTGGTTCCACGCCTCGCAGCCAAGATGATCAAGAGATCAATCAGCAGTTCCCCGGAACACGATCCATCGCGGGGCCTATGCGCTGTTCTCCCCACTGTGAGGACAACAAAGCGAAGCGATGTCCCAGGCCACGATCGAAACCCGTCTGGCGTTTTGCCGGCCGTCAGGGCTACAAAGCAAAGCGATACTGCGGCTCCAGATCGACTACGCAACACTTCTTTTACCTGGTCAATTGTCAGGACATCGAAGCAGAGCGATGTTCCAGGCCAAGATCGAGACACGTCTGGTATTTTGCCAACTGTTCGAGCCACGAGACAAAGCAATGTCCCAGGCCACGACCGGCAAAACAACACCTTTGTTGTTTCGCCGACTGCCAAGGCAACGAAGCAAAGCGATATTGCGGGTCAGGACCGGCAATACGCTACTTCTGTTTTGTTGCCAATTGGCAAACGAAGCAGCAGTGTACCGGGTCACAACTCGCAGTACAACTCCTCTGGCGTCCTACATGTAAACCAAAATGTCGGAAAATTCAACAGAGCACCAGGTCACGCGAATTCGTGCCGACCACCAAGTGTTCTTCAATCTGCCAAGGCAAGTCGCGAGTCGGCAGTGCGTTCGCGCACCGTTGGCCCTGCGACTGTGCTTTCGAAGGACAGAAACAACAGAAACGTTTCGCCGACAAGCTCGAGCGCAGGCAATTCACTCAAAGCAATTCTGCAAGTTCGGCCCCCCACCACGGGAATGCCTTCACGTCCTTTGGAGACCTCCGAGCCAGGCCGCACCCGCATCCGCTCCAACCAAAAGCAGTACGCTCCGAGGCTCTGCAGTTCGAATACCCTGGTTATCTCAAGACCCAGCCACAAGCCAACTCCGCAAGGAGTCAATCAGCCACTGGAGAGTATATCTACAGTGCCAAATCATGGACCAAAGCAAAGCCTGGCCCAACGCTCGTCGCGCTCACTATCGCCTATTCATGGAATCGCATCTCAAGCTATTCCAACTGGGCAAACTGTTCGCTCGATTACCAGTCAACTTGGCGGGTTATTTTCAAGCGTTGTCTCGACGGTCTCTGGTGCCTTGTTTTCGGCGGTATCGCCGGCATTTGCCTCTCGGTCTGAACAATTGATGTTCAACTGTCTGTCATTCTGTGGCGCCCACATGATGTCTGCAAAGAAAGGCCTCCAGCTGTATCAGCTTTAGGACAAGAATTTTGCAGCATCTGCGCTCACAGCCCGTGAGGTTGGAGCATGATAATCATGTGGCTCCCTTGTTATAGATAAGGATAGCCTAGTCTCGCAGAGCGATCTTGATGGTCACATTGTGTTTGTATTAGGCTAGAGTTCGAAGGTTGGAGGAAGATGGGTATCTGGAGAGCCCAGCAGGATTTGACGATAATCGCTCTAGAATCTAGGTCACATATAGACAGATTACAATAAACAAAAGCAGTCATGATCCTATCAGATTTTGGGTTTACATTCCACTTAAAAATCGTAATTAATCGCGGTTAATCCTACTTAAAATGTGGACTTGTTTGCGGTGCTCCATAGCGGCAACTGTCTAAACCTTGCCGCTGAGGTAAACTCCGTCTCTAGAGTTACTTGGTCAGCTTAGTAGGTGAAATTAATAACCGTTCCAAGACGAACAGAATATGAAGAGCTGCCGCACTCTATAGTATGGTAAGGGAGGATGTGGAGCGAGGACAAAGCACCGAAATATTCTAGAATCTCCAAGAATACCAAAGCTAATAATACGCAAAGAATCAGCATAACAGTTACCAGCCCTGCTTTTGCCAAATCATTCTAGCCATCTCCTTCAAGCGAGATTTTGAAATAACTAGATTTCCCTCCTGGATTTTGACGAGTAGAAGCTGCCCTTGGGTATCAAACGATGAACAGAACTTGGCAATAAGGAAACAACGACGATCATCCTGTGCATCATCGCCTTGGCTGTTATGGTCGGGTTGTTGTGCTGGCATCGTAGCGATAGTAATTCCAAATAGAAAGATAGCCAAAGAAACCAGAGGTCTTGAGTTTCCCTAAAGGCAAATTAACAAGTTAAATGCCTATCTATATGTAGTCTTGCGTAGGTTACCTCATGGTGAGCCTTCAAGTTTACTGGCGACTCCCGAGGTTCATGACAACTTTAATAATGCTTACATTCAGTGGCAGTACCAGTGACCGCTTAAATTACATGGTGATCGAAAGCTAAATTATCAATTTAAGTAACCTGTGTATAGTTGAAGCCTGTCAAATACATGCACTATTTAGCCGAAACCGAGACCAATTGTCCTAAAAAAGCAGCTCCGGAACTCAATAAACCCCGCTCTGTCTGTAAGGAAGTGGAAGTGCAAGTAATCTAAGAAAAGCTATTAATTTAATCGAAGGCAAATCTTGAACAGAAAACATCAGATAGTAACTAATGAGTGATATTGAGTGATCACTAGTTAGTTAGTTAGTTAAGTAGCGCTGATTAGTCACTGAGCCTGAGCCTGACAAGAAGCCCCACCTGGCAGATATTATCCTGTCTATTTAGGGGCATACCAACCAGCTCTTCGAAACTGCGCTAGTAATACTACACCATGCGAAAAGCAACATCTTTCAAATTATCTACGTTGGCTGGGTACTTTCTTCAGGATGATCCCTCCACTGACCCGGATACATTCGACTATGTAAGTACAAATACGGGGAGGGGCTAGTTCAAATCCATCTCACGCTCATCACAGGCAAAATCGAACTTTGGTCTCATTCGCCGCGCGTATGGTTCAGAGACCGAGGAATCGAAGGAAGATAGCCAATGGCAAAAATTCAGCAGGGAAATTCAGCGCCTGAATGGCCAAGCGGAGCCAAATACCCGATATAAAGTGCTCTTTCTAGGCCGACACGGTGAAGGCGTCCACAATGTTGCCGAGAAGCGATATGGCACCAAAGCATGGGACGTACGTCTTTCTACAAAAATGAATATTGTATTTGAAGAAACTCAGATGGCTCATTCAATTTACAGGAGTACTGGTCTCTGCTCGACGGCGACGAATATGGTACTTGGGTTGATGCCCGTCTGACAGACGTAGGTATCTCCCAAGCTAAAACTGCACGCGCAGCTTGGGAAAAACAAGTCAAACATAGCATCCCGACCCCGGAATCATATTACGTGAGCCCGTTGATCCGATGCTGCGCGACTGCCCAGGTTACATTTGACGAATTGGATATGCCGCTCACCAAGCCTTTTCGACCAGTCATCAAAGAAGTAAGTTGCATATATCTAATATGAATGAGCTATAAAGCGAAGGCGAATCTGATTGGAATGCAGCTCCTACGCGAGACTATGGGTGAGCACACTTGTGACCGCCGCTCTCCGGCTTCTACAATCGCGACCGAGTTTCCGCAGTATCAATTCGAAGCAGATTTCACAGAAGAAGATCTGCTGTGGGACGCGAAGACGCGCGAGTCCAATGAAGACCGCAATAAGCGTCTTTTCGAATTGTTGTGTGATATCTTTGCTAGCGATGATAATGTTTTTCTCTCGCTGACAGCGCATTCCGGTGCCATTACGAGTATCCTGGAAGTGGTTGGCCATCGAAGGTTTCCTTTGCAGACCGGAGGTGTTATTCCTGTCATCGTGAAGGTGGAGGGAAATCGTCCCCGAAGTAAATGATGATACGGGATATGGTATATAGTACTCGTATATGGTGGGACAGATAGTGAATAGTATAAGGTCCGATGAAGATTTCCATAGAATGGTATTGATCATATTGTACATAGGCTCACAAGCCTGGCTTTCTCTACTGGAAATGCCAAAAAAAAATCCTCTTCACACCCTAGCCAATGGGCAACAGAAACAACAAAAACCGGTTCCAGCTAGGATGGGCACACGGATGTAAATAATACAACGCAACGGAACGGAAAACGCCAATGGGGAATCGATGCTCAGCCAATTACCAGCTGTACCATTGGTTTTGAGCAGAAATCTTCCGATCGGGAAGCTGGGTCCAGAGCTTGGCTGTCCGCTTCCGCAATGCATCGGCTTCACGCTCCTGCCACTCGCGGATAAGGGTCTTCTGTTCCTTCAACACAACGGTGATACCAGTGGCCGGAGGACGGAGGTGGTTGATTTGACCACGGGCACGGTGGTCCATACCGAATCCGTAAGGGCCACGGTTGACCCAGGCTTGTTGAATATAGATATTCGTGGGGTCGGTAATCTCCTTGCGCTCGCCGGACTTGAGAATGACGGTGATGGGCTTCTTGTCGGACTCCTCGGTGGCCGACAGGCCCATGCCGGCACGGACCATGGCGACGTTTTTCGCGTGCTCCAGATGACCAAGGACATCCTGAGCGGCCTTCTTCTTGCTGAAACGCATCTGCAGGATCGCCTCATCGAGATTCTTGCCAGAGATTTGGCGGGCCAGGGGGCCTAGTTTCTTGACCGAGGTCTTGAACCAGTGCGACTTTGAGAGAGATTCACGCTCTGTACGCGCAATCTGCACTTGCCTGGAAATCCGGCCGCCCTTTTTGATTTCCCGGTTAACCATCTTCTTTTCCCACCGAAGTTGAGCTCGGGGGTTCGGGTTCAGAGCAAGTTGGAGGCGTTTCTTATCCCGCTGTTCTAATGGAAGGTCGGCCTGCTCGGAGTCACGCTGTTGCATCTGTTCCTTCTTCCGGCTTGGTGTGGGACCCGATGTTGCTTTAACGTCGTCGGCGAAAATCGAGTTCGCACCCAAACCAGCTTCCTCCCGCTTGGGAGCGGATGGAGTACGAGCGGTCTTGGGTTTGTCGCCAAGAACCCACTTTTTCATGGAGGAGAGCAGGGAAGACTTCTTCTTCTTTTCGCCGGGAGGAGGGGTGGTATTACCAGCGTCATTATTGGCGCGGCAAACAGTTGTCGAGGTCAATGTCCGTCGGGGGGCGCACGAGACACGATTCCGGGCGGCTTGATTGAATGGTCAGTATGGGATGGATTTATTTCAATAGCAATAGCTGTCAAATATGACAGGAACTCACCTGCCCGGACTAATTGTCCAGAAGGATAGACAGCACCCATTGTGGCCATAAAGTGGAGTGTTGTTGATCTGGCTGGAGTAGAGAGCGATGGACGATGCGGAAAAAAGGTTGAACTTGCTTGGATTGCGCGAGTGGTGTCTGCCGCCACCCTTAGTTGCCTGAGGCTACAAAGATTTGATGCCTTAACTTAGTTAGTCAGTTATTATGCCTTCCTCTCTGCCTGAGGCCACCAGGTGGGCCCTGCGGCGCGACGTGATCGATCAAGCAGTGAACAACTGCAGGTGCTTCCTCCTTCTCTTCCCCCCACGAACGTATAAGACTTGGCTGTAGAGAGAAACAGAGACTTCAAGACAAATGATGCGTAAATTCCCTTCAATTTACGCAACTTAGACTGTTGCTACATCCCACTTGATTTCCTCTTTTCCTCCCCCCCCTCCCTCGTCACGCTCTTCCTTCACCGTCATCTCCACCTGCGAAGATCCACTAGTCTTCCTCTTTCAGGGCCTTCAGTGCTCTCTCTTCCTCTCCTCCTGTCTTTCACCGGCACCTTTTACCCTCCCTCCTTCATCCTCCTCCCCCCCACCTAGATTCCCAGGCCACTCTAGCCTGTGGCTTCTATCCCTTTCTTCTCGTCCTGCCGATATTTCGTCTCTGTCGAATTCCGTTTCTGAATCGGCCAAGAAGCTTCGGCCTCCTCCCGCTCTCTCTCTTTCACCTTTCTTTTCGCCATTTCAACTCACCATCCCCACCAGCATCGCCCCGGTATCCTGCAACCGGAAACTGAATTTCCTCGTCCCCATCGGTATCGCGCGAACCCTGTTAGTGACCCCGGAAACCGGTACGACGAGGCGGGATCAGATCACAAGCTTGTGTTGGCCGATGGAGGAATGGACGACACGCTGAGAAGTATCGTGCCCGCCGTCTAAACTGGATCTCTGCTGTACCAGCACTATCCGTGACATCTGGTCTTTGACATTTTCTTGCCTTCTGTCGCTCTTCCCTTCCTTGTCTTGTCCAGCGCCAGTCGCGGACTCTGATTTTGCAAGATGGACATCAATTCATTGCTGTCTCCGGACTCGAATACAAAGTCTGGAAATTCGACTCCCGTGCCCGGTCCTACGTCGAACAACGCACCGACCCCTGCTGCAGGACCATCTTCCCATAAAGTCATTCAAAGAGCTCGGTCGGGTCCCGCTCGCAAAGGGAAGACCTCCTCGCCTTTAGCGCAGCACGTCTATGTCCCGACGACTGGGATTCCCGAATCATCCCCGCCCGCGCCCAACCACAACCCCAACCCCAAAGTTACCGGCAATGGTGCACCCTCTACGACCGAGTTGCCGCCGCAGTTAAGACAAGCATCGACACCTGGGATGGATACACTGGCCGACTTAGCTGCATTGCAGCATCATCAGCCGCAACGGCAAAACGCTTCGAGCATGCTCCGCAGCACCGAGTCGTACGAGAGTCAGCTGTCCCCGTCAACTATCCATCCACACGTGAACCCGATCAACCACAACACCCCTACGCCGCGCACATCGTTTGATATCGCCATGTCCGAAGGTCCTCGTGAAAATGCGCGCAGGGGTTACGGGCAAACATCTTTGGACCCGGACGCGCAGCGCCTGGCGACAGAAGCATTCAATATCATACAAGAAAACCCGCATACTTATGACGCGCACGTCAAATTCATCGGTATCCTGCACACAGGCTTCGTGAACCACGTTTATCCCCCCCAATCGTCCAGGTATCCATGGCGACCCGCGTCGCTACGACCTACTGAATGATCTGAGGATAGCTCGCGAGGAGATGGACAAGCTTTTCGCCATGGGTCAAGATCTTTGGGCTGAATGGATCGCAGACGAAACTCTGCTGGCCCATACAGTAACTGAGCGTATTGCTGTTATGGAGCTATGTCAACGATCAGTCGAAGAGGAGTTTGGGAGCACCGAACTCTGGAAAATCTATGGTGACTGGGTGCTCCATTTATACAAAGAGGCATATGAGCATGGGCCTGGCCAATGGACCGAAGAAGATCGAATGATAGGTCGCGAAGTGTTCAGCTGGCAATTGGTCTTGGACGTCTGGCAACGAGCTGCGGAAGCTACCAAATGGATGATCAACGATGTCGAAGGTGTCTGGGATAGGTTCCTGGAGGTTCTTGACAACGACATTGACCGGGCTTCTCCCAATTCTCAGGAACGAATCGGGAAAATCAACAATCTCAAAAATCTGTGGGACACCCGACTGCAGACCCCTCATGCCGAGTGGGACCAGTCATTCCAGAAATTTTCCGGCTTCATTTCTAAGCATTATGGCCCCGCCAACTACGAAGAAATTATGGCCAAGACAGTCGCCGCTGCCTCGGAAGCCAAGGGTCTCTATGAAACACGAGAGAAATCCGAGTCTGAACTGAAAAAGGCTCAGAAGTCTGGTGATAAGACTCTCGAATGGGCAGCGTACTCAGAGTACATCGATACCGAACTCGCCCGAAAGCGTCCAGTGGCTGGACGGCGGAATGGCTTCCATCTATTTCACTTCGAGCTTGTCAATGCTGTCTACCAACGAGCAGTCTTGCGCTTCCCCACGGATGTTTCTCTTTGGGAAGACTATGTCATGTTTCTTATTGACCAAGCTATGCATGGCCATGCTTCTACCACTACAATCGCAACCCTGGATCGTGCAACACGCCATTGCCCCTGGTCCGGTAACCTTTGGTCTCAATATCTTTTGAGTTCAGAGCGAGAAGGTCAATCGTTCTCCAAAATCTCCAATATCAAGCACAAGGCTACCAGCACAGGTTTACTCGATGCTGGAGGCATGGAGGAAGTTTTGAAAGTACACACTACTTGGTGCAGCTATCTCCGTCGACGTGCTTTCTTCTCAGACTCGACCGATGAGGATTTAGACGTTGCGCAAGTCGGCATCCTATCCGCAATGGAAAGTGTGCAAGAGCTAGGCGAGAAGAAGTATGGTCAGTCATACCAAGGCGATCCGCTTTTCCGCTTGGAACGCATCTATATTCGATATCTCAGCGAAAGCGGCAGCTGGGATAGCGCAAGAGAGAAGTTCAAGGATCTCATCCCACGCCGTGGCAATAGCTACGAGTTTTGGCTTGTCTACTATGGCTGGGAACTCATTTGCTGGAGGAAATTTGTGCTAGGCGAAGCGACTGTCGACGCAGCGAGACGAACTCCCAGCCCAAGCTATGCGACTGCTGTACTGAAACAGGCCATTAAACGGACGGACCTCGACTGGCCAGAGAAGATCGTGCAAACTTATATTGCTCATTGCGAAGACTACGAAGACTCTGACGAGCTTCAGCTTGCTGTTATTGAGACTCGAAAAGCCGTGAGGGCTGTCAACGCTCGCAGAGAAAATGAGGCCCGCGAAGCCGCGGCAGCTCAAAATTTGCAGCAACAACAATGGGAGGCGGCTGCTGAAGCCGAGGCGTCCTCGTCGGAAAAGAGAAAGCGCGAAGAGGATGAGATTGATGCCAACGGCGAACCGACAAGTAAGAAAGCTCGTGGCGACGAACAGGTCCCAGAAGAGACTACAGCTGCTCCAGCCCCCAGCCGTGATCGTGAGAACGCAACAGTTGTGGCCAAAAACCTCCCGCGGGGGGGTGACAGAGCTCCAGGTTCGACAGTTTTTCAGGAATTATGGCACCATCAACAGCGTGAAGATCCTGACTGGCGAAGAGGAGAACGCAACTGCGCACGTCGAGTTTGAGGCCAGAGAAGACGCTCTGGGAGCCCTAGCCCGTGATCAGAAGCTCCTCAATGACAATATCATCCAAGTGCAGCTTGAGTCAAGCTCGACCCTGTGGGTTACCAACTTCCCCCCGACTGCCGATGAGGATTCCATTCGTCAACTATTTAGCAAATATGGTGAGATCGTCGATGTGCGTCTTCCTTCGCTCAAGTTCAAAACCAGTCGACGATTTTGCTATCTTCAATTTTCCTCGCCCGCGGCCGCCCTTAACGCCACCGAACTTGACAATACTGTTCTTGACAAGGGCTATAAGCTTAGTGCGAAGATCTCGGATCCTATGAACAAGCAATCTCGCACCGGCGCTACGGAAGAAGGCCGGGAGATCCATTGCAAGAATCTCGATTTCAAACTGAATGAGCAAGATGTCGAAGAACTCTTTCTGAGATTTGGAACGGTTGAAAAGGTGTCCATGCCACGGGATAATAATGGCCGAAAGATGGGATATTGCTTCGTCATTTTTTCCACCAAGGAGGAAGCCGAGGCTGCTCTCTCGATGAACAACGAAACGTTCGGCTCTCGCGCCCTCGTGGTGACGAGGAGTGTTCCTCATGCCAAGCGTATGACGCATACCTATATTTCTGGCGTTGACAGGTCGCCATCTGTGGAAGTTAATGGCGATAGATCAAATGCTGCGCATAGCCATACTGCTAGTGATCATCGCGAACGTACACTTGCTTTGATGAATATTCCCGATACGGTCAATGAGGCACGCATTCAGGCCATGGTAGAGCCTTTCGGACAGTTAATCAAGATTTCCCTGAGGCCGGATCACCAAGGTGCCATCATCGAATATGCCAACGTGCAAGACGCCGGCAAGGCGGCTTTGGCACTGGAAGGGAAGGAGATTGCCCCGGGTCGGGCACTTCACATCGGTGGTGTAGCGGAGTTGATGGCACTCAAAGCCGAGAGGAAGACTGATCGAATCACGTCTATCAAACCGGAGAAGCCTAAGGTCAGCCTCCAACCTGCTGGCCCTATCAAGCGCCCCCAACAACCTGGAGCTCGTGGGGGTCATGCGGGCCGTCGTGGAGGACTGGGCCTGAGGCGGGCCATGGCCGCACCGCCGCCACCCAATAATGACCAAATGGATACTACCCCTGACGACAAGAGCGGCGAGAGTGGAATGCCTAAAAAGAGCAATGACGATTTCCGTGCGATGCTACAGCAGAAGCAGAAGCGCGAGGAATGAATCAATTGAAGTGCAATGAATTTATCCGGCGCAAGGTCCTGGCATGGATCTAATTGGCGTTTGTCCTTTGTCTTTTATCGTTCTGAGGTAGTGCCTCGATGCTACTACATTGGTTACTTGAGTAGGTATTTATGCTAGATCATGTGGCAGATATTTGGGCCCACTCTGTTTTTTTCTTTGAATTGTCTCCATTTCTCTTTGTTCTTGTGTCGGACACATTTCCCCCTCATGTATATTAAGTCTATTTTTCTGGATTCAGTTCTAATGATCACGGCTTTTCCAAGAGACCCTCTGTTGCTTTCGGGGGTTCTCCATGTTACGAATTCTGCTATTCTGTCTGGTCAGGGTACAACTTAACGTACTAGTAGCTAGTAGCGAAGAGAGTAGGGGGAGAGTTTCAAACCCCATTAGTTTACCTGATGCCTGATACTATAGCATTCAATACCACCCCCAAGGTGCCGCAAGCTGATTCTACTATCAGGCGCAAACACGTCGTACATAAGAAAGCTGTTAAAATACAGAGGAAGAGTGGCCTCCAACCGAGTTCCTCTCACTACCAGTAGCTGGTTAGTTAAACTGGCTTACATGTAGACATGAAGGACCTTCCCTGGGTTTATACAGCCATTCCTATTCCACTAGTATCCTCTATGGATTCAAAGTCAATCCGTAAGTACACTGCATTTGGCTCCCTAGTATGCCCTAAGCCCCTGAAAAGAGGATAGATCGACTGGCAGGTGCATAGACCGCTGCCTTGATTTGGGTGACAAGAGTGGGAGAGTGGGACGAGGTTGACGGGAGTGACGAGGTGTGGGTCGCAGTCACAGTCGCACCTCCACTTTGGAATCTCCGACACTCTTCATACTTCTTCTCTCCACTCTAGGCTTCCAAGAACTGGAGAGGACAACACTTGTATACTGTACAAATATATCTCAACATCTCCTCCCTCGCCTCAGCCACACGTCGATGAGCTCGCCCGTGGCACGGGCCAACCTTCACCCTCCTTGAACCCTCCTTGAACCCTCCTTGAACCCACCTTGAAACCCACCTACGCAATCGCACTTCCTCCTCTTGACTCAACCTCCAACCTCCATGGATTTCCACCTGGTGCCTCGAGGCACCGACCGGAACTACACCGGCTTTTTTACTAAAACCATCGTTTACTTGGGAACTTTGGTCATTTTCATCGCCTGTAAGTTCCAGTCCATCCTATCCTATCCCTCTCCAAGCGCCGGCAGCGCCAAGCTTAAACCGGCGGAGCCTCTGACAAGTACCATCTGTACAGCTTTTGCGCTCACCATATCCTCGATCGTTATCCCTCGATGGATCAGCTATCATAGCGAAAAGGTGAGTTGGGTCGATTCTCAGACGAACGATCAACTAGCGTAGCTGATCTAACATCCTTGCCTGGTCCAGCCCGCCCACCACTATTCTTACGGCCTCCACCACCGCTGCTCCTCCCTCACCGATACCTGCGAGAGCTTTCCACAACGCGAAGACTGCCATGGCGACGACCGATATTTCTGTTCCATGTGGCGCTCTGTGGGATTCCTCATGTCCTTCGCTGTTGTTCTCGAGGGAATGAGTATCGTCACCTACATGATTATCCTCGGGGGCGGGAAACGGCTCCGCGAAAATGGTTGGAGGATTCTCAGCATTTTGATTGTAATATCTGCCCTGATCCAAGCGGCCAGCATGTCAATAGTGGTATGTATTCCCCGCATAAAGCTACAGGTTCGGTGGAGTACTGATAGATTCGGCTCGGTAGGCATACCTATTCGATAATGAAGATCGATTCTTTGTTGGGTGGCGGCTTGACCAGTCTTGGGTCTTTTGCACTGTCAGTTGGTGCGCCGGCCTTTTCTGTGCTGGCGCAATCATCGCCGCGGCACATATTTTACCCTCCGAGGGCGGTTATGAGTTGATCCCGGATCACGATGAACTGAGGGTCACTTGATCAAAGACTACTTGAAAGGTGACTTCCTGTCAATCATGAGATATATATACGCCGCATCACAGTTTCTCAGGGAGTAAACTCTGCTATGACCTGAAATCACTGTTCATTTATGTTATACCCCCCCGTTGTTCCCCATTCTACCCGCCTTTCCTATTTCATGATGTGGTCTTTCTTGGTGGTGTATTGATCAACTTTGTCGTTTATCATTTGATATTTATTTAATTTCTTGGAGCTAGGACTACATATTACCTCCTACCTCCATCTCATCGGGTTTCGAACGAAATACAATCAAATAGCTGGGCTCCACGGTTGTGCTTGGCGGAGCTGTATCTAATTAAAGTGTCTACTAGTACTTGGGGAGTTTTAGTACAACACATCTAATGACTCTGTTTATCACTTTTTATAAATTGAGATTCAATCATATCTTCGTAGACCGTGGCGCAGACCTTCAAAAGTAACGATCAGACCGGTATCAAACCACGGGTAGCACGGGTCTATATAGAAAAAAGAAAGAGAAAATAAAACACAAAATCAACCACACCGGGCGTTCATCGCAAGGGAAATGCATCATCAAGATTCATCACAGCAATTTGTACATGGTGAACTGTCCTTCGCCGCAAGTCACCTACCAAACAATTTCCTTGCCATTCAGGCCTTCAATAGCCGGGACCTGTGCGCGTAGCGCCTGTCCATAATCACCAGCATTTGGCGTTCGCAGCAAAGTGTGGATGTGGAACTTCTTCGGTTCCTCGTTGTTCAAGAAGACGCCGGAGTGGTGATCAAACTCGACCAGGATGACGGGACTTTGGATACGGTAATAGAAGGGATCTTCGTTGCCATAGCCACCAATCCAACAGAAGTAAGTCTCCGCCTCCCAGCGGCGAATCTGTTCGATCTTCAAGGCGCGTGATTTGGCCGGTAAATAGAGCAAATATTGTTCGAGGATACCGTACATAAGGCTCTTTTGCTCGTCGCTGAATGTTGAGGCCAAAATGCCCTCGTATGGGACCTCGCGGTTGTCGCGATACGCGCCGCACAAGTGACGCTGGTCATCCTTGTTCCAACGACCAGGCGGCATGGCGGGATCTTTCATTAGTGCGAAGACACGAGCCTTGGACTGCAGCTCGGCGGAGAGAGACTGCATCAGCTGGAGACCGAGTTTCTCTTCCGTTTGCATGATGCGGGTGCCGGCATATGGACCGCCGTCGATTTCGTTTGGTTCGGCACCGGTGAACCAGGGGGACGCGATAATCTGGCCCTTATACAGGAAGATGTTCAAGCACAGATGATGACCGTAGAAGGACCAGCCCCAGGGTCGGGTTGTAGAAGGTTGACCGAAGAGAACAAAGTTGTAGGAGAATTCGTTCATGACGCGTGGTGACTTGACCAGCTCACCGAGGAAGTGGTTGATGCGCATGGCGCTCACGGCCTTTTCATAACCTTCCGGCGAGAGAGTGGTCTTCAACACGTTCATAACGGCATCGCGCACTGGCGCATTGACTTCATCCAGACGCACGCCCTTGTGCGCGAGGAGGAACTCCGGGTTTGACCAGGTGCGCCATTGCGGGGAGTCGATGTGGTAGTTCACGGCTTCTTTTTGCTTATCATCCAGCAAACCTAGCATTGATTGTGTCGCATCCACAATCTGCTGAATTGGAACATCTTCATCTTGCAATGTGAAGAGGTCGGGGCGGACCTTGCCTGGACAGTCGAAGTTAGCATCGCCCTCTTAACTTTAGCTTCGGCACAAGGCCATACCATCCGTGGTGACACCCTTGAAGGGCTCTTGTAGCAGCTCCAGCCAATACATGTAAAGCGCATGTAGCCACGGGGGCTGCTTCCCGGTCTTGAACTCGTGTGCGTATTCATGCGCATCCTGGGTGCACATCACCTGGAATCGCGTGAGATTCAGGTCGGGCAGGTATTGGCGATATTCGCCGGTTGGCTTCTCGTCTGTGGCCATAGTGTATGTGGATGTTCCGCAGTGCGATTGCGGATATTGAATGGCAGGGAAAATGGAGGGGTGGCAGTGCTCCAAGTATTATACGTCGTCAAGTCTTGACCCCACACATCGATGCTCCCCACGAGCGTGGGGATTGTGGGTGAGTTTTTACCCGTCGGCGGTTCATCTGCGGTGGCAACACTTTGCCCAGGACCAATCCGGATGAGCCGGAAAGGCATTTACGAGTGCAGTGATTGACCAGGGGAATCGGTGCAACGGAGAAGACAGAAGACTTTATGGGTATGCATTCCAAGGTTGGCTCAGGCATTCGATGGAGAGAGGGGGATGGGTGATGGAGCTCCGTGGGAACGGCATTGGGAATCATATGGTGTAGATCGCAGAATACAGCTTACTTCGACGTCACATAAATGGGCCTCCTCACATAACTATCACTGGGAGAGCCTCTGGGATGGTATTTATGCAATGCTATCACTGCTACTCGACATCGCGGGGAACTTGAAGTCCCCCGCCATCGGCCACTTTCGTGGGGAACCAAGTGGGAAACATCTGTCCACAATTCCCAGCTGGATTTCAATTTCATATTGTACAGAGTAATTGGTTGCTCTGGTTAACAGTGGCATGATCTAGGAATGTTTAGAAATGCTGGACGAAAATACCCCTCATGGCTGGTCGTATAGAGAGACAACCCCCCCCCCTCCTTCTCAAGCTTGACAAAGACATGCGCGTCTACTTCATAAACATTGAGCCCCGCGGGCCAACAAGGAGAGAAAAAGAATCACGGCGAATCACAATTGATCATGAAGAGGGCCCGCAGCAAATGTGCTGGGTCTACTCGGATCTTCCGACTGCTACGGCTTCTCCGCCCTCGGCTTCCAGTCCCCCGCATGCCGAACAGCTCCCAATGCGAGTTTAAAACTTCAAGATTCTCCCCCCAGAGTTCCATTCACATACCCCAACAAAATACCTACACAATGTCGCTTCCTTTCTCCAACCAGCCCCCGGAGTCGCGGGTTCCCTACGCCATCCCTCAACTGGAGGGTGAGCGCATTACTATCCCTGGAAGTAAAGGCGTCTTCCGCATTCTGACTTCTTCCAAGCAGACCGGGGGCCTGATGGCCGTTTTCCAGAGTGGTGCTACTATCTCGGATGCCCCGGGCTTTCACTATCATAATAAGGCTCATGATGTCTTCTTGGTCACGAAAGGATATCTGAAGCTGTGGAATGGAGACCAGTGCCGTATCATGGCTCCCGGTGACTTTGCCTATGTTCCTCCGGTATGAATTGACCTCCAAAACCTATTGAATATTAGCTCATGGTAGCCTTCATAGACCGTTGTTCACAATCCCGAGATGATCGGCCCCCACACCGAGATCCAGGGCTTGATTACCCCCGGAGACTGGGTGGATTTCTTCCGCTATGTGTCGGAGCCCTACGAGGGAATCCTGGTACCTGAGACGGACAACCGTGATCTTAAGTCCATTTTGATCCCTAAAGTCATGGCCGCGAAAGGGAAGTTCGATGTTGTCTTCCAACCCAACTATGTCCCACCAGAGGTCAGTGACTGGACAAAGGAGGACGAGAAGCTGCCACAGGGCAACGAGGGGTATTTCCTGCGCGCCAACACAGGTCCCCGATGGATGCTAGGTGGAGTGATGTCTCGGCCATTCGTTACCACCAAACAGAGTGACGGGGTGTGTGCTATCTCAAGCATTGAGTCATCCAAGGAATACGGCGAGACAGTCTTCTCCAAGTACATGACATTCAAGTCCGTGGACCATTGTCTGTGTGTCATGGAGGGAACTCTGAAAGTCAGCTTAGAAGGTTCGGGCGAGACTCTCTTCCGAGAAGGCGAGACGGTTGTTATTCCTGCTGGCCAGGCCTTTGCCCTCGGGTTCGAGAGCAAGTACGTCAAGGTCCACTCGTTCTCCGATGGCGATGGAATCGAATCCTTGATCCACCAGCTCGGAAAGTCTGTCGAACAATTTGTTCTTCCAGAACAGGCTGTTGAGTGGGATGCATCCCAGTTAGCCACTGCAGCTGAGAACCTCAACATTACCCTATCATGATTTTCGGAGGTAAAGGGGAAATTGAGGGATTACTTTTCGATGTAGATAGTACATATACTAGTTTCTGATCATAGTTATACATATCACGAATTGACGCAAATATGCCAATTGGAGTATCCTAGAAACTCGCCTAACGGCGAACTCCGCTTTGCAGATCTGCCGAGCGATTTGCCAGACACTCATAATCCCTCTTAAAACCACAATTGATGGGAAATATTAAGTTTGTACCGCCAACATCCGTGATTGGTCCCCGGAAATAACGCCACCGTGCGGCATCACGTGGCGGTCTTGAGAAGGGCCAAGATCCGGAAATTCCGGACGAGCAGCGTTCGTTATCATCTGCATCTTCTAGCGCCAGTATACCCCAGACTCCAGACTCCAGATTTCAAATCCCCCTCCCATGCGGATCATGTCTGGATGATGCAAACAAATCAGAGTCCGCTCGCATCAATGGCGGATGAGCCGACTCCCAAGCGGGCTAAACGGGCACGTGCAGCCCAGGCTTGCGACCGTTGCAGGACGAAGAAGTATAAGTGCGACGAGCAATACCCGTGTCTACATTGTAAAAGTGGGTTATAAAGCTCTCAGAAAGTTCCCACCGGGATAAGCTAATCCCTCTTCTAGAGAGCCAACTAGATTGTGTGTATCAGGGGACTTACCGAGAGCGTGAGAGCAGCCGGTCTGCAACGTATGTTCGATTGCCACTACTTCATACTTTGAAGAATTGAATCTCCTCAGAATCGCAAATTGAAACCTGACTAACGCCAACTTTAGCTATGTCGTTGACCTTGAGAAGAAAGTGGAGGAGTTGGCCTCCAAGCTGCGCACAGCTGAAGCACAGCTCGGAAGATCCCCACAGCCCTCAAAGTCGATAGTTCAACCGATAGCCCAAGGAGCAATCGAAACAACTCCATGTTCTTTGCCAAGGCCAGGCTCGACACCGCAGGATCAGGCCAAGTTACCGAGCAATGCACATGAGGAGTCCGAGAGCGCCGACGACGAGATCAATGAATTCAATCACCACACGAATGGAATCGAGTTCCACGGAAGCACGTCATCAGCAGCAGCCATTGGTCACCTATCAAAGACACGCGATCCTAAACCTCCCCAGGAAAGGTACCCGCCTGCTGCGGATTTCTCGTTAATTTCAACGCTGCATAACCCCAGCTTTTCGCCTTCCACGACTGGACAGCCAACATCCGTCGAGAGCCAGAATTATTATTTTGAACAAGCTCATGTGTTCATGAATGGATATTTTGAGAACATTCATTTCATTCATCCATTCATCGACAAAGATGAATTCTTACTCCGCGCCCATAATCTTTGGTTTAATCGGGCGCACTCGCCCGATCCCAGCTTCGTTGCTCTATACCTGAGTGTCCTGTCATTTGGGTCATTAGTCCGCGTATGGGACGAGGATAAGATTGCTGGCATGGGTCGTTTTGAATGGAGCCGAAAGCTATTCAGTGAAGCACAGGCGTATTTGAACTATCTGCGGTTCTCGAATGACCTAGAGACAGTTCAATGCCTCTACTTCATGGTATGTGTTAACCCAAGGCCCGTCATCTAGATACCTTGCTAAAGTACCCCAGGCAAAAATTTGTCAGAATGAACTGAACCCAAACTGTGAGTATCCCTTGACTGATACTTCTGTAACCTTGAACTAAATCAGTACTGATGGCTTTAGTGGCGTATATGTATCTTGGACTCGCAGTTCGCACTTGTCTTTCTGCTGGGTTTAATAGAGAGGTCCCATCTCCAAAGGATCAACGCTCTAGCTGGATCTCGAAGACTTGGTGGTACGTAAATCTTCCTTTGATCGTCTCATCACTTGACTAACAGACCTTCTTCTAGGGGTATATTTTCGCTGGAAATGTAAGCTCCCCCCTTCAAACAGCCAAGGGCCCGTTCGCGACGGCTAACCCTCTATCTAGAGAAATGAGTTTTTCAACTGGACGACCTGATACCCTCGGGATGGACGAATATCATAATAGAGCCATTCCGGATCGAGACGACTCGGAGTATGCCATCATCCCTTGGATGATCGACTTTGCCCAGATCATTCGACGGGTATCTGTCCAAATCTACCACTCGCGTATAACATTACAGGAAAAGCTACAACTGGCCCTTCAGATTGAAATGGAGATAGATCGATGGCTTGCCAGACTCCCAGAGAAAATCAAACCGGATATTGGTGCCTATAGGCAATCTCGCAGTGCTTTGCGGGATCCCAAATGGGCCAGAAGGCAACGCCTCGTCCTTGGAATACGTGAGTCTAATATTCACCCTGAAATAAAGCCCAATGCTGAACTGGCTCTTTCTCCAAGGCTACTATAATGTCAAGATGCTTCTATTTCGGCCCTTTTTGAGCCACTTCACACGAAAATTACGACACACCCCGACCGAGTTGGAGGAAACGATCAACAAATGTCTCGAGGCTGCTATGAAGACCATCGAGGTCATTCACGATATTTATCGAGTGCATACGTTCTTCCGATGCTGGTACGTTTCATCATAACAAGTCAATAGTATTGCTCCACATACTGATTTGTCTAGGTGGTATAACACGACATATGTAATGTTCGCTACTTCAACTCTGTTGCTCCCGATGTCGAAACTCGGAATGTGCGCCGAGACCATGCCCCTCCTACGCTCTGTGGAAATGGGAGTCGAGATACTCGAAGCTATGGACGAGTCCGTTGTTGCCCGGAAGTCCGTAGAAATCGTTCGGCAATACCTGAGAGACTTCAGGGCATCTGGAGCACAACAGTCAACCACTGGTGTCGAAGGAGGAGATGATCTAGCCGCTTCCGAAGTAGAGGCTGGACCCCCTGGATTTGAAATCCCCGAGTGGGCCTACGGCTTCGGGTTCCCAGATTATTCGTTTGATGGAATTGCGAGGTTGTTCGATGATATTGGAGGCCTACCGATGTTGGATGGGTAATTGGTTCTGAGTGTCTGCTTCAAGTTGTTGTATATAAAGGAGCCTCTCATGTACATAGTCGCCAAACTGTACTATGCTATTCAAAGGATAGTTTTTCCGACAAAGCAATGTTCAGTGCCGATCGTTGATGACAGTGAGCTCTGGAGACACGGAACTAGAAGAGCCTTAAATCCGGTTTGCGGCCAGCCTTGCCAAGTTCTCGCTCTCGCTCTCGTTATCTCCATTTTTTTAGTGCATTTTCGAATAAGTATTCGCGCATTTTAATGTGTGGAAAGTGGATCGCTCACCGAAGTTTCCGGACTGCGTACGAGTGCGCATTCTTCGCATCCTTCGGTGGAAGCTGATGTCATACGATACTAGTATAATCCTTGGTCGCGTCTTTCTACCTAATCTTTAGTTCTTAAGGTGGAGCATTCCCCAGAGGAGTCTTTGACTTCTAAATTCTGACCTCTCGTTCACTAACCACCATATAATATTTCTTGCCTACCGCCGCAATGCCTCTCACCTTACACCATCTGGGACGTTCTCAATCCGAGCGCATAATCTGGCTGGCAGAAGAACTCGGCATCGACTACAATTATGTTTTCCATAAGCGCGATCCTGTCTTTGCCCCGCAGTCTCTGAAAGATTTACATCCTGCCGGCACCGCCCCAGTCATGGAAGATGACCCCTCATCCGCAACCAACTCGAGGGTAGTTTTAGCCGAGTCGGGCGCCATTGTGGACTACATTATCGCTGTTTATGGTAACGGCCGTTTAGCCCTTACGCCCAAGGATGGTGCAGACTACCCTCATTACCTGGAGTGGTTCCACTTAGCCAATGGCAGTCTTCAACCCACCCTATTTCGCGTGCTGATGACCCGTGGCCCGACCGCGGATCCCAACTCTCCAGTGGTGGCCATCACACTTAAGAAATGGGAGCTTTTACTCGCGCGCATCGATTCTCGACTTGCCGAGACTGGCGCTTACCTTGCTGGAAAAGACTTAACGGCCGCGGATATCATGTCCTTCTTTACCTTGACGACCATGCGTGGATTTTGTCCTGTAGAATACGACACGGAAAAGCATAAGAATATCCTTACCTATCTAAAGCGTGTTTCAGAGCGCCCGGCTTATCAGAGGGCCATCAAGAGATGTGAGGGAGATGACTTCACGCCTTTGTTGGAGGCGAAGGCCGAAGCCTTTGACTTCATGAAGAGTCGGATTTAAGGGAGACGGACGGGTACGATGTATACAAGACGCTCGCCTCTCACCATATAAAAAATAAGAAATAACTGTGATATTCCAATTTATCATATACTCAACATTCTATTCGGTATCAAACAGCGTTTACAAAATCGAGCAGAAAGACTTGCTAGACGTGGGCCGTGCGAATAGATCGGGATTCTGAGCCACTGCCTTCTCGACCTCCTTGATGGCATCGTAGCCATATAGCCAGGGTTGTACTTCTGGACATGTCCTGTTTAAACTCGTTAGACACTATACTAAATGTTCGAAAGGAATCAACTCACCAGCGACTCGGAAATGCGCCTTGAATCTTCTTTCCAAGCTGTGAGGTAAAAATTTCATCTCGTTTCTGCTGTTCTTCACCATCTTGCAAGTGGAAGTCATGTCTCTGCATCGTGTTAAATCATTTTCCAGACAAGCAGATTCTGATGCTAAAATTAAAGATAGACCCGCGTACCTGCTTGAATGTCTCCCGCACAATAGCCTCACCTCGTGACTTCCGTAGGCTTTCATAGAGGCGCAGAATGCGTGGTAGTTGTGCTTTATCGGTCATGTGTCCTAGCAAAAGACCCAAAACTGCACCATCCTCTAGCGACGAGTTGGCGCCCTGCGCAAGATAAGGAAGCATTGGGTGACATGAATCTCCGCTGTTTCAACATATGTCAGTTCACAATCCTGACCAATAGCTTAGTGAAATACCAACATGAAAACAAGATTTGATTTCTCATTGACCCAGTTCTCCATCTCACCATCTTTAGTAGGGAAATTGTTAGTTTCTATAAAGTGTATTGAGAGTGAAGACGTACGGTGCATCAGCTTCCACTTATCGACGGTAGTCACATAGTCGAGGAATTGGTTGAGGCTAGGCTTGTGAGTTAAATCCTCAGCAGTAATGATCAAGGTCTCTCACATTGGGTCCCAGCCCACAAAGAGCTCCTTCATCTCCTCCACAGAGCCAGACTGTTTCGAGACACCCGGCGGCAGATTGTCAGGTACTAGCAAGACAATGTTGTACATTTGGCCTCCGCGAAGAGAATAGCCCACCGCATGGGCTCCAGGCCCTACCCAAAAGTGTACTTCGGGGTTTTGAACCCATGCCTTTAACTCGGGGTTGGATATTTGATCCGCCGTTAGTACGATACGGTATGCAAGATCCCCAGTTGGAAGTGGCTCGTCTTTCTTTCCAACGTAGGCCTCGCGGCACTGAGACCAGAGACCATCTGCGGCGATGATCAGATCTCCACTGTACTGCTTCCCAGCCACAGAATGCACGATCGTACGATCGAAATCGATCCGGTCAATTCGTTCGCCCAGATGGAAAGTCACACCCAAGTTCTTTGCTCGCGTAACCAAGGACTGCTGGAGATCGACACGGTGCAAGTCCACAAAGGGCGCGTTATACTTGGCCCGGATATCCTTATCAAACGAACTTTCATGCGCTAGAACAGCGCCAGAATACCTGTGCACGGTGACTTTGGTAGGCTCGGCAGCTGCCTCCCACAGAGAAGAAGGGAGCTTCCAGTACTGAAGCAGCCGGGATGCATTTGGGGTGATTTGAAGACCGGCTCCAACCTCAGCCAGCTCCCTCGCTTGCTCGATGACCTCGACTGAGTGGCCGGATAGTGCAGCTGAAATCGCGGTAGCAATACCACTGAGACCAGCTCCGACTATGATCACGCGGAGACGAGCCTCTTCAGGAACCTGGATCACAAGTGATGAGCGGCTGCCAGCACATGAGCAGTTTTTCTTGGGACTCACCATCTTGCAGGGTTAATATGGCTTGAACAAATTCAAATGCTGAGATTCATGTAAAAGGCTCCAATAGCATATGGAGAAAAGCGGCCAAATAAAGGAGTTTCCGGTCTCGAGCTTCGATCACCAGCTCCACGCGTGGCCATTTTGTCCGGAAGGCCCGAGAATCCACAATCTCCGCCCCCCAGTATTCGGATATGCCGGCGCTCGGATTTCCCAGGTGATGGAGCGTGGTACTGGGGCGTTATGAATAATCTGGATCTTGTGACGGGTTTTTCTGAGCTGTGGATACGAATTCTTCTCTTTCATGGTCCACAGTATCAATTCTGGGGTACATATCATCGCGGGGGGGGAGGATGGATCTGCCGGTTGATCAATCTGGGGTACCAAGAGCCGACGACCAAACAATGCATCTCACTCTCCGAGTTCATAGCGCTAGCGGCAATTCTTCCATGAATGCTCTAGATAACGCGTGTTCTTTGGTAATTTGGCTGGCTCTCGGAATTGCCTTACGCCACTTAGTAGGAGTTTTAGTGTGTGGAGAAGAAACCATGTAGAAAGGCCGAGCAGCCGTACATGCGCACAAAAATGTTAGAAGCAATCAGGAATATCTCCAGACACACATTATATTGATGAAACTGATTATTTGAAAACTAATTTGCTCAAAACCCATGGTTTGCTGTGACTACCTCGCTTAAGAGGCTTACCAGGGATGTGGTCCCGAACCGCATCCGAAGCCGCACGAGCCCGAAAGACCCTTTGCATTCAGCACAGGCTTTCATTCGAGCAACCGCGTTAGCTGCGGGGACTTTTGAGTTAATTGAACTAGGACTTTCCGTGTGGCTTGCTGCTTTCCGACTCTAGATGCTGAGAGTGTTCTCCCTATATGTACCCCCCATCCCTCCTTCGTGGTGCCACAATCATACGACTCGATTGCCCCAGATTTACTGACGAGAGAAGAATTTATACTTGCCCAAAATGACGGTCGTTGACCCTAGGGTATGATACATACTCCTGATATGGCGCTTACATGACGCCTATTGCTAGCCATGGCTAATCCTAGCAGCTGTTCCCGCGTCGGGTACGCTATGCTGCCCTCCTTACAGTGAATGTATACGTTTTTATGGGTAATATGTACTCGGTAAGACTCACAAACAAGATCCTAAGGCCCAATTTTTGTTCTAACAATTGATGGGCGATCTTAGTCCGGCATAGCAACTGGTTTTGAGTCGCTAGCGATGGATCTCCATGCCGACAACGCAAAGTTATCGGCTCTTGTCACATATTCAGTCCTGGCAATGGGCCTTGCCAACCTATTTTGGATGCCACTTGCACTATGCTTCGGAAAGCGCCCAGTGACTCTCATTTCTATGGCGATGTTCTTGGGCGGGATCATCTGGAGTGCGGTTGCCAAGGACTACAACAGCTTGCTTGCCTCGCGAGTATTCGCCAGTTTTGGTAAGTTTCATTTATGGTCCTCCTATAGTATTATCTAACTTGTCTTAAAAGGATACGGCGCTAGCGAATCGCTCGGTCCCAGCATTCTCGCAGGTAAAAACTTCTTTTCCGGCCTTCGACAGCCCATCTAATTTTACCAGATCTTTTCTACGAGCGAAACTACTCAAGTGCGATGGCTGTTTATGCTGGATTCCTGTCTGGTGGCTCTCAAATCGGACCCGTCATTGCAGGTTATCTCATCCAAGCCCGTGGGTGGCGGTGGTTCTTCATCCTCTGTGCCATCATCGCCGCTGTCAACTTCATTACCACAATTTTCTTCCTCCTGAGACCATCTATGAGCCAGATGAGGAGCCGGAGATGACTGAGGACAATGAAAAGGATCTGACCGGCCATATTGAGGCTGTCCGTACCACCTCGCACAGTGCCGACCGGGTCAGTATGAACTACAACGACTATATGAAGGGACTCTTTTCCTTCAACGTCACGAAAGGAGCCAAAGAGAACGGGATTTTAAAGCATTTTGCCTACTTATTCGTGCTCCCATTCCCCTTGTTGCTGGTCCCTGGTATATTGATTGCATCTCTCATGTATGGAGTTGTCCTCGGAGGGTGAGTGAAAATATCCCGAAATGCACCTTGTTTGGACCATGTTACTGACGCTGACCTCCTAGGGTTGTCGTCATTTCTACTATCGCACCGAGTCTCTTTTCACCACCGCCTTACCTATTCACCTCCGCTGATTTGGGTCTTTTTACCCTGAGCAGCTTTATTGGTATCGTCGTCGCCTGGCCAATCGCAGGTCCCTTGACCGATCTGCTCTCTCGCTGGCTACGCAAGCGCAACAACAACATTCACAAACCAGAACATCGTCTACCAGCCCTAATCTTGCCTTTCCTGATCAACCCAATCGGTCTCATTGTATTCGGATATACTGTCTCACAGCTTCAACACTACGTCCGGCCTGCCGTTGGTGCAGCCATCGCGTCTTCGGGACTAACACTGGTCCCTTCGGTTATGCTCTCTTACGTGGTAGATGCCTACCCTAAGACCAGCGGCGAAGCACTTGTGCTCGTCAATGCTTCCAAGAATGTGGTCGCCTTTGGTTTGGCCAAGGGTTGTTACGCTTGGATGGCGAAGGATGGGGTAGACAAGATGTTCTACGAGTTTGCGGGCATTCAATGGGCCGTTTTGTTTTTGGGATTGCCACTCTACATTTTTGGTCCTTGGCTTCGCACACGGACACAGAAGTATTTTTAATAATTAGTTTAAGTTCTCTATATGAGCGTTAGGGTGCTGTAGTTATGCAAACAGTGAAGTGGTTTAAGCTACGAATGATGAGTTATTCAGTGTGGCTACAAATTTCAGTTCTCACAAACTGGTGAATAATATTTCAATTGGTTATTAATAATTTGATTTTAAGTCACAAAATCTGCAAAATACCGAAAGCTATTAGCTACATCTGATCTACGAATATTGGAGGTTTCGTTGAGACAATTCATTATTGTGCCTCGCTATCTTCCAATCATTGCCATGGCCACACTCCATAGATAGATTGCCCAAAAGCCCACGGATAAACTTACGAGAAAGAGCTTAAACAAGCCAGTTGCCTTGAACCCCTTAGTTCCCAGACCCGACCGAAGCACATAATAGAAAAGAAATATACAAACTGAAATGGCATCTAGTGCGATGATGGCAATTGAAGTAGAAAAAAGAAATAGAAAAGCCAAAAACAACCTCGGCCAATATGGCCTTTGTCTATACCTGAGATTGAAGCTCAATGACCAGGTTATGTGTAGATACCAACTAGGCAGCAAATCCCATATTTATAGATTTCGTGGTGTATTGGTCTCCACTCGTCCGCAATTCGTACTGTCCCTTCCCTTCCCATACCTTCTCCAAGCCTTGCTTGTTCTTGGATCGGGCTGTGATGGATATGATGTGGATGGGCTGCGACTCAAAGAGCCGGGAGAGGAAGGGGCCGATGACCCTGGTGTGATGTTTGCCGTGGCCGAGGCGACGGCATTGCTAGATCGAACGGCTGTAGCTGCAGCAGCCGGATTACAGTGTGCGCAGATGGAAATGTTGAAGCCACGGCCCTCGCAGCTTGTGCAGACTGCTCCTCTGTATAAATCATAAGTATACGCGGTTGACTAAATATTGTGATCCTATATACCCAGGAATGGCAACATACCTTGGAGCGTTCCCGGCGCAGCCGCGACAGGTTTGGACAGTTCGGCCACCGATACAAGATATGTGATCTGGATCCAGGTGGAAGGGCGAAAAGTTTGAGGTGGCCATTGCGGCTTTGTGAGATAGAAAGATGATGGGGCAATGCGGTAGTAATATGCACTGATCTCGAATAGGAGATGCTGCAAGGATGGGCTGGATAAAGTATCAAACACTCGCAAAATGGAGAGCCCGAAGTATATAATTATTCGCTTATGTTCTCCGATGTATTGGTCGTATATGTTGAAGACTTAATGCAAAGGAAACGAGGATGAGGGCAGCGCTTTATCAGTGCCCCTTACTAGATACCAACGTCGGAACAAGAAGGAAGGCCAGGCAACGTGTTGATTCAGAAATCAGGCAAGGGTAAAATCCTGTCCAGGCCAAAGTATAATGAGCCCGGAAATGGTAGACCAGGAAGATCGACTCTTATACGGTAGAGGGACCTGGTGGCACACGACATCGTGAATCGAATGTTACATTCGCCGAATAATGGAGACAAAAAAGCAAAAATAGAGACAAAGAAATCGATGACGCTGTATAATGCGAAAGAAAAGGAGGACTAGCAAAGCTGCTCCTCTGAGTGATCAGCAGGACGTTACAACCATGGGGAGGGGGGGCCCTATTGTTGGCCAAGGTATGTATGTAGTATGCATTGTTGGAATTCCGTGGGTCCGGCCACCTCAGCACAGCGACGCCTTCGCATAAAGCAACATTCAATAACATATGCAAAAATAGATCTGGCATAAGGAGAGAATGGCGTATGCACCGTCTTGAGTTTAGCCTAGGCGTAAACCCCCGTAGGAGTGCATCAAAAGGAACGCCGCTAGGCTCGTCTAATTGCTGAGCGAAGTCATCTCGGCGACGCATGTTCAGGGTTGCTGAAACCAACCAACCTGGTGGGGAAGTGCACATGCGTCAAGAGGGGCAGAATTTCCATTGGAATGTACCCACTTACAGGGCCGATGTACTAGCCCACAGAGGGGTCAAGATTTGACAAGTGGTGGTTTCCAACACTGTGCTGCAACGAAGCCCTGGGCTCTGCGGTGAACTCAACACGAAGAGCAGCTCTCCCGGCAAGGTGACGTGAGGACAATACATGGGTCAGCGAACGAGGATCTATCGACCACAAATCAGATGCAGGCCCAGCGTTGGGCAGGTTTGAACCGATGCTGCGTACACGGAAAATAACCACCAGCCGCATGGCAGCCACCACAGCCTTGTGTTACGCGGCATGGCCAGGGTCAGTAGCTGTGGATGGTGTTGGATACTATCAATGGAGCGGTATTTCTAGACGTATAATGAAGGCTGGCCCCATATGCTACAGCCAGGCGAAGCTGAATGGAGAATTCCATCCACGGATAGTTGCTTCCAACCATGCGAGAGTGATCTCACTCCCGAGATATATGAATTATGCCAAGAGCGAGTCCAGGTGCACACCTCGAAGCTAATTAACATTTGTCAGCTTATGAAGCTGCGCCGAAGAGTTTCATATGTTTTCTCCTCTAATTTAGTGAAGGCTATGCTCTAAATCCCAACGGAACAAGGTGAATTGAATTGCATGAAGGATGGGCATATTTCACTCATATTTGGGGTCATATGGCCATCTGCATCTCCAAAGCAGACTATGTCGAGCAGGGAACGACCATACTCGGGGTTGAATAGGCGACTCGGATGTAATGGGGAACCAGTGAAACTGATTGTCTATGGTTGAAGGATCCGGTAAGCACCTTCGATGGGATTGCAAGAGCTCCTCTTGAAGCATGTCCCCTTTCGTTCCCACATGGAGATATCTAAAAATCAGGCACCTTTGTATTAGACTAATAGATAGACCCAGGTGGGGCAAATGAATGTGATAGTGGGATATTTAGATGCATGTTCCAGGGCCCCAAAAGAAGATTCCCTTGGGTCGGATTGCGATATGGATCTGCCTTGGAGTGAAAGAAATAAAATAAGATATAATCTCGGCACTTAATCCACGAATGAGAAGATTAAGAACACGTCGAAATAATTGGTCTCGTGGCCAATCGCACGAGACAAGGATCTGTACATACAATGTATGTGCAGCGAGAAAAGAACAGTCTCATGGAAGCGCCGTGATGATAAGACTTGGCAGATTACCCTGCCGCCCTCCAAGCAGGTATCCGTCTAGCACTGCATATCTGAGGGTATGGCATTACCACGCTAGGACAGGGCCATGGTGAATGTACGAATCTTTGCAGTCGCTCGGAATTTACTGGAGATCCTTGTGGAGCTGAAAGCAAGGGGATCCCTGTCAACCGTTGAGGATCAAAGCTGAATCCTCCGAAGCGCCCACTAGCTGAAGACGATACGTCCGACTGACGGATGAGGGAAGCATCACCTCCCTGGTATGTTGCGTGCAGCCCGTCAGCACTAAATGCACCTGCAAAAGCTATCGTTTTATTTCAGTTATTAATGGAGTTCCTTGGTCAGGAACCACCTTTACCGGGCTTGTTCGACCCGTTCGAGATGAACCTCGAGTGAACTGCAGCCAGCCATTCCCCATCACGCGCTAGTCCCGGGATTTGAACTGGGACCGAAGGAATGGCCTCACACTGGCAGCAGCGACGTTCTTGACGCCCAGAGAGGCCATGCCTAGAAAAGGGCCATCTGAGACTACTCCACGGTTGGGAAGAAGGCGCCGGCGGGGATAGTCGATGTTCGTGTCTTTCTTTCTTTTTTTAAATAAAACAAGATTCCTTTTGTTCGACGGGAGGCGGTGACACAAACCTCACAGGAGAGAGCAGCGATGGACCGGCAACCCGGGGGGTTGCAGGGACAAAGGATATCTCACTAGTCAGCTGACACCAAGGCCTTTGAATATGCTGCAGCTCGGTTGATGAGGTGGGCATGATAGTTTTGCCAGCGCCGTTTTTTAATCAAAAAAGGGGAATGATCTGATTTGGCCCCAGCGTCTGGAATGGTCGGGCATTTTGGTCATGGTCAATATTGCAACAAAATGGCCCCTCGGCGTAATGATTACCTAACAGACCATAACGTATGATGAAGGCCACCAGGATCGGTGTCACAAAATATCTTACTAGTAGTACTACTAATAGTATGTATCGGCGAGCACAGGAGAATACTACTAAGTAGATACAGGGGTGCTGAGCAGGTACACTTTCTGTGCTAATGCCAGTGGAGACTCGGAATTATTGGTTGACATTGACCAGTAGTACTATAGTTAAATATTCTATGACTATCTGATTATCAGATGGAACACCATGTTCTACTGATTCTAGGCCATTGTGGTTGTTACTAATAGCTCCTCCGACTATCGGCGACGACAATGCCGGGGACCAAACATTCCCACAGATGCAAGCTGTGCATATACAGTGGGAACTATTTCCACTGGTGTGACATCATAGCCCATGATCTTTCAAACAAGGCCTAGTTGAGAGGCGGTACCTGGCAGTTGAGTGCGCCGGCCTCCAAGGATTTTATACGGACCAGACATGAACTATCGGAGTTCGCGGGGTGGATCCCGAGTACGACGGAGAGGTGAAACTGCGATCATTTGCAAAGAGATTCGTATTCATTCTTATCACCCATTATGGTCTGCGTGCTAAGCATGTTCACAGGTTGAGAAAAGGCGGATAAGCAACGCCGAGGAAAGGCCCACGCAAAAAGCACCACAGAAGCCAGGATAAATGGCGCATTGCTAAACTGAAAGAGCAACCTAGAGTCATAAAAAAAGAGAAAAATAGAAGGAGAGAACGACAGAGGGTGAGTGGAAAATCAGAAAAGCCACCGAGCCAGTACGTCTGAACGCCATATCATGTAACACCAAACAGCCAGATCGCTAGGCAGTGATGTATTAGCCTGAAGCCATAGCAACTGGTAGAAAATCAATAAGGAAAGACCCATTCATGAACATGTGAAAGTACCTCGAGAAGACCGACAGACATCGAGGTCCGGAAACACTGCGCTCTTAATTCCCACATCTACTGGAAGTATTCTGCTGGTAGAGCCGCCAGTAAAGCAATGGTCCCCAACCCTCCGAGTAGAGCACTAACAACGGCAGTGGCCGTATAGTGTGTCAAGTTCTTGGGAGGGGCAGGAGAGGGCTTGGGTCTCTTTGCGGGAGGTTCGAGTTCAGATTTCTCCCCAGCCTCAGAAAGCGCAGAGGTAATAGCGGATACTACCTGAGATTGGGAAATTTCGTCGAGTTCGGGCTCCTGAGATTCTGGGTACACCAGATCAGGCTTTTGGGCATCTTGCAGATTATCCTGGGACTCCATCTCAGAAGCCTTGCGCTTCAAGGTAGACGAAGTTGGCCTCAGGAGTGTTTCATTCTCGTGCGCTGTCTCAATCTTGTTCTTACGTATCTCCGAGAGATTGTCTCGCAAATCAGGGATCCTGTGCTTTAGGGACGAGAGCTGACTCCACGAAGAAGGTAAATGAGTAGGAGAGTGTGGAACAGGAACAGACTGGCAATCCCATGAAAATGGACCGTCTCTATACCCTGGGTACGGGGAGTTGATCGGGTCGTAATATGAAGATAGCTGAAGAGGCATATGTGTACCAACTAGATTTCCGGCTTCCGTAGGAGCTGGAGGACTATAGCTCCTGCCATATGGGGCACAGGGATATGTGGGTGGGGGGAGACGAGTGCTGAAAGGCTTGATCGGACTGATGGGCTGCGCCGCCTTTTGAGCCATCCATGCATTCTCAAACTTGTCGGAGAGAGTGGGCTCTAGGCTATTCTTTTGAGCTAGCACCCTTGGATCAATGCACTCATCCTTATCATTGTCGCTAATATCAGGATCCTCGTCTGAGATGGCGTCTTCCGGGCTTTCGGATCGTTCGACGAATTTGAATTGTTTCGTGACAACCTCACCCTCACTCGTATGAGATGAAGTAGATTTGGAAGACTCCAGGTCCGATTCCTCATCGGAATATTCGGAAAGCACATATTCGTGGTCCGACTCTTGCTCTGCATAGGCATCCCCTGGCCCAGAGTCCCAAACAGAAAATTGCTTGGGTGGATCGGCTTGGTGCTGATGTTTCGGGTGGGCCTCTTGGTCATCGTCCAGGTTGATAATATCGTGCAGCTTTGGTGCAGCTCTGACAGAAGGTGGAATATTTGAAGCGCTCGCTCCATCGAATCCTGTGAGAGTCACATTATTGGCCGGGACATCCTCGATATCGCTGTCATCCTCCGGTACACAGAACGTGTTGCTGGATGAGGTTGGACGGGGAGCATCCTCCGGGTTAAACGCGATTATCGATTTCGGTTCTGGGATGTTGGCTTTTGGGATTTCTTCGACCGAGCTGAATCGAGAGGGGTCAGTGAAATATTCCCTAAGGTGGAATCGGAAAGTGGGTGTCGATTCGTACTCCTTTTCGGACCATTTAATCTCGCAGCGGACACTCAGTGCAGGAAACTCTTCTATCAAAGATGTCAGAATGTCACCACAAGGAATGTAAACCAAGAAATTCCGAAGCTTACCGTCGCCGCGATCTACGTTGACACCGAATCGTAGAATATCGCCATTCACCAGAGGAGTCTTCTGTTCCTGTATCAGTTTGAGGTTGTTGAGCCAGGTGCCATGAGTTGAGCCAGAGTCGTAGATATAGACGTGCTGTAGGAAGGGTTAGCATGACTTCCTTGTTCTAAGTAAGTCTCGTGAGGGAATAGGGACTTGCCTCGTTCTCAAGACTTAGTTCGGCATGCTCGCGGGACATCACTCGCGATTCATACCAGCCATTATCACTCGCAGGCTCACGGTTTCGGGTTTCGCGCTTTGACGATCGACCGAGGGGAATAATCGGGTTATCTTCAGACAGAGTAAGGTATCGGGAAGCTGGGGTCGGATCTTCCTGGTTGTCGACAGGGAGCAAGGTGATCGCAACTACAAATAATGATATCAGAAGCCGAGTTCGGAGGGGGAAGGGTGTGGGGGTAGAGTGGATGTGGGGGGTTGAAACTTACCCTGCGTATCCGACATGATTGCAGATCGCGAGCTTCAAAATGGGAAGTCACAGGGTACTGCAGTGGACAAAATCCGAGTGGAAACGAGGAGAGAGACTGTGTTGTCCACAAAGCCTGTGTTAGGTGATGGAAGGTCTGATGCAGGCTTTGAGATAAGAGGAAATCTCTCATTCATATGAAGACAGACCTGATCGACGTGTGACGCTTAGGCTGCAGTCGCAAGGCGATAAGGCAACTGAGGCTGACAGGAGCTTGCCGTACCGGGGTTGTCCGGGTAAATGAGGTCGCAGAGGTGGAGGTGGAGGGAAACAGGTCCAGCAGGTGAAGTTCCAGAGGCGAATAAGATAAAGAAGTATCTTCGCGGAGAAAGCAGGTAAAGGGTCAAGGAAGCAGAGAGAGTAAGAGAGTAAGAGAGGTGGAGGGGGGAGGGGGGAGGAGAAGAAGAAGAAGAGTAGGAGAGGAGGAGGGGTAGGTAGATGATGAATCAGTTGGTCAAGGCTTAAGGTTGGGTTTGGCACTTTCCAGTGTTGACTTGTTGAACCTTGGAAGCTAGAGGACACGCTCTACTTCGAGCCAGGAAATCACAAGACTCATGACGGGAACACGTATATTTCCCACGGGCCAATAGAGCCTAAATATGATGTCGTAACCGTTGTATACTTACTAGTAACTAAGGTACTTACTACTTTGTTACCAGGTGGGGCATCGCTCTTATCGCGATGGGGCGCAGTGGGGATCATATCCGGGGGGGACTCTAGGACCCTAAGGTACTACTGTACTGTACTCTATTATAGATGGCAGTCTTCAAACAGTCACATTCACACATTCACCTCTATGGTACACAAATTACTCTCCACCCTTTCATAGCCTCATGCAGATAAGATGTCCCCGGGGCTTGAAAACGGAGACGGCTCTCTCCCAACCCGCCCGTCTCGTATCTCTCGGATATCTCGGCCCGTAGTCCAAAGATCGCAAAAACAATGAGTAAGGGGAAAACAAAGTAAAAAGGAAACAAACTTGGGAATCTGTTGAGAGGGGATCAAGGTGTAGTAAATACAAGGGGAGAAAAAAGACAGAAGACCGAGGACCACGAACCGGAGAAAAGAAGAAGAAAAAAGGATCATGAAACATAGACCCATCCCCATCCGGAGGACGATAAAAGACGTGATTAAAGAGGGCAAGATGGCAGAAATAGCGATGGTGAAAAAAACAATAGGAAATCAAGCAGCTGTCACTTTTACATGCCAGGGGGTCCACCAGCGCCCATCGCGCCCATGGTGTTCAGGCGCGCTGCGAGCTGAGGGTACTTCTCCTGGACCTCCAGTTGAGTACGGGTGGCTTCGGCGTATGAGATGGCGTTGATAATCTCAGCCTCGGTGCGAGCAAGCTCGGCCGCACGCTCGAAGTACTTCAGTGCCTGCGAAACCTTGCCCTGCTGCAGAAGCAGCTGGGCCATGGTGCCGACAGCGATGTCGCATTCGGGGTCAACTGCAGAGACGTTAGTATGAATGCTCCAAGGTGGTCAATATCTAACTTTAAGGTCAAAACTTACTGATCAGCGCCTTCTGGCACAGGCCTTCGGCCTCCTGGAAGTCGTGCTTCCACTGGAACAAGGCCAGAGCCTTGTTGATCAAGGGCAAAACGTTGATGCCCATGGGCTTGCTCAGCTTCTCCATCTCAACCGCCTTGTCGAACTTTTCGATGGCCTCGGAGTAGTTCTGCTGGTCGAGCAGAAGCTCACCATAGTAGTTATACACGTCGGGAACCTCCTCGAAGTTCTTGACGGAACGACGGAAGGTGGCCATGGCAGAGGCAACGGAGCCCATCTTATACTGTGTCACACCGAGCTGGATGTGCGAGAAAATGAAGGAACGGTCCAGGTCGATGGACTTCTGGTAGTCCTTGGCAGCCTCAGCGAACTCGCCCAGGATGAAGTGAAGCTGGGCACGGTGGTAGTAGATATCCGGGTCATCCTTGTTGTGGTTGATGGCGAGCTCAAAGTCATCGGCAGCAGCATCCCTGTTGCCGAGCTCCAGGTGCAAGCTAGCACGCTTGATGTAGCTTTGAACCAAGGATGGCTGTATCTCAACACTCTTGTTCAAGTCCTCCAGCGCATTGATGGCGTTACCACCGAGGTATGTGAAAGTAGCACGCATGTTCAGGGCAAGGGCCTCGAAGTCACCAAGATCACCAGCCTGAATGGCCTTCTCGAAGGAGGCAGCAGCATCCTCATAGCCCTCGCCAGTCTTCTGGTCCATGGCGACCATACCCTTGCGCAGCAGACCCTTTCCAGAATCCTCGCTAAGCTCAACGGACTCCTCCAGACCCTCGGGGAGGGACTGGGCACGGAAGCTCTGCAGGTAGTTGGAAACGAAGGTGGCGCTGGGCAGCTTCTTGGTGCGGGCATCCAGGATGGCCTTACTCTTCTGCTCGGCGACCTTCTTCAGCAGACGCTCAAGGGAGTTACGACTGACATCGTTGGAGAAAGCATCGATGATGCAGCTGGCAGTGAAGTCGAGGAGAGCCTCGCTGTACTTGCTGAGGTGCTCGTAAGCAATGGCACGTCGGTTCAAAGCCTTGACGTATTCACTGTCCATGGCCAGAGCGGCGCTGGTGTCCTCCACAACCTTATCCCAGTCGGACAACACATTGTAGCAGGCGGCACGGTTCGAGTAGAAGACGGGGTCCGGCTTGCAGATGATAGCTCTACCATAGAGGTCAATGGCCTTGGGGTAGTCCTTGGCACCGTAGGCCTTGTTTCCGGCGGCCTTCAGCTTCGCGGCATATTCCTTCCGGGTCTTCCAGGGATTGTTAGTATGGCAATGGAATTGGTTCGCGGAATGATGGCAAACACGTACCTCCTCGGACAACTGGGCAACAGTGGCCTCATCAACTTCGGGCAGCTCCTCGGCGGGCTCCTCGGCTTTCTTCGCGGTGGATTCTACCATTGACGTTAGCCGCGCTCATCCAAGCATCGTACGATGCAATGCAATGGGAGGGAGGAGACAAACCATCCTGCACTGAAGCGGACTTGGCCTTTTCCTTCTCCTCGGCCTTCTTCTTCTCTTTCCGACGCACAGTCTTGCTCTTCTTGGGGGTGGAGGAAGTAGAGGAGGCTGGCTTGCTGGAATCGGAGAGGTAATAGACGACTCCAGCGCTGGTGACGACGACGGCAACACCGGCAATGGTGTAAACCAAAGCCTTATTCTCGGACACCCACTTGGACACGCGATCCCAGACCGATGAGGAAGTAGAAGCAGGAAGACTTGAGGTGTCCAGCACCACGTTCTGAGCGGCGGGTGTAGGTAGCGGCGATGGGCTCGACATGATGTGTGTATGGACCGGACACGGCGACCGATGCTATTTAAATCCTGATTCTGTCAGGGTGTATATGGGTTAGCGATGAAAATGAGATTGCGCAGATGAAGCAAGGCGAAACGAACCAGTCCTTGTCGCCAACGGCGGGAAATGTGAGTGAGATAGGGAGAACGGACGAAGCTGGTGGAAAAGTCTCAAGTTTGATCATCCCCCGGCACGGACCAATCACGCGCTCCACGACGGTAACGCTCCGCCAGTTCTCCACATTACCAAAACCCGAATTGCCCCAGCAATGCCGGGAACTGACGACGCTGAATGAGACGTGTGGACTAAAAGCACAATTGTCTGATTCGATTACTCAAAGTCATCTCATCCCATCGCGCAGGAACCGCGCCCAGTGAGGTAGTCTTGTTGACCGGGGGTTGACGTAGGGCTGGGCAAACGCGACTAACATTCAATCACTCGACACTGGCGACGTCACACCTACCGAAAACACAGCGCGCGACAATGGCGTCGGTCTCAACCGCAGACGCTGGGCAGACATTTGAGATTATCTCGTCGCTTCGATACGATCCTTCCCTACCACAAATCACTCTCCGCAATGCCGATAGCTATCCCAATCCCCGAGACTCGCCCTACTACCTCTTGGCGTATCATCGTGACCGATTAATAGCTGCGGCGCGCCATTTTGGATGGGAACACGCGTTGAAATGGTTGCAGCAAGATTTGACAAGTTTTGAAAGGTTCCTGGACGGGTCAATACCGGACCGGAGCAAGCCATGGCGGTTGAGGATTGTGGTGGATATCAACGGCAAGGGCTCGGTCGATGTCAACCCAACTGCTGCATTCGATCCATTGAACCTGTTGACTCCGTCTCTGCATGCCAGCCGTCCACCGAATATATGGCGGGTTTACGTTGATAGCCAGCCCATACTACCGTCCGGCTTCACCACACACAAAACCACTGCCCGGGATGACTATACGGCTGCACGATTGCGAGCGGGGATCTCTTCACCGGCAGAGACATCAGAGGTTCTCGTGGTCAATCCAAGAGGTGAGGTCATGGAAGGAAGCATAACCACCCCATACTTCCGGCGTCGTGGGCCGATCTCCAGGCCATCTGGTCAAGACTCGACTGAGCCTGCTTGGATTACGCCGCTTCTGAGCAGCGGCGGCAATGCTGGGACAAGCAGAAGATACGCTCTATCCCAAAGGTTCTGTGTGGAAGGAATCATTCCACAGACCGACCTTGTGGATGGCGAAGAATGCTGGTTGAGTAATGGGGTCCGCGGGTTTATGCTTGGCGTAGTTGTACTAAGTTGTCAACCTGGAGAGCAAAATTGAAGGCTACGACTAACCAATGCATGCCTGGTAGCTTCAAAGAGAGCAAACAACAAGTAGTAAGAAAGGCTAATAGAGAAGAGAGAATCAATTGGGTATAGTACTCATCGCAATAATAGCCGTGGTGTGCAAAAGCTAGTCTTTTGTACTATGAGCGAAAATATGAGACGAATGAAACTCTGTAGTCGGAGAGATGTCTATGTATTTGCAATACTCCCATGCGTCTAGGCTATGAAGAAGCTATGAACAAGCAAGTGAGATGGCGTACGCTCGAGGGAGACGTAACACATTTGGAGAAACATCGAAAAAAAATACAGGCAAGATAGCGTGCGCTTGAGGTGGAGGTAACACTTTTGGGGCAATATCGAGAAAGAAATATAAGCTTGCCAACTCTATTTCTTTTCGGCCACAACTGGGTTAGGGTTTCCATTCCACTCCAAAGGACGTTGGCTCATGAACTTGGCCACGATCTCCGGGGTGACCTGGGCATGGCGCTCCTGGAAACCCTTCACGTACTCCTGCAGTTCAGCAATGCAGCGCTGCTTCATCTCACCGGTGAGCATCTCACCCTTCTCATAGGCGGCACGAATACGCTCAAGCTCCTCATCGTCTTCGAGGAAGAAAGTGAGGTACTGGAAAGGCACATCGGCCTTGGTATCGCCACCCAACTCGCGGTGCTCTTCGGCGGTTTCCTTGCCTCCAGAGAAGGCGAACTTGTTGATCTTGGTCTTGATCTGCTTGGGTGTGTCGCTCATGAAAATGGCAGACGAGTCGATACTAGCCGACATTTTCGATCCAGGGCCCTGAAGGGCCGGCAGGAAGATGGAGTGAATGAGCGAGGGCTTCTTGTACTTCATCTTCTCTGCGTGCTCACGACATTGACGGAAGTAAGGGTCTTGGTCAATGGCGCATGGGATGAGGCAAGGAATGGAGGAGACCTTCTTCTTGTCGGTGCCGAAGATATGAGGGAAACTGGTTGCAAAGGCAGTGGCGGATTGGGTCGCGCAGAAGTGGAATTCACCAATGTTGTTGCTGTCGTTGAATCCAAACGTACCCCGCACTTGATTGATTGTGATGCGCTTCGCCATTCGGCAAATGTTCTCGTAGAATGCGCCTCCAACGAACTCGAAGTCACTGAAAATGAAAGTCTTCTTCATGTCAAATCCGACAGCAATGATATCCTTGACGTTCGACTTAGCAAAGTTCTTGGCGTCTTCCACATCCTTGATCTTCTGGGAGTGCATATATTTCTCGTCATCGGTCAACATGATAACGAGGGGAACATCGAAAACATCCTGGAGCCACCTGTATTGGGAACAATATGTCAGTAATTCACGTCTAGAGTCCTTGCAAAGAGCAGGCCGCGGATCTTACTTTGTAAACTCGAACGGGACAGTGTGTCCAACGTGCATGCTGTCGCTACTGGGACCACGTCCCGTGTAGAGATAGAATTCCTTCCCCTTTTCATGAAGATCCAAGATCTTGGTCAGGTCACGGTGACTGAAGACAATTCCGCGGCGCATAAATCGATGTGGGCGATGTCCCGTAACCCTCTCAAAGCGCTCGAGTAGATCGGGGGTAATGGGAGTGGCGCCGAATTCGCGTGTAAGTTTTTCATAATCGACCGGGAGGAGTTTTCCAGTCTCGTCAACTCCGCCAGAGACATCGAAAGGAGTGATGACCTGTGCGGTGGCCTTTGAGGCGGGGGCCTTATCGGCGAGACTGAGGTTGTCAAGCGCGGGAGGTTGACCTGCTTCGTTCGCCATGGTGGGAAATAATCAAAGACTATTAAAATACGTTAGCTCGGAATTGGAAGTTCAGAAGGCAAGATGAAGTTCATACTACTCTGATGTTGAGTCTTGCGATCGCTAGCGCGGGATAATCGGGGAAATTCTGCCCCTCGCAAAAGATCGGCCGTGAGTCAGGCGGGTCAGGCGGGGTGGTATTATATTGAGGCCTGAGGCTACAATATATTACTATAGTACACAGCACTGCTACTACTACTACTATGCAATAGCCCTGTAGTTCAAGTTAGTTCCAAGGTAAAATACTGGGAGATCCAACCCGAAGCAGAGATCATTGGGCTCTCTTTTTATAAACTACCACGTACTGTATAACTCTTCCATCAGACAGCCAATGGACTATTTTTTGCCTTGAGCTTCCTCGCATTCAGGAACTCGTAGTCTGGCATGGCAGCTCTTACCAACTTCTCAAGTCGAATAGCCACCTCTTCTCCGAATTCTTTCTGCCATTTCTTTGCCTCAACGTCTATATCCAGATTTTCTGCAGTCTTGCCCTTGACGATACCCTCCGAACCAATCAGTGTCGATAAATATCGTTTCATCCGCATATCCATTTCAGCCTGCTCTTTCTCCGGCACGGTCTCCCATGAAAAACGCATCTTTTTCTTGTCGAGTTGAAGTATTTCGCCAAATCGAAGGACAACATCTCGGTTGGCCATTACGTCGTCTCCATCCAGAACAAGTGGCCAGGTCGCATCCCCGTCAATGAAGGCCTCCTGGGCTGTTAGGTTGTCACTGTACCATTCATACAGAAGTCGGGACCAACGTAGAGTCATGCCTAATGTGCCTCGGTCGCCATTAATCGAGTTTCCGCCTGCGTCATTTAAATCCAAAGAGGCGCGATAGCGAGATGGAAACGCCAATGCAGGGTGCCGGATGAGGAAGGTAGGTGACCATTGGCGAAGAAACCCGTCCGGGAGCACTGTTTCATTCGTCTTTGAGCGTGTTGGGAGCTGACCGAATATCTTAGGAAAATCTACCATCCACGGCGCCTCGTCCAGAGTGACGCCACTTTGCTCTTCTGTGATAGAGACAGGGTGGGCCATATGATTGCAATGTTCCTTCACGAAAACTGAGCAATTTTTCTTCTTAGCATCTTCGAGAAGCTGATTTAATGTATTGAAACAGCTCTGATAACATTCCTTCATTTGCTTCCTTTCGTTTTCAGTCCATTCCTGCACGCCTCGGCTGTGAAGATTCAACCCATTCATCAATTTGAGTACTGGCAAGAAGTAATAGCCAGCTTGCAGATGGCCTTGCATAACATTTGGTTGCTCATCCAGACCCAAAATTTTGACTAACAAATTTGAACTCGTGCGTGGATAAGTCAGAAGCCAGTATTGGCGTGGTTGTGGCTGGTACGCTCCCATGGTTGCTGGTTTTTGGTTCGACGAGCTGTGCTTCGCGGGTCTCGGTGAAGCAATGTGTTTATTGAGTGATCGATTTTGTCTGTCGCAAAGGAATTCATAAAACGCAGGGTTGTCTCGACCCTCTTTTTATTACGGTAACCCCAGGTCGTCCCACAAATAGACATCCCTTGCAGACATGGAACTCCTTGCAGGCGTGAAATGGAGTTATGAGAGGCGCTTCTCCAGGACTTGGCTATTCCTCAATGTGATCAGTTATATTCGGAATCATCCTCTTCTGGACATTGGTCATTCCATGTAGATTCATGCAGGACTGCGTCTGCAATATTCTGAATCCATTGATTCTCTTCGGAATGCGGTGAGGATAAGCTCAGAGCTGAAGCCCTTATTACTATTTGTTTGACCGCTCATTCCTTTCTCCTTCCATCTTCCTTACTTACTTAATCGGGTCTTCAAAATTACTTGTTTTCTCTAATTCAAAGATCCTATTGACGGACTTCATCAGCCGTGCCTTTGATCGTGAAATTTTCAGGAGAAAAGTGTGGTGTCACCCACCCACTACTTATATAAAACTAGATATAGATGATTATTTATACATGACACATTTATAGATGAAGCAACAAATCAGGCAGCCCTTATAATTTGCAGCTGCTGGGGCTTGAATTTGACGTTTTTTTCCTCCCCTGCGATCGAAAGATTGACGGACGGTTCCAGCGAATGTGTATGTTTGATACCATATGCTGTGAAATCGGGGTAGATACTGTTTATACTAGGCCAACGAACCAGACGTTTGCCTGCAGTATACAACCCATCAGATCTTAAGTTAAGCTGGAACAAGTTGCCCAAATTAATAGGCTCGTTTCCTTTTCCCGTGGAACTTATCACAAGCGAAGCCTCGAGCTCCTCAAAGACCTTTTGTAGATATAAATTCACTTCATATGTCTCCTGGTCCTTCTGTGGATAATTTTCTCGCAAGTTACTCGCTGCCATTACAGCAGTCGTACAGTGGAGACGTAGATTAACCGAGTTGATGTGAATTTTCTGTGGATGATCCTTGATGCTTTGACTGGTTTTATCATCACGGGAAAGAAAACTGAAAACCAGGGGGAAAGGCTCAGAGTTGTTGAGTTGGATCGCTGTTGGCATTCCCATGGTAATTTCATACCAAAATTCGGGTACTTTGGAGGAATGGAAGAGCTTCCGAGTCTTTTGCCCAAGAGATAGCTCCATATCTTCCATTCCCGGTAGCAGGCGCTGGCTTTGGATGTTTAGTGGATGATAAATGTGGCATTCTTTGGTCTCACCCAGACGAACGCTCGAGTCCATGGGGTGTCTAAGCGTGATTGACAAGGTTGTATAGAAGACTTTGTGGGCTCCTCGGTGAATGTAGTTCAAACGAGCGTGGATCGCATATTCGACCACGCCCTCTGATCTGTTGGGAAAGTCACTTCCATGTGCACTGAACGTCCCAGGCAAAGATGGTAAAGGATTTTCCAGGGAAGTGAAGCTCGTTGCGTCGGTGTGACCTTTTCCTACTGACGGTGAAGGCATGGTGGGGATTTGGAGGGCGATAGGCCAGCTCAGAGGCTCGTCACTATTCTCTGAGTGGTGCAGCGGTCCATCGTGAATAACATCTTGCGTACCATGGAAGAGATCCCAATGATCATCGTAAACATCAGGGCCATATCGTGAGTCTTTGTCTCGCCAAATCTTCGTTCTCACACGCCCTAATGCTCATGGTCAGAATAAGACTAGGTCAGATTCACCGGATCTCCACGAATCCTCCTACCTGCGAGCCAGACGCTCACTGTGCATTCAGGAGTGACGAGTGGGCTCTTGCGCATCAGATGCCCTATTATGGTGTCGCCAGGCGCGTATTCCCATCCCGAGGGCGCGGCAATGTCAAATTTTAGATCGTCTTGGAGGGCAATGTCTTTTGGGAACATAGTGTTGGTCGCATAGATAGAGCTAGCGTCCCCCGCATATATTGACTTCGCGTTCATTTTGAGCTCGGTGTGAATGACAGATACTACTAGTAGTACTCAAAGTAGTATTGACGGTCTACTCGGGGGGCATCCGTAGTTATAGTAATCTTCCAAGGTTACAAAGGGTTCAAATCTTCCCATGACGACACTGCCGGCCCCAAACACAACTTAAAAGGCGAGGACTGAGCCCGGGGCGTTGAACAGCCAACTAGTACTGAATAGTGTTAGGTCGTGGGCCCCAAATTTGCCAAAGGGTCTATGCCCATGACTTGCTCAGCCACAACGGGGCACAGCCGCAATGCAATGGTCCATTGATAACTCCAGATGTTCTAAGCAATAGACTAGATCAAATAATGGAATATCGATTGTTGAGACCTTGGGTATCCTAAAAATGAGCTAGTCCTTCATGCTCCGCCCCAAGCAACACCTTTCCTTAAAACACTCAAACGAGTCCACCAAACGCCTGCGTTAATGCTTTGCCTTGCCTTTCCTCCAAGTCAAAGATATTCATCATCATCCATAGAGGCCTGCTCCCCTGCCTGAGTCGGAGTGTCGTGACGCGGAGTCCACTCGGGTCGCGGAGGTGGTGGTGGAGGAGGAGGTAAAACAAAGGATGGCGAGAATCCCTGCGTTTTAGACGGCGGTGTTAACCAAGGGAACGCGACTGGAGTTCCGTTGATACGAATCTCGCCAACAAGATTTGCCAAACTGGCTGGCTCGTCCACATAGCCATCCCATAATCCCAGCAACTGCGCCACAAGGCGGAAGAGAGCTACGCCGAGAGTAATAATTGGTGCTAAGACAGTCGACAAGTGAGACCAGCGCCACAACATCGTCACGGTCACAAAGGGAAAGACAGGTGCGTCAGGGCGGAGGCAGTAGCCCGTGCAAGTATCGGAGATGATGGGATGAGAGTACATCTCTGTCATTGTGCATTCGATGATATACCACATCGTGAAGATAAGCGTGGTCCAGCCGAGCTTGGTAAGTTGCAGACGTCGGGATGTGAGGTTTCGTTCCCATAATCGAGGGAGAGGGATAGCAGCATAGACACGGGTATCCGAAGGCGTACTGCAGGTTTTGCAGGACTCGCTCAAAGTCGGTGTTGAAGTAGGAGGCGGTGTCTTGGTGGTGTCACTCTTAGCATCCAAATCTTCAAATCCGTTGGCGACATGTCCCTGCAGGCGGTCCAGACCCTTCTTCACCTCGGTGATGTGATGTGCTAACGATTGCAACTTGGTATCTATTCGGTCGTAATCATCAAGGCCTTCGCTATTTCGACGCAATAGCCCGAGTCGATCGAGCACATGTTTATAAGCGGCATCCTCGTCTTCCTCGATCTTCAGATCAGTCGGATCATCCAAAATCGCCTGGAGAGATTCGATGGTATCGTCACCCATATTGAAAGCTTCTTTACCAGAGCTGGCATCCTCAATGACAGTTTCAAGGGCGCTTTTTGGCAACTTGGGTCGAGCGAGAGGAGGCCTAGGCTTCGATTGCTCGGCAATGATTGGCTCGGGAGAAGCCTTTTTGTCTTTAGCCAATTTAGAATCTTTCTGCTCGGCCGCAGGTTTAACATCCGCTGCTGGCTTCAAGACTGGAGCGGATTCCTCCTTGACATTGGGGGGTGCTGGAGGGGCCACTATATCTTTAGTCAAGTCACTCGGGATGTCGACAGCTCGTTCAGTCATCGGTGTATCAATCCATGCACCGGTCACCCTGGGCGTCTTATCGTAGATTTTTCTTTCAAATAGCTTTGGCGGGTCTGGGGTCTGAATCTGGTCCATCTTCGGACTTTCGGTCCTCGATAGTCTGCGGAGAAGTTCTTGTGAATCTCGTTTTGTTGTGTTTGGTCTAGTCATGTTCGAGTTCTTGTAGACCACAATCGGTGTATTAGGAATAGCGGCACCATCAGTTTGAAGAGAATGTTGATCCAACCCAAGTCCCGCTTGATCTTTCGTCTCCTGCGCATTTTGCGTACGAAGGTTGGCGACACGTTCTTCGAGGGCGCCCCGGTTAGAAGCGCTAACCCGGTCTATGTGAGAAGATGAACGGACAGGTCTGGAACTTTGGTTCTCATTTGTGTTCGTCTTGGGCGCTGGAGCTTCGCTGGAAATGTCACGGTTCCCCTGCTCTGGCGGTTCCGAGCCAGAGCTTCCACTGACATTACGTAGCCAATCCTGCCGGCGTGCGGCGCGGCTGCCCCAGGTACGTGGTAGGTTAAGTGATGGACCACGGTCACCTTCATAATCCGATGTTGGCTGCTGCTCTTGGTGATAGCGATTATTGTCTTGTTCCCAAGGCCGTTCTTCCTTCTCACGTCGCTGTAGGTTGTCCGCTGTCAAAGCCGAGTGACTAGTGGTCTTGGCCTTGCTGAAAACCGGGGAATCTTTGCCCGTGACTCGTCTGAGACGCTGCTCATCTCGCGAGTAATCGGTTGTAGGCCGAGGTGAGTTGTGTCCAATTCCATCGAATAGTCCTCCTTCGGAAAAAGCTCGCCCGTCGCGGGATCCGCCATCGTATTCTCGTCCACGTTGTTTGGACGATGAGCGACTGAGACGACCTGGGGAATTCTTTCTGGATGAAACCTCCGGATCGTCCCACTGCACATAATCGGCCAATGTTCCATCTTCCTCAATTCTCTTATAGGCATCGACGAGTTCCTCGGGTGGGTTCGAAATGTCAGAGGTTGGTGACAGCTTATCGATGCGATTCCACGGTTGTCGCGGACTGGGGGTTGAACCCAGATGAACGCCTTCTTCCGACATGGTTGTTCGTGAGACCGCTCGATATGCCCCCGCTAGAGTTCCAGTGCGATAGTTGTGTCGAGGACGCGTCCCATTTTGTTTGGTGGGGGGGGAGAGGGTGAGGTTGGTCTCGAATTGGAATTCGTGGCTTGGATCTTCGGCGCGACCAAAAGGAGATTGCGGATGATGATGACGCGCGAGAGAGACTCGGTCAGTCTTGCGAGGAGTTGACATCGCGTCGACAAAACAAAAGCCCCTTGCGCGGGTGGGAAGGGAGAGTCAAAGTAAGAGTGAAGTACTAAGAGTTAGAGAAAGAAGTAAATAGAGAGAGCTCCACGCTCCGCATTCCCAAAGGGGTTAAGGGAAGATCCCAGTTGCTCCAGTCGCCAGTCGCCAGTCGCCAGTTGAATGCTTCCTTCGCCACAGCCACACACACGCTCCACTGGGCGCCAACGCCTCTCATCCCACTCTATTTTCTCGAATCATGCGAACACTTCCCGTTGTTCACTGACTTGGACGCAAAAAAAACCCCCCCATGTGACCGGCTCACTCGCTCTGATCATCTCCCACCCCCCCCCGCGACGCGCCCTCAATACAAATAATCGGCTAAAGGTGCTAGGAAACCCTGGCAGTACAACAACCCCCACCGTTTCGTTTCGATACACGACACTATACCCAGCAAGCCTACTCGTACAACCCCCCCCCCAGTTAGAATGGCGAAATCATCGCGTCGGAAGACGCCCGCCTCAACGCCAGGCTCATCGGGCGCATCGACTCCAAGCTCCACGTCCGCTGGACCTATTCCACCTTTCACCAAAATCCCTACGATCCTAAAACCCTTTGTTGAAAAGCTCTCTCCCGACGAAGTGTACCTGGTACATATCGATACAACTGCGACGGACTTGAAATGGCAGACATTCCTGGTGCCGTCCGTGGTGAACACCGTGGTGGCTGCAGTGATAGCCTTGCGAGTTTACTGGGGGATTAGCACCTACCCAGCTCTTATAGCTATCTTCATCGGAATGGATAGCTCCCTGAGCTTTGACACTTCTACATCTTCTTGGTTCGAGATCGCACAGGCCATTCTTCGGCGGACAGGCACGATCTTGATAGACTACTTCCTCGTGACACTGTTCCTGTCCTGGCCATACGACTTCGTCATGGGCCCCGTGCGCTGGCGCCGTGCAGTCGGGTTCCGAGATCGTGAAATCATTGTTCGCAGAAGTAGCCGCAGCTGGAGCCAAAAGCTGGAGCGCAACAAGTGGATTCGCCATGATGAGGCCATGCGTGACAAGATTGTCGCCGCAGTTACCCCGGAGCGCATTGGAAAGACCGGCTACCTGCTTATTGACGAGGACTGGGTCCTGGATTATGAAGCTATGATCTGTGGCCACTCGCTAGTCGACCTGACCCGCAAGGGCAATGGCGTTCAGCTCGACGAGTTCCGCACGGCTGTGCTGGTTTACACAGACACAGATGGTTGGCTGGTCTGGCGCGTTGCGGATGAGAATACCCCCGCTGGTCGTGAGCGCAATGTACACCGAGACCAAGTCCTGACCTTTAAAGAGAAACTGGCTGCTCTGGGTAAGGAGGATCTCTTCTACCGCTGGGTGGAGCTGGTTCAATGGGAAAGCTCCCAGCCTGGCGGTTTCACTCCCGAGAGGCAACAATCTGCGATGGTCCAGGTCCAACAGATGTTTGAGCAGGAGAATGTGAGCTTTAGTGACTTCTGGGACGATCTTGGTGGTATGGAAGGTCTCGAAATGCCGCAACAATAACAGCTGCCATTCTCACTGGTTTCTCTTGGTACATTCGGGACGGGATTTCTTCAATACCCAGCGCATAGATTTTATTTGGCTACCTCCGCAGCCGGGCTTTACATGAATTTCAGCATGTCTTTGGATCATTCTCGGTCTACTTTTTCCCTTGTCCACTTCTTCCTTGGCCTATTTGTCATTCGACGTAGTACTGTAATATGATGCTAGTATGCATGCTGATTCAAAGTGTAGATAAAAACCAACAAACTCAATAACTCCGCTCCAAAGACAAGTAATCTAGCTCTACCTAAGTTTGCTCACTCAATGCTCGGATGTATTTCATCATCAAAATCCCCACCTTGCACAAAGGCTGGTTGGATACTTAATCCCGCTTCAACGCGATTAAAATACGAATTTTCCCCGTACGTAACCTTCTCAGCTTTAACCATTCGATCAAACGCCATTACGTATTGTGCGAAGGCATTTTCTCTCCAGTCCTGTATGTACTTCCAAGCCACACTCTCATCTGACCCGAACAATAGGTTCACCATCTGAATAGTTTCTGTATTGTTCCATCTTTCCCTCCCGACAAGCGCATCTGAGATAGCACCAAGACCACCTAACCTGAAAATACCCGGAAAGATATGATGCATCTTCTCATCCGAGTCACTTCCATCGTTTGTTTGGTCCGAGTCTTCTAATGTTCTATCAACTGGTATAAAGTCACGATGACTCCGGGATAATTCCTCCCAGGTCCCTGATTCGGTGAGATCCAGGCCGGAATGATCATCGTTTATCCCGACGTAACATGCTGAAATCGTGTGTCGTTGAGCTGTTGTCCGGTCTGTAGATTTATGTGGGAGACCTGGGAGACTGAAACGTACATCTGTAGCTTGACAGACTTGCTTGACCCAATCAATGCCGTACTTCTCTACATCTTCTGATGTCCACATCTCAGAGATGATTTGCTGAAGATTACCATCCCCTACCAGACCATTAGAAGATACATCGTTCCACCAAAGCTCCAGATGACGGTTCATACCGAGTAATAATTCGTCACAATTTTGCTCATCTTCGTCTTCGAGAGACACAGAGCCCTGTAAAAAGCTCTTACCGTAGCCAGTATTGACAAAGGCACGTACATTTATATCGAGTTGTTGAAAGCATGTTCCTTCTCCAGGATAGGCGCTCTGGGAGCAATGAGGTACAGAGATCAAACGCCACATATGATCAGGGCGGAAGTAGACATGCCACATCCAGTAGACTATATCTTGCCGCACTAATTGTTGGATCAAACTATACCACATGTTTGTTGCCCATCCAAGTCGCGGATGATCTGTGCGAGGGCGAAAATGCCAGTCATACAGGGCGAATTCTTGTAGAGCCAGTCGAAGAATACCACCAGGATGCATACCATCGAAATCGTACTTGAGCCAACTGAAAAATCCTGGAATGACTACACTTCCGTTCGCTCGCATAAGATTATCTGTTTGTTTAAGAGCTGGTAGCTGGTTTTTCCCAAAACATCGTCGATAGAGACTCTGGAATGTGAGATACTCGAGACTATCCCAATTTTCGACGATCGGTCGGATGTTCTTCTCTTGGAAACGGAACATATTGACGGGGATTTCGCTCGGCTGGGTTCGTTGAAACCAGTCCGAATATCGAGCGCGAGTGCCTTCCCAGGCACCAAGTCCATGATACAGCTTATCGAGACGGTCCGCTCGTTCTCTATGTGTATTATTGACTGACATTCCTAGCATGTTACAAAGCTGTCGACTATGGCTCGAGCAAATGGTATTGGTGTCGATTTTGTCGTGGTTTTTGTATATCTTGCGTCCAACTTTGCGCAAGGCCTTTTGACATTTCATTTCGGGTTCCGAATTATGAAAGACACGACGAAGAGTGCTATTAGGGAGCAGGCAACCGCACTGAGATGGGTCTTTTCTCTTTCGCTTCTTTCCCTTTCTAGCTGCTATTTCTGATTTTTCTCTAGATATAGAATCCTGAGAGGCTTCACGGTGGAATTCGTCTGAAGATTCGGCGTATGATGTTTGAACAGAGTCGTTTGATAAATTATTGTCACTTTCGAATTCAGAATCATTCACAAGAGCCCTTCCATTGCCAGCGCGACAACAGAATCCATCATCATCAATCTCAAGACCAAGCTCCTGACGTTTCTCTCCTGAAAGACGCCTCTGACAGCGGTTAGAAAAAGCTTTAGTAATATCCCCCTGCATCACAGCTTTATCCTTTTTAATACCTCGTGATTTTGCGGAAAGGCGATTCACAATCTCGTTATTGATCATAAGGCGTATGGCCGTATATTCGAGGTTGGCTGTCAATAGCCTGCTTACTTTTTCTGCCATGGCGCGGGTCTTAACACGTAAGAAAAAGGCTTAAGCATGGTCACTTCCCCATGTCTTGATAGCCTTTTCTCGAATACTGTCGATATATTCCAGTCTCTTTGTCCTATTAGCGATAGCATCCCTAGCTGCCCGCCATTTATATCGAAAGGTGTCCTCGTCTAACTCATGACCGCGCCAGAACTCCCCTCTATCAACAAACTCATGGAGCTTATACAGATAGTCCTCGCCGGTCTCAATAAACCCCATAAGCTCGGATTGCATCTGCATTGCTATGGGATAAACCTCATCTCGTGAACATTCGTGTAGAATCTTAAATGCTTCCTCCATAGATTGTACCGTGCGCCCTTCGAGAGAAATATTGACCGGTAAGCTAACATGATTTTCCATGATGGGTAACTTGTCAAGTAAGAGAAAAAGAAACATAAAAAAATAGGAGTGATACTAGTACTTTCCACGAAAAGAAAATCAGTTTGCCAGCAAGTGGCTGTTATAAAACCCTACACCCCAATGTCCCTTCAAAGAAACGTCAAGTGTCAAAGAACTCGAAGAATCAAAGCCAGGAAGTTTTGAGTACTCTAAAGCCAAAAGAAAAAGCAAGTTGTTTTCACAATAAAGAATACTCATAATTTAATCAGAATATTTGGCGTACCATACGACAGAGAGTAATGAAGTAGTACTACTAGTACTAGTAGAAGACATTCCTGGAAGCTGAATATACTAGTTACAACCTTGGAAGTAGTAAGATTCCAAGGTTGGCAATCGAGCTTCGAGTTCTTTTAGCTTTTCTCGTATTATAACCGTTTGGGCTCTTTCTTATTCTTAAAATTTCACCATTCAACATTATTGAGGCCTGGGGCTCAGAGTCCACACTGCTTTGTGGCCTCTGTAGCCTTTGTGGCATGTTTTTCCTTTGATAGTTAGTAGTAGCGTTAGTACTATTTAGTGTTAGATATTGCTCTGAGGGCTATTCCCTCCACACCTATCCATCTCTTTCATTCATCTCATTTTCCATCCAGTTCCTCTCGTCGCTATATATATATATGCTAAATTCTAAATACAGACTGTTTTTATTCTATTACTAGTAGTACACTATAACTCTGCCTCGGCCGCTGTTCTGTAGCCGCAAAAGGCCGGCCGACCGCCCGGCAACCGTCGGCCATCGTCGGTGCAGCTTCCCCACACCCGAGTTCAAGTTCGAGTTCGAGTTGGACTTCTTCACCTGTCTGTATTCTGTATTACCTTTACCTACACTTGTGATCGTGTCACATTCGGTCCTCATTGACTTTGAAGATGGCCACCTCATTGTCACCGCGGCTCGTCCGTCTCACCACCACCCCACTCCTTTCACGACCAACCGCGACATTCACCCGGTTGTTCGTCTCGCGGTACAGCACCAGCAGCGCCAACGACATCATTCTGACCCAACAAATCCCTGCCCCGGGATCTGGACATGTGCGCGTTCTGCAACTGAACCGACCCAAGGCCCGCAATGCGATCTCGCGTGAGCTGCTCGAAAACCTATCAACGCAGGTGAACTCCATCGCTGCGGAAAAGGGCAATGGACCAACCCGGGCACTGGTCGTTGGTAGCAATGTCGACGCGGCATTCTGCGCCGGCGCAGATTTGAAGGAGCGCGCTACAATGTCACCTGCTGAGTGAGAACCTCCCTTGTTCACGTGGTACTTCTTTTCCATTCTTCAAGACATCCGGCTAACCGATGGTCACGTCGCGATCAAAAAATAGGGTCGAAGACTTCCTCCTCAAGCTCCGAAGCACCTTCAAGACCCTCGCCGAGCTTGAAATCCCCACCATCTCCTCCATCTCCTCTATGGCCCTGGGCGGCGGCCTGGAACTGGCACTGTGCACCCACCTCCGCGTTTTCGGTTCATCGAGTACCGTCGGCCTCCCTGAGACTCGCCTGGCCATCATTCCCGGCGCAGGCGGTACTTACAGACTGCCCGGTTTGATCGGCATTCCTCGTGCTCGCGATATGATCTTGACTGGCCGACGGGTGTATGGTCCCGAGGCCTACTTCATGGGACTCTGCGATCGCCTGGTGGAGGTGCTCCCCGAGGAAGCGACCCAAGAGGGCGTGGCGCGCGAGAAGGTTCTCCGGGAGAGTATCAAGCTGGCACTGGATATTTGTGAGGGAGGACCCATTGCCATTAAACATGCTCTGATTGCAGTACAAGGCGCTGCTTTGGGGGAGATTTCGGAGAATGCTGCCTATGAGGGAGTTATTGAGACACAAGATCGGTATGAGGCGCTGCGCGCTTTTGCAGAGAAGCGGAAGCCAGCTTTCCGAGGACAATAGATTGGGAAGGTGGCGAAATGTGAAATACAAAACACCATGGCAGGGAAGTTTGGAGATCTACTAATGGCCTGTTCTTGGCGCCCTTTGGCCTGAAATAATCATCACCTATCTATAGTTTCAACCTGAGATATGGCAGTCTACATCAGACTATCAGCGTATGTAAAGCCGTCGGTCTATCATAATGAAGTTGTAGGGTTGCCATATTCACCCTGCTCCGTACATCATTCAAATAGAGGATAATAAAAGGAGGGGGCGGCCAATCAAAGGGGTTGAAGGGTGTTGTTGCTTGTTCTGCAGCTCGTATCGAATTCCCCGAAGCGCCGCCTTGTAAAGCGGGTGCATCTCTGCATGCAACTACCCGCTCAGTACAGAAAGGTATCATCGCTGGTAGAAACCCTGGGTCGATTGCGGCTGTGGAGCGGGTAGCTTGTACCCTGCCCCTGGGGTAAGCTTGCCGCCCTTTCGTCAGGCACCATTGCGGTTGCCCCTTCAGGGCGAAGGGCGAACTGCGCCACGGGCGAGGTACGAAATAGCAATGCAGGAACCCGGGCTCAGGGGGAAAATGGCCGCCTGTTCATGAGTCATGAAGACAGCCTTGGTGAGTTGAGTCAACCTCTTCTGTTCGCAACTCACAGAGAATTGAATCGAGTTCAACGAGGCTATCACACCCTCAGGGCTTTCAGGGTTCCAAAGGTTATAGGCTGAGACGCCCCACCAAGTAGGTCTTGGAATAGGTGCCAGTCACCCGCCGTGGTCAGGGGAACAGCAATGTTAGGTAAATCTTGAATACGATCACCTGCAGACTCGGACGCAGATCATCCCCCCAAGACCTTTATATATCGCGGGGCTCGCCCTGATTTGCTCCTACATCTCCTCTACTTGTCGAAAACTTCAAGTTGACTCTGCATGATGGCCTTGGATTGATAACTTGAGATCCTCCCAACTACACATGTCCGAGTCGTCTCCGTTCAAGCCCTTTGGCTTGACGCAGGTCTATGTTCCCCGCGATGGGGCCCCCACTGTTGATATCGTCTTCGTCCACGGTCTAAATGGCCATCCACATGATTCTTGGACAAGCAAGTCGACCAACTGCTACTGGCCAGTCGATCTACTGCCAGATGTCCTCGCCCCTCTTCGTCCCCGTATTCTAACCTATGGATACAACGCGAACGTAACCGCATTCACGGATGGTGCATCGCGAGATTCCATCGTTAGCCATGCGGAGACCCTAGCTTCAAATCTGGCTGCCAATCGCAACGTAAGTTACTTCCATCCGTGAGACTATCTAGGTACCTCCCTACCTTAGGTACCTAAGGTATCAGACGATACTGATACAATCTACGGTTCTAGCTTCGGAGTTGTTCCGATCGCCCCATTATCTTTGTCTGCCACTCACTTGGTGGTTTGGTCGTCAAACGCGCCCTCATCTATAGCCGTAGCCTTTCCAACGAGAAAACCGAGCACCTCCGTTCCGTCTACGTATCAACTTTTGGTATCCTCTTCCTTGGAACTCCCCATAATGGCTCTGATATCGCCAAATGGGGCCTGTTGTTGCACAACATCTGCAGTGCTGTTATGCCCAAGAAATTTATGGAGGCCTCTCCACAGCTTGTCAAGGCCCTGCGAACAAACAACGAAACTCTACAGCATATCAACAGCTTATTCGCTGATATCATGAGTCGTTTCCACATCTACCTTTTCCACGAAACTCGCTCCACCGACGTTCGTGGGACTCGCGAAATTATCGTCGACGAGGCATCGGCAGCCCCCTATCTGGAAGGTGTGGAGCGGATGGGTATTGAAGCAGACCATAGCCACATGTGCAAGTTCGATGACGAGAATGCCGCCGGCTATGAAGTGGTTGCGGAGGCGATTCTCCGGTATTCCCGTCAGGCTCCTATGGTGATTGCCGATCGCTGGGTCGAGGAAAAGAAGGCTCGCACCCTTGAGAAGCAGCATAAGGCAAGGGAAATTTATGACGGTAAGCCAGATATCCCAACTATTTTATTTTATTTTGGATATTGACTGTTGCAGCTAGAGTAGACGATCCGATCGGATACAGCATGCCGGACTTAAATTCAACTGGTAGGGCACTCCCTCCTCCAGAAGAAGCAGTGACCTTGAGAGATTATGAAGTCGAGGAGCCCCCTGTTTGAGACCGAATTGTGGCTGTGTGATGAATTTGTTATCTTGTTTGGTCGACCAGAATGATATGCTTAAGATGACCTTGCAATTTGCTTCGCCCTTGTTCACTTGAGACCATGCTTCGAAGAGGCTCTTTCCGTTGCACCGTTTGATGAGCACCCTTTTTGTATCTTAACAGACCGTGACCGATCACAGGGTGGCTCCCGTCTTTGTCGTTCCTCAGTCTAGCTGATAACATGCAATCTGTTGAATTCATTCTCTTTCCAGAAGTCAGATTTAGCTGATGTTTATTTCTCCCAATAGGTCACTCCGTACTTGCACTTCCTCGTGCATCAGCCACTGATGGTCGCAATTCTCCTGTTTCCGATGTTAGCAACGGTGATTTGGCCCTCTCACACTACTCCAATAAGGATCCACCGATCTTTGTGGCACCTGCAGGATTTCATCCCAATGCAACCTTTTTTGGAATGGAGAAAGAATTGGATATCCTACACAATCGTTTGTTCAAGGCCAAATCCCGGCCGGATCGTACCATGGCTGTCCTCATCTCTGGGGTCCCAGGATCCGGGAAGACACACCTAGCACGTCAATATGCCTTTGCACAGCGCGAGTGCTATTATGGTGGAATCTTTTGGATTGATGCAAAGTCCCGCGAGTCAACCGCTAAATGCTTTTGGGAAATTGCCCAGGCTGCTACCTTGATTGACAAGAAGGAAACCATTGAACCGGAATACCAGGAATCCCGAGGCTATGTTACTGCCGTAAGAAATTGGCTGCAGACGCGTCATGACTGGCTATTGATTTTTGACGGCATAACGTTTGACCACGATGAGGATATCAACGAGTTCCAACCATTCCTTCCCTGGAACAAGCGATGTTGTATCATTTACACCTCTATCGATACCACCTTACGAAAGAAGCAGCGCCTATTTGAGCCATATTGCCTGTCAATGCCCCGAATGCATGTGGAAGATGCATGTAAGCTCCTATTTAGAGATCTCGGTATCAAAAGGCCTACGAAGGAGCAAGCTGCAAAGGGCATTGAATTGGTCGAGCACTACGAATGCCTACCGTTAGCAATTCATGCCATCGGTCACCGTCTCAATGCCACTCGCAAGCCAATTGAGAGATACCGCGTCAAGCACCAAGTGACAGATAAGAAGCTTGCGGAACCATTCCTCAGCATTATGAATGATCTATACCGCTTGAATCAACATCAGGCATTGAATTTGATTAACTTACTTGCATTTCTCGGCCACCATGTTCCCGTGGGCCTGCTTAACCTTGGGAGATATGAAATGTCTGCCGAGAATGCAGAGATTCTAAGCAGCGCCCAACCCGGCGAGGAGCCTGACCTTGATACTACTCTTGGAACTCTCATTCATTACGGGTTGATTGAACGAACATCGGACATTGAGGCTAGCTTCCAGCAAAACGCATCTGACCAGCAGTTGACTCATGAGCTCGACAAGCCTACAAATTCGTACCCGGAGCTGACAGGGTCGATGACAGAGAGTAGCCAGGAAGGTTTCTTCTCGATTTACCGTGGAAATATGACTGTTGATGTGGTCAAAATCCACAGTGTGGTGCAGGGATTCTGCCGGGATGAACTGCGGATCAAAGACGACGAGTATAACGGTGCCATGAGCAACCAAGACCCTGGATTCTATAACTCGTGGCTGATTGTGGCGACTCGCTTCTTATGCAAGTCGTATGAGACGGCCAAAGAAAGGATGACCCACTACCACGACTGTGGACTTGTTCGCGACTATCGAGAATACGAAACCCATGCATCTCGATTGGTTGAGCTCTTTCCTAAAAAGGCCATGATGAGCGCATATCCCCCGGTTGTTCGAGAAGCGCGAGAGAATCTACGACAACTGATGAAGAGCCTCACCAATGAGATTGACCGTAGGTCTCCGAGCTCTTCCCAGGAGTCTAACCGCAATCAAAAGTCGGTCTTTGATCGTTCAAGCAGTTCATCGTCATCATTCCCTGAATCATCTGCAGATGAGGGTATGTCGCGTCGATCGACATGGAACTGGACTGAATCAGGGTCTGCTCGTGCGGAATCCCCCCGAGGAGATAGGCAACAATGCCCGCTTTCGATTGGAACTTTTCCCGCCTCATATCTTCAGACAAGCAGGCTACGAATCAGAGGAAGGCTACGAAACGGACCAAGAGAATCAAGGGGCGATACAGATTTCACCATCCCTATCGCAATTGAGCCAGAGCACTGAGAAACCAAAACCGTCACCGAGAGCACCAAGTCCACCCGCTCCCGCTCCATCTGATGATCATGGTTGGCAAGTAGTCGACCGGCATACCAAAGCTCAAACGCCGCGAGAGAGACAACCAAGAAGGAGAAATAGAGGCCCTCGTCGGCTACGTGGTGCTAAGCCGGCCGCTCCACTGGTGAAGATCTCACAAGTGCACGGGAGAGGATCCTTAAGTCGCGTATCGCCAGATAATGGCGGCAGTTCTACAATTTTGGCTTCGGCTGCAGAGAAGGCATTGGCTGCAGTCCGCCGATTGAGCGATGGGCAATCCACTGCTACACCCCCAAATCGATCTCAGGTACAAGTGCCCACCATGCAGGAAAATGTTCCAACATACGCAAATATGGCAGCCCGGCGCATGCTTGAGGCAGAGCTCCCACTTCGTCGCCCGGCATCGTTACCTCTCCCTCTTCGTGGAATGGATCATGTTTCTGGTGTCCAGATGAAGCCGTCCGTGGAGTCACTCGACGGCCAAACAGGTCATATTTTTGCCTCTCCGCTATCTCACGAATTGACTTCCCACGAGCTTCTAGCAGAGCCACTCACTCGTTCAACTTATAGTGAATCCGGTACAGACTTTTATGGCCAACAATTCGATGGACCAGGTGGTCTACACACAGCACCTAACTCTCAAATCCACTCTCGCCGGTCATCAGTTGCTACTGCTTTTGAACCTGCTCGGCGAGATCTATCGTCGAGTGTTCCATCAATCCTCCCATACCCGCTCCATCTTCAGGATATGTCTGCAAGCACGCCATCTCTCATTCCATACCCACCTCCACCTCTGCCATATGACCAGGACATCAGCATTACCATGTCATCCCACGCAAATCGACCACCCATGCCAATGGGTCCGGTTGCATCTACACCTGCCAATCCTACGCCGATATCTCATCCTTCCGCGATCATGCCCGGGGCACTGCCACTCACTCATGCATTTTCTGATAATATAATCCCACGGGCCTCAGACCACCCCGGGCCTGAGAGCCTTTCTCGCGGGTCGTCGACATTATCACATCAGTCTTGGGCAACTGAGCCTGTCCGATACCCACCGCGATTCTCACCGATCCCAAGTTTCCAGCAACAAGGTGAAATATCACGTATTGCATCACCCATGATTCCCCAACCACAGCCACAGCCCGTCACCGGAACAGCCAGCTGGGTAGGTGATATGTCTCGGCCAGGAAGTGCTCTGCAGTCAGATGGTCTTTATCCCCCGCCACGTAGCCAACGCCTGGGCTCAGTGGATGAGCGACTACAAGACATGGAGCTGAGCTGGAACCCCGATATCGAGCCTGCGCATCTTCTGCACTTCAGGGGACATCGCGTTGATGTCCGCGAGGCGCGCCAAAGATTGCACGAGAATGCCCGACTTCAAGTTCCACGACACGTCCCGACGTACCAAACGTATCATCGCAATCTTTCCGGTCCTTTGATACAGGAAGGTGTTCAATTCTATGCCCCGGCGCTGGCGCCGGAGCCAACTTTAGATACATACAGAATGCGGCCGCGAAGTGGAAGCTCGCCACCACGGCCTCTGAATCATGATGGTTTGGGAGTACGGTTTTGATTCACTCATATATGGCGTTTGTCACCACTTCATTATATTGCTCAATATCTGCAGGTTGTTGCGTTTTGAAACTACGTCCGCTTTTTTTTGTTATGCATCATTGATCAAGGCGTATAGAAAACATAAAGAATATCTCATGCTAGGTAGCATTCAACAATAATTTCAACTTTGAATCAATCGAGATGTAGTATCCGGCTTCTTCTCCTAGGTCTTCGGTAGCAAGCATTTTGTGTATTGGCAGTCTGATTTCTAATGAATTACCATGGAAGCCCTGGAGACCGTGACCGCAATCCCTATTGGGCCTGGCAGCCTGAGACTGCGGATCATCTCATCACTGTGGGGGCGGGCCTCGGCACGGACGCAGAGAGGAACCAAATCCGGTTTCAATCTAGATCTCCTTTTCATCTCATCACAACCCTAGAAGCTGGACGACAAAATTGTTCATCCGAAATGAGTATGATGTCGCCGAGCATCGGCCTTCTGAAGCTGATGCTGGCACGGGTACCGATGATACTGAAAACCCTCATCCAACATGGTATTCACATGTCCCCCGTCTCTGGTCGGCAAGACTTGCGCACCGAGTTGACAGTCGCAATTATTCGCTCGTTCATGACCTTCAGTAATTCTGTCACCAAGACCCAGCAGAATAGTATGCGCGACCCCGGCATCAAAGGCCCTATCTGGGTCTCCAAAGTCGTCCTGCCCAGCCCCGAAATCGATGTGCGAAATGCAGTTCTGCACGCCATTGACGAGCTAAAGACTGGCGATGAGTCCTTTGATATACCTGGCATAGCTCCCGTGGAGGCTGAATGGACTGGTTATCGCAGTGGAGTGGACAAGAACGCGCCCCAACCGGATATCTCAGAGACGGAGAAGTATCACGAACTACGAAAAGAGGTTTCATCTGATACTACGATATTATATTTCCACGGAGGTGCCTACTTGTGAGATGCCCCTGATGATCCGAAGGGAATTCGCGGCAAAATTGCTAATCTTGATCCCAGCTTGATGGACCCCTGCACCCACCGTGTGTCTGTCTCGCAGCTGTCACGCCGGACTGGATCCCCAGTGCTTTCAGTCAGATATCGGCTCGCACCACAGAACCCATTCCCTGCTGCTCTGGTTGATGCACTGACGGCGTACCTATCACTTATCCACCCACCACCAGGGGCATTGCACGACCCGGTACCCGCCAACAAGATTGTTATCGCTGGCGACTCCGCCGGTGGAAATCTGTCCTTAGTCCTGCTTCAGACTCTACTTACTCTTCAACGATCTTCCCGCTCAATCAATTTCCATGGCAAGGAAATACCTATTGAGTTACCGGCAGGTGTGGCTACTATCTCACCGTGGTGCGATATCACACACTCTATGCCATCTGCTGTCCAAAACGCCAAATTCGATTATCTTGTCCTGCCTACCTTTGAAGGAGATAAAGCAGCTGCGTCTGCACCTTTTGCTCCGGCTCCAGTCCCGCCTGATGCCGTATGGCCAGTCTCTCCACCACGGAGCGATCTGTACGTCAACGCGAAGACCGTACTGCATCCTCTCGTTTCTCCTCTCGCTGCGTCTCCGGATCTCTGGAAAAATGCCCCGCCGGTATTTATCTCGACTGGAGAGGAGTGTCTCGCAGATGATGGCCTGATCACTGCTCGCCGTATGCACGAAGCGGGTGTATCTGTTGTCGCGGAGCAGTTTGAAGGCATGCCCCACTGTCATGGACTCTTAATGATGTCTACACCAGCAGGTAAAAGGTTCTTCGAAGGGCTGTCAGAGTTCTGTCGTGATGCCGGGGCTGGCCGCGTGGAACCCACTGGCAAACTCACTTATCTCCCCTTTAAGCTGCAATCAATCCGAAAAATTCCACTTGAGGATGTCAGCGATGTAGACGATAAAGAGGTCGAAGCAAGGATGCGGCGATCTGCAGAGTGGCGATTAGAGGGAGAGAAGGAGATGCTAAGGCGTGAAAGGGCACGATTATAGATCTAAACTTTAGTAAATATTGATTTCATTACTTACCAGAACTTTGGGAAATATTGCGTTGATAACCTTTCCTTTCTCTCTCTTTCCAGGTTACTACTACTGGTAGTTAGTAAATTTCAACTTCCACCTGATGATTGATATATCTAACTTTGGGGTATCATTTCTAACGCTAAAAATACACTATTTGTACAATCCCCGACTATATTCTTCAACCTCCTCGTCGGTAGGCCATTCCCAACCCGCTTTATGGAAAATAGCGCATCCTTCCTGCAGTTTTGATTGCGACTGTGACTGCTCCAGGTAAGTCCGCGTCGCCACCAGGGTAAGACGCATGTTTTTGTTTCCATTTTGACGCTCTTGAGAGGCTTCGCTGAGCTCAGAAACCGAGCGACTCATCCAGTGCAGGAGATGCAACAGTCCATCATCGTCTCCAGCTATCCCGAGAGCCCCGACGAAACTATGCAACGTCACAAATGATGGGACATGCAAGCCGAGCGGGACTTTGGGTTGGAGTTGGTCTGTTTGTTCCGCCACAAACACGCTATGTTCTGCAAGATCCGGCATGGCTGAATTCGGGAGAACGAGAGACTCAAATTCATCTTTGAGGGTTTTAAGACCAGTTCCGACCATATCGTTGAAAGCGTCTGGGTCAGAGCCAAGGTGTGGATCGCCTTGGGTCGCCTTGTGGATCAAGCTCAAAGACTCTTCCACAAGCCCAGGATGCCTAATTCCTGCATCGACGGCCTTTTTAAAAGCGATACACAATGCCTTGAACCCCTGCGATCCGGGATCCACGTCCCGGTCCTTCATCAAACGCAATACCGCAAGAGTCTCATGCCATCCAATAATGCGGTACAAACAGCGGGTACGGTCTGTATGCTTTTTGTTCACACGCTCGGTGCTCATGGCATCGAGAAGATGAACCCAAGCAGAATGACAGTACGGCTGGCGCAACTTGACTAATTGAACTGCATGCCACAAAGCGCGTGGGTGCCGCCACTGTCCAAGGTCTTCTTGGAAGTCAGAGAGAGCAGCAAGGGGCTCGCGGGTCTGGGTGTTCTCGGTCAAAGCAGGGAAATCGTTGGGCGAGAGAGAATATCGACCACTCATTTTCATGCGAATTGACTTGGAACGAGTGCACAGAAACTTGATAAACGAGACAAACACCGCGTCTGGCAGCGAACCAAGAGTCTTGAGATAAGGGGCCGGACATTGCGACGGGTGACCCCAGATGACGCACAGAGCCGCAATTTGTTTCTCAGAGAGGTCACTGCGTCGTAGATATTCTAAGCCCGTGCGAAATGTGGGAGCAGATCGAAGCAGAAGAGCCAAGAATCTACCCGACGGTCGAAAATCATGAGAAAACATTTCATGAACCAGATCTTCCACAGTCGGCGGCTCTGTATGTACGTAAATGATGTCACGAGCAGACGCAGGTTCAGCATGAACCTCGGGGCCATCACCAGGCAGAGCCTGTCCCATCTCATCAACGCGCCCTTTGATTGCCATTTGGCGGTAAATCAACTTGGCACACATCTCAGCGTAGATGGTGAGTTTAGGAGGAAGGCCTTGGTCTTGGTAGGCCAAAAAGCAAGCCCACGCTTCACGTATGGTCCTAGTTGCACGAATTCGAGCTGCCCAAACGACAGCATAGTTATCGACCTCATCATCGCTAGCACGAGAAAGAGAGCTCGACCGAGGGACCAAGGTCCTTGTTTGGACTGTTGGACTGCGGTCAGTGTCCCAACCAGCCAAAATGGTGGAGGTCTTCTCCCAAACTCGATGGGAGTAGCCTGCCTCGGTCATTTGAGACAAGACATTCATCGCGCGACTTTGCAGCCCCTCGTTTCCACGCTGTGCATCCATGCCCAATTTCTCCTCTTTCCACGGAGGCCACGATGGCGATTTCAGTTCAGCCGATTGGCGCTCAGCAAGCGTCTTTTTGTGAGCTAGTTGAACAGCAACAATAGCTTGGTAGCCCTTTCGAGAGAGAGGAAGCACTGGCTTGTGAGATGCCATGGACTTGAGAAGCTCAAATTGCGCTTGCTGCTGGATTGAGGCCGCGCGAAAAGGATTGACCTTGGTGGGCATTGACAGTAGCCAGAGACAAGTGTTAAACTTCTCTGTACTTCCACGGTTGAGCTTTTGCATAGTCATATTAGAGTTCTTGGTCTTTTGTGTGTGCGATCTCGTCAAAAACCGGGAGAATACGGTGGCAATTGTCGGAAGCGCGCGAGGCCATACCTGGCGCGCATGTCGAACCAAACGATCGATAAGGGTCACACAAGTCCCTAATTTAATGCGGGGGTGGTATTTGCTTGAAGCCGGTTCTTCAATATCTCCTGAAGTTCCGTGCAGAGAGTCGACAGATGGGAGTGGATGGCCGCTCATCAAGTGCAAGGCATACACGAGAAGCAGTCGAAAAGACTGCGCATCAAGGTGATGCTCCTTCAACAAAAACAAAGGAATGAATACAGGAATCTCCATTTGTTTGGGTATACTGTCGCCTTGCAGAGCAAACATCCGGGTGATCGCTTGGCGAGCATTCTGGCTCTTCATAATCCACGCCCAAGAAACCACATCTTCAATGCCATAGCCTCGCGCAGCGAGATACTTATGGATCTCTGGCCTAAACACATGCGCAAGCGCAATGTCCAAGTCATTGCGTACCTCGGATAGAGTAGCGTGTGAGGGAGCGCCAGAGACGAGTGGATCCACCAATCGTATATATTCGGCCAATGTAGCCTGCAGAGAGATCATCTGCCGGGGTCGACCGTGTGTTTCCCTTGTGCCATAGTGGAAGGTGCGGAGACTCGAATGCCCATCCCGCCCGAAAACATGTTTTTGAAGAGTTTTGCTGAGGTACTCGGAAGGCGTGGGGATTTGTTTCGATTTTCGCCTTCTTTCTTCTCTCGGTATCGCTTTTGAGTTCAAATTGTCGAGAGTATTCGTGCGTTGGTAATCTTCTGGTTGGGACTCAAACGTGCTTGTGTTTTGTAATCTCGACGGAGAAGTTGGCGGGGATGGAGGGCCAGTTCGGTCTTTCGAGTGGTTATTATTATTGAGATGAGGGTGAATATTGGTCGCGAGGTGTTCAGAGCAAGAAAGAGGAGCTTCCGTTCCAAACGAATGTTTGCTTGCTCGGTGGGTATTCCGCTGGAAGCAATAAGAAGATCCACGCGCGACAAGATGAAAGCTGCGGTGATAGTCCTATTATTTTGATTAAAACCAAGGTTATGTATTAGCATTACCATTCCTCTACCATCGAATTCAGAGGTGAATATAAAAAATACCTTGCGCCAGCTATGACTGAGCAGATGCGCAGCTCTCAGCGAGGATACCCTCGAGAGGCCGCGGACACGATTGAGAGCGGATGACATCCATGAATGTAATCATGAAGCACGGTTTCCAGCAGTGCTCCCACGGTCTGATCGGCCCCAAAATGCGAAGATGTCGAATGCCCAAGTATGTAGAAAAGGCTAGAAAATGGAGGCCGCAACTCCCGCAGAAACAGAAATGGAAGGCAACGCGGTCACGTGCACATCACCTGCGGTTTTCGGGAAGGCGCGCATGAATTCATTTCTCGTCTCGCTCGATGGATGGACCTTTTGCCTTAACTTCTCTCTCAACTCGGTGACTACTTTCTGTTTCGTCCATTGTGTCTAGGGTCAATTATTCACTTGGAGATCACTTCCCCTTCACTCTCACCCTCACCCCTTCCCCACAGCTGAAGGGATTCGTCACTTCGTGTTGTCACTGTCGCGATCTCATCCTTTGGGAGGGGACCGCGTCAGAGAAAGTCCTGTCAACTTCTACTTCCCCGACGCGACTTCGCAGCTATGAGCGCCGAAGAATCTCGGAATACAACCCCGGTCGCCGCCCCGAATGGTGAACCTCGCCCGGAATCGAATATGACCGCGACCCCGGGGAAAAGGAAGCGATCTGTGCAGGAAGAGAAAGCGGGTTCCGACACCAATACTTCTGCGCCGCATGACAAGACAAACCTCCACGAGAATCTACGAAATCTTGTCGAACTTCTCTCGAAGTGAGTCTATCGGGGACTCGATGGATGTAGCTTTGGAGAGGCTTTCGCTAACCATTGGACAGACACGACGCCGAACTTCAGCTCCTTTCCTGCCCACTACCGGTATCAACCACCAAGCCGCGGACGAAGCGCGCAAAGGTTTCAAACGACCAGGAGACTTCCACCGTACGAACCCGCGTTGATTCGGGACGATATAGCACCTTGCAAGAATTCCTAGCCGATATTGAAAGAGCCTCTGCTGCTGCGATCGAACGCAACCAGAATCAGTCAAACGGTACCAAGGTTGATGGCACGGCCTTGACAGAAGTTGTGAATCGCATTGCGGCTTTTAAGAAACATATGAATAGCCTTGTCGGCCAATCGTTTGTTAACCAACCCAATGTCAAGGCCGAATCCCCAGACGATGAGGAAGATCAAGTCTTAGCCACAGTCGCTCATGTCAGCGCCCGTGAGGACAAGCAGGCGCTGACAATCTTTGGGAATGCTTCGAACCCGGCGAACCCGAAACAACTATTCTCAAGCTTGCAGAAATCCATTAAAGTGCCCCTGCAATCTTCCGATGCGGACACGGAGAGGAGTGTTGAAGTGCAAGAAGAACTTCGCGAAGGCGCCCTCCCGAACGGAATTTCCGCCACAAAAGTCGTCCCTTATAATCTCAGTGCTGCTTCACCACCATCAAAGAGAACGTTTGGTGAGGTCTTCGCTCCGCGCGCTGGCCTCCCCCAATTAGAACGCCCACGGAGACGAAGCAATCGAAGCACCTCCATTACTTGGATGGATCCATTTGATGCCGCGTTCGACTCCAGAGCTTTCTACGATGACCGCAACAGCTCTGCTTTGACGCCACTTCCCGCAGGACAATGGCTACAGTACGGTGGAGTCACGTCTTCGCCAGCTTTTTGGGCTCGCGTCGAAAAGTATCATGCAAGTGCAGATTCTAGCTCAAAGCACAGTGATCCCGCAATGTGGACAGGTGATGATTCATCTCTCCTGCAGGGCGTCTACTCATCCTTTGCCCCGTCTTACGATAGTTCTGGGGCCACCCTCCAAAATGATGTAAAGGACATGATCTGGTGGGAGAAGCGAGGCTCCAAGCGCTTACGTACCCTGCTCTCACTTCCTCAAACAGAGGAAGAGGCCATAAGTGCACAACCAGGAAGCATCGGCGACCTTGATGAAAGCATTCTAGACGAAATGGTCAAGTCATTCAATCCGGAAGACATAAGTTATGATCTTACTGGCGAGAACGAGAAATCTCAAGTGGATCCCGAATCAAGGGAGGTTGAAGAGCTTCTCGTCGAAATTTCAGATCTACTCGATACTCTGAGCTCTTACCAGAAAATTCGTCACCTGACCTTCCCATCTGCTGATGGCGACCTTTCAGAGACCCAAGACACTCCAATTCCCGATTCCGACGATGTTGATGCACCATCTGATGCAGAGAAGATCATTTACGAAACACTGAAGACGAGTCTTCTTGCTATAATCGGCAACCTGCCGCCATACGCCGTTGCAAAATTGGACGGTGATCAGTTGGCAGAATTAAACATTAGTCAGAAGATTTTGATCGAAACCCCGGATTATACTGGTACCATGGAGAAGGATGACTACACCTTACAACAGGAACGCGCTGCCGCCATGGCCATGGCAGCAGCACCACCCAATACCGCGAATCGGAACCCAACGCCCTCCTCCGTGTCACGGCCAGGCAGCTACCAAGGGCCACATTCTGGCATTAACCAGCGTGCAGTTACCGCCAACGCTCAAATTCCACAACGGCCAAACTTCCAAGTACCTCAGCACGGCCGACAACCCTCCGGGGCAGGTACATTCACCCCCGGGTATAATGGGGCACGTCCACCCAGTACGCCATCCCAACGCCCTGGATATACGCCACAACAATATGCACAAGGGGGGGCAGCAATTCAGTCAAGCAAACAATGTGCCACAATTCCAACGTCCCACGCCAAATGGCTACACGCAATCTCCCCAGCCATATACACCGCGGCCAGGGCAGCCAGCTGGCTACAATGTAACACCCCAGGGCCGCACTCCCTATGCGAATGCTGGCCCTGTTCAGCGTCAGCCGTATGCGTCACATGGAACCCCATCCCAAGGGCCGTACCCCAACAGTGCCGCTGCTGCCATTCACGCTCGAAGTGCGGCAGAGCAAGCCGCAAAGGCACAAATCGCGGTACAACAGAGTCGACAAAGTCCCTCCACGCCGCAGCCGGGGGGGTTACGAGGCTCGTCTATCTCAAGAGGGCAGCCTCACTCCCGGGAGCAAGCAGAATGGCACCCCTGTCCAATAAATAGGGGATGGATGAATTTGTGCTTCTTGTGACCCCACGACGATACCTGTACTTGTCCCCTAAACATACTCTGAGTTGATGAAAAGGGTCTTTTTTCTCTCTTCCATGCCATGTCCTTGGTTTTTACTTCAATTTTGCAAGAAGCTTGAACTCATTTCCAGATCTTCGTGGAGGCTTGTTCAACTTCTTGTTTTCTTCTTCTCTTTCTCCGCTGTGTTTTAATGGTGTCTTCTCTTCGAATTTCCGCGGTATCATGTCATTTGCTTTATTTTTCTACCAATGGTGTTTTCTTGGGATCGAAGCGATTGGCGCGTGGGTGGTTTCTACAAGATAAGTCCTGTCTGGGTGGGTGGTAAGAGCTACCGTTGAAAAAGTCAGCTCGCTCTTTGATGTTCGCCATGTTCGGCCTAGAAGAGGATTCTTATTTTTTTCGCTTTCATACAGTTTCAATCAATGTATGCTTATTAGATCAGAATTGTAGGCCAAGGGCCTTTTCGATGATTTAAGTTGATCTTGGGATAGTCGCAATGATCCTGGAGAATTTCTTCATAAAATACACATAATACTAGTAACTATTCAATGTCACAAAAGACTTCAAATAACATCAAACACCTCCTTTCCAATCCGCTTTATCCTGTCCCAATGTTCATAACTCATACCGGGGCCTAGGAATAGAAACTTTCGGCCGGGCTATGACACCCAAAAAAACCAAATGGAGAAAGATCCCGAGAATGAAAACGCCATCTTTCTCTTTACCCAGTGACACAAAAGATTGGGCAGGCGATTTTTTTTCTTTGAAAAACGGCAACCAAGCGCAGCAATATGTCGTCAATTATACATATGCCGAAACTAAACATAGAGAATTCGTTCGGATAAGACAGTAAGGAAAATCATCAGTCATAAATAGCCCTGTATTCCAAGGGTTAAGGCATAAACATGGCGGCGATGGTCATGAATCCGAAGTAGCTATTAACGTGTCAGTACGAGTCGAACTCGACGATACGATTTTGAGTAGGGACAAAACATACAGCATTGTACACCTCCAGCCATCTCTGGAATCCACCAAGGCATCGATCCCTGATGAATAATTTGCTGCAATAGCCGCGGCCGCGCCACCGGTAACCGTCACGACAACGAGACGGCCCGAGAACTCTGCAATCATGCTGAATGCCAGCAGAGGTAGGAGAAGGGCACCCGAGGCAATGAAGATGGCCATATAGACGGGAGCAGCTGCCGCTGATGCCGCCAGTCGTGGACTCAAGGACACCAGGTCGGCATCTTGATCCAGGAAACGGGTCTCGGCAGCTGCGATAGGGTTGCGGTCTTTCATCCAGGTACGATAGTTCTTGATGTCGTCTTCAGAAGCACGCGGGAGTGTCTGCAGGACTTTACTATACGCACTGAGAGCGTTGTCTAATTGTTGGGGTTAGTGAAATGCTCGTAATTAGTGGAAGCATATGTCAAACACATACTGTACTGCTCTGTCTTCTGTGTCAGAGCCGCCATCAATTCCATGCGACGATAGTGGAGTGACGAGTAGGCTTGAGACTGAACATCGAGTCGCCGGGAGGGGGGCATTGGTTTAGTGCCCTCCTTCTCGGCATTCCCAACTCGGTGCATCTCCTCGTACTCATCGAGCGCTTGGAGGTCTTCTTCCATTTGGGAAATTTCATCCTGGAGATATAAGAGAACACGGTGATTCACACTCCCGAAGCGTCGGTAGAGTGGTGGGAACCCCCCCCTTCTCTTCATTGGCAGAGTGTGTGAGGTGCGACGCGACCATTCCATATCCAGATGAAATCTGCGAAGCACTAGAGTCTCTTCTTTTGATTTGAGTGTCCCGATGTATGCTGTCCTCCGGGCTGCTGGGTGGAGAAGGCGGGAGGGGTGATCGATGGACAACGTCTCTCGACGATGTATAATAATTCTCGGGATGCGATATTTGTAATTGCCGCCGACTGGGCTGAGGAGATTTCTCTGCCTCTGAAGTATCATAGTAACCCGTGTTAGACGATTGAGGAGGTGGCTGTTTGCGAGCTAGCTGCCATTGATTCTCTGTTGGAGAAGGCGCCGACGGCGCCGGTGGAGGGAGTGGCCGTGAGTCACTTGGAACCCTAGGCGCTCTTGTGGAGGGAGGAGCGGGTGCCTTGGGAGGTGTGTTCCCCAGCAGCGCATTCGATGCATTGCTAGTTCGCGGCTTTGGGGATTGGATCTTTGTGATGGTTTGCTTCGCGACCGGCGGCGGCGATTCATCCTCAGACGGTTCAGATTCGGATCCGGATTCAGATGACGACTCAGAAGATGAGCCATCATTATTGTCCAGGAATTGAAATACATCTGGGACTTTCTTTGGTGGTTCACCGGGTTTAGTACTTGCAGGTGATTCCGTTGTCGCCTGCGACTTCAGAGCCTTGTTTGGTCCATTGGATCCTTTCTCGCTGGGTTTGGAATTTCCAGCAGGTCCAGCCTGCGTCGGTTGGGTTGTATTGGAGACTGTCGACAATGTCCTTTTCCTCCCATCTTTCGTTGATTTGCGGGTCATACTATAAGAAGCGGTGCGGAGCGGCATGGTGATCGGAAAAGGTCGGAAGTAATACCCGGCGCATCGCTTGAAAAAATAATAAGAATCTTATGAGGCCATGCGCACATTCAAAAGGGTACGATGGGCATGAAGTGTTGAATGGAAGGGTCGCCAGTTGTATAACGTCAGTATGGGGACCCGAGGCATGACAAGGGAGGAGGGGCTAAATTCCGATCAGATCACGGCAAGCATGCGGAATCTAGGGGTCGTCCAGCGAAAAAGAAAAAAGACCAAAAGAGGAGGGACGATAAGGAAATATGACAGAGCAAAAGGGCGATGAGAAGACAACCGTCAAAGCGAACAAGCAAGATGATGTGATGTCTCAATTCTCCCCGCGTCGTCCCGTTGACATTCCTCGGGGCAGGAAGAGGTATGTATAATGGGGCAGATCTAGAGCGAGCGGCCCCAGGTCGAACAATGTACTGACTCTGAAGCAGCCGTACGGCACGTCAGCCCCTAATTAGAAACGAAGTTCGCGTCACCAGCGCAGGGCTCAAACGAGATCCGGGCGTCTCGCGGGGGCCCCAAGGTGGGTTGCAATTCGTCACAGCCGGGGATCCCTGATAATCTGAAGCAGATGAGAAGCGCCGGGGGCTTCAGATCGACGACCAATGACACGGGGTCGTCGCAAGGAGGTTTTAAGTTCTCCCTGTCGATCGAAGGAGGGGGCGGAACAAAAGAGCTGCTGTGACGCTGGTTCAGGTTGTACGATAATGGCGACTGGGAGTACAAAAGTAGGAAGTACACAAACAGACCCGAGATAAAGAAGAGGAATTGACTTGGGGCTAGCGGTAACTAGAAATGGAGGCGTGAATCAATAGTGTGGGCCACTATTGACCAGCAGAGCAAATCAGAGAGAATCCTCTCCGATCCGGACTATAATGCAGGCGTCTGAACGAAGTCACTGGGGAACCATGCGCTGGCGAGTCGCCTGTCGATCATCTCACGCCTTGCGTTGGGGGGCTTCTGGCGGTCTGGCGAGCAGTCGGGCCCCATTTTTCACATTTTCGGGGGGGAAGAGGGCGAAGAGGGCGAGGGGGGGCCAGGATAATGAGACCAGTCGACTCTGGTTCTGTTTCTGTCGTGCAGCAGAGAGTGTTCTTCTGTGCAGGTGGGGTGTGACGTGGTTCCATGAGGAAGAGTAGAAGGGAGATGCAGCAGTGGGTGGATGTATGAGGTAGGCATACACTGACTCTGCGGAGTAGGGTATACAACTACACAGTACTTCGTATCTTCCAAGATCAATCCCATTCTCTTGTTGATAGAATAGAGTATAATAATAGAATGATTTTCTCAATTACAGAGTACAATTACAGAGTACACTAGTATATTCATCTCTTCATCTATTCATAGATCTCTCCTGTTGGGCCCCCAAACCCCCAAACGATCTGCAGATCGCCGAGTCTCCCGCAATTCGACTTCGCGCTGGGCTTTGCGCTTTGCGCTTTCTCCCACTTCCACCCGCCATCGCCATCACTTTTGTCTCTCCATGCTTCGGCCAAGGCCCCGCGGTACCATCCGCTTACTCGATCGGTTCAGTCGCCCTGTGACTCGCCCCCCAGAAATTGTACTTGCAGTTTCTACCGTTCTCTTCCCTGCCAACGCGCAGTGCTCCCACTTCCACCTCTTCCTCGGCCCAACCAGATTCATCTGACCGCGTCCCCCTTCGCAAACAACTCAAGCAGGAGGCGAAAGCTCTCAAGGTACAGAAAAGGCAGCGCAAGGAAACTGAAGAAGCTTCGCGTGAAATATGGGAATTGACAGTCGGCGTGGAGATCCACGCCCAACTGGATACGACCGCAAAGCTGTTTTCTCGTATGTCCACCCACCCACCACATCACTTCGTTGGCCCCCCTCCCCCCCTCCCCGCAAGTTGTGCTCCACGTATCTAACCCTTTCTTTCCTTACACCGCAGGTGCTGCCACGTCCACGAGTGATCTTCCCAATTCCAATGTCGCCTTGTTCGACCTAGCCTTTCCGGGCAGTCAGCCGGTACGTACAGAGACAGAGAGAGAGAGAGAGAGAGAGAGAGATGTACCATTGCAAGATAGGAAGGTCAATTAACTCATACGCCACACAGGAATTTCAAGCTGCCACCCTTCTCCCCGCTCTCCGCGCCGCAATCGCTCTGAACTGCGACATCCAGCCTGTCAGCCGGTTTGACCGAAAACATTATTTCTACCAAGACCAACCATCGGGGTATCAAATTACACAGTATTATGGTGGGGTTCTCATTGGTACATGACGCTACAAAAAGGGAAGACTGCTAACCCTGCCCCTCCTCCAGAGCCATTTGCACGAAACGGTTACGTCGATTTATACGACTACGATGGTATCGCCCGCGAAGATGGTGAGCGCATTCGAGTGGACATCAAACAAGTCCAATTAGAACAAGACACGGCCAAATCCCAAGAATACCCCCCGTCCTCACAGCTTCTCGATTTCAATCGTGTCTCCCACCCTCTGATCGAGGTCATCACGATGCCTCAGATTCATACCCCCGCCACCGCCGCCGCGTGCGTTCGAAAACTCCAGGCGATCCTACAGGCATGTGGTGCCGTGACCACCGGGATGGAGTTGGGTGGTCTTCGTGCCGATGTCAATGTCTCCATCCGCCGGCGGGGAGAAGCACCAGGCAAGAATCATTATGATGGGATCACCGGGCTCGGTCAGCGTACCGAGATCAAAAATCTGAGCAGTTTCAAGGCGATAGAAGACGCCATCATCGCCGAGAAGAACCGCCAGATCGCGGTGCTGGAAAGTGGCGGTGTCGTGGAAGGCGAGACGCGTGGATGGACCATCGGCAGTACCGAGACTCGCCGACTGCGAGGTAAAGAAGGTGCTGTGGACTATCGCTACATGCCAGACCCCGATATTCCACCACTTGTCATTGGCGAGGACCTCATCTCTCGTCTCCAGGATACCCTCCCCACTGCACCCGATCAGCTCGTGGTTCAACTAACCGGGCCCGAGTACGGTCTTTCGATCGAAGATGCCAAGCCACTGATTGAATTGGACGACGGCGCTCGCTTAGAGTATTACCAAGATGTAGTGGATGCTCTCCATTCCATCCGCCCTGGTCAAGACGACACTACTCGCGTTGCTCTTGCGCGTATGGCGGGTAATTGGGTTCTGCATGAACTGGGCGGTCTACTGACCAAAGCAGACCGGGCCTGGGACTCTGAAATTATCCCGGCCCGGTCTCTGGCCGACCTCATCGACCATTTACAGCGGAAGCTGATTACTGGGCCCACTGCAAAGCAAGTCCTGGCGGTAGTTTTCGAGGGAGATCATCGACCAGTTCCACAAATGTTGGAAGAGGACAACCTCCTGCTACGGCCGCTGTCGCGGGAGGAATACCGGACACTGGCAGAGACAGCGATGGCGCAGAACCCCCAGATGGTCGAGCAGATCCGCAGCAAGAATCAGCTGGGGAAGCTCGGCTGGTTCGTGGGGCAGATGATGCGCACAGGCGAGAAGGGCCGCGTCGAGGCGCCCAAGGCCGAGGAGGTTCTCCGCGAACTTATCCTGGGGAAAGCATAAGAGTATAGCGTAGAACCATGTACAACATAGATAATTCCAATGATACCCTGTATTTCTGAGAGTTGTTTGCTCCTCCATTAGACAAAAGTCGCAGCTAAAAAAAGTATTAACAAAGTATGTCAAAATGTCAAGATGAATGCCTCTGCCCCCCACATTTACCGCATCAGACGCGTTTGACATGAAGAAAAGAAAAACCCCCGATTAAAAGATACCATTACGACATATCTTCGGGCACGCGCCTCGTTCGGAGACGGAATAGCAATGGGGTGGGACTAAACGGGGCGGCTCTCCTCAACCTGTACTTAACGGAAGTGATGGAGAACCCGGCGGAGTGCCGTGATCCCTAAGTGCAGGTTTTAGCGACTGCGACAATCAAGAATGAACAAGGGCCCGAGGAGGTCGGAAAGGGGGGAAAGAGAGAAAAGATATAAAGCTGGTCCTCTTCCTTTCTTTCTTTTCACTTTCCCCAGAATATCCCATTCCTTTTAAGCTCTGATCTGATCTGATCTGATCTCTTTGTCAACTCGATTCCCTTTTGCGGCTCGACTTGGTCCACTTTTTTTCTGCCCCTCTGTCTATTCCTAAGATTATCTTATTTTCTTATCGCAGATCCATCTTGAGCTTCTTGGAGCCTCGATCTTTCTTCTTATTCTTCATACCTCTAAACTCGTGACTTTCTGCAATATACTGCAGAACATATACGCACGATGACGCAGCCATCTACAATCGACTCCCGCTTCCTCTCCCACCCCAATCAACTGGGCGTGGTTGCTGTCGGCTTCAATGGCGGACAGGTGAGTGACGATTGCGAGAGCTACATGCCATATGCAAGTCATATGACCTCAGACCAAGAAGCTAATACCTCAATAGATGAAGAAGGGTGTCGAGGCGGCTCCCATGGCCCTCATCGAGTCTGGTCTGCTGACCCAGCTCCGCGAAGATCTCGACTATGACGTCCAACACGACGACACCGTCCACTATTATGAGAAAGACATCCCCTCCGAAGAACAAGACCCCGATTTCCGTGGCATGAAGAAGCCCCGTGCCGTCAGCGCCGTGACTGAACGCCTGAGTGACCAGGTCTACAACTATGCCAAGGACGGCAAGTTCGTCCTCACTCTGGGTGGTGACCACTCCATTGCCATCGGAACGGTGTCTGGAACAGCCAAGGCTATCCGTGAGCGATTGGGTCGTGAAATGGCTGTCATCTGGGTGGATGCGCACGCCGATATCAACACTCCCGAGTTCAGCAATAGCGGTAACATCCACGGTATGCCCATGGCATTCCTGACCCGCTTGGCCCGGGAGGAGCGCCGTGACATCTTCGGCTGGCTCCAGGATGAGCACATTGTTAGCACTCGCAAGTTGGTTTACATTGGTCTGCGGGATGTCGACCGTGGGGAGAAGAAGCTTCTGCGTGACAACGGCATCAAGGCTTTCAGCATGCACGACATTGACCGGTTCGTTTTGCCCCTTCCTCACCCCTAGTTCTAGTAAAGCGGCCTTTCTTTCTAACTTGATTCCTTAGTCACGGCATTGGTCGTGTTGTCGAGATGGCTCTTGCTCACATTGGCAACGACACCCCCATCCACCTGTCATTCGACGTTGACGCCCTGGACCCCCAGTGGGCTCCTAGCACTGGCACCCCCGTTCGCGGTGGTCTGACCCTACGTGAGGGTGATTTTATCTGTGAATGTGTTCACGAGACCGGTAACTTGGTCGCCATGGACCTGGTTGAGGTTAACCCCAGCCTTGAGTCTGTGGGAGCGGCCGAGACCATCCGTGCCGGTTGCTCGTTGGTTCGCAGTGCGCTTGGAGATACCCTTTTGTAATTTTTAGATTCCTCAAAGATGGAAGAATAGAAGCTAGCTGATCAATTAATGCCGTTATGTTACACTTGCTATCCTGCCAACTCCAGCTCATAGTAGTACTAGTAGTAACTAGTAGGCACCATGGTATATATAGATATAGTTAGGGACTGGTGATATTATAAATTCTCCGAGCAAGAGTTTAGACATGTCAAATGCATGTAAAAATCCAAGCTTTGACGATGACAAGTGGGTTCTTGTTCCTGGCGGAGTGGAGTCGAGCCCGCAGTTGTGCAAATCGCGGGACGCGGACTAAATCCCCTGCCACCCCAATTTCTCGCCGATCATCAACAAACCCCCCCTCTGCTGATTTCTGCTTCCCATTTCCATCCTCCCCCTGCAATCAACCGCTTCCTCCACGCCAAGCTACCCCAGCATTCCGCACGCCTCACCAAAGCCAAAGTGCCCGAATCCCCTCTCGAAGGTCTCCCTCGACCCAGCGCCCAGCCGGCGCCCAATGCGCTGTCCACCTTATCGCTCTCACCCACCTCCGCAACCCGTTGAAAGAAGCCACCCAGCCGATTTGTTCGTCTCAAAATAATCGATCGCATTGCGCCATCGGGTGAAAGTCGGTAGCGATCCTGCGACAACCAAGGCGACGCATTACCATTGGGCTGAATACTTCCGCCAGCTGTATATATCTTGACTGAAAGGAAAGGTCTCGAAATCCATTAGGAGAATAACATTGGATTCGTGCGACTACCGAGAGTTACCTTCTTTCACTTCTTCCTTTCAACATAATGGCTCTTCGAATGCGTCGTGAGGTGCGGCCCAGCTACCATTGGCCCGAAATCCAACTCAATATCTGGCTTATCGTCGTGCTCTCTGGCTCTGCGACATGCCTCGGGATATTCTCGTGGTTTATGATCGTTCAATCGCAAATGGATCTCGGTGTGCCATGGTAAGCATTTCGTATTCCCGAGGGATCAAAAGGCCTGTACTAACTATGTATGACCTTCCAGGCTCTTTCCATACATGGTCGTCACCAGCGCACTCGGCGTCGCTTTCATATTTCTTGTCCTCGGCCTTATCACACGTCATTTCTTACTTCCCGGGATTCTCATTCTCGGAAGCTTCATCCTATTCGTCTTATGGTTGGCCGGGCTTATTGAGACGTCGCTGCAGCTTTATGGCGTGGCCGGGAGCGTGAACGACAATTGCCAAAACTACGTGGTTGACAATGTGTCACGGGGAAACAACATCAATACCCTGGCATGGTTGACCCAGAACACAATTTGTTAGTTTATCCTTCCCCTTCAATTCATCCGCGGGATGATCAATCCACTGACCATCTAAACAGGCAATTGCTGGAAAACTGCTTTCGCGTTTGAGCTTGTCAATACCATATTCTACGTTTGGATGGTCGTGATGAGCTGGCAAGTTCACCGAAACTACTACCATTAACTTCTCGCCTGTCTATTTTGCATGACGTTTCTTTTTTTTTTTACGTGATACCATTTTCTTTTGCATCAAAATGTGGCGTTTGAGCTTTCACATTTCATAGCATACTAGCCTAGGGCTACGCTTACGATATAATTCTGCGGTACAAATTTTGACCATATTTAATTCTATCTTCTGAGTCTACAATACAATAGATTATAGTTTCTTAGAAGGGGTGCTATCATCATCCTGAGTACTTCGAGGGTGGCTTCCACTGAGAAATTCAAGGTTTTCCGCTACTAGTCAATTCCACGAATAGATTAGAACTGTTATGGAACCCTCTGCTACTCCATGGTCGCCCAGACGAGGTAATTATTATAAACATTGCTTGACTTTTTCTGAAAGCGAAATTTCGGCGTGTTCCGGCATTTTCGCTGTTCTCCGTATCAAAAATCACGACACCCTTCCCCGTTCGTCTTTAGTAATCCCTGACTGCGGGGTGACTGCGCTTTTCTATTCCAAGGTCTGAATACATATCTACCTCTCCTTCCATGAACTGAGGATATCTCATGCGATAATATAAGGTATCTCAAAGTGTCTCGGGTGGCGGCAAGTCTACTCTCAATATCTAATAGCCAACTTTTGCAGACACATTTTTGACCCCGGAAAATCAAAGAACGACGTCACGAGGACTGTACTCTGCTTCAAGTTCACCTTCACATATCCTCAGGCAAAAAAACTTGAAAATGGTCTCTGATACCGACCTCAAATATCTACGTCGCTGCGTGGAGTTGGCTCGCGAGGCTCTCGAAGCAGGCGATGCTCCATTCGGCTCAGTGCTAGTCGATGTCTCCGGAGAGATAATTCAAGAGGACCGCAACAGAACAGTGACTGACGGAGATGTCACTTTGCACCCTGAGTTCACACTGGCTAAGTGGGCCCAAGCAAACCTGACTCCAGATGAACGCACCACTGCCACAGTGTATACCTCGGGCGAGCATTGTCCGATGTGTGCTGCCGCCCATGCAAATGTGGGGTTAGGCCGAATTGTCTACGCTAGTTCTACTGCTCAGCTTGTGAAATGGAAATTGGATCTGGGCATCGAGGCTGGGCTCGTTGCTGCCTTGCCTATCAACGATGTTGCGCCGGGTATCCCTGTGGAAGGGCCGGCTCCCGGTCTGGATGAGGAGGTTCGTGAGCTGCATCGGATTCAGAAAACTAAAGAAGAAGCGCATAGATGATTCACAATTCATAATTCACTATCTGTCTAGAGTTAGAGAGCATGGTATATAATTCGAAGCAGTGATTGAATGCACTTTTAACCTTACAACGATTACCTAAACGCTAGCAGGTCTCAAGACAAAGCCTTGAAGGCACATACAACTTGAAGGATTTCACTTCAGAACATCATTAGCCCTGAAATTCCAACCTAGTTCGAGGAGCATTACGCTTTTTAGGTCCATTTACTGAGCGCCATCAGGAAATTTCAGTACGCGGCTACAATAGAGAGAGGGTTTCAAGGCAGTATCAAATTCCGGGAGATAGTACACGATGAATCCTTTAGCACCTGTATTCAAATACAAGCTGTAGATTGTAGACAATCTAAGCCTGTTGCAGGCAGAAAATACACAAGTAGAGAAGAAGTATCACGGACAAACGCCGCCGCTATGTCGGGAGCGCATCGCAACTGCACAAATCAGTATGGCAGAGATCAGATACGGCCAGATGGAGGTTAAATGGAACGGGTGAGTACGAAACAAGAGATAGGGAGCAAACAGCGCAGTGGGTTTTGATTACTCATCCGCCATATCGTCGCCTTCGGCATTGTCGTCGAAGTCGTCTTCAAATGCGGCGAGCATCTCGCGCTCAAACTCGTCCTCGTCGTCGTCGGGGTTCTCAGGGAGCCCTTCGTCATTATCGCGACTGGTCCCTACGTTCTCCGCGTCAGGCTCATCCTCATGGGGTCCGGAGGGGCGAACATGTTCTAGACGAGTCTCGCCCATTTCCGAACTTGAGGCTGTCGCGACTTCCCGCAATCCCGTGCTCCTCTCATAGGAACGCTTAATTCTTTGAGAAAGGCGTGAGCCTTTCTGGTCCTTCTCATCGTCATCTTCTTCAGCCGAGTCATCGCCTGTTTCGCTACCAACATCTTCGCCGCGTTTACGCTTCTTCCCGCTGGTGTTGGTTTCGTCGCCCAAGACTTCGTTGTCGCTTTCGCTCTCGTCATCGCTGCCGAGGAAATCTTTCAGTTCGTCGTGGATAGCAGCTTGCTCGTCTTCATCGTATCCAATGTGCGAAGTCTCTGTAAGTCCAGCGGAGTTGAATATTTCCGAATCATTGCCGTTGCCCTCTTCATCGGTCCAAAGTGAAGCCCCGGTGGCTTCATCCGAAGAAGAGATCCACGAGCTCTCCACAAGCTCTCGCGAATTGGGAGAAAGAGGCTCGGCACGATCATCATCGTGGATGTGAAGTAAGTATGGGTCCTCATCTAAGTGCTGCCAGCTAACCAAGCAGTCCAGAAGCCATTGTGTTGAGACAATCTTGACATTCGGGTATCGAGTAGCTTCACGCACCTTCGCAGTACGGTTGCGCCCGGCAACAAGGTGAGTGGTGCGACCATTGATTTTAGATGCGATAGCCACACCGAAGCTCTTAGCCCACAGCGAAATATCGGCATTTTGAGTATCCGTTCCCAATGGAAGGACCCCGGAAAATACCAAAACCACTCCTCCAAGAACTCCTCGTTTGAACATTGGCATGATATCTTTGATGTCAGGGACAAGTTTCAGATCAACATCCTTATCTTTGGATAGTGTTTTCTCTCCTCTAAGAGCTGCCACACGGCCTCCAATAGCATGGGATCTCCTCCTGTCATATTCATCGAAGAACTGTAGGTGAACTTGCTCTAGTCGATCTTGGAGCTGGAAAAGCTCTCTATCATGGTCTTCAAGCAAATGATGGCGATGTTTGTTGGACTCCTGTGATTCTTCCACACTGGGAGTCTCACTACTCTCGGGAGAGGCTTCGTCTTCGGCCTCCAATTCTTTTTGCTTTTGCAGTAGTGGTCGGTCCTCTACTTGGTGCAAAATCGTCTCTTCTTGCTCATTGGTCTGTTCATGCAGTAGTCTTGGGTTGTCGCCACCTCCCATAGTAACCAGCTGCTGCAATGCAGAGACTTCCGTCTCAGATTCTGGCTTCGCAACCGTGCCATTGGGATGATGGTCCTTGTACTCTTTTTCTTTCGCCGCCTTAATTAATTTGTTTGTTGCGCCGATGTCTTGCTTCTTAGGCAAAAAACTGGAATTAATATCACCAATTCCAACGAAAAAATCATAGGGAGAAACCTTGATCAGGTTGGGGCTCCACCGCCAGACATCACCACGATCATCGATAATAACGACCATCTTAGTGTCAACGGGGAATAGGCGTTGAAGGTTTTTGGCGGTCAAGCTGCCACTCTCATCACGGCTGAGAATACGGTCGCCAAAGAGCTTGCGCGTGGGGTCGATAATATCGGCAATATTTTGTGCATATGCACGAGTGCCCATGGTGTAGATGTGAAGTTCATACAGCTCAGCAACCTTTTCCAAAAACTCCTCTAGCCCAGGTCGCAGCTTGATATAGTACCAGCAGCCGCGCATCCCGGGGCCATCGTCAATCAATTGAAATTGTCTGACATCTCTCAAAGCTCCGTAATTAGCGTTGTTTTTATCTTCCTTCCATTCTCCCACGGTTGGGTCAACAGTGGCATGGATGATGGTTTGATCTAAATCAACCACGAGCGAGAGGCGCCGAGATGCCAAAAGACGACGTTTCGCATCTTCCTCAACCCGAGTAGCCTCTTTCTCGCTAACGGTGAGGGTGGTATTGTCGTGAGTCATTTGGATAGGAGCGCGCATTGAGTCCATTACTTCCGTATTATAGGTGGCTCTGCGCAAGAAGGAACTCGTCAGCATTATATAGTTGCCATGCGGAAACTCGGGAAATTACATACTCAGTCATGTCCTTTCCGCATTCCGCGCAGAGTCCTCCGAACTGGACCTCGTGCGCACATGGTTCATCGATTTCGACCACATCAAGTCTAGACGCATATGTTTAGTCCACAAAGCGTAATATAAAGACCGAATAAGACGCAATACTTACGGTCCTTCAATCACATCTCCCTTTGAAATCTTCCACTCCAAAATCTCGCCGTCGACGCTTGATTCGAACCGCGTCGGAAACTTGCGCTTCACCTGCACCTTGTTTCCCAGCCCATCACCTTCCTCGACCGTGGTCTGATAGATATACCAGAAAATGGCCTCATCCCGTTCTACCTTGTCACCCGCCTGTTTCAGTAGTGAGGTGACGGTGATGGGATAGTGCAGACTAGTCGGCAAACGGAGAAGCATGGTTGCTCTCGGTTCGCCCCCGGGCGACGAAGTTCACGTTTCTGCCCAATAGTCTAATCTCTCACGCTTGAGATATTCCTTCGATTGTGGAATCAGACGGATTCCGCGCAGGTTGTGGACGCGGAGTACGTATGAGATTGATCGCGTGCGAGTCGGGCTACCGAGCCATAACCGACACGCGACGCGTGAGGAGGACCCGATCAGCGCTAGTGTTGAGGGGAGAAGAATCGGCCCCAAAAGAGTTCGTCGGGGTCAGTCTTGAATCGAGAGGGTTGTTTGAGGGGAAATGAGGATGAATGGCGCGGAACTGCAAGGGTTGTAGCCTGGGGTTGTCAGATGGCCGGTTTCGCCACACGACAAAGAGCAAAGAGGTGCGCCTTACACGACCAAGCACGTGAAATGTCGGAGACGAGAAACGGGAAATGGGAAACGGGCCAGGCGCTAAAAAACAAAGCGAGTTTGACAGAAAGGATAAGTTTGAGGATACAGGATTGCGGTGTGTGGTCGGAGAGAGCAGAGCTCTCGACGTGCGGGGACAGCGAGCTTCCCGCTTATGTCAACTTCCAAGGCTTGGACAAATTCGCCTCACCCCAGATTTCGGTTCATGGCTGAGAGTGATGTCAACATCCAAGGGGACGCTTTAGGGCCTGCAAACTGGTTTTGGGGAAACCTGTTCACTCTATATCCGAATCTTTATTTGTTGAGATTTTAATTGTCCTATGTCTATCCTCACCTAATTCCGAATGACCCGTTATAGTATGTACTGGCTGGCCCAGATTCAATTGACATCCATGATTGGGCATTATCAGTCGGCTGCACTGCAGCCAGGACCGTGACCCGTAGACCGTTACAGCAATAGAGAGCTTACGAGGCGGGATCTACAATTCGCTGGGCCTATCGGATGGAGACATAAGTTACGTATATTGCTTATTGCAGAAAATCAAATTCAGTACAAAATAAACCCGAAGAAAAATTGGTCGATCAGAGCCAAATGAATAAAAGATGCATATCAAATCCTGCTCGGCGAGACAAACAATTTGCAGTATTCTCAAAGAGCAAGCCCAAGATGGGAGCATGGTGGCAAAGTAAAGCAGAAGCTACTCATCAACGAAATGCTAAGAGCAACTAGGGGATGTCGAGCGGTCTTCATATCAACCGATTGAAGCCACATGCGATGTATTTACATAACATCGCCCTGACTCTTGTGTGTTCTCCTCATCGACAATCACGCGACCCATGGGCCATTGCGGTTATGAGCATCAGATTTACTTAGACTTAGCCAGACCAACGGCGTTGTTGCCGAGGTCGTAGACGCTGTACCACTGGCGCAGGAAAGAGTCACCCAGAATGGCCAGAGGGCCCATGGGCTCGGGGAAATCCATGCCCATAAAGCTGCTAATGCAGGAGCCCTGAACCTCGAGGATGTAGTCGTAAGGACCGATGGTGAAGTTGTGTCCGCTAAGGGTGAAGGTGAGCTGAGGCAGGCTGTCGCGAGCGCTGCATTCGACGGTGTACTGGCCAGTGAAAGACTTCTTGGCACCAATCTCCTTGTTCAGAAGCTCAGCAAGGGTGGAAGGCAGAGCAATAAGCGAGGTACCGGTATCCAGGATGACACCGGTGTTGTCCAACTCGGCAGTGCTGTCACCGAAGGTAATAGCGTCCAAGTCCACCTCCCAGTAAGCCTTGCGGCGGAGGGGAATCTTGACGAGCTCACCAGTGTAGTGATCCTTGTCGACACCGCCGAAGGTAGCCTCGGAGTTATCGCCCTCCTTGTTGGCGTCGCCTAAATAGAAAGCGAAGACGGGCTCGTCCAGGAGGCCTTGGTTCAGCATGTTGTAGACGGGAGGAACCATCTTGTTGACAGAGATGGTGTCATATCCGAGACCCAGAATACCGTCGAAACGGCCAAATGCAAAGGCGAGACCAGGCTCTTCAGTTGCCTCGGCGAAGTCCTGCTTCTCGACACTGAGGTCGCCAATCTTCAGGGTGTCCTGCGATACGAAGCCGCTCAGGCTACCAGAACCATACTTGATGGCAAATTCGGTGCCGTTCTTCTTGTAGGTGCTCGAGGAAGAAGAGTCATACTTGCTATGAAGGAAGCAGGCAATCGAGCTGCACTCCGAGGACGGGACCCACAAGTTGGAGCTACCTGTATCGAGAACGACCTTGAAGGTCTGGGGAGGGGTACCGATTTCAATTTCGGAAAAGTCTTAGATAGAGATGTTAGGTATCGTTGCCTTATCTTTGCAGAGAAAGGGGTTGTTTGGTGATGATGATGATGGTGATGATGCTTACATTGGGCGTTCAGGAAGTTGTCCACCAGGACGTCGTGGCCAGAGGCGGGCTTGAAGGAGGTATCCTTGAAAGTGTCCTCGTGGTGACCAGGACGGTAGCCCATATACTTTTGACCGAGAGCCTGGACATGGTCGTTGATGTTGTGAACGTTCTGGGGTGCGGTTAGACGTCTCCAGGTCCACTCATGTTGGGGTAACGGGTAGGCTCCTTACCAGAGTCTCCTCCAGAGGGAGCTTGTTGAGCTTGAGCTTGTGTACCTCCGCAGAGGCACTGCCCAGCAGCGCGGAGGCTGTCAGGATAGCGAAAGACTTCATGATGGAACTGGATGGAGAGAGTGTGGATGATAACGATGGTGAGGAGGTGAGGAGGAAGATAAGACTGGGCTGGGGGCGGAGCCTACCCTAATTCGATCGGCATAACGTGACGGGAATGACGCACTCCCCCAAAATCAGCTGCTGCCGGAGCGGGTTACACCCGGGCTTGGTTTGGGCACATTCCGCCGCTTTCTCTACAGGAGTAGGTATAAGAAAAGGTCCATGGTAGACCATTCATTGAATTGCTATTAGATTGTCCATTATTTTGATGGATAAATGGGTTTGGGTGATTTCCCCCATTACGAGCTTACCTTAGCTACGAGAGAGTTGAGTTTCAATCCCGGGAAGGGGTGCAGCTGACGAGGAGGCTGGGCTGCCTAGCGCCGTGCCTGGCAGAGCGGAGGTGGCGAGGGCCAGGGTCAAGGACAAGGTGCTTGTGACGGCGCCTACGTTAAGCAACTGATGTGATTGATTAATTCCGTACGAAGCACGGAGTACGGAGTACATGGAATGTGTATACCTACAGATTACGAAGCAAGGTTTACCTTATCAGCGGCGGGCCTACCCTCGGGCACTCTGCCATCCATGGGATTCCTTGGATCCAGATGTCTTCTCCCAAGGTTGCCGACACCTTTACGCTAGAGACAAAGTATTCAAACACAACACATATAACACAAGATGAATTATCCATGTATTCCCAAGTATCACAGATTATTGATAATACAACAGTCGGGGCCAAGCTTTTACCACCTGCGTTCACCCAACCCCAAAGAGCCAATAGCTTACCGGTAGAAGTCGGGACTGTGAGATGGTTAGTAACACGAACAAAGCACGTAGGGAAGAAGAAGATATACCGGTCATCATCCTGGCCACTCTTCACCTGGGCAGCGTAGGCATCGTCCAGGTCGGACTGGATGATGTTGTATCGGTTTTTGCGAACCGCCCGTAGACCGGCTTCCTGCATGATTGCAGCAATCACGGCACCAGAAAGGGGATCATTCCGGACGATCAGGGAGTCGAGATCCACCTCGGGAGATAGAGACATCTTAGACGCGATGGTGGAGAAGATCAAACGGCGCTCACGTCGATCGCGCAGGTTGGGGAATTCGATTTTGCGGTCCAGACGACCAGGACGAAGCAAGGCGGGGTCGAGAGTATCCGCTCGGTTGGTGGCCATGATGACCTTGACGTTACTAGTCTGTTCGAAACCGTCCATCTGGTTCAGCAACTCCAGCAGAATACGCTGCACTTCACGGTCGGCACCGGTCTGAGCATCGAAACGCTTCGTGGCGATGGCATCGATTTCGTCAATGAAGATGATAGCCGGTGAGTTCTCGCGTGCCATCCGGAACACGTCGCGAACCATTCGAGGCCCTTCACCCAGATACTTCTGTACGAATTCGGAGCCGTTCACGCGGATGAAGCTGGCAGTTGTGCTGTTGGCCACGGCCTTGACAAGCATGGTCTTACCGGTACCGGGGGGGGCCATACAGCAAAACACCACGGGGAGGATCAATACCTAGCTGGTGTCAGCAAAATATCACAAACTTCATAACAGAATCCCTCTTGCTTACCAATTTGTTGGTAAAGGTCAAAGTGTGTCAACGGCAATTCGACAGCTTCCCTAATCTCCTGCTTCTGCATGTCCAAGCCACCAACATCGGCATAGGTCACATCCGGCTTCTCGTTATCGCCGAGCATGGCGATGGAGGAGTCAGCCTCGGGGGGGGAGGATATCGACGAGGGCGTTGGAGTGACGGTGCAGGGCGACCGATGACGATGGCTTCAACTTCTCACGGTCGAGTGTAGACAGGATGCGAACAACGTAATTAGATCCGGTTGAGCTTTGCACGATACCAGTACTAGCAGAATGACACATTAGCAACGTGAATCCATCATCTGGTGAAGGAACAAGCATACTTCTGATCGATAGCCTCCATGAATTGACCAATAACCAGCGGCACACTCTGTATCCGCTTGATCTCTTCCTGTGCCCGAACAAGCTCCCTCTTCAAGCTTCTGCATTCACCAAAACAGTCAGTTCTCGGATCCTTCGTGTCAAATCGGCGGAGATAACATGCCTTTGCTCATCCTTGATGTATTCCTCCTGCAACTGGATGTATCTAGGTGGCGTCAGTACCGCCAGCATTTCATTTCACACACTCCGTGCAACCTACTCTAGGTGTCTCTGTAACCGCTTGAGGGTAGCGTATTCGTCATTTCCATCAGCGCCAGCTCCTTCCAGGGAATCCAAATTGGCGAGGGCGTCCAGTGCGCCTGGCTTGGGAAGAGGCGTGAGGCTGTTCGCCGGGCTCTCCACGGCAACGTCTCCCATAGTGGAGGCTGGGAAAATGAGAGTAAATAGAGATTGGATAAAAAGGAGTTCGATGGGTTGGGGGGGATGGGAGTTCGTGAAGGCGTTGGAGATGCGCGATGCAGATGGGCCGGTGAATGGTCCTTGGGGGAGCTTGCTTCGCCGGGGAGCTTCAAGGTAGATCACGTGAGTCGGGCCCATCGAGGCCTCAGGGATCCAACTAAACAGAAGGCGAAACCAGCCTGTTCCTAACAATAGCCTATTTTCTCCCTCTTTTCTCTCTCTCTCCTCCTACATCCCTGTCGTCATCTCTCTCACTCTCTCTTTCTTTTGTGTCTCATATATTTGCCACCTGCCGTGTAATCTCATTTCTATATCTGTACTCCCGGATCAGGGCTACGCCTTCTAGTCCACCAACTTGAACTCTTCAAGTTTTCTCATACTGTATAGTATCTAAGCATCCTTAGAATGCAACAACACATACCTCCCCATACATATTGCTACAAGTACATAAACGATTGAAGGGCTATACACATCTCTTACAGCAGACGAGCCCAAGGTTTTCAGGCCTAACGCCTGGGGTGATAACTGGCAGCTTGCAGAAGCAAGTGAGAGAAAGGTAGGGAAGGTGATCGTTTCTTGCTTTCAGGCTTGGAGGGGTGTTTTCCAGGCTTTCTTTCACGAGACCCAAGAACCTAAAAATACCTAGGTATACACATTGTTAAACTTCGGGGACAGCTCAGCCCTCAGCCTAAACAGTGACGTGTCGCCGAGTGGAATTGTACATAGTAGCAACTGCGAGTGGTACATGACTGTGGTACTATTACCTACGTAACGGATTTCCCATGCAAAGTCTTGGCTTTCCCCTTCCGTTTTGGTGCTCAGTGAGCGCCGCTTTTGCTCACTGAGTTGATCTGAGCACGTCTCTGAGCGCGCTGAGCGGATCAGTGATCATTACGTGACTACTCTGAGCAGCTCTCTGATCACTCTGATCTGCTCAGTGAGCCTGATCTGAGCGCTCTGATTTGCTCTCTGAGCATTGCTTACATGAGAGCCAGCAGTCTGACTCAAGCACCCCAATAAAATGCAATGCACTACCCCTCACAAAAGTCCCTCGCCATTTTTAGAATGTCTCAAATAGGCCATCAAAAAAAGGTATGCATCATGAACAGCTACAAACTTGCATAGCAAGATTAGCTCCTGGGAGCAAACACCCCAAACAGTTCACCTCGTTATCCTATGAATGAAATTCTGGCTGCAGTCTGCAAGCTCCTGGGAACAATTTGTCAAGTTTCTTAGTATGCTGCTTCCTGCAGAGGTCAAAGGCCAGAGAGCTAGAGAGCCAATTTTCTACAACTTCTTATTAGATCTACATGCGTTCGAACCATTTAACAGAGAAGTAGTTTGTAGCACTGCAATAGCCTTATTGTGGCTGGATGCTACTGACAAAGATGATCTTGTAAGGTTAACTAAGAGGCTGGCTAGTAACCAGTTGACTAGGCAAATGATAGAGAATGAGACTAGTATTTGTTTGTAATAATAGAACTGATTCTCGAAGAACCTTCAAAGAATTAGGGAGTTATTATCTAGTTATATAAACCATCAAGCCCAGATATCAATTCCAGATTCAATATGAAACATGTCCAAACTGATGTTGTTTTGATATTGTTATATCTGGTACTTCTACTAGAGATTCATCCTATTAGATCTGAATTACACAAATAGAATAGATATTGTTATATCTTCTTCTAGGCTGGTAGGGCCAAGAATGACCATTATTTTAATATTCCATGACAACTGATTTTCTTCTTTCAAGGAATGCTATGCTTAGCATTATAGAACAGGATGACAAAGACCCTGGAGGCTTGTCATTACCTTTCTACCTCTCCCTTGCTGTGCGGCCTTTTCGGAAGAAGAGAGTTGGTTCATAGATTTTGTATCTATCTTCATAGCTATACTTGTTTCTCCGACTTTGCCATCGTAACTTGAATCTGATGTTTGATCCGCCATCTAGAAGCAGAATACATTTAGTAATTTGTTTCAGAATGAGGAGGGGCTTAGAGTCTTACCGCCGTCACAATGGGTCTGAAGGTTATATTTGCACCAAATGGCAAGGGAGTATTTAGCATGTGCCGAGGTATAGGGAGGATATCAGTACGGGCCAAGGTAGGAGGAATTAAACCTTGATGTATTTTTCTGTTTTGGCTGGTGTCGTTCGCCAGTGCTTTATACCCTACTCTACCTCTTACGTCTCTGCGGCTCAGATGGTCTATAGTTGCATATTATGTCTGATTTGAACCAATGAAATCGATCACCTATACTTGAGATAACTAGGATATACAGAGGCTGTCTCTCATCTGTCTACCAATGGGAGAGATTATCTACCCGCCTGGCGATCAAGGGCTTGGGTTTCCCTCGAAAATCGAGGCCCCCAAGGTGTGTGATAGATACCAACACGTGCTCATAACCACGAGCTACTTGTGAATCCACTAGCTACATTCTATATGTGCGACTGTCTCAAGCATGATCTTCAGGATGAGACAAACGAAATAAACGCCCGGCACGTTGACCACTTTTCCCAGTCAGATTCAGATAGTTCGGGCGGCGCTACAGCCACTTCCAGTGCCGCACACTTTACATCAACAGTCACCACTACAGCGACCTCTAGAACAGGACCCGCTGGCTCTACAACGGAAACACACTGGACACAGTGTGGCGGTGTTGGCTCGACGAGGGCCACGGAGTGTATCCCCACACCCGCCAAGACAGAACATTTACTATCCGCAGTTTTAAGCCAGAAGCATCAGCAATACAGCAAGAATATCTTTCTCCGTCAAAATTTCTAGATACAATTTTAGCACGTGGCTTTTAGCTCTTCGGGCGAGGGACTGAACAGGTACCAGATAGGGTAGCGAGCCGCTTAAGACAATATCGTCGGCGATAGGTGGCCACGAACACACAAAGACCGCGGTATGTATTCTTTTTGCAGATTCTGGATATTTGGCTTGTTGAGTAAATATCCCTGTCGCATTTACACTTTACCTTCAGGTTGAACTGGAAGATTCCATTCTTATGTTAGATGTGGAGTGATGAGGGGAAACTTTTTTGGCTTATATAAACAAAAATTGGGCCAATTGGTCAACTAGGCAGTTTGGCCGAGTGGTCTAAGGCGATTGACTGTTCGTTACCCCAAGTAATTCCATTGACATAATCATCCACTAACTTCCAATCCAGCGAATGGTTGCAATCTCAAATTGTCCACCTGATATCAATTCTCTTCGGAGGCGCAGGTTCAAATCCTGCAGCTGTCGAATTCTTTTTTTTTGCTGCCTTGTGACCATGCTCCACGTATTCACCGCCGAGTGGACCACCCACCGCGCAAACACCATGTCAAGTGCATTTTTGTAATGGCTTAGGGGAGGCCCGGGGGGGGGAGTTTCACGGCTCGTTCTTTGTATATTTCCTCCATAAGATATTTGATTTTGAAAGCATCTAAATGTACAACCATACTAGTAGTACTAAGTCCAAACAACGTCGTGATACAGCTTTATGAGTTGGAAATCTATGTATCGCTAGTGGCTTCACTCTAATATTTGGGAGATTTCACCTAGTAATAGATATTCTATATATGACCCACATGAGAGAGTATCTTGGATTCTGCCACCTTCAACTGAGAGCCCTGAAAATTATGGCACAACATAATAAAAGACATGTTCTGCGGCAAAGTGGTCCATCCAGAGATAAATTGCTTCATGGATGCAAATGTGGATTATTACATAAGATCTGGCAGTTTGGCCGAGTGGTCTAAGGCGATTGACTGTTCGTTTCCCCGACTTTGACTTGACTTTAAGAGTCACACACTAACTTCCTTCCAGCGAATGGTCTCAATCTCAGATTGTCCTTGTTATCAATTCTCTTCGGAGGCGCAGGTTCGAATCCTGCAGCTGTCGAGCTTTTTTTTCACCATTTTTATGCAGGTGCCATACATATCCATCTATCATTAACCAGGCCGGGAGGCGCAACGTCGCTTGTATAATAATTACTAATTAGTAGATATACAGACGTAGGAGCATCGAGCGGTTTGATAAAATTTTGTAACGAACCGGGATGCTGCCTAGTTACATAACTCCAGTTATATGACCCACACCCTATTCATCTGTATGATAACACCAGTAAAAGTATCTCTCTTCTTCTTTTTCTCTAGCTTTCTTACTTTTTGTCTAATACTACACATATTCATATTGCATCGAGTCCTTACAAATTTAGTTGATATTAGATTTTATACAGTGACTGTAAGGAGCTCAGGCACAAGGTACTCGTAAGTGGAATATGGTAGTAAACGAAAAATGAGATTGATGAGAGCAAGAAGAAGAGTCTAGGACAGAAGGAACTACATACAAATGGGCATAGATGCCTAGGAACACCTGAGGCATCAGTGCCGCAATAGTCATAGTAACCATCGGGTTTATTACAGTGACAATAATGTAAGTAAGCTCTTGCTTAGGCCTGGGGTTTAGTTATTTGAAGAAGTTTGAACCTCTCGCGATAATCAAGCTTCTGAGCGAAAATGATGTTTGGAAGTTTTGGGTATTCCATAAGGTCACATCCAACAGACTTGAATCTTCTCAAGACATCATACAAGGCCGCTTCTGTCACTGTTGGGATTTTGGGATCGACAGAGCGAAAATACCCGGTGCCATGTCCGCAGACTTGACATTTTAGATGGGGGAGTAGAAGTTTGGGTGGGTCATGGATTGTCCAACGCCCCCGATGCATTTTTTCATGCCCACATAACTTTCTCGAACATCGGACCCGAACCTCTACTTCACAATTCTCCAAATCTGAGCCTGAGCGGAGCATAACGTTGATAGGGGCTTTTTCGTTCTTCCCTTGGGGGGTCTGTTTGAAAGCTCTTGTCCGTAAACGTGTGTAGTCCTGTCGAGGATTCACAGGGACAAGAGATACATTTCTCCCTCGACATTCTATCCGACCACAAGTTGCTCTCTCATGCTCCGTGATGACATATTTGCCTGGCATATCCTTTTGGAAACGCGGGAAAGGATCATCCAGAGAAGGTTTTTGGCATACAGAGCACTTTCTTTGGATCACTTTGTCAGGGCTCCCAGGAACTGTCCCACTTCGTCTCATTTGACCCCCTGGCCTCGAAATTTCTTTGAGATATTGCAGTATTACAGTGACTGCAAGGGAAGTGATAGAGTATGTACCCAAAGGAAGTAAACTCTCGCGATCTTCTTTCCTCCAGCTCAGAAGTTGAAAGACTGTTTCCAGCGTATCTCGATTCGATATAGATTCGCCATTTAATCTCAGACCTGCCTGGGCTTGCATCCACTGGATAAGCTGGCGAGGAAGGTCTTCCCAGCTGAACTCTTCCGGTGTCGTGCTTGGGGAGGTTTTCGAGCCGCCGAATAATTGCAGAAGCTCACTATCAACAAGGTCTTGATAGACCCTTTGGAAAGACAAAATGGTATTTGCCAGGCCCTGAGCTCTCTCTTGTTCGAAGCTTTTCTGCAAATCACTTAGCTTTGGCTTGCCGAAACCAAGTATTTCGATTAACTCACCAGCTGATCTTGCGGTATTTCCTGTTTGAGCTTGAGCTTGATCATTGGCTGTAGAGGTCCCGCGAAAGAGTGAAGTATTCTAGTCATTTCTTGGATCTTCTCACCTTTCCGACGATGCTTTTCTTGATACTTTTCTGGGAAGACCTTTCTCAAAGCCTCAAGGAATTCCCGGTCGTTTGCCTTACATTGTTCCCTCTGTTCCCTAGTAAGTTGATTTCCCACCTGACAGGGGGAACAAGTTTGGAAATAGTGGACGGTGAAATCATTCCCATGGCCAGCTAGACGCCTGGCCACCGTTAAAGCTAGATCTTGAGAAATTCCATACTCCTTCCGAGCTTGAGGGCCAAGTTTATGAAGACCAGACCTCACAAAGAATTGTGGGTGCCGAACGTAAAGGATAAACCTCCTTAGATGTTGATGGTCCTCATCAACCTCGAGATACAGCCTGACGGATTCAAGCTTGCTCCAGAGGGGGAATCGAATCAGTCGGGAGCCTAACTCTCTTTTCATCTCTTTCCAGACATCTTCACCATAACAAATCTCGACAATAGCGGCCATGTTTTGTCGAAGCTCACGTACAAAATCACGATGTGGTTGATAGAATTCATCTGTGTAAAACTCGACAAGATACTCTGATCGCCCTCTTCGGCATATCTGATCAAACAAGAATGCATTGCTCGATGAGAAGCCACTTTCGTTTAGTAATCTTATCGTTGGACTGGTGGGGTCGTCGACAAGTCGATCTCTGGGGTCTGCGACGTAGTAAGTGGGATTGAGAAGGTGACATGCAACCAAAGACTCCATAGAGCCACTTGGTGGTATAAGGTCTCGGGTTGACCTTTCTACCCCTCGCTTGTTCCAAAGAGCTATTTCTCGGTCGCTGAATTTCGCAAAGGCTGACTCCAGGTTCCATTTTGTCTGTCCCAGTGGGGCTATTTCTGGTCAGTTGGGACTCCGTCAAAAAGGATGAGTAGAAAGAGACAGATACCAGTAAAAGAGCTGCCGCCCTTCCGGGCCCGATCGAAGAATCTGATGAGAGCCATGTTTGTATCCATGTTTGATGCGTCAAATGTCCCGAGAAAATTTGTGGGATCTTCAAGCCAAAGATTCCCAAAAAGATGGAAAGGACGGGTAAGTGGATCTGTCATGTTCAGGTCCATTGCAAGTGAGATAGAGGGAAAAGATAAGGTTGGGTAGAAATAAGCCGATGAAGATCAGAATCTTTGATGTAGGCGAGACGAAACGGATGTTTTTGGCCGTGAAGACAGATCTTTTTGAGATAAGTCTGAAGATTGGCCAAGCTATGCGACTGGAGATGGATCTGGAAATATTGCAGCCGCTGTAAGGAGCTCAGGCACGAGGCACGAAAGTGGATGTGGTAGCAATAACGAAAGTAATCAGATTGAGGAGAGCAAGAAGAAGAGTCTAGGACGGAAGGAACTACAAACAAATGGGCATAGATGCCTAGGTGAACACCTGAGGCATCAGTGCCGCAATAGTAATACCATCGGGTTCATTACATTTTCCCTCCCACATAAGAAGCAGTGTCTCGATACTTCAATCAGAATAGTCCATAGAAGCGATATCCAGAGTACTAATTTCCATCCTATCACCACTAGTATTACTATTGCCGGTGTTGCCGTACTAATTGACCACATGACTTGCTCTGAGCTGCTCAGTGAGTCTGATTCTGAGCGCCCTCATTAAAGCGGCGGCACCTAGAATAGGAAAGCCCCACATTGCATGGGAAATATGTTACGTATAGGTACCTAGGTACTAACTACTAGTAGAGTTACTACTAGTATGTATATAGGTATGCAGCACCTACCCCATCCACCTGGACACATCACGACATGGCTGATTTCTCACGAGCTCTCTGCGCCAACCGAGGGAATGACCTCTCGTTATTAGCATACTAATAGTAGTACTCATTTCACATCCGCTTGGGCCTGAGCCCTGGGATACCAAGACCCAATCACGGCGGTGGAGCCAGCCGGGCCACCGTTAGGTGGGACAGGCACAGTGAACCATCGCGATTTTCCCATGCGGATCGACTCGGATCCTTGCACGAGCGAGAGACGAACCTGGGCCACTCTTGGTGGGGCAGGGGGGGTTGACTGTTAATCTTCATCTATGGTTATATTAGCTTTTTGTGACTTGCCCTTGTTGGAAATTTTCCTGTTGGTGACCGTCGGAGGATTGGATACTCGTCATGATTATCAGACGCTAGCCCGATCTTTTATATAGGGAGCGACGCCCACCACTGTGCCTGATTCTGCGCCCTTTTTTTTTCTTCTCTCTCCTTCCCTTTCCCAAGTATTTCATTCGCTTCCCCTCCCCCTGTTTGAACTCGATAGATATATTTTCCCCTCCCTATCACTCCATTCATGTCTCTCCTGGATGTGATCTGCCGACCGGCGGCTACCCAGTGGAGTGGTGCTCTACCCGACTTGGGAGGACTATAGAGACTAACCTGACTGGGCGAAGACTGTTGAAATGGACCTTTGGCTATTTTACGAACGTGGGACGAGTCTCCGATCTTTCCAATGTCCATCCCTTAACTGACCTCCGAAAATCAAGGAAGGGAGAAAACAAAAAGAGTTCATATTCCCTTTGGGTGTTCGCATATGTCAACTCTTATTAGGGGGGAGACTGGCAAGACTGGCGAGACCCGTGACTAACGTCATGGCGAGCCATAGTACACAATATTGGCTGACAACCAACCACCAAACAAAAAAAGAATTACTAATGAATGGTCAAAGCTAACTTAAGGGCACAAGAGCAAAAGGGAAAAAAGAAAGCAAAAGAGAATAAGTAACGGGTGATGCACTAGGAAATACAGTACGGTATTAGGTGATACGGGGACGGTCCAGCAAGGGTTGGGGCGGACAGAGCAAGGCCCTTCCGGTATGCGCAGAGTATTTTTCCATCCTTACCACTCTCCACTGCCACTTTGAGCTCCCCTAACTGCGCGCTTTTGCCTTTGCCATTTTTCAAGGTACGCCATTCGACCGTTGGCTTTTCTTTTGGTCTGCCCATTACCACGTCTATCCCCTTCCCCCCACTCCCTGGTTCCCCCCATACGGGTTCCCCCTCTCCCTTGCCCCCCCTTTCGTCCAGACGCACTGTCTGCCCTCCTTTCTGGCTCGGCCCGAAACAGTCATTATCGTGGCCTCAGAGATCAGCAGTTGCTTCAGATTTGTTCCCACCCCCCAGTCTTGACTGGCCTAGCCCCCCTCCTCCCCTCCCTCCCCTCACACTGGCCCAGCCGTCATCCCATCTACGTGGTGAACTTTGTGTGGCCTCAGGCCCCAAAACACGTGACCATACTCCTACCTCACCACCACCACCCCAGCTGCTAATTCCGGATACCGGGCTTAGCCATCCGCTCACAAGTCGGGAATTCCAGTGATCTAGCCTTGTCGGTATGTATACATCTCTTCTTCTTTCATTTCCTCTTCCCTTGCCCCCCACTTCCCTTCTCTTTCTCTTTGGGGGAGATGGTTCACCTTCCATCTTTCGTCTGAGCCACCCCGGAGCGTGTCGCGACCGAGCGCGCAGACCCTAAACATCCCCACCGGACGCGTTTGCATAGTCGGGGAAAATCATCGGCGATCCAGATTCTATTCGTCCTAGATGATTGAGATGTTATTTGCGTCATCGTGCCCATTCGCGATGACGGCGCGCCGCCCCCATTGTCTTGCGTGTTACTGACCGGGCCTCCCTGTACAGATGGGTTGGTAGAATCGCACGACATGAACGCCTGGCTCGCCGACGCCTCGAACATCCCTGGCCAGGAGAATGGGGCCTTTAATCCTTCAACGATCGACCCTTCGACCGCTTTCCTCCATGCCTCGCCGACCCCCCAGGATCCCAACCAGTTCCAGCGCATGTTCAACAATGGCGTGCCGCGGAATGCCTCGCCAGGCTTCCACAACCCCAACCAAGTGATTCCATCAAAGCGGCCTCGACCGGAAGATGGGATGCCTATGTCGCCGCGCCCAGGACCTGGCGGCGTGAATGGTTCGCGATCGCAAACTCCTCATCAAGTTCCATATCCCGGATATCAGGGAGGTGCCAATGGCGCAGCACAGTTTTCGCAACACCCCACTCCTTATCAACACCTTCAACAGCAGACCGCGTCGCCTAATGTAACACAGTCTCCTATCATGCAGCAAGACTTTGATCAAGGAAGCGTTCGGGTGGGAACGGCGTCTCCAAGTCCTTTCTCACCAGCTGGTCCACATGTCGGAGGCGGCGGTTCACACATGTCACCCTCACAGTCAGACCATGGAAGCCGTGTGAACACCCCACAGAACAACAACTTCATGCCAGGACAAGCATACCCTCAGGGAATGCCTGGTCAATTCCAGCAAGTTCCGGGGATGAACCAAGGCCAACAACCTTCTATGCCGCCACAGCAGCTCAATGGCATGCAACAAATGCCACATCAATACCATCAGGCGATAGCCGCCCAGCAGCAACGATTGCGCGCCATGCAAATGCAGAACCAAGGGCAACAGATGCCAGGTCAGCAAATGCCAGGTCAGCAAATGCAAGGTCAACAGATGCAAGGTCAACAGATGCAAGGTCAACAGATGCAAGGTCAACAGATGCCGGGCCAACAGATGCCAAACCAGCAGATGAATATGAATCCTCAGATGGCTGGGCGTCCTCCCCCCCGGCGGTATGAATGCTATGGCCAATCCTCAGCAGATGGCGGCCATCCGTCAAATGCAACAAAACATGCCGAAACCTAACAACCCTGAGATGTTCCTGCGTGGTCTACAGAAGTTCATGATGTCCAGAAACCTCCCTTTTGACCCCAGCCCGGTCATTTGTGGCCGCCCGATCAATCTCGTGCAGCTTTATGGAACTGTTATGAAGATGGGTGGATCCAAGAAGGTGACTGGGATGAATATGTGGCCTGCAGTTGCACAGCAACTTCAATTTCCTCAGATGCAATTTCCTTCAGCTGCACAAGAGGTGCGCGACTACCACCAGCGGAACTTGGCACCGTACGAACAAGCATACCTCGGCTCGCAGCAGAAACAGTTCGACCAGATGCAGCAGGGCGGTATGCCGCGCCAGCCCAGCGACCCTTCGGCCATGCAGCAGTTTCAATCACCCACTGTCAAACCAGGTCAGAATTTCGAACAGCCTCAACAAATTAGTCACTCTCCTCAAAACAATACTCCCGTCGCCAATCATGTCCAAGCCGCTCAGGCCAATGGTTTCGCCACGCCAACACAAGCCAGAAGCCAGAGCAAGCCTCCCCAGTCTGGACAGCGGCTTAGTGTTTCCCGCCCATCTCAGCCTCCAGCCTCTATGCCGGAGGGACAATTTGCCGCACCCTCCCCTTCACAACAAACAAAGGGCGCGCCACCAACTCCCAAAACGCAACCACGGCAACCAGAGCAAAAAATGGAAGAATTTGTCAAAAAGCCAATAGAGGATCCGTTCAAGCCCATGGTTCTCACAGAAAGACGTCTTCATGGACCTATTGCAGTGGACGAGATGTACCAGATTGGTGATGATATCTCAAGGCTTCGGCCAATAGCACCAAGCTTTGCCGAGCTTGGTGTGATTGATATTCATGCTCTTACCATGAGTTTGAAGTCAGGCATCCATTCCGAGATTCGTGTTTCTCTCGATACCCTGACCACTCTTTCCTGTGAGCCGCAGGTGCAAATCTCTCTTGAGAACTGTGATGATTTGGTGGAGAGCCTTGTTGACTGCGCTGAAGACCAAGCAGACTTCTTGGCTGAGAACATCCCAGAGTCCTCGGATACGATTATTCTCCGTTCTTACGAGGAAGTGGTCAGAGGCTGCCACTCTGAACACGCATCGCTTGCCGATGTGCCTGAGTTTGGATGCCTCGATTATGAACTTGATCGAGCAGTGGAGCGACTTATCTGTGTTACCACAATTCTTCGCAATTTCTCCTTCAGCGAATCTAACTTTGGAGTTTTGGGAATGCCTGCGGTCACTCAATGCTTTGCTAGTATCTTCCGGAATATTGGAACTCGAAAGATGTTTTTGCGACGGGACCAAAACACATTGAACTTGATGAAAGATGCTGTGGTTTTCATGGGCAACCTCGCCCACTCCATGCAAATACCCGGAAAGGAAGAAGCGTTGAGCCTTTTGCATTTCCTTCTAGCATTTTCACCATTGCCCGAGGCCACCTCAAAACAAGGCCAGGCTATGTTTTCGGAATTCAATCCCTCCATCCACCGGTATACCCCCGCTGCCGTCGACGGTCTCGCCAAGCTACTTGCAAGAGATGATCCCAACCGGGCCTATTTCGCTGCCATCTTCTCTGGTGATGGGTCTGCACCGCCTCGGCCGGATCTACTGACGCGAGCATTTGGACTTGCGATATCATGTGTTCCCCATAACAAGGCCTTAGGAGTTGTGGATGCTCGCAAGGTGTTCCTTCTGCAGGGTCTCTTGGCCGCAGATGTTTTGACTTCGTTCGCGGACGGGCCCATGGCTAAGTTGTGGCTTGGGTCTGTAGATGGCTTCGCCATTCATCTCCTCCGACTATCCTGCGCCCTTTGCACGGACCGCATCCCGCAGATTAACATGCGCCAACGAGCACAAGAACCCGAAGCATATGCATTTGGAGCACTTGTTCATCGTGGACTGGCCATTCTGCGCCGCCTTGCAGAGAAGTCTAAGCAAGTGGACAAATCCTCCTCACTATGCTTCCCGTCTGGGATTACCCCTCGCAAGGAGAGTCTTCTTGGGGCTTTGTTACTTCCGAACATGGATCCAAATATCATCCGACAGCTCGTCAGCTATGCTCGACTCGCCGAGTAAGTCGTGATAAAGGGAAAACATACACTTTCATGCACGGGGTGACAATTGGTTGCTTTGCACGTTGCATCTACGACAATTTCTCTCTTCTTTTTTGGTTTCTGTCATGTCATTTGTACTCATGTCTCTGGGCGATGGCCCAGTCAATCTTGGTATTTTTGGGCGCCGGTGGAAATGGGGGTGCTTCTTTGAAATTTTTTTTCTCTTGTTTTTGTTTTGCCATGTGAGATAGCGAGCTATGTTGTTCTTCAGTGTACAATCTCAAAATACCCTCGACTGAATACGAGAGATCTGAATATCTAAACCAATCTGGTGATAGATCGATGTAGTCTAGTCAGGCACCGTACATTTGTATAACAATTGTGACCAGTGGAAGTTGACGATGCATGGATTCATTCAATTAGGAGAATCAGGGTCTACACCCAACATCTCATCAGACTGTACAGATAGGAATAGTACAGGGAAAAATCAAAGAGAAAGCAAAGAAAGCGCCAGAAAACGTAGGGCCAGACAAAAGAAGAAGAAAGGAGGAGAAAACCAGGACACCGGCATGGTAAAACGAGAAATATCAGAATGACCCCAGAATTGAGACTAAAAATACACCAAGGGAAGAGGGGAATCAAGAAGGAAAAGGGAACGTTCACCCACCTGGCCAACAAGGGCCCGGGGCAATCACATCAAATCGCAGATTGAGGTTTAGGTTTTTTCCTTTTTCTTCTTTCGTCACGTCTTCACATGCTTTTGTTTCCTGTGCTTTGAGCTCCTGCTGCGATCTTTCGCTCAGTCGGGTAGTGCGATACCAGCGACATCTTTCAGTCGCGGTAAGGCGAGAGGTATGATCGAATGCATGGTATTGTTTAGAAGTTACGCTCGCTGAGGAACTTCACGATCTCGGGTTTGCGCCAGCCCTGTAGAGAAGGTGATATGTTAGTTTTGCTGCTCGACATACCAATCGCTATATCTATCAAGTAAAGGCATAGCCGAGGGAGAAAAAGTACCTTGACAATGATATGACCGGTGAGACGGTTGATAGAGACATCAGGGCTACGAGGGTCCACGCCTAGACTATGTGCCAGGTCGGTGCGCAACGTATCCAGGTCACCCTCCGTCTTCTGGATCTTGGTGAGTTGCTTGGTACCACCAGCTTTTGTGACAACGTAGACAGGCAGCTGGTTGGATCCAGTGCGGCGAACAAAGTAGGGAAGGTTGGTGAGCTTGAGAGTAGAAGCGGGCTTGGAGGCCTTGGTTGTCGAGGGGATATTCGGAGTCGAGGGGATTTGCTCTTTCAAGGCCTGCGCTTGACGGCGGAGTTGCGTCAGGAACGTGCGGGTTTGGTAGGTGACGGGAGAAGAAGAGGAGATGGAGGTTAGGCGCTGTGATGACTGGAGGAAAGAAGCTATTTGGAAAGGAAAATCTTGGTTAGAGAGTGTTTTTCCCAATTTTTTTTCGAGATTTCGAGTGAGTTGACCGCGGTGGTGGTATGATATCTGATGGGTAGTTGATTCCCACCACCGCATACTCTGCGGCCTTGCGCATTGCAAAGTATGTGATGATGCTTGACACAGTATTGTCGAGAGAAATCAAACAATAGCGAGAATCCAAACTTACAAGCTGCAAATCGTGCCGGAGAAGATAATGAAGCAGCCCGGTTGTATGTCTGTACGGAAGCCACGGGTCGAGCCACACAGGCGTTGGTGGTCTGCTTACACACAGCCGAAGCGACCGAAGTCGAATGCCGAATCGACGCCATTTCAGGGTCTGGAAAGGGCAGAGCTGGAGGTGGAGGGAAAAGAAGATAGACCGACCTGGGGAAATCAACAGATGCCGCTGAGGAGAAGCAGGTTTCTTCGGGCGCGCATTCTGCCAGATTCACCGCCCTAAAGCCCAAAGCGGCTTAGCGCACGGTGACCCTCCCGCACACAATTTGTGTGAAATTCAAAGCGTCGACTCAACAAGAGGGAAAAGACCGTGTCTTTGAACCATCCATCATGGCCGCCAACGCCCCTCCCTCCGCCGAAATGCTCAGCGGCGCTCAGCCCACCGACATCGCTCCTCAGTACGACCTTCTACCCCGCCTGATCCCCTATCTCGACCGCCACCTGGTTTTCCCGCTGCTCGAATTCAGCGCCGGCAACGATGAGGACGACAATGAAATCACTCGCGCCAAATACGAGCTGCTCAAGCACACCAACATGACCGACTACGTCGCCAACTTGTGGCAAGAAATCAACAATTCCGATTCGATTCCCGACGAATTTGTCAAGAAGCGCGAGGAGGTTCTGACCAAGCTGCAACATTACCAGGACCAGAGCGAGAAGATCTCTGAACTTCTGCAGGACGACGAGGTGGTGGGCAACCTGCGCAGCGACAAGGCTGCTAACTTGCGCTTCCTCGAGGAACAGCATGGTGTCACCAACGAGATGGTTAACAGCCTGTTCGACTACGGCCGGTTCCAGTACAGCTGTGGCTCTTACGGCAATGCCGCTGAGCTGCTCTACCAGTTCCGTGTGCTGTCTACCGATAACGACAAGGTTGCCTCCGCCACCTGGGGTCGCCTGGCTTCCGAGATTCTGACCACCAACTGGGAGGGTGCCATGGAGGAGGTGCAAAAGGTCAAGGATTCTATCGAGACCCGTCTGTTCAACAACCCTCTGGGCCAACTCACCAACCGCTCCTGGTTGATTCACTGGTCTCTCTTCCCTTTTTTCAACCACGACGCCGCTCGTGACGTCCTGACCGATCTCTTCTTCTCCCCCGCCTACATCAACACCATCCAGACCAGCTGCCCCTGGGTCCTCCGTTACCTCGCCGCCGCCGTCATCACCAACCGCAGCCGCCCCCACAAGCACCATGGTATCTACCAGAAGCAATTGAAAGACCTGATCCGCGTGGTGCGCCAGGAGGATTACGAGTACACCGACCCCATCCTCGACTTCGTCAAGGCTCTCTACGTCGACTTCGACTTCGAGGAGGCCCAAAAGAAGCTGGGCGAGGCAGAGGATGTTCTGCGCAGCGATTTCTTCCTTGTGTCTGCTGCGGACAACTTCGTTGATTCTGCCCGTCACCTCATCTCTGAGAGCTACTGCAAGATCCACCAGCGGATCGACATTAAGTAAGTCCTTTATTTTTGAAGCAGCGGGGCTGAAGGGATCAGCATCAAACCAAGTCACATGATATCTAACCTCATTGATAGGGACCTGTCCACTCGTCTGGGCCTCAGCCAGGACGAGGGTGAGAAGTGGATCGTCAACCTGATCCGCGACACCCGTGTCGATGCCAAGATCGACTACAAAGAGGGCACCGTTATCATGAACCACCCACCGCAATCGGTGTACCAACAGGTCATTGAGAAGACAAAGGGTGCCTTTTTCCGGACTCAAGTCCTGAGGTAAGCCTTGTGCCATCACCGACCCATCATATGAATATCCAAACATACTAACATATTCACAGCTCCGCTGTTGCGAAATGATTTACTCCCCCCCCCCCCCATGAGCTGATGCCAAAACCGATTTCTTCATTGTTATTATCAACCCTGTTTTCTGCCAGCCCATAGTGATCTCCCCGTGTATGTCACAACACGGTTCTTCGAAGGAGAATGGGGACTCCGCGCAGAGTGGCATCCGGCTGGCGTTCTTCGGTGGTCCACCTTTTTGATTTTCCTTTTTATCTTTTAACCTCCTTAGTCCACAGTCTCTTTCCATTTTCCTATATTTCTCCCTTTCTCTGTCGTCAGGTATTTTTTTTCGCTTTGGTTTTTTTTTTATTATTTTTCTCGTGTGCAAAGGAAGACCTTCGAAGGTCTTTTGCAGAGAAGGGAGGTCTAAAAGAAACCACGAGGGACTCACGGCGCTCTTCCTCCCGCGCCTGAAAAGAAAAGCGACTGGGGTTTATGTAGAAGACATGTTCGGGATATACCCGAACGTCTGATGGATCTATGCTGTTACGAATGGTCTATAGAGATGAGTGAAAATGATGTCTGACAATATTTGTTCCCTTCTGTTGCCTCGTAAAAGAAAATGTGAAGAAGGTAATGATATCTGTTCTAATGAAGTGAAGAGTCATAGGCTTCCGGCCCACTGAAAGCAGTTGCAAACTTCTTTTGTTCCGAAATAAGTCATATCTGAGAGCTCCGGAGGAAGTGTAATAAAAACAGCCAAAGGGGTATATTGAAAGAACATTGCCCGAAAATGTGTCCGTCGGCTTTTAGCCTCTACGGCCCAGAGTCCAATGCAGTTCATGTCGGCAGTCCAGGTACTACTCAATCAGTATATTCCAGGTTTCCAAAGCCCGTGGAATGGAATGGGCCCATGGACCAAACATCCGGGAATGGCTTTCTATTTGAACGTCCGGGGATTGGCGTTCCTGGGAAGTAGACCGAATGCATTGGAGATAAAACGACTTTGTCACCCAGTGGAAAAAACAACAAAGAGTCCCCGTACATCGAGGAGGATTTCCATGGGATGTGAGAGAAGAAAATGGCTGCGAATATCCATCCGATGGCTCGCCTGGGCAACAAGCGTCGGAGCCGGCAGGACAACAGAACCCTGGGAAGTAATCTCCATCTCAACGACCACTTCTGGAGTCCGGCTCCACGGGGCGTCTTCGAGGCCTTGATGAATCCACCGGAATTATCTCGTTGATATACGGCTCTCCAGACTGTCCATTTCCGTTGCCATTTCCAATTCTGCTGCCATTGCCGTTTCCAGGACCATTTTGATGGGTCATCCGCAAGGCTTCCTGTTTCTCATATTCTCTAGACATGGTTGCAAGATCTTCGATTTGTTCCTATGGCGAAGCGAGTCAGCTCCCGTTCAGTCTGCTGCTTTCCTGCGATGCAGACAGACCCGTGTAATCGGTACCCCGACGATGAGGTAACCTTCGCGCCCCTTTAATTCAATCAAGATATCTAGTTAGGATGGTTTAACATGAATGACAGTGGGTGGTAAAAATCTAGTGTACCTGATAACTATATGGTCTGACTGATGCAGAGGGACCGAGAAAGTAGTGGATGTGCCCTAGGACAATATGTCGGGATAGCCCATATCCCGGGAGCCAGTATTGTTGAACTCGTGACATTGCGGACGCGCGGTAAAGAAACAATTATCCGGTATATAGTACTTGTGTGCATAAGGTGTATTTTCTTTGGCATAGGGGCTGCGACTTCGAAGAGAGTGGGATCAGAGGCGACGCCGGCGCGGTGAAGCCAGAGCCAGATGCTGGCGGAAGACTTTGATATCTTCTACTTTTCTCAATAAACTACAGCTCGGAGGATCGCACATGGGGTTTAAATAACCGGGGGGTTCTATCCAGTCATCGAACCCCTCCTTGTGGTGAAGGAAGAGCAACCCTCCTTCTAAAAGAGACGAATGAGACAAGCCTCAGCCGGGGCTGCAGTCCATCAACCACAAACCTATGGAGGGGTCAACGATGATCTCACAACCTCAAACCGTAAATTTTCGTCAAAGGACAAAAAATAGCCAGATCCACCAGATTTTCAATCTCAACCGAACAAATAGAAGGTGGCTCCAAGCTAATGCGACCAGGCAAATATCCCGACATCCTTCTCCACGGACCCGGGCAGGTGATGGCAAAGTGCACAGCAGGAAAACAATAGGTCGCGCGATTCCGCCCAGGAACGAACCAGTCCCACTGTCTCCAACTTTCCAGCAGGCAATGGGTCTCCGTCGGAATCCTCGGGGAGGCGAGAATCAAGACAAAAACGGCGAGGAGGGGGCGCACGATGTGTCCGCCTCACTTCCATCTGCTAACGAGGTCCAACCCTTTTTTTCCCTGCTCCCTTTTTCGGGTTTAATTTAATATAAGAATCGATCATGCCAGCCATAATCAGTCTGTGCTTCCAACAGCCCGGGCTTCGGCCAAGGATAAAAGTGAGGCTGGGGGGGGAGCCAGTCGAAATCGGTGGACAACTGCAGAGAACAATGCAGTACACCTAATTCAGGGTCTTGCAAGCACACCGTAACCCCCCTCAAAGCCCTCCCAATTGCGTATAGACAGTGCATGGTGGATAGGATTTTGCTCAAGATTCTCGGTGTATCATTAATACCGTGGCCTCACCGCACCTTTCTTTCGCTGCAGCGCCAAATTGGTCTCTTGCTGCGGTGATGTCGTGGCACCATGAACACGAATCTGGCCGTGGGGCCCGAACCACGCTGCAGTTGGCATATCTGCATCTTGCATTTTTTGGACAAAGTCAGTTTCCCGGGTTGCGTTTGGTCTTGCTGTTCGGTGCCGAACACATGGCAGATGCAATCCAGACTAATGTTGGATGAGTCTAGTTCCCGTGCAGTGCAGGTGTGACGCAGCCAACATCAGATACGAAAGTTCCCACCAGCCGCTACTTTCTGGGGTCCGGCCTATAAATGGAATGTCGGTTTCAATTGGAATCGACTATCAATATCGTCTAACCCCTCTACTTGGTCTATTCTCTCTACATTTGCTGATGGCCATCTGCTAAAGAGTACATAGAATCTATATCATAATCATTACCACCAATTACCATGCAGCGATACCTTGGATTGTTAGAAGCACATTCAAGTTCAAGTTCAAATCACCTAATACTTGCAATCTGAACGGTTCACCGAGCGCTGATCATGGATTTTGAGGCATTTAAGTTTCATATCCGGCCAGAGTACTCGTAGATGTGATGGGGCGTGCATGACATCAATTGCCGGTAGGGCTGGTCGTTGCAGTTGCAGGGATATGCGACATCTCGTTTAAAAAAGTTCAATATACATATATGATATGTACACCCAAGGGTGTCAATTGAGATTCTCCATGGGCGCAATGCAAGTAAAAGAATAACGGGTGTGTCATGTATTATTCTCTAGTCTTTCATCATTCATCGTGCAAATCAATGCGGTTACATATCGTCACTTCTCTCAACCATCCCTTTTACTGCGGGGGGACATAGGGGTGCACCAGCATGTCGCTGAACCTATAGCACAAAAGAAAAGAATATTCGGTTAGTCCGGGTGACATTCAAAATCAACAATCAGTAAAATCCACTTACTTCTCCAGTTTCTCCTTGCCGCGGATCTCCTCAACCAATAGCGGCATGCGGACTACATTGAAGTCCTCGTATAGTTCCTCAATTTGCTCCAGATACTTCTTCTGCATCTTCCGACGAGCATTGCACTGATCACAGCTACTTCCCTCCTTGGGGAAAAGCAGCTGGTTGACGACAATCGAGTGGGTATCAATGTTGTAGCTAGTCAATTCCTGGATCATACGCTCGGTCTCATAGAGGGACAGAAACTCCGCGATACAAACACAGACAAAGGTGGTCATATCCGGGTTCTTGAACTGTGTGTTCACCTCACTGATAGTCTCGCGCAGAGATTCCATCTTTTGTAACAGCTCGTCCATATTCTGTCCACCCGGCAGACCGCCGCGTGCGCCGAGAATCGAGTTCAGCATCGGGCCGAATTGCGTTGACAGTTGGGAGAGCTTGGCCAGGGCCTTCTCCAGCACGGTGGGGAACTGGAGGAAACGTAGCGTGTGGCCGGTTGGTGCGGTATCGAACACGATAGTCTCGTAGGAGAGTGACTTGACTTGCTTCAGGACCTCGGCGAAAGACATGGCTTCGTCAACACCGGGGATCTATCGGTAGACATTGTTCGTTAGCGACTTTCCGGCATCTTCCATGCGGAGCGGAAGACATAGCTGGGACTCACGCTAAATGCCAGGTCTTGCATCATGTTTCCCATGCCCATGCCGGCCATGGGGTCTTCGCCTTGACCCTCACCATTAGCCAAGAGATCCTGGATGCTACCGTTGGGATCGATCTCCATGGCGCTGAGGTTGGTGTAGCCATCAATGAGGCGGGCCTCCTTTCCAAACTTCTGGCCAAAAGCATCGCTCAAGTTATGCGCGGGGTCGGTGGAGATGAGGAGGACGGATTTGCGGACTTTGGCGAGCTGGATGGCGAGGGAGCACGAGGTGGTGGTTTTACCCACACCTCCTTTACCTCCGACGAAGATCCAGCGGAGGGTATTCTGGTTTAGGATGGACTGGAGCGTGGGCTCCAAGTCGAGATCGTCGCCATGGACGACTGCGGAGGACATTTTCGGGGGTGTGTGTGGAGGGGTGGAGGTCGGTGGTGATGGAGGAGTTGGAGTTAGAGTTGACATTCAAAAATGATGATTTGCCCCGCAAACCGAGCGAATCTTCGGGAAGTCTAGCCAGGTGGTCACCATTGATATTGATCCTGGTTGGGGGGTTTTTTATTTGTTCTTTATTTCATTTAGGAGTATTCCGTAGAGGCTGCTTAATGGGAAATTCCAGGTTTGTTAATTCCAATCAGTGATATTGGACCTATACTGTGCTCTTCGGAGTTTACTTGCGTATTCAAAGGGCATTCTGGCATTGTAACCACTCTGTGGGACAAGTAGGCAGATCATGCCATGTCCTACAATTTATTTGTTAGAATGGAAGACATGTCAATTGGGATGACTACCACTCTTTTCTTAGGGTCCAAATAAGAGGTTCTATCCGATTGAGGTGAGTTGAGCTCCACCGGTCTTCTTGTCGCATGGCATCCTCCGCAGCTATCGGTGCCCTCCGATGCGACGGTCCATAGAAATGGCGACGCAGCTCCCCCTGCGATTTCTTCTTTTTTTTTTCCTTTTCTTTTCTCTTCTATCCGTCCTAAAAAAAAAAAAAGCATCCCTTCCTCCTCTTATATCTCTATCTCTCTCGTCTAGGGATCTGGATGGACACTTCGCGTCGTGAAACTGAACAGGGTCGCACCACCAATCGCCTCGCCCAAGTCCAACAACAGCTCAACTCTTCCGCCAGAACATCCCACCAACAACCACCACCATCCATCACCATGGCCGCGCGCGACCCCATTACCTGCCATTGCCTCAATACTCTGACCGGCACTCCGGCTGCGAACCTCCCTGTGACATTGACTCTGCTGTCCGGCCCGGCTTCTACCTCCAGCCCCGTCACCTACCACGCCATCACCAATGCCGATGGCCGTGTAGGCAAGTGGACACCCAACGGCGCATCCACTTCAGTTCCCAAGGTTCTCTCTGCACTACCCACTGCTGATAGCAAGACCAACTGGTCGGTACGCTTTGAGGTCGGACCCTGGTATGAAGCCCAGGGAATTGAGAGCTTCTGGCCCGAGGTCGAGGTCAAATTCACCGTAAAGGGTCGCGGCCGCGAGGGCGAGGAGGGCTGGCGCCATTACCACGTCCCGGTACTGCTAGGCCCCTGGAACTATTCCACATATCGGGGTTCTTAAATGGGATGGGATGGGATGGAGAGATATAGTACTAGTAAATGAATTTCTTGGGCTCGACGATAAGCATTCTAAATGTGGATGAAGCAATCTCCTATTACTACATACATGTTACTCGAGTAGATGTCATTTAACGAATCTATATGCAGAAGTTATATATCCTCCCTTTCATGAAGCCAAAGTTTGCAGTTCTCTTCATTCAATTGGCAAGATGGCCGAGCGGTCTAAGGCGCACGGTTCAGGTTTACCTGATCCTCAGAGATCTTTATAGATTTCCGTGTCTCGAAAAGGGGCGTGGGTTCGAATCCCACTCTTGTCATTTTTTTGCTTCTATCTACTATCTACTCTCAGAGCAGGCTCTTTTTTGGACAAATCTATCAAAATCGGGGACCCCAGGCGACGTTGAGCCACTCTGGTTTTGTTACTACAGACTGTCACTTCGTGTCAGGCCACCTGTTTACACATTGATCATTTTTGGAGTACTGGCTTATAGATTAGGATGTGTTAACTGTATCATAAATAATTCAAAGAAGGGTATGTCTATGGTGTGATCAATTTCAAACTACGAGTATCCAAGCCTTCAGGTTGTCGATCTATTTCAATGTCGGGCTATGTCTGCCCTGTACATTCGGAGTTAATAATTCGGTAGCCTTGGGAAAAATCACGTTGCTCGGGATGATGATTTGACGTCTGCCTGGGTTAGGCAAAGGGTAATCAAAAACCAAACCTCAAAGACCAAGATCACTCAATCCGAATCTTTCACAATCAACCTTTGATCAACTTGAACTTTTAACGTGCCAAAGACTGCGGGTGGCACCTGATTGATCTGCGATTTCCGCTCCGCTTTGTTTTGTTTGCGTTTCAGTGATTGACCGCCCAACGTCCCGGCTAATCAGCCGCGTGTACCCTTTCTCTTTTGACCACCTCCTCCACAAGCCTGAATCTCTCTTCGTCGCTAGCGGTCTCTATTCAACTCTCTTACCTGTCGCCTCTACCCTGTCGCCGTATTCCCGCCCATCATGACGCTAGCCGAGGAGTTCCGCCAGAGAAATTTCAGTACGTATCCCCTCGTGCCACTGCGGCGACTGATGTCGATCAGCCCCATTGTATTGATCACCTTTACTAACGTTGCGCTTTTCAAGATATCTATGGTCAATGGTTAGTTATCTACCTGCTCTACTCCTTCTGTTTCAATTCCGCCTTCAATCCTATCACCTATCTGGCCGCACGGGCTTGGGCTCCAGGCGCCTATGCGATGGCTTCCTCCTTGGGCATCTCCAAGCGCTGCAACTTTTGTAAAGACAGCCCTTTCTAACAGTATTGCTATAGGGCCGGTGTTCTGTGTATTGTTCTCTGCTTCGCGCTCGGTATTGCGAATATCTTCACCACCAATGTGCTGCACATTGTCATCTCCGTGGTCTGCCTGTGGGTGCCACCATTGCCTTGAACGTTCGTGTGTCGCGCTAACAAAATCAGCGCCTCGTCATTCGTCCTGCTCTTCATCGAAGTCCCCTTCCTTCTTCGAATTTGCCCAACCTCCTCCAAGTTTGACGACTTTATTCGCCGCTTCACAACCAGCTGGATGCGAGCTGCCATTTACCTCATTCTCAGTGGTATCCAGTGGGCCAGTCTGGCCACTGGTGCTTGCAGTTTGATCGCCGCTGCCGTTTTCCTCGATATCGCCGCTATCTTCTATGCGCTTGCCGGTGTGAAGAGCCAGGAGTTTATTCGAAGCAAGACTCTGGGTGGCGCTGGTGTTGCACAGATGATTGTCTAAGGTAATTAAGTTTCGGTCTTCGGTTTTCTCTTCCATATCCCATGCGAGTTAGCATAAAATCTGGTGGTCGGAGAGGAGGAAGGTCCTTTTGAAACGATGAGATGCTCGCTGCGAATCCCTGGAGGAAACCCTTTGGGAGAACATGCATTGATATGCGCCACGATATTGCTTGTTTTTTTGATTTTTATTCTGTACTTGTACTAGTACGTCTCTATTGTCTTTGGGCGAACCTACTCGGAATACATTTTATGGCCGCGATGTTATCGCGGGTTATTTCAATTCGGACAGCTTGGCTGGGCTTTTCTGGGTACCATTGTACTCTGCTTGAATTTTACAGCCGCCACGCGCGCTACTAGTATGTAAGCCATATCTGCTCGTTTGCCATAGGCTTTTTTTGTAGCAACTTGTGTACTAGTAGCACCTGGGCACTGCCAGTGGTTACCGATTTGTTTACTTTCAAGGTTTGTTGTGTGTGCTACTAGTATTCAATGGCTTGTGTTCCGAGTCTTCTCTCTGTTACTCTTTGATCAAATGTCCAAATTATCCAGTTGGTACTCTAGGGCTATTATTGGAATTTCGCTGTCTTAGTATCTGGCGATTATTGTGCTCTGGAGTTTGGGGTCTGCTCTTCACCTGGGCAGGTTCGAAAATTGAGCCCTCCATGGTTGTAGGTTCAGTCATGAAAGGTTAATATATATTCCCACTTCTAATGCATGAAGTCAGACTTCACAACTGGGCAGTACCACAGCCTAAATTAATTATTAATAAACCCCACTACTAACCTTAGAAGAAATGTAGTATGCAATAATGAGTCAGAATTAACTAAAAACCGATATATTTTTTTTTTAAAAAATAATCATCAGATACCTATCTTACAAAACTGACCTTCGCCTTCATAACTTGAAGTCTGTTTTGGCTCATAGAGTCAAAAATTGGGCCATTTAATATCCGATTGGCAAGATGGCCGAGTTGGTCCAAGGCGTCAGGTTAAGGTCAACCTTAACTCCAATTTCCTGATCTCCGCAAGGGGGCGTGGGTTCGAATCCCACTCTTGTCATTTTTTTGCTTCTACTACTACCAGTAGTAGTATCGCACTCTTAAGTTGAGAAGCTATCTTTTTGATTTTACCACCCAAGTAGTTTTAATTGTCTACTTTGTCGCAAGTCCCGCAACCCGCAGCGAGGTACCTCTCGCTAGCAACTTAGCAGATGGATCGAAGTTCCCGAACGGACAGCTCTGACCAGATACAAAGCCCACATTGAACATAGCTAGGCGTTAATATAACCTCGATATTCTCGATATCCTTAATACTGTAATCCATACATGTCTCACCACCAGTAGATTCAAATTCGACGTCAGTAACTTTGCTTTAGTGATCTACCCTCGCGTCCATCTGGTAGTTACGCATATACCCACCACCCCTAGCCTCGATGGATCATGCCCCGACTCTGTAGATAGAAGATTTTGATCAGACTACGAACAAGGTTGTGCCCATAATTATACCACAGTGAAGATCGTTGATCAGCACCCCGCAATGTCTGGAATTATGCGGCGGGGTAGCAAAAGCAAGTTCAGAAGCCGCAGGTTAGGAGACCAAGCCTGCGCATGACCAGCTTTCCCCTCATCCCCTCCAAGGTTACGCCAGGAACCAGGACAAGCCACGTCAGAATCACTGACCAGCTAGAATGCCGCTCGGCATCATACACCCACACCAGTGGCGTTAATTCTTACAGCTATGTAGCAAGGGCCGAGGTGGATTGCAAATCTAGGGCAAAATTTCCAAGGTTGGGTTTATTGTCAACAGCTCGTGTGCTTACGTTGCTTGGGCTGGGGTATGTAAATAACACTGGGTATGACACCGAAAGATACTTTATTAGTATCCGCTGATCAGGTGTATGTCTGTGGGTGCGTTCACAGAGTCCTGTTATTAAGTACATCCCATACTCCGTACGAGTACAGAGTACAGATACTGGAATCCCGTGCTTGGCCCGATGATGCAATGTGGAGAAACTGTTAACTCGCTCACCGCTCACTACGGCCAATGTGAATACAAAGAAATAATCTCGCATCAGCGATACCAGTGGTACCAGGTCTTATCTTGGGGGGGGTTGACGCCGATTGCGAGAACCCCTCCCCCCTGAGCTCAGCCACTCAGCGGTCAACAGCGATATCAGGGCCACGAATATACTTTAGCGAATGGTCTGGCCACCAGGATGATCAGTCTAGTAGTGTCACTGGGGGAAGACAAAGCTGCACGCTACGAAGACCTAGCCCTGTGGTTGGATTAAATCACTTCAGAGCGACGCCGTGATTTGCCCGTTCGTTGAACGTGAAAGAGCTCGACTCTCCACTTGGTGTAATGAGGCATTTGCACGGAAATGCCGCATAAGAGGGTCAGTTCAGGAGATACCTAGTACCTATGAGTAGTACCTCATGTGTAGTATGTACCCTGTAGAAAATCTAGGTAGAGTTGTTACATTGCAAAGAAAGACTGAAAGTTGAATGTTCGAAGTTGGCTGGCGTTGGTGTGGTACTCGATGCGGTCAGATCACGTCACGCGGCCGGTGGGTCATGGCAGAAAGATGACACTACATCATCCTCCCTCCGCTGCATTTACCCCGTCTTTGCATTGCTCTTTTTATACTCTTTGACCGCATTCCCTCCGCGAATTGTTTTCTTTCAATTAGATAACATCTTCTACATAAGGGGTTTTATGAATCCGGGTAAGTAAATTGTCCCATGCGGGCTTATCTGCCTGCAGGGTGGTCCTGTTCTATGGTTCACTTGTACCCTTGGTCATTCTTCCCAAGACCAATCCTGCCTTGCATCCATGCAAGTCATTCCGCAGGACGTGGACCCCGCTGGGCCTTTCATTTCTCCATTTCTCCCTCTCGGCGAGCCATTTGACGACGGGGCAGAGGAGTAGAGAGGCCCAAGCTTGCACGGGGCGTCGAGCCTGGAATCGTTGGGCCTAAGCTGATGATGAAATCTGCCAGCTTGAAAACGACCATGTCCGCCCCAAATGTCCCGGCGGTCCCCCCTCGACCGGCTCGATCTCCACAGCCAACTTCATCTTTAGACATGCCGAGAATCCCCCCACGTCCCTCGAACCGCCGTGCGGACCGATCGATATCCCCAATGCGGGACAGCTATGCCCCATCTCCCCTTAATGGGTGGAATGGCCCGGCTTTGAGTCGTACGATCTCGAACGAGGTTCCCCAGCGGCCACCGAGTGTGACGATACCGTCTTTGGGAGAGGAGGGTATTGAATATGCCGATCTTGATGTGGGAAATGTACCGGACAATCATCATCAGGCTCCACAAGAGACTCGCAACGTTAGCAGTGACCTCAAGATGCATGCACCAAGACCTTCGTTGCCTACATCCAGTGCTAAGGCTAAAGTGCAGACGGTTACTCGCACAGACTCTCGGCAAGCCGCAGCGGCAGGACTAGGCCGGGAAGCCTCCCCGGCTCGCGACGAGTCGGAACGTCCCAGCCGTTCGCTGCACTCCCGTGCAAGTGGCACCCGGGCCGAGTCGTCTACTGCTTCATCGGAACGTCGAAACTCGGCGCAGATCGCAGAGGAGCCCGGGTTTCGAGTTCCCATGTACCCAAACGCGGGTGATGTCCAGGCGCCATCCCCGAGTCCTTATCTCGAGCAAGGATCTCAACGGTCAGGTCGTAATCACCACCGCAGTCGTAGTGCCCGAGACTCGTCCCTACCCCCGGGTAGTTACGGCCTTCATGGGCACGGTGTGCAACATACCGATAAGTTTGAGAAGGCTTGGTACGACAAGCACCCCGACGAACTTGTCAAGGAGGAAGGGCAATATGGCCCTGGTGTGGGCACACCTCGTCCTGATTGGGCCATGAGCAGGGACGATTTGAATAAAATTGTCCGGAGCGCGGACCCTACTCCCCCTGGAACTGGTAGGCACATTCAATTCACTCGAGCCAGAAGAATGAAGACCTAATGCGATTTACAGGCGACTCCCCCGGAACTGTGGCAACCCCAGAGGAAGAAGTTGGCTACCTCGCCTCGGATGAATATATGCATCGCATGGCGTCGCCCCCACCTGATGCGCGAAATGAAAATCAGCCCGTGGTGGAGTCTCCTCTTCGTCAAATGAGCTTCCCAGTCTCAGAAATTCAGCCCAAAGAGCTCCCTAAGTCCTCACTTCGTCACGGCCGGTCCAGCTCTCGCGGCAACCATGCTGACGCCGATGTGATCCATGTCGATGACCCTATTCACCCACTGCATCACCCCGATGGATTTGCTCCCACCCCAGCATTTGAAGATCAAAAAACGGAACTGGAGGAATATGATGACGAAGAAGAGCCCATTCTGGCGGCTGATCAAGTCCGGCCCGAGTCGGCATATCTACACCCCGCAATTTCGCCATCTTTCGAACATAGAGGAAGCTTTGACGACGATTACTACAGCCGACCGCCCAGTGTCTCGCATAGTCGCTCCAACAGCAGATCGGCGAGTGCTCAAGGTGCGCCAATGTTGACTCGCTTCGACTCGCGTGAGCCCCACGAAGATACACATACTCCCCTGGAGGACGTAGAGGAGTACGAGCCTCTGTTCCCCGATGAGGAGACTAGGAAAGAGAAACCGCTGTCCGCGGCGGATCGTTTTAGGAAGCGACCAGATGCACACCGTTTTCCGAGCCAGGATATATGGGAAGACACCCCGAACAGTTTACAGCTCCATGCTACGGTTTCTACCCCGGATCTTCCTCGAAGTGACTCCGAAGCCTTTGAAACCCCGGAGCAAGAAGCCCGGCGGAGAATGCAAACATCAAAGATCGATTCACACCAAGTCGCGTCTCAGATCCTCGAGGGAGAATCAGTCCGAAGCGAAAAGGAAAAGGATCCAGCACGGCCAGATGCCCTTAAGCAGCGGTTCCCTAGTCGGGATATATGGGAAGATGCTCCTGACAGCCAGCAGCTGGTGACGACTGTCGAGCCCGCAAAAGATGAACTGAAGAGTCCCGAGGTCCCGTCAAAGCCCGCAATTCCTCCGCGCCCACAAAGACAGACCCAGGCAACATCTCCCACGGAAAAGCGACAAGCACCCATCATTCCTGATAGACCGAAGCCTCAGATCCCCACTCGTCCCGCTAGGCCTAGCGCTCAAGCCGCGAAAGAAGCCCCTGCCGAGGGCCCTGCTGTGCCTAAGGCGAAACCCGCAGTGCCTGCGCGTCCGGGTGGTAGCAAAATCGCAGCTATGAAGGCAGGTTTCCTCACAGATCTGAACTCTCGTCTGCAGCTGGGTCCTCAACAAGCTAAACCCCAGGAGAAGGAACCCGAGCCTCCTGTCGAGAAGAAGCCGCTGAATGACGCCCGGAAGGGGAGAGCCCGTGGACCTGCTAGGCGAAAGCCCGCCGTAGAGAATGCCAACGCCAAGCTACCTACCATCCCTGAAATCAAAATTACCGACTCATGGAATGTTTGGCAGGTTGGTCAAGATGGCAATGTGACTGTCGGTGACGCCAAGCCGATTGTGTTCTCTGCTGTCCCCCCCAGAACCTGCTGTCGAGCCCAAGGTCGAGGAACCCACATCCCCTGAAGCCGTGGAGAAAACGGCCACTGAACCCGTCAATTCAGTTCCGGAGCCACTGGCTGTGGCTGAGGAAGTCTCCCCGAGCACCGTCGAAGTCCCCGAAAATGGACCAGCCGATGCTGAAGCTTCACCAACTGCTCAGCACCCCGTCGAGACCACCGAACTTGCTCCTGAGGTGACGGCTAAACAAGACTCACCTGAACCGTCCCCAACTGGACCGAGCAGTATAGAACGTCCCGTCGAGACTGGGCCATCTCCCATAAAGATGGAGGAGGATATGGAGGATATGGCTGCGTTCGCTGATGGCAAGAAGCCATCTGATGGAGACTTTTATCCTGTGCAGTCGGCTTCCTAAGCGCCTTGCGTATTTCTTTCTTTCGTGCGTTATCTTCATTATTCATTTCTGTCTGTTACTATGAAACTGATGTCGGAAATGCGTGAGGACGAACGAGTTTGTTCTTACTATTTCCGCCTTTTTAATCGGCGATTCGTTGCCATATTATAAATTCATCTCAGAGCCCCGGGGACTTCGGGTGCCATTGTTATCCTGGATATTGATATTGATCTCTTGTGACTTTGACGAGTAGTAACTTCATCCTAGCAAGATTCGACCACCTGTGAACATACAGAGGCTATGTAATCTATATATCTAGCAACTACCTCTAAGTATTGCTAGGTGGATTTCATGATTGAATCTGTTAAGAAAACCCCAAGAAGTTCTACAAGTACTAGCCTGGGCACTTTAGTTGTTGGTTGGCTAGTGTACAAGACTACGTTGTGGAACGAAGCCCCCATCAAGATTTTACCATTTTTTTTTGTGTATTTTGATTAAGGTACATGATATTCTCTCAGTCTTGATTCCCATAATAAAGGTTCGTTCTCAAGGCAAGCAAATTCAGAGGGGCATCGGAATGGATTGTACGTTTGGGCAATATGTGAGAATTACTAGCAAACGAAAAATAACAAGTTTGCGGGGAAAGCATTTAGCTAGCAGGGAGCCGGGACAAGTCGCCCTTGCCCTCCTTGACCCATTCAGGATCAATCAAACGTTCACGCTCAGCATAGAGTTGTTTGTAGGCACCACGGATGGTTCCATCGCTAACGTGAGCTACCTGCGAGATCTCTTTGGCGGATTTGCCGTCACCCATCAAGTATGAAGCCATGTAGATGCATGCAGCGACAATAGAGAGAGGGGAGCGACCAGCAAGGTCTCCCATGGTGGTAACGCGGTCAGAAAGTGAGGAAGAAACACTGGTAACCTGGAATGGCAAGCCAAGTAAATTGCAGAAACGATTGCAGAGGTCGCTGGGCTTCGTGGAGGTAGTTGCAGTGTAGTTGTTATTGGGATCAACTGTACCACCGCTGGACACAACTGCGTTGTTTCGCTCGATGTTCTGTGCGGTAAAGAACTTCTCCAAGGCCTTGTAGATGCGGCCGATCTCCTTCCTCGAGACCTTGGTCACAGCGAAGATTTCAGTGAAGGTCCGTGGGACCTTGCACTGGCGGCAAGCGATAAAAATGCAACCAGCGATGATCACGTCTTGGGACTTGCCCTTGAAAGCCTTAGCATCGTCCACAACCTTGAAGAGATATTTGGCGGTGTCCGCCACATTCTTGGGAATGTTGAAACCATCACACATGGCACCGATTTCCTTGTAGGCAGCCAGAAGGGCCTTGTTTGCCTTTTCGCTGGACTGTTTGTTCTGAGCACGGTAAAGGTCTCGAGCACGACCAGAGGCACCACTGGCGATAGAGGTTTCCAACTGATCACCGTTGAGAAGTGGGTTCATGGCATCACCGACACGGGACGGGTCATCGTTGTTCTGGTCATCGTTCGAGAAAGTACGCCATTCCGAGTGCATGTCAATCTCACGATCAGCGAGAACTAAGCCGCAGGACCCACAGACCGTCTCGTGCGAGTCGGGGAACTCGAGATTTGGAGGAACTTCCTTGCATTCCGGACAGCAGAGAGTGGCTGACAAATTCTTCTTCCAGGAGCTGTCGCATCGTTCGCTGCGACGGTTGCGTTCGCCATCTTGATCGATACTTTGATGCTCTCGAATCGAAGCGATTGGCGTCTGGCGATACTCTTGGCCGTTTTCCGAAGGTTATATTTCCGATTATAGAGGCGCAGGAACAGTGGTGAATGCGTTTTGGCGGTTGTGACAAGCAACAAAGGTCCGCCTATCGAGCGAAGACCCGATAGGGAATAAGAACCAGCTCTCTCAAAGTTGCAGGTCACTGTGTGCGCAGTTATGTTAGCCCAGTCATATCCAGATGAAAAGGCAAGGGCCCAGGTCACTGTGGTGTCCGCTGTGTAGGGAAGATTTCCCCGCGACAGCGCCACAGTCTCTCATAAACGCAGTGGAGGCAGTCATTACCTTGCAGGTGAGTACACTCGTTGCTTGATGATGATAACTCCCCAGGCGTGAAACAGAAACTTCACGGGTCTGCGCTTTTCTAGAGAAGAGATGCCACAGAAGCCTCGATGCCTCAAACTTGTCTGACCTATGAACCAGTCAAGGTCTCCGTAAGATGTGGGTATCTCACGAAAAGGGTCGTAGAACCTGACAGGTCGCTGCGAGCGCGCGGAGGGCAACGTCGAAAGTCGAGTTCCAGGGACAGGTTGAGGGTAGGGAAGGGGATCGAGGGCCAGGGGAGAGATGGGACAAAGAGAGTGAGAGTGAATCTGGTTGCGCGGACTCAGATGTTCCAGATATCAGGTGACCGTGTCACGTGAGTTGACGCCAAGCCGAGTTCGTCCGAGCAGAAGTCGTTTTGAACGTTCGACACGGAACGACGGAATCAGATCCATCCTGACGAGCACCACTCCTCTCATTTCGGCCTCAGCGACCACTCTCACCGTCAAGATGATGTCCCAGTCTCTCCGCGCCTCGGTGAGTTGCAACCGAGCTATTGCGCTAGGTTTTACCGACTAACACGAACCTCCTCTTCAGCGCTCCCTCTTCACCCGTGTCTCTCGGCAGCAGGTCCCCGTCGCCCGCACTTTCCTCACCTCCGCTGTGCGCCGCGGTATGTTCTCACCGTCTTCTCGACAAGCTTCCAACCTATTCTGCTCTCTACTCCTAGTCGGCATTTGATAGCTGAGCGCCCACTGACTGACGAAACCCCTCACAGCCGACCCTGTCCAGGACCTCTACCTTCGCGAGCTGAAGGCCTACAAGCCCATCCCCATCAAGGCCGGCGACGCCGATGCCCACGTCCAGAAGTTCGCTCTCCCCCAGGCTCCCGCTTCCCCGAGGAGGCCAACCTCGCCGGTGAGCTCTCCGCCTACGAGAGCCAGGAGGTCGAGGTTGAGGGTCAGGCCGCCGCTGGCGAGGCCGCCCCCGTCGAAGAGTCCTGGTTCGAGGAGGAGGAGGAGACTCCCGCCGCTGCCCACTAGATAGCCCTTTCTTTTCTTCGGCAAGGTCTGGGGAAATATGAGGGGACGGTTGTGCATGTCTGTGGTGTTCACCAGATTGGCCGCCCCTTGGGTCCTGAAGCTTGTAAATTAGGCCACTGAAACATTGATCTTTATTTTGTTCCTGATCTGTTTTTCTCCCTTTCCTTTTTTTCCCGGAGACCTGTTCATTTGCGTCACGATATCCTTTCGGTATGAATTGCCTTGCATTTCCCACGGCATGTATGAACGCCAGTGGCACTCATGAGATACGACTGGTAGACATTTACCAAGGGTGGCTGTGAGATTGTAAATGCATATATTGTATCATTGTAATGTGATAAGTATTCTGAAGTCTATACTATACGCCACTTATAGATATCTGGCTAGGTTGTTGGTGTCACCAATGATGCCATGCAAGCCATGGCGGGGGTTAATACGTTGAATCTGATGTGTCGGGGGAATTGATTGCGTACGACCAGACCAGGTGGTCTTGAAATTGTGAGGGCTTCGGATTGATCTGTCTAAATGAGGGCCGTTAAAAACTTTTGAGTTCAGGTACATAGCTCATGGAGAGAGGGGCGCTTTCGGATGAAGAGCTTCCGAAGATTGGAGTTGCCACAGATTGACACCTGCAGTATGTGCTAGTATGCTCCAGGTAGCAACGTTGCAAAAGAAAGTCGTAGAAAGCATTGCATTCCTCATGGAATCTGACGTGTCAGACAATTTGTATTGAGCGATTCACAATCAACAATCGTTAATGTGACATTTCCGGTGGAATCTAGGGGCATGATCAATGTCACCGGGATCATATCATTCTGCATTTCCGGGGGTGAGAAACTAACTTTAGTCCGACACTTGGAAATAATAAACTCAGTTTTGCAAAAAGAGAAGATAGATGCTGCTTAAAGGTTTACATAGAGGTTCTTTATGGATCTCTTGAAGGGAAGATAGTAGATGGAAGCAAAAAGTAATGACAAGAGTGGGATTCGAACCCACGCCCCCTTGCGGAGATCAGGAAATTGGAGTTAAGGTTGACCTTAACCTGACGCCTTGGACCAACTCGGCCATCTTGCCAATCGGGTATCAAATGGCCAGATTTTTGGCTCCATGAAACACAAAACCTCAAGATCCCCTCAATGCGGCTCAAGAGGGGTTTTTTTTGGAATTTGTGTTTGTGGTGGAGCTCCATGCACATCGCGAGGTATGTATACATAACTTGATGTACAAACCTTGTGGAGAAGATCTCAAGTTCATGCTTCAAGGTTCATTTGGTGACGTATGAGTATATGCAATGTGTATATTGGTTTTCCTCTCTTATACTTCTCTCTTTGCTTTTTCCCGCCAGATGTCAATTCGACCATTTCTCCTCTGGCGGTCAGATCGTCTCTGCCGGGTTTCACCGTTGAACTACTGGTACACCTGCAGAACAAACGCCTCATCTCGACGATTCTGCCTGACGTGGACGTCGAACCCGACGCGGGGAGTGTTTGCGTATTGACGTCGAGTTCTGGGTGCACTGGAGTAATCGCACAAAAGCCAAAGCCAAACTCATCTCCTGATGGCATGGCCCATCCATGACTGTTTAAGCCTCTACCAGTTGGCACCCCTGCAGAGCCGATTGCGATCGTTGGGACTTCTGATCTGTTCGGATTCCGATTCACATGCATGACACCCCCCCCCCAATGATTCGATCGCGAATCTGCCTGGGTATGGCTGGACCCTGCAACAGCTATGAAGTGGACAGTTGTTCCTATACCTCCGCTTGAGGAATGGGGCAGTGCTATTGTCTAAGTACGAGTAGTACCAAGCCCAGTGGTTGCCTAACAAATTTGTGGGGAGAATCTTACGCCGGTCCGGGTTGGCTGAACTTCAGCCTGCAGTGCTGTGTTGTTCCTGTACTTGTGGATTAGGGCTGACAATGGTGCCATTGAGGCGACATTCCACGCATAAAATAAAAGAATGTCAGAAGGCGGACCAAAGGAATGGAATGAATCCATGGTTGGCCCCTCCCGGAGGTTGGCGGATCGGGTAACAGGTCAATATTGACATGAACATGAACATAGACATGGACATGGACATGGACATTATGGACATTGAGACTTGGACAAGTTCATCCGGAAATGCCGCCATTAGTCTTGTCCTAGCTTTCAATCGGGGCCGGCAAGACTTGACGACCTTTATGCATTTCAGGACTTGTGCAACCTGTGGCAGTTTGGGATTACGCGAGAGTGATGGCTACAGCGGAGCCATGGATTGGGAAGGAGGATCAATAGTGGAGTTGTGAAAGAGAAAGAGAAGAGAAAGAGGGAGGTAGAAAAGGAGCTAGAGAAAATAAATGGAGCAATACGGAGTTAAGATACTCATATAAAGAGATGGAGTGAGGGTGTGGGGGGGGGGGGGGAATCAAAAAAGGGTGACCCAGTGTGTCTCACCTGAGGGGCGAAGGCTGTAAAGAGGAATCAGATAGAATACTTGTAATCCTCAAATTAGAAAAGCTCCAAATAATTTTAGTGTTTGTTACGAAGTGCCATCATAATTTTTGTTTTTGTCCTGCCATTTCAATTTGGAAACTTCCTCCAACCGCACCTCTTTTCTTTCACCTCCCCACCCCCTTCCTCCAACCTTCAATTATTTCTCCGTCCTATATCTCCCTCACTTCACACCTGGCTTCCCTGGCTTCCCTGGCTTCCGCTTTCCCCGCCCAAGCCTCCCGAAATACCGATACCTTAGCCTAAGGAGGGACCCTTGTTCGGCTCATCCACTCCTCCCCTCTCCTCCGCCGATCTTTCGCTCCATTGGCCCTTGGACGTTCGCGCAGAGTTGCAGACAGGATCGACCTATCTCTTCTCTACTCAGACCGACTCTCCGTTTGATGTGTGTGCGCACGTATCAACAAGATTTTGCCTCTGTGTGACTAGTCAAATACTTCTGAGAGATCTTTCTCGGAACACTTGTTCGGACGCTTGCCGTGCGCCGTGGTCTCCACCTTGCAATGCAGCGCGTCTGAGGATCTGCCTGTCGAGATTCGCTTCGGTGTGCATGGAGGAGCTGGCCTTCTTCGACACCTAACACATTCTCACAAGTCTTGCGGTGCCTCCCGGGGGAAATGTCCGCTCTTCGACAGCTGTTTCTCTGAGCGCTTCCCTTTCCAAGACAATGTCTTCGCCTTCCCCAGAGGCGACAACTACTGCCAGCTATAAGAACGATGACGAAAATTCCTTAATATCTCGCGCCGCCAGCTACACAGACCTCCCTAGCCAAACAACCACCGAAAACGCCCAACCGCCCTTGAGACGAACCTTCTCCGATTACGCCGTACCCATCCTAGCAGAGTCGCCGACCAAGGAAAGCGTGGCTGCTGGAAAGGACATTTTACGCCGGACCTCTCTCCGTTCGAAGAACAAACCCCCTGTTTCGGTATCCCATTTCACTCTGTCCTCGTCCGAAGACCTGAAAGACTCAGAAACGCAAGATGGCGCGGCCAAGGTACCGCAGACCCGAGCGCCAGAACCGGCAGCTCGCCCTTCTAAGAGCCGTACCATGTCGGGACGGATAGTGAGCCTGGCGCGCAAACCGTGGGGATCTTCGTCCCGATCACCGTCCCCATCGGCCAAGAGAGCCAAACAGAGATCAGAAGAACAGTCGCCGACGAGGTCCGGACCCCGTCAAACAGATGCGACAGACTCGGACTCGGGATTGCCCGCGCGGAAGCGAACGATTCTCTACAAACGACCACGGCGGCCCATGGTAGCTATGGTGGCTAAGGGAGGGAACGAAGAAATCCCAGGATCGCCAAATAGCCCCTCTGGAAGCTCATTACGACACCGTACATCGTTTGAAAAGTTCACTGCGTCTCTATCTGTGTCCACCCCGGTTCTTCCCCCCAATGCCCAAGGGAGCCGCAGAAAATGTTGCAGCATTTGCGAGCCACACAACCGACCATTCGCGGAAGAAGGACGAGCTCTGGGGCATATTTCGCGGCCTCGAGGCCGATTATCAAAAGTACGCCCCAAATGACTAAATTTTGGTCTGATTGTTGCTGACCCGAGATTAGGTTCCAATCGAAATCGAGCTCTTTAAAGGCTAATGTGATTCGTACCTCGCTCCTCCCTTTTCTCGGCCGTCACCATCTTCACGCATCATGCAAGAATCTCCGACCCGAAGATTTGGATCGCCGAGTCAATATCCTCAATAAATGGTGGATCGGGCTACTGGAGATGCTCAATGGGAAACACAATCAATCAATATCAGGGACCGACAGACCCGTATTTCTTGAGGCAGTGGTGGGAATTATGACTCGGCCAGAATGGCGCATTCCCTTTCCTACAACACAGCAGGGCGGCGGTCCAGCGGATTCGTTGAAGTACGCGTCAACTTCTGTATCGGAGACTTCCGAAGGATCTGGCTCATCTGGGTCTGATTTTTTGGTTGAGTCGATTCATCACAACATCCGAAATATCTTTGTGCAGAACCTCCTTTCTCAAATGGCATTCGTGGCGGAACGTATGTCTATGAGGCACGCTCCAGCCAGTCTGGTGGCATTCTGTGGAAAGGTTTGTGCGTACGCCTTCTTCTTTTGTCCAGGTGTCGCAGATATCTTGGTTCGTCTGTGGAACACGTCACCAAACGTCTTCCGCCGCATCTTCGCAGAATCGGCTGCATCCAGAACCGGGAATATGCGACCGTACACCCAGGAGCTTGCATTGAGCTTTCCGATTGCTCTTCGACCTCTAGCCTTCCATTCACACGCGCCTTTGTTGCGGTACCTACGCCGAAAGCCCGAGGCTCCCTTAAACACTACCAACGTTCCCTGGCATGGTCCATGGATTGCTCGCTGGTGTGGACGAGACACAGATTTGTTCTTCGTTTTCATCAAGTACATCCATATCCTATACGCTGAATACTGCCCACCCAAGACAGAGAAAGCGAAGCGGGTTCTAGCCCCAGGATTACTCTTGGTACAGGCACAGCTACTTGTTGTCATTGAGGACACAATTTATAAACAATCACTCCACCAGCCCGAGAGCAATAGTCATGCAGCAGCGATTACTTTCGACGACTTCATTGAATCACCAGATGCTTCGGCTTCCTCTCACACTCTAGGGGGTGGCAGGAACGGCCATCGATCCATGGCAGAGAACCGCCTGATCATTCTGCTCAGAGACTTCTTATCCGAATCGTCGTCTGAGCCAAATCGAGCTCGCTTACTCTACGCAGAGACATTTTGCGGGCTCCTCAAGATCGCAGCTCAGCGAATATCTTTGTTTGACCACAATGCATGCTTCCTGCTCTGTGATTTTGTTGAAGAGATCATTCCGATAATTACACGATACGCCCAATCGATTGAAAGAGAATTGTTCGACTGGGGATTTTGGCAGGGGGTATGCAGGCAAATGATGCAGAGCCATAATTCTCTCACCGAGGTGCGGGTGTTCTCCTTCATTTATTGCATTTGGGGCACTTGGACTACGACGGACGCAAGAAAGGCAAGCCTCTGTCTGGACTTCCTTCTTCACGAACCCGTTTTCTTCCATTATTTCAATCACTGGAGCCCGATGGTGCGTGCCTATTATCATCGCCTTTTATGCTGGAGAATGGGCCGGTTCAATGGGGAACCATCGGTAATCGATTCGTGAGTGTGCTATGTTTCCCCTCGTGGTCATTTAAAACTAATTTTCATCGTAGTACGATATATGAATTGCTCTCTGAGCGATTATTGCAAGTATGGGAGTATTATATTGGATTCCAGTACAAGGCAGAAGCCGGCCTCATTGCTCCACTGTCGTCTGCCCCTTGTACGCCGGCTCCGGGACGACGGATCATCATAATTCGGTGTGATAATCAGATATCTCCAGTGAATCTTTTCGTCTCATTTGACCGTGTTGTTCCACCGGTTCCACCGGAAAAGGTCACATCGCACCGGAGATCTGGTTCTTCGGACTCAACTGGTTCAGATGGCACATCTTCGAAGAGACGGTGGGGACTTTTTAAGAACATGTTCAGCAGCTCGTCAAGCAACCGATCACTTGAAAGCGGCGGAGGCAACAGCAGTTCGGACGAGTCTGACGGTGGAGGCCCCGAGCCAATAATGATGACGGAGAGCAGATGCCTGGAGCAGCACGAGCCGACACCAAATAACAGCACGGACGAGCTTATCCGACCCAAGACGCCGCATCAGCCATATTTCTTCAAATTCTCATTAGAATGGATGGACCGGCCGCAATGGCCCACCAAAAACAAGCGCCTCTTCACGCCGTGTCTCCCAGTGGCATCGCAGCTGCATGTCCAGCACCGGCGTTCGCCCTCCAAGTCATCTGAGTGCGACGCAGACTCCGAGCGTACCTCAATCCAGGAGAATACCGGCGATGGCGATACCGCGGAAGAACCTATGAACGCCAAAAAAACCACGACAGAACCTTCATCCGAAACTCTCCTCTCGGATAACCAGACCAGGACACCGACGACCAAAAACTCACCTCTCCCCGAACTACCCTCCCAACCTATCTACGACCATCTTGTGCCCAGCAAATACGCTGGTCGTGCGTTGGCCGAGTGGGCACACATTGTTTCCGAATGCGACAGCTTCTTCGCCCGACGACGCGACGAAGGTGTTCCTTCTGACCGCATGGTTGAAACGCCAAGTCTAGGAGTAGACAGCTTCCGGAAATAAGGGCGTTCATTCACTCCACACTCCTCGACTCGACAGAGCCACCACCCATGGTTCAGTCGATCACTCCAACGGCTCGAATATAAACGCCTCTGACTTCGCCTGGTAATGGGTAAGGGAAGTCATGTGTATTAATCTTGGCTTTTTTCTCTTTCTCTTTTTGATTCCTTTCTACATCAAACCGCACCGTGTGCATCGCGGGTATGGGGCATAGGGCATGGCGTATTCAGGGCCTTTTTTAAACCATTATTTACCAGGGCTGGATTCCAAGGTTTTCCTTGTTCTTGTTGTCACTCTCCTTTTCCTCGCCCTTTCTTCTCTTTGTTCTTGGAGCGAACTGCACACTTTTGGCCGTGGTAATCATAGTGAGACACCGAGCAATTCTAAAAAAATTCACTTCGAAATCTACCAGTTTCAATTTCTATTATTTGTAGATCTTAGCTAGAGAAATAGATGACCCATAGTGATGAAGTTGATATCCCAGTCTTGCGTAGTTTAGCTCGTTGCTGCGGCTTTCTCCTCGGCAATTTGCTTATTCAGCAGATAGAGCAAGGGACCCTGCACATCTTCCCTCTCCATTGCAACTTCAACCAACCGTAATCCAGTTCCACTATGGACACGCTCATTCTTCAGCACCTCCTGTAACTCACCGCAGGTCCGCGCAGTGAAGACACTGTTTGCGATCTGATCCTCGTCCGCACCGAAGTAGTTCAGTGCCTGAGTGTGTCGCCAGAAAGGCACATCATTGTATGCCTGCTTCCGGCCATGAATGACCCGCTCAATGGTGTACCCTTCATTATTAATGATGAATATCAGAATATTCAACTTCTCCTTGATCATAACGCTGATTTCCTGCGCGGTCATCTGGAGACTTCCCTCGCCGGTGATTAGAATCGTCTGGTTCGAGGCACCGGTTGCTTGATTTAGGCTTCGCTTTGCAAGGGCTGCGCCAAGTGTAGCCGGGAGCATGTATCCGATTGAAAGCCAGGTGACGGCGGTAAAGAATCGGGAGTTGGGGGGTAATTTGCAGTGGCGGCCGCCGTAGGAGGCTGTGCCGGTCTCTGCGAGGACGATGTCGTTTTCGCGGAAGATGGGGTTCACGAGGCGGTAGAAGTTGTTTTGGGCGATTATGTCGCTATCTTGGATATCGCTTGTGGTAACTTCGACCTTTGGAGGGCCGGTGACTTGAGTTGTGCGGGTGTTGTCTAATGCATGCAGGATCTGGGTTAGGACGCTGCTGGCGGACATGTCTCGGTAGGTGTCGCTTTCGATTTGGATAGTGTCGTCTTTGAATGAAATGGCGACTGCGTCCTTTGGAACTGTCGTCCAGAAGTAGCTGTTCGTATCGCTGTAGTGTGGGCCAAATGTCAAGATTAAATCGGCGGCTTCGAAGTACTCTTGAGCTGGCTTGTCGCCGAATGCTGCGGCGTACAGACCATACACGTTCGGGTGTGATTCATTGACGAGACCCTTTCCAAAGACAGTGGTCCATGTAGGCCAATTGGTCTTTTGAATAAGGGTATCAAGCTGGTCCAAGATTCCGAGTGAGCGGCTCTCGCCATCCACGAGGATGAATGGGCGTTGAGCACTGTAAAGACGATCCAAGATTCGGCTGATAACTTTGGATTCGTGTGGAGGGCTTAGAGCAGACTGAACGCGGATCGTAGAAGACTTGAGATTGGCAGATGAAACAAGAAGATCTGGCATATCATCCGGAATCTCAATATATACAGGACGCTGGTGGTGCAGCGCCTGTTGCAGGATCCAGTCGATTTTGTCTGGGGCTGTCGTTGTATCGGTCACTTTGGTCTGAGCCGCAGTGATATGAACTGCCATGGCAGAGAAGCGACCGTACTCTCCATCAGAGAAAGTATGATGCATCAACGCCCGTGTACTTTGAAGTGGGCGAGGTGGCGTGCCGACAATGTGAACGACAGGTGATCTCTCTCCATAAGCACCTGCGATACCATTGGCGGCAGATAATTCGCCAACGCCGAAGGTTGTGACGAGAGCTGACAGGCCCTTGATACGACCATAGCCATCGGCCGCATACGCAGCATTGAGCTCATTACAATTTCCCACCCAATGCAGGCCGGCGGGGACAACATAGTCCAACAGGCGCAGGTTGTAGTCACCTGGGACACCAAAGATGTCGGTGACACCGAGCTGAAGTAGACGAGTGAAGAGGTAATCCCCCAGCTTGACAGTATCGGAGGCCATAGTAATGGGATATATGTGATTATGTGTTGTATAGAAAAGCCCTGGAATAGTTGTAGAAGGGGAGCTCTGGAGCGGCATCTAGTCCGCTGTTGGCTTTATACCGCGGCCGCCCCGCTTTCCCGCCTTTTCCCAGTGACCACTTACAATCCTCCCCTCTCTTTCTCCAACCTGAACTCTTTTATCGCCGACAAGCCGTCGGTAGCCGAACCGCCGATGGACTGTGAGTATCAGTGTCAGTGCCGCTGACTCGACTCCCTTACTCTGCGGAGAAAGCAGCCAATGGTCATGGCGTCGCGACTGGCGGCCTGCGAGGCCTGTCGTAAGTCCAAGTTGGCTTGCGACCACCAACAGCCAGTCTGCTCGCGTTGCCAGGCCACGCAAGGTGTGTGCATCTACCGCACTGCACCGTTCAAGCGTCGGAGAATTGAAAAGCCAGTGTGAGGAGTATTCGTGAAACTGTCTTTCCACTTAGATCTTACATATTGACTTTCAATTAGCTTGAAATCTCCTGATCCATCGCCATCCTTCAGCCCTAGGCGTAACCCATACCCTAATCCTGGGTATTTGGGATTATCCAGCCATGCTGCAATTTTCAAACACATCACTCCGGACGACCACAGCGCTGGGTCTCATGCTTTGGGCCCTGAAGTCGCAACCGAACCATGGATTGGCGATAATCATTTATTGCTACAGGGGGCAGATGTATTGAGACATCTGCTGACCCTTTATTCATTATTGTCCATGAAAGAACTGGTGGAGTTCTGGCTGGCAAAAGGCACAAACCTTGCACTTGCAGAGCCCTTTGTCGCTCAATGCGCTGAAAGCGTCAGCCAATTATTTGATTCACACGACGAGAGCTGGCATCTAGTCTATGCGAGGCGACTGTTGCAAAATTCGGCACGACCATTGCAGTTCGACGCATCTACCGATCTTGCCGACTTTTCGAGTCAATTTTTAGATCACTATGCTCGATGGGAGACCCTCGGGATCTTCTTCGCGGCAGTTAGTCGTGCGACAATTGATGTCCCCTTTTTCCCGGCTCTTTACACAACCGAAGAGCAACAGTATACTCTTCGCCGGTTGGCTACGAAGTTGTGTGATTTCTCTCTAGAGATTTCGCTCTCGCTAGACTGCCTCAATGATCTGCAGTTAATTGTTCAATACGAGAACTTCATCGTACACTCATATGTCGACGGTGATCAAAGTAAGTCTTTTTACTGCGTTGGCTCCAACTATCAACTAACCAAACAAGGCTATCATTCATGGCGTAAACTTGGCGACGTCATCTCCTCAACCTTCGCTCTCGGCTACCATGAGAATACTCAAGCTAAAACGGGCATACCGCCATTTCTTGTAGATCTGCGCAAAGCGGCCTTTGCTCGAATTTACTCTGCAGATAAGAACATTGGCATTTTTCTAGGTCGACCGCCAAGGATGAACAAGCGATTTTGCCACTTTCAGATTCCATCTTGTGATTTGAATGCGCGAGTAAATGGCAGCACTAATGATTGGGATCCTGATACCACAGTGGGATATCGAGCCGATACACGCTGGTCGGCACTTTGCGCTTCACTAAAGGAAGAGGTATGGGAGCTTCTCCAGGATAAAAGCGACGCTTCTTGCGTTGCAAAGGCTAGGTAGGTCTCCTCATTGACTCGACGGCGGGGAATAAAAGCATCAACCGAAAACTAATCAAGCTTCTTAAAAGTGAAATCCAGCGCAAAGCTGAGGAACAGTGGAAGGCTCTACCCAATCACTTCCGGCTTCAGAGTAGTCTCAAGCAGTGCGCCGGGAGTCCTTTTGAGCGAGACTTTCTCGCGCATGTACGCCTAAATCATCTCCACGTTCTCTTCTTACTCCGCCTATTGCTCCTAAATACCATGACGGAACCGGATATTCCCATTATCGAGACCGCAGGGCAGATGCTGGCTCTTGTGGTAGAGGCCATTCTTCTTCGTGACCAGCTGACAAACTCCGGAACCGGATTGATATGGAAGGTATGTCTTTCCCGTCGTGAAATGTATATTGCCTTGGCCATTCTTTATTGAACTTTGAACTAGGTCGCGTACTACGGGCTTCCAGCAGCAGGGATTATCCTTCTTGCATTACTGAAACAACAGTCCCACGCTACGCAAAGCATTTCGCGTACCAAGATTCTCCGAGATCTGAGTGTCTTTGTGGCCGAGGTCCAAATCGGGACCATAGTGAGATCCGGAGATCCAAACTTCGCATTGCTATCTCGCGCGACGCAAACCATCCAACGATTTTTGGACTCTTTCCATTCGGATTCGGTACCGCCCCCGCCCCCTGAAGCTGGCCATGATGATGGGAATGAGGATTGGGCTGCTCTTTTGAGCCAAGATCTGTGGGACTACGAAGCTGGATTCTGGCAGAGCTTGGCAGACCATCCGTCTCTATTGGCGATTGATCCTCCATTGCCCAATGTATAGTTGTAGCGAGGGTCTTGAGAACATGATACCCAAATTTAAATTTGTATGAATAATAGCATAAAATATCATTTCAGCTACCATAGGTCATCACTTATTAACAGGTATCCATGTCACATCCGAGTCACTAACTAGATCCTAGCGTCTCCAGGGCTCGCCGTTGTGATTTAGAAGATCATTAAGCATTGCTGCTGTCCTGCTTGCTAGCCCGTCTCTCATTTCGCTTCTTTTCCGACCATGGGAAGTGAATAACAGGGACAAGGAAGAAGCTGTTACTGCTATCTGCGATTCCAGCAAGGGCATTGTACCAAGCCAGGAACGCTCCGAGAAGAGCGAACAATCCACCAGCTTCAAGAAGCTTGGAGTTCGGAAGTCCTTCCGCGGTCGGGAGAAAGTACCCCAGAGCAATGAGTAGAAAAGCAAGGTCGACAAAGAAGAAAAGAGAGAAAAAATGCCACGGTCGATTTGACCGTGCATAACATAACCAGGAAGGTGAAGATGAACCAGCCCTGGTGAAGATTAGCTGATTTTGCTCTGCGCCCCACGAAAGATCATAGGTCATAGGAGAGACAAACCATGAGGTATATCGCAAATGCATTATAGAACATAATCGGCGAGCCATTGTCGGCTTCAATGAGAGCTCCTTCAATATTGAATCCACCCGGGATGAAAGTAATCGCAAGAGACATCCAGAATCCACCATACGAGGAGAGCACAGTTGCACCGAATGTATTCCCAATGGCCATTTCCCTTTTTGAGGAGAATGAATGTCAGACACCGTGCTTTTTATTTTTATTTTTATTTTTATTCAAATCATGTCACATTGTGACAACTTACCACATTCCAGCAAGAAGTTGAATTAATCCACCATATACCAAGGCAGGGCCAACGATCATATTAGGCTTGTTCACACCGCGCACATCCATCTGGACACAGCCCAGGACAAAAGTCGTCAGGGCGAAACCGCAGAGTCCCAACGGGGCGGGGTTCGCGACCTTGCGGTTCTTGGGATTCTTGTATAGACCCGGTTGGAATTCACCACCGAAGGCTGGAAGGCGGCTTTCGGCGGTGTTGATGTGGGATAATGGGCCATACCGACCGAAATCAACATCGTCTGTGTTTGAATCGGAGGCAGCGAGGTTATTCAGGGGCTTGGTTGTGTTGTATTTGGCATTGTTGGATGCCATGGTGAAGAATTGTATAAGGGGATTGAATGGAAAGATACAAGGGAGGAAAAGGAAAAGGAAAATGGCCGAGGGCTGGTATCCAGTCGAGATGGGATAAATCAAAGTTGACTTGTTATTCAATTGAGAGTCCAACCTCTTCAACCTTTATAAACATGCCTACGAGTACGAAATCAACTTCCTCTGGTCCGCGACACGCAAATACGCATGTGCCTCCCCCCCTTCATCAGAAAACCAATGAGAGTCGCAAACCCCTTAAAAGACCCTACCAACCCAAAAATTAAACTATCAACTCAAGCTATTGGAGCTAGAAACAGCTTCCGTACGACCGTAGGTCCATATAGCGGCGTCATGGAGGAGCACAGATCTTGAAAATGAGGGGGCGAATGATCCACTGCGAACGAAGATCTGCACCCTACGCTTGGGGAAATGCGGAGAAACCCCAGATGAGTGGGCAGTGAGGATTTGGAACCGCAGATGGTTGAGACAATAGAGTTGGTTTGGTGGGGATCGGAGTCGACCTCGGTATTTCTTGGGGGTGTTCCGACAGCAATGGGTCCGACCTCCTGTGGAAACTTTATTGTTGCCGAATATTTGAGCCGAAGTGAATCTTATATCCTTGATCGAGGGGTAGTGGGCCTGGTTGCCCAGTGGTCTAGCTAATAATCCTTGTCTTAAAAGTTCCAGGTTCCAGGTCTAAATGGACCTTTGCTGATGAGGGGCCAATCAGTACGGCGGCATGGTTTCGTTCCAGCTGCACTATTCTCGATGAGTGTTCTTATTCAGTTCAAGCAGAAATCTAAGGTCGCCGCTATCAAAATAATACAAAGAAGCCCCATTGGTATATGACACGCCAAAGAAAAAAGGTGGAAGCTTTCCTAATATGCAAGGATGGGGGAGATGAGGACGAGAGGGGGTCCAGTCGAGCTAGGCTGTACAATGCTCGAGTTGGACATGGATGGGAGATGCGAACAGAAGAGGCAAAGGAGTGTGACCAAAGCGTAAGGAGTATGCACAAGAGGGAAGAAGAGGGTGTGAGGTGGTCGTAGCAAGGGAAAAATGTAAATTACAACTAGGACAAGAGCTTGCCGCTAGCAATGTCAACTGTGTCAGCAACCCGATTGATCCAATACTGGGCGAGCGACCAATTGCCTGTGTTGATACTGTCCCGAATGGCGGGGAAGATTGAGGCATCGTATCCAGCCCAAAGTTCGGGTCCGAAGACGACATGGCGGAATTGAGTGCGATTGGGAATCTGCATTCACACGATTATTAGCTTGAGCTTGACAGGGGAAGAAATCGATCCAAAACTCACACCACCGCCATCGGCTAGATCCAATAAATGGGTATCGAAGCTAGCCATCTGCATATTGTGGTTCACCCGTTGAATGGCCATGACATTACTTTCATAGCCACCAGAACCCCACACACTATCATGCCATACCCGAGTCCATTCCTGGAACTGGGCGGCATTGGCCTCTAGAGTTGCTGCAGCCTCATGCATTCTCTTCGTATCGACGTCCGCTTTCTTAGATTTAACGAATTCATCCAAATCCTTCACCCAGCCGGTCACATATCGTCCATATGCTTCCATGTCGAAGGGGAGCATGGGATTCTCCGAGAGATCCAGCAAGAGAAGACCCCAGAACTGGGCGAGAAGCTTGTGGTACTCGAAGCCAGGGTCACCAAAATTTGACATCCACTCAAATGATTCATAGCAGCTGTGATACGGGAAGGGTTCCCCCTCGAATCCAAAGTCGATGCTCGAAGTGCCGGCAATATCCTGGAAAGCGACATAGTCACTACCGGCGCCAAGAGGATCGATCTTTTGGTTCTTTTCATCCCAGATATCCTTCAGTGTCTTATTGGCAAATGGATCAGAGATACGATTCAAGATCGACGTCACCGTGTGCTCAAAGACTGGCGACCCTGCGACTCGGAAGTTGGGGCCTGACACGCCTACATCTACGTTGAGATAGGCGTAGGCGTTGGCGCGGAGCTCGTCCACTTCCTTCTCCACGTGCTCAGTGGAACCGATAAGGTTATACTCCTCACCGTCCCAGCTGACGAATTCGATGGTCCGCAATGGCCGCCATCCATAGACGAGCAGCTCACCAAAGACGCGAATGAGTTCCATGAAGACGGCGGTACCACTGCCTGGATCAACACTACCCAAGCACCACGAGTCTCGGTGGTTTCCGATGATGATCTTCTTATCTTGCTCCTCCAGCCCAAGGATTTTGCCATGGATATTGTAAATTGGCTGTCGCTCCTCTTCATCCTGTAGATTCATTAGATGAACGGTCGGGGAATCTTGGTCCCCTGTCCACCAGCCTTGAATCTTGGGGACCCCGCCAACCCATTTCTCTGGGACCTTAGAGCCATGGCCTTCTAGAGATTGAAGAAGTCTTTGTGCATCGCGCCAGGAGATGGGAAGACTTGGAATTTGTACCAAGGCAGGACTATCTGCCGGAGACATCCTGTCCTTCTCTTCTGGGGTGGACGCGTAACCGGGGGTTAGCACGTCACCGACAACCTGAGACATTAGGCTGACACCGCCCCTTTGAACGCCATCTGTGGGCATATAGCGACCTTTCGGGTAGGCTGGGCCGTTGACAAACCCATCCTGGGACGGATCGGAGTATATGATACAGCCTGCCGCGCCAGCGAGCTCGGCCGATTTGATCTTCAGTGCACGATCCGGTTGAGTTCCGTAGTAACGAACGAGAGCGATAGAGCCGTTTAATGAGATGCCTCGGTCGGCGAGTAATTGGAAGTCTTCGCGGGAGCCAAAGTTGGCGTATACTAAGGGACCGGTAACGTTTCCTGACTTGGAATGGCCATGGAATACCGGGGTTTCCGAGTCGTTTTCCTCGAGAGTCGCTTCCCAGACCAGTTGAGGCGGATCGATGATGGCCAGCTTGCGACCATCTTCACGAGGGTAGTTGAGATAAACTTGGAATTCCTCCCGCTGGATATCATCGAACCCCGCGCTATGCATCTCCTGCTCGATCCACTCCGAGAGGACGTAGCTACCCTTGGTACCAGCGATGTGAGCAAAACCCGTGACCCGCTTCAGATTCTCGATAATATTTGTCTCGTTGATGTGGCCCTGAATGAAGTTCTCGACGGAGGAGGCGCTGTACGACTGACCCATGACCATCCGGCTATTCAGATTGAAGATGTCACCGATGAAGAAGACGTATACCAAGGAGACGACAAGCAGCAGGGCAAACATTCGAAGGACCATGATACAGCCTTGGTCGCGGAAGCGTTCTCGTGCATTACTCAGATCGATGGTTGGGCGGGTGAATCGCGGGAGGCTCGGGAGGTATCGTTGCAGGGGCCGTTGAATTGCGGAGAGGGTTCGCGTCAGACTGGAGAGGCGTTTCGAGAACCGCTGTCGGAGTTGGGTACGAGAACTTGAGGAAGCGTGAGCGGAGTCATCGACTTCCATCTGATCAATTTCCCTCCGCAGTTCGTCCAGCGATCCCCGAGCCGAGCCCGAGACGGAGGAGGCGAGATCATCGAGGCTGTTCCGGACGGATTCGACGGTGGGTGGTTGGTAATGGGAAGTATTGCGATCTAGCAGACCCTGTCGTTCGGTTTCGCTACCTTCATCGAGATTGGATCGCGAGGAGGATGATTGTGTGGCTTCTTCGTAGGAGGGGATGGGGAGAGCTTGGTAGTCGAACTTATCGTCGCCCATGGCGGATTGTAGACTCCCAGGTGGAGCCGTGACAAGCGAAGGACACGGATGGGAGCTGGTCGATCATGATATGATTTAGATGGAAGGAGTGAGTGACATGATCCCAGAGGGAAGTGAATGTACAGAGTAGATAGATTATAGAGAGAGACGGGGGGGGGGGGGAGGGGATGGAGATGGAAGTTGTAAGAGGAGGCGGAGGCGGAGGAGGAAGAGGAGGAGAAGGAGAAGGGGCGGTTGCCAGCCAAGACCAATCAATGTCACTGCCTGTGCCAATGCCAATGCTAATAACTTCCACTCCTCACTGATCTTCCTTCAACTACCACGATAGTCCCCTTCTACTCTGGACAATCACCTCGCCAGAGAGAGGGAGGGAAATGAAGTCTACCTACAGACTGGACCTCGGACAATCCAAGTGCAGACATTACTAGTATACATACTTAGACCGACCTACACCAGGGCGATCACTTCCCGGCGCTGCCCAATTATGGGGACCAAAAGTGTTTGGTCCACTCACAGGTACAGGACAGGAACTGGCATACACAGACATACACAGATGACCGCAAACCAGTCATTTCTACTCCGGACCGCCACCGATGCTATATGACCTCGAGAATGACTTTATCCGTGAGGCCACGCGGAGACAACGGATGTCACCATGTGTGGCGATCCACCCATGATGAGGAGTTTCAGGGAAATGTTGCAAGATGGTGGATACGGACCTGGGTTGAGATAAGATGGCCAAGTGCAGTCTGCAGTTAACCCTATAGTTTGATTTAACTGGTGGGGGTAGGTGGAATGAAAGTGGAATGGTACAGAGGATACATTGTACACTGCAGACGGGGCGGTGAGGGAGATGTAGTACGAGTACTAACTATAATACTATAGTACTCCGTACTCCGTATACTTAGTATAGATGCAGTAGAATCGTGTACTATAGAATAGAACGAGAGTATACACTCTACGTGGTACTCAGCATACTGCAGATACTGCTATATGATTTAATTATAATTGAATGCATGTACTCTGATCACTCCGATTTCCGGCTGAAAGGAGGTTTCCCCCACTGCCCAAAAAAAAAAAAAAAGTGCACGGTGACTGATCGTACAGTGTAGATCCGAGTACACAACAACCTCCTTTTTCCTTCAGGGCCCGCCTTTTCTTTTCTTTAAACAGGCACGCTTCTGCTCTCTTCTCCTCCTCATCCTCCAATCCTCCTCCTTCTCTCTCTCTCTCTCTCTCTCTCTGCATTTCGTTGTGCCGCTTTGCCTATCCTTTGTACTTCGTGCTCCGATTCCTTCTACCCCTCCCCCACCATGGCTGCTCGTCCCCAAAACATTGGTATCAAGGCCATTGAGGTCTACTTCCCCACTCAGGTTCGTTCCTATCTCAATAGCGGTTTCCCCCTTTTTGTTCAAGACTAACCATACAATCTTCTACAGTGCGTCGACCAGGTTGACCTCGAGAAGCACGATGGTGTCAGTGCCGGAAAGTACACCATTGGTCTCGGCCAGACCAAGATGAGCTTCTGCGATGACCGCGAGGGTGAGTTTGCTCTCTCTGCTAGCAATTGTTTAAGATGCACTCCACAAAGAACCCATCAAACTAACCTTTGGTTCTCCGTGCAGACATCTACTCCATGTCCCTGACCACCCTCGCCAACATGATGAAGAAGTACAACGTGGACCCCCAGTCCATTGGTCGCCTCGAGGTCGGCACCGAGACCCTCTTGGACAAGTCCAAGTCCGTCAAGTCCGTCCTGATGCAGCTGTTTGCCCCCTACGGCAACACCAACATCGAGGGTATTGACACCGTCAACGCCTGCTACGGTGGTACCAACGCCGTCTTCAACAGCATCAACTGGCTCGAGTCCTCCGCCTGGGACGGCCGTGATGCCATTGTCGTCTGTGGTGATATTGCCCTGTACGCCGCTGGTGCTGCCCGCCCTACCGGTGGTGCTGGCTGTGTCGCCATGCTGATCGGCCCCGACGCCCCTATTGTTTTCGAGCCCGGTCTGCGTGCCTCCTACATCACCCACGCCTATGACTTCTACAAGCCCGACCTCACCAGCGAGTACCCCGTCGTTGATGGTCACTTCTCTCTCCGCTGCTACACCGAGGCCGTTGATGCCTGCTACAAGGCCTACGGTACCCGCGAGCAAACCCTGAAGGCCATTCAGAACGGCACCAACGGTGCCACCGAGTCCAAGACCGGCATCGACCGCTTCGACTATATCCTGTACCACGCCCCTACCTGCAAGCTGGTCCAGAAATCTTTCGCCCGTATGCTCTACAACGACTTCCTGGCCAACCCCGCCGACCCCGCCTTCGCCGAGGTCGCCCCTGAGCTCCGTGACATTGACTACACTGCCTCTCTGACCGACAAGGCTGTCGAGAAGACCTTCATGGCTCTGACCAAGAAGCGCTTCGCCGAGCGTGTGCAGCCCGGTCTCCAGGTTGCCACTCTCTGCGGTAACATGTACACTGCTACCGTCTACGCCGGCATTGCCAGCTTGCTCAGCCACGTTGAGTTCTCCCCCAACGAGCCCAAGCGCATCGGTCTCTTCAGCTACGGTTCCGGCCTGGCTAGCTCCCTGTTCAGTGCCAACATCGTTGGTGACGTTTCTCACATCGTAAAGAACTTGGACCTGAAGAACCGCCTGGAAAGCCGCACTGTCCTGGACCCCCAGGCTTACGATGACATGTGCAAGCTGCGTGAGCACGCCCACCTGCAGAAGAACTTCAAGCCCTCTGGCAAGACCGATACCCTGCAGTCTGGTACCTACTATCTCACCGAGGTTGACGACATGTTCCGTCGCAAGTACGAGATCAAGGCATAAACGGTGTTAGAAATTCTTTATTTTCGCCATTTCTTTTACCGTTGGACATCATGACCTTTTTTTAGACGGTTCCAGAAAAGATTCCCCCCAAAGCGTTCTGTGATGATTTTGCGGCCTGATAGAGCACGCAAGGAAAGGGAAAAAAATCACCCTTGCGTATTTTTCGTTTCTTTTTTTCTTTCACATTTCTTCTGTGCTATGTTTTTAATTCCTCCCTTTTTACTGGGATGGATGTGACGAAATAGGCTGGTTACTACAGTACTAAGTAATGATATGACATGTGTGTATGCACAAAATTTCTTCTTAATTTTTGTCCATTCTTCTTCCTCTTTGTCACGGATCGCTTGCTTGCTTTTCTGAAACGTAGATTAGCTGCTAATTATGGGACATTCTCTCTAAGTCTCAGGAACCGGGCGCTATGTGTGACGCCGATCGCCCGGCGCGTAGTCGAACTACGCACACCTCTGTAAGCGCCGAGAGACATCACACTTCACCTTCACACCTCACACTTCTATTTCCCCCATGAACTGCTCCATCTCTTCCCCACTAACGTTCCCCCTGCTTCCAATGCACCCCAGTACTCGCCGAGCTATTTTTATCCTGCTACCAGCTAACCGCCCACTTCCCACCATGGCGATTCCTGAAGCAAGCCGCTTTCCCAAGGAGCATGCGCCTTCAACCGGTGAGGCCGCTAATTACCTGGGAAATGTGACCTAATTGTTGCTGAATTTAGAAGCGTTCGCTCGTCTTGCAGCAAGCTAGTCCCAAGAAGGGATCTGAAGAATGATATCGAAGCTGTTGCAAAATATAGCAACACTTTAACGCGCGACTGTCCGCTGAAACCGCACTATGCCCAGACGGAGTCCCTGAAGGAGGTTTCAGTGTCCCCTGTCGCGCGACTTCAGGCAAAATTGTCGGCAGTTTCGCGTTTCATCGCATGGAAGTTCCTCTAGATCGGAGACTAGGATCCCAAAAAAAGAATAGGAGCCTCCGCTGGCGTCCCTATGGACTCCTTCTCCATGTTTCAGGTTATTCTGATCGCCTTGGGTTCGTCAGTGGGCCCTGGTCTTAAGATATGCTCCCATGCTTGGCTTGTTTGAGCCTGCTGATCGTTTAACATTTAATATCCAAACATTCTCCTTCTACATCGTGTCTCTGTTTCTTCAAGTGGACGGTCTTCAATCTTGAACGACCTGCTCGGTCTTTACATTGGTCATCGCCATTGACTTACATTCGTTATCACGACTCGGACATATCCCCACAAAATGGCTGTCGAGATGTCAAACAAGCAGTGTCGCCGTCCTCCAACCATGTCGCTGGAGTACGCTCGCTACCAGCCGACAACACCGCCGGAGCTTCCTCTTGCGGAATGTATCGGCTCGGCTCATAGCCGCAATGCATCCAATTCATCCATTTATTCGAGTGAATCCTCGCCTTGGTCTTCTATTACTGGCAACACAAGTCCTACCACATCACCAACTCGTCATCATCATGGCCCGGCTCTCTTGCCGAAGATTCGGCCTCAAGATGTAGTGATCGAACCTGTCTCTGCAGGTGGACCTCTGCGCCACCGTCGAGTCTTGTCCAACACACGAAACCCTCCGGGATTTGTCCCGTATCCAAGTAGGGCCCCAGTTCAACGAAACAGGGCAGGTTCCAATAGCCAAGCTACCTTGGCTTCTCCTATCTCCCCAATTATCACTACCGGCCATGGAAGCTCGTCCGCCTTATCGTCACCAGTGACAATTCCTTCAAACAAGCGAAAAGCTGGTGGCGGACATTCTCGCGCTGTCTCTACCTCCAGTATCGATGAAGCTACGCTGAGCCGTTATGGCTATCCCACTTATCGCCAACTTCCCAAATTTGTACCGCAGATGCAGTCACAGACGACCCCCTGCACTCCATGCACACCGGTGACTCCTGTAACACCGAACATTGTTGTGTATTCATCATATTCTCAGGGTCCCCCAAAGGCCGAAGCACCTCAGCGGAGCCCTGTGCGCCCACTTCATCCATTGACGGTTCCAACACCGCAATACAGCTATAAGCAGACTTCTTCAGCCCAGCAATCTCCAAAACCTCTACCTAGTCCCCAGCAGGAACTTATCTCGCCATCAACCAACCTGATGTCGTACCTAACTTCTCCTACTCAAGCAATCAATCTTGTTCGTAATGTGAGCGTTGTCCCAACTCGTGGTATGCACGATTATTTTTGGTGGGACATTCGCAATCTCCGCAGCTGGACATCATTTTCACTGGCTACATTCGATTCAATTCACGGACTCACCCAGCTTCTAAATACGGAAATCCCGGCCAATCTTGCTCCCCCGGTTGCAGTGGCCCCTTCACGCCTCGCGCCTGAGTCTGAGCCCGGTCTTGTCAGCCTTATACGCGACCTATATGCGCCACGCGTTAATGCTGCCCTAAAAGTCTCTCAGGGCCCAGATCACCTCCAATTATATGCAGCACCAGATATGAGACACACCGGTCACAAGAACCACGGCCATCCTCATTTTCTGGCAAACTATACCAATGATACAGACCACACAAGCGCTGGTCTTCCCCGCGGACGACTTGTTGGTATCGTTAAGAGCTTCGACCGCTGGAACACGGGAATGCGCAACGAAGCACCCCACCGTCGTGTCGAGTACTTGAATGGCCTAGCCCATTTACAGAGATGCATGCGCGAGCACTCCTGCCGATATGGCTTCATAATTACAGAAATAGAACTAGTCTGCGTCCGCGCAGGCTGCGATATGGGCGGCGACATTCCATACTTCGGCTTCCTCGAAATAGCTGCTTCAATCCCACTCAAAACCGCGGCTACGCAGCAACCAACCACACGCGAAGCACCACCCCTAGCAACGCCCATCAGCGCACGATCATTCTCATCATCTTCCCATGCATCGTCATCATCGATCAATTCCCGCCAGCAGTCTCCCGAATCAGAGTTCGATGATGGATACTCCTCAACGCCCATGACAGCGAGCCTGGCATTATACTTCCTACTCATGCTGTCAAAATCACAACCGCTCCCCGATCAACCATCTGCCCACCTCAACGTTGGCGGACCGGGAGCTTTGACACGGCAGATCATCCTGCCGGAAGCGAAAGATAAATGGATTCCCGAGCCTCAGATCGGTGAGCGTCGCGATGCTAAACGCGTGCGTGGATGGGTCTGGCCTCAGGATGCATGGCATCGTCGGGAGGGTGGTGGTGTTCCTCGGTCGAGGAATGCGGATGGTAAGAAGAAATGGCATAAATAGGTATAGGTGTACGGAGTTGGTTGGAACAGGCGTTTGGGTTTTGGAGTTGATGATGAGCGATAATGAGTGTTATGATTTTCCTTAACTTATTCTTCTCATCTTTTGGCTTGGCACTTTTCGGTTTTATTTCTTCTTTTTTTTTTCTTGAGTATTCACTGGGCATTTATATTACATTTCATCTGCGCGGTGGGGGGGCTATTTTGGTGGTTTTTTCTGCGTTGCTATTCCCCCTTTGTGTTTTTCTATAGTAATGTAATTTGCTTTCCAAATACCTTTTCTTTTCTGGCAATTTCTCGTTAGAATCTCTTATTCATCTCATGCTTTACTTTCAAGCTCCGAGCTCCATTATTTCTTTACTGGCAAGGAACTCCTAAGGTCCCCATTCACCCCGACAGACCCCACAAGCAGCACGTACCGTTGTGGAGGAGCCTCCTTTCCATCTTGAACTGCTGATTGTATCAAAATGTCAAGGACCTTGGGGAAGAGTACCTCGGTGGCCGTGTATCATGAGGACATTGCAGAAAGGGAGTAGGACAGGCAAAGGCCGTGCGTGTTATTTAAGAAATTTACTCCCAAATCTGAATTCATTTCGAGTGACGATCTTCTTTTTTTTTGTTCAAAGAAAAGAAAAAGAAAAGTCAATCAATACTTATAGTTACAAGTTGCTCGCCTCGTACCCCAGAGTCACGCCCAAAGATGCACGCCTCATCTTTCGAAAACGAGATCCGTGATGTCATTATCATCGGCGCTGGGCCTTGTGGATTGGGTGTCGCGGCCCGCTTACAAGAAGAAACGCCCTCGGCAATGTTCACGGATGAAGAGCACCAGCGATATCATTGGATTAAGAAGCATACGGGGAGGATGAAGCTTGTTCAGGCGGGACACAGCAAGATGAATGGGGTCCGGGCGGAGAAATGGAATGCAGCGAAGAAATGTCCCTGCGATATCAGACAGGGAGAACATGGTCAGAATATGAACGAGCGCCGAGGATCAATCGATTCGGTCTCGTCTGTGCCTTCGCTTTCGTCTTCTACTAACTCCTCCGATTCGACATATTCTACTCTTGTTCTCGACGGCACGGGCGATAAATGGATGCAACGATGGAATAATGCTTTCCGTACTTTGGAGATAAAGCAGCTACGCAGTCCAATGTTCTTTCATCCGGACCCCAGCGATCGGGATGGCATGTTGGCTTATACACAAGAGGTAGGGAGGGAGAGTGATCTGTGGGAAATTTCTGGCTGTGTTGGGAAGGAAATGAGCAAGCATAAGAAGAAGAAGAGAAGACAAGGTGGAAAGCAGCAGTGAGATTTACAAACAGCAACCTTTGTCGAAAATCGGATTGAATGGCTAACATATAGTATTTGCTGACAGATCCATCGGGGGCGAGATCGACGAAAGAGACCGCAAGGACTACTACTCTCCATCTACGGATCTCTTCACAGACTACTGCAACTCCATCATCGACAGATACAATCTTGATGGACAAGGTCAGATCTTAAAGCAGGAGATCACGGGGATCACATATGATTTCCTCCCCGAGCGTGGAGATGTACCGGTATCAAACTCGAAGATCTTCACTCTTACTTCCTCAACCGGCCAGAAGTTCTATAGCAAAGCCGTAGTGCTTGCGATAGGAGCCGGTGGAGCGGGTATATCCAAAATACTCCCTTGGAAACCATCAACAGAGGAAGAAGGTGCATCGGCATGCTGCCACAGTATGGAAATTAAGACTTTCCCAAGTGCGAATGTGAAGAATAAGATCCAGCGCCGACAGCAAACCAATGTGGTGGTTGTGGGAGGTGGACTTTCTTCAGCGCAGATCGTTGATATGGCTATTCGGAAGGGTGTGACCAAGGTGTGGTTCTTGATGCGTTCTGATATGAAGGGTGAGTATTAGTGTGCCCGCGGAAGAATTTTTTGATTCGTCACGGTGCATTTAAAGTTCAATTTGTCAACTTGTGATGCTGCTAGTACCTGTGATATTCACATGCTAACATGAATTTCAACTAGTCAAACATTTCGATATCAGTCTACCCTGGATGGGAAAATATAAGAACTGGGAAAAAGCAGCGTTTTGGTCTGCTGACACTGACGAGGGTAAGAAGATAACGACTCAACTCCTTCTTCCACCAAGGGGTAATAATCATCTGACCTCATATGTATAGAGCGCCTGGAAATGATCAAGGTGGCCCGAAATGGCGGTAGCATCACGCCCCGCTACACTCGGATCGTGAAGCAGCATGCCGCGCATCACCGCGCGTCGATCCACCCGCGTACGGTGATTAGCTCGCATCAGTTCAATGCAGAGACGCAAACCTGGAGCTTGGTCACTGATCCACCGATTCCGGACCTACCTCCGATCGACTACATCTATTTTGCAACAGGGGCGGGCGCCGATATCCGCCAAATGTCCTTACTGAGCGATATGAATGCCCAATACCCAATTGAAGTTAAAGAGGGACTGCCCTGTTTGACAGATGATCTCATGTGGCGAGAAGACGTACCTTTGTTCATGACGGGAAGAATGGCAGGGCTCCGGTTAGGGCCCGGAGCTCCGAATCTCGAAGGCGCGAGACTTGGTGCGGAGCGGATCGCCTGGGGCCTGGAGGAGATTCTGGAGAAGAAGCAAGAGGTTGGGGAGCAGTGCGAGGGGTTCTGTGGGCTGGGTAATCGGTATGCCTCACTGGTTGGTGATGACAGCACGGAGGAGTAAACTAGGGCTATCTTCCTTGTCCTCCCCTAGGGGACGGGGCTTGGTTACGATCCGCTGATCGCTGGGCACTATCTGGATGTGGGACAGCTCGGCCAGCAGTTTATCATGTAATGCAATGCGATTAAGCTTATTGTGTCACTCACATCAGCGTCAAGCTCCTAGGAAAAACCGGTCCATCCATTCCTCCCTTCATTCCCGAAGCTCTTGAAAATCACCGGTTCATCCCCGCCATGCTGGTCTCTGCACCGGCGAAAAAGATAGCAAAAGAATGTGGATAAGAATCCCTTGTTCGGTAGATAATCGGTCGAGATTTGCAGGAGCTATAAAGCTTAATGTGAAGCCTACTTTGCTACGTCAGGGAATTTTTGTATCGAAATATTTCGAGCTGCGCGCGCCGGCTGTCGAATCGCGCGGGGAAATAGCCAAAAGAAAAACGCCATCATGGAGCCGACCAAGGAGCCAGAGTCGCCTATTGAGGCGTTGAAGGTTCTTCCAAATAATACGCATCAGAATTGGTTGAAGGATCGGGGATTGCGGAAGCTCAACGCTGGGATCGCACTTATGTTCGCGTCGTCTGCTGGAACAGGATATAATGGAAGCTTGATCAATGGATTATTGGTGCTACCTGAATGTAAGCTTCAAGTTGTGAAAATCTAGAGGAAGTCAATCGGGGCAAGAAGAATCGTGCTAAGGATCGTTCTACACTTTATAGTTAAGAGTGCAATCATTCATGGCCTCACGCCGAGTATTATTGGCCTGATCATTGCCGCCACCTCCCTGGGCGCCTTTGTCTCATTTATCCCGGCATCCTATATCGCTGATAGATTTGGCCGGAAGGTGTGCGTTGGGATTGGATCTTGTCTGGTGATAATTGCATCTGTGGTTCAAGTCGGCGTCAAAAGCCACTGGCTATTTTTCGGCATGCGAGTTTTGGCCGGCGCGGGCGTGGGCACTGCACAAACAGCTGCTCCCTTGTTGGCAACAGAGATCGCCCATCCAAGACAAAGACAGACGGCTACAGCTTTGTACAATGCGTGCTGGTGCATGGGATCGATTGCATCGGCAGGTATCACCTTTGCAACGTTGTCAATGTCCGGCAGCTGGTCCTGGCGGATTCCTTGCTTTCTGCAAGCGATGTACCCTCTGACTCAACTGATCGGTCTCTTCATTGTGCCTGAGAGCCCGCGCTGGCTGATATCAAAGGGCAGAAAGGATGAAGCTTTTGTGATATTGGCGAAGTATCATGCAAATGGTAGCATGGATGATGAATTGGTTCTGCACGAATACGAGCAGATTTGCAACACTATACATGCAGAGAACGCAACTCCTAGCCGCTGGAGCTCTTTCTTTGCCAGTAAAGGAGAATTCCACCGCCTGGGAATTTGTGTGCTGGTCGGACTCATGCAGGAGTGGGCTGGAAATGGTATGATTATCTCACAAATTCACAAGGAGGGTCTTTGCTAACTACGAACAGGTATTATCTCTTACTATCTGGCTCCTATTTTGAATTCTGTTGGAATTTCGCGAGCCTCCGACCAAGCTGCTGTCAACACCGGCTTGCAGGTATGGAACTTGATCCTCTCTTCTACAGGAGCGGTGGCCTCCGAGAAGTATGGCAGAAGATTTATGTGGCTGCTTGGTACGGCTATTATGTTGCTTTTCTTGTCCGGAACCACTATAGTTTCGGGACTTTTTATGGAGATGAACATCAAAGCTGCAGGACTGGCTATGGTACCGATGCTTTTCCTGTTCTTCAGTGGTTTTGATCTCGCATACTCACCTCTTTTCATCGCGTACCCGGCGGAAATCCTTCCATTCCAGCTTCGCGCCAAAGGCATGGCAGTGACATTGATGACGGATGCTGCAGCCTGCTTTTTCAACCAGTATGTTAACCCGGTGGCATTTTTGGCGCTGCAGTGGAAGTACTATATTGTGTATGTGATTTGTCTTGTTTTCTTTTTGGCGATGGTGTACTTCTTCTTCCCAGAGACGAAGGGTCGGTCTCTTGAAGAGGTGGCAAGGATCTTTGATCGCGATTGCAAGCCTACTACCACTGTGGAGGAGATTGACGGGAAGAGCAGCGAGGATGAGAAAAACTGATTGTAGGGGGAGTCATTTATGTAGTCTTACATAGTCTCAAATAGTACAAACGATGTGTTCCTGTATCTTCGGGCCGATTACCTTTGATGACCCGCAACTGCTTTCTCGGTCAATCAGTAGTCAGTGTGCCTATGGCTTCTTGAATACGAACTTGAATGCAAGCCACTGTGCTCTCGGCATTGGCCTGCGTATTGAATGCCTTGTATTCAGAGGCTGGGCAAGTAGAGTAAACTGTAAGGGTATACTTGCGTGTACTTCTGTATACAAGCCCGTGCGGCCAATCAGACCGCGGGCGATGCTGCTGATACCGCCAGCTCCCCGCAATGCAACCTCCCCCCACCACAAAGACTGCAACCTCGCGCGGCTCTTCAGCACCCCCTGAAGCTCTATAAAAGGGGATTAGGGTCAGCTTCAGTGGAGACAGTAGCAACTGAGGAAAATAGACCGCCAAAGGTTGACAAAAAACCACCTTCCTGCATCACAACCCAACATCATGAAAGAGCCTCAACTTCCACCCCCTAATATTCCCAGCCAATCAGCGAATGGGCAGACTGGAAGACCAACACTATTTCTCGTCATTGGCGCTGGCTCTCGAGGAAATGCCTACGCTGGCGCTGTGACAAAGGCAACGCCAGGTACCATCCACGCCGTCGCTGAGCCCCATCCGTTCAAGCGGCGCGAGTTCGGAAGAAACTATATCTGGGGTACGCAGGGTAGCTCAAGCGAGGGTCAAGAATTCGCCGATTGGCGCGAATGGGTGAAGTGGGAAATTTCCCGACGAGAGCAGGCTAGCAAATCTAGCAATGGCAATGACAATGGTGCTTCCACAGCTTCAGATACAGCGGTCCCTCTTGGCGTGGATGGAGTCTTTATCTGCACTCTGGACGAAACACACGTTGAGATTGTTCAAGCTATCGCGCCTCTGAATTTGCATATCCTCTGTGAAAAACCACTCGCTCTTTCACTGCAAGATTGCTTGACTGTCTACCGAACTCTCCAGCCACCCGAGGGTGAGACGCAGAAGCCCCGATCTCCATCCACCATCTTCTCCATCGGCCACGTATTGAGATACAGTCCACACAATACCCTCCTACGCAAACTACTACTTACAGACCAGGTAATTGGCGACATTGTCTCGCTCGAACACTGCGAGCCAGTGGGCTGGTGGCATTTCTCGCACAGTTATGTCCGCGGTAATTGGAGACGAGCCACTGCTCTCGGCGATGGCTCTCTACTCACAAAGTCCTGCCACGACATCGACTTCATCCTGTGGCTTCTTTGTTCGCCGCCTTCGCTGGAAACGGCGCATGCTTCGGGCTACGAGCCACATTTCCCGCGCTCGATCTCCTCATTCGGATCCCTGACGCAATTCCGAAAGGCGCGTAAACCGGCTACGGCTAAGGATGCGACGAATTGCCTTTCTTGTCCCGCTGAGCCTGATTGCAAATATAGCGCGCGGAAGATTTATAATGATCGCCATCTGGCGAAGGGTCATACGGCCTGGCCGGTTGATATTGTTAGCCCCGACATTGAAGATGTGTTCAAGGAGAATGGCCCCAAAGCTGCGGAGGCTCATTTGCTCTCACGACTAGAGGAGAACTACGACGTCGCTGCTGATGCAGATTCCACGATTGCCGCGCGGCCCTGGTATGGACGCTGTGTCTATGAAGCTGATAACAATGTATGTGATGATCAAGTTGTTACACTTGCTTGGGACGATGAGGGCAAGGCACCTGGGCGTCTTGCGAAGACGGCAACGTTCCATATGATCGCTCCTACAGAACAGCAGTGCCAACGACGGGGCCGTGTCTATGGAACCTCTGGCGAGATTGAATACGATAGTAATAAGATTTCAATCTACGATTTTGCGACTGCGAAGACGACGACCATCGATGTGCCCAAGCCACCGCCGGACCAGAAAGAGTCTCATGGAGGTGGAGATTATGGTCTTGCGCGACAATTTGTGAATGCAATTGAGGCAGTGGTGAATGGTGGTTTGGATGTGGAGATGGCACAGGCCCGGTTTGTTGGGTGTACATTGGAAGAGGCGGTTATGAGCCATGCTGTTGTATTCGCGGCCGAAGAGGCGCGGAGAGAAGAGACTGTTGTCAAGTGGAAGGACTGGTGGCAAATGAAATTGGCGGCATCGGCTAAAGCTTGGTCAACATGAACAGCATGTGGAAGTCTCCAGCTTTGAGGATAGGTTCTATCTGTTACGATGCGATGAAGCTATGATTGCGATATTTGTTGCATTTTTGAAAGGAATTGGCTACATTTGAAAATTGAAACGCGGAGTTGCCAAATGCGCCGGGAATGAACATAATATTACTAGAATGGAATATCCCTCATTGTATTTCATACGTGGCTTTCGTTTTCGTCCGTCGTATCTTCTCGTTAAGAGGAGTCGTGATGCCCATCCAGCGGGTCACAAAGAAGAAAGAAATGGGAAGAATAGAAGTCTTAGGTCTTAACATCAGGCTCGTCACGGCCAACATACTCCTTGAACTTGAGCAGGTTCAGAGCAAGAGAGATGTTATCCTTCAGGTATTCCTGGGCGTTCAGGCCGAACTTAGAGTTGTCGCTCTCGTAGCGCTCAACATACAGGCGGATGGTGGCGCCGCTGCTGCCAGTACCGGACAGACGAACAACGATGCGGCTGCCATCGTCGAACTTGGTGTAAAGACCTTGGTTCTTGGAGACACTGCCGTCAAGGTCGGTGTAGGAGAAGTTACCAGCGTCAACGACCTTGCGTCCCTCAATGCTGGAGCCGATGAAGGTATCGCGGTTGGCGACGAGGTCAGCCAGAATGCCGACGACCTTGTTGGCACCCTCGCTGTCGACATTCTCGTAGTCGTAGCGGGTGAAGAAAGTACGGCCGTAAGTCTTCCAGAAGTCGTTCTGGATGGAGGCAATGCTGGGGGTCTCGTTGGGGGTCTGCTTGGCAACGCCGGCGATGACGTTCAACCAGGCCACGACGGCCCAGACACCGTCCTTCTCACGGATGTGGTTGCTACCGGTACCGAAGCTCTCCTCACCGCAGATGGAGATCTTCTTGTTGTCGAACAGGTTACAGAAGAACTTCCAGCCGGTAGGCACTTCGTAGCTCTGCAGGCCCAGGGCCTCAGCCACGCGGTCGACAGCGCCGGAGGTAGGCATGGAACGGGCCAGGCCGTAGACGCCCTGCTTCTGGAACCAGGGGATGAGCTTGGCATGGTGGGCAATGATAGCCAAGCTGTCACCGGGGGAGACGAAGGTGTTGGCGCCGTAGATCATGTTGCGGTCACCATCGCCATCACTGGCAGCGCCGAAATGCACACCGTTCTTGTTGACGGCCTCAACGAGCTCGTGGGCGTAAACCAGGTTGGGGTCGGGGTGACCGCCGCCAAAGTCCGGCTTGGGCTCGCAGTTCATGGTGCTGCTGGCGGGCAATCCGAGCTCCTTGACGAAAATGTCGGTGCCGTAGGGACCGGTGACACCGTGCATACCGTCGAAGAGAACCTTGAAGTCCTTGTGGGAGCTGAGGAAGTCCTTGATCAGGTCGAAGTCGAAGATCTCCTTCATCATGGTCACGTAGTCGGCAGTCGAGTGGACAACCTCCACCTCGAGGGGGCCGTAGGTCTTGGTGCCAATGCTTGAGGTGTCAACATCACCGACGTCGACATAGTTGTAGGAAGTCAGGGACTTGGAGGTTTCGTAGATCTTGTCGGTCACGGATTCAGGAGCGGGGGCGCCGTTGGCCAAGTTGTACTTGATACCAAAGTCGTTATCGGGGCCTGTGGAGGCGGGGATATGTTAAAAACAACCATGACCGAAGGAGGTGGGGCTACTCACCACCAGGGTTGTGACTGGCGGTCAACAGAATACCACCAGTTGCCTTTCTCACGCGGATCAAGTTGCTGGCCGCAGGGGTACTCATGATACCATTCTGGCCGACCAGCAGCTTCTTGACACCGTAGGCGGCACCGATCTGGGCGATCTTGGAGATGACCTCAGGGTTGTAAAAGCGACCATCACCACCAATGACCAGGAAGGAGTCCTTCACGCCCTCGGGGATCGACAGGAGAATACTGGTGATGAAGGACTCGGAGTAGTGGGGCTGCTGGAAGACCTTGACCTTCTTGCGAAGACCAGAGCTGCGGGAGACGTTATCAGTGGGGGTAAACAATTGAGGGAAGCAAAGCAAACACTTACGTGCCCGGCTTCTGGTCCGTAAAAGGCTTGATGGAGGCTGTCTGAACCGACATGGTGACAATTGTTTAGAGGAGGTGGGGGAAGAAGAGGAGGAGGAGAGGAGAGCAGGGGGGGTAAAAGTAAAAGGTGCAAGGTAAAAGGTAGAAGGGAGGGGCTGTCCGTCATGTGTTGATCATCCCACCAGTGGCGCCCCCCAACAGCTACGACTACAAGTACGGAGTACTTGGAGAGCTCTGCTCTGATCCCTCTGGTCCCTCTCTAAATTACATGCACAACTGCATTGACTCCTGTGCGAGACATTGTTTGAATTTCTATTTTTACCCATTTCAAGTTTTCTTTCTACCCACGGGCGCGGGGCAGAGCTCCGGAGGAAGTTTAGATGTATGCACGGAGTACGGACTACAGGTTGCCGGAAGGAAATACTAGTATGTAGCATTCATTGTTCTCAATCTCTTTCTCTCCTCCCTCATGAGAATAACTTTTCCTGGTAAAATTTCATCTCGGCAATGCTCTCAAGAATATCGTCGCGGGCCAGATGCACTTCACGCTTGGGTGGAACCTGTCTCAGAAGTTCCTCACTGGCCCAACGCCGGGCAGCCTCCTTAATGGTGCTCACATCAAGGATGCGATAGTGCAAGTGCTCCATGATCTTCGCATATGGCTCTCGGACGAGGAAGGCCTTGTCAGCGTGGACACTGTTGCCAGCGAGCAACGCGGTACGGGGAGTGGGGACATGACGCTGAATGTAGGCCAGCAACGAGTCGGCGGCGGCGCTGGCGCTGGTCGTTGATGTACGCACTGCAGCGGTGAGGCCCGTGCGGCCGTGAGTGTCGATGCACCAGGGATTCATCGTATCGAGGGTGGAGTCTGGATGGTGCACCACGACCTCAAAGCCATTTGGTTCAAGAACCTGCAGCTGGGCGTCGGTGATGAAGCAGCAGATTTGGAGAATCACGTCGGTCTCCGCGTCGAGACCGGTCATCTCAGAGAAATTAATCAGATCAGATCAGATCAGATCATAGTGAGCTCCTGGGAGTTACCCATGCTCCGGCCACATATAGAAATGGAGCTCACCTCGCAGTCAATCCAGACCAGAGGATCAGAAGAACGGGAGAGAGGCATGACGTGTGTTGTACTGGAAATGAATGTGCGAAATGGCTGGATTCCAAGTATCAGTCAATGAGTGGGCAGGTGGTGGGCAGCCAGAAGCGGCGGGCAGAATCGCTGACCTGGTGGAGAAAATTGCCGTGTTGACCCAGAGGATACTTTTTGTTGTTTCTGTTGCACAGGATGACCGATCTGGACAATGAGAATAGGCGAAGACACCGGGAGCGCATTATCCAGATCCAATGGACATAGTGTAGGGAGGGAGTGAGGTCAGGGTACTCCGTAGACCTTTGCCAACCCCACAGCTGTCTACTCGTATAAGACCCAGGACCTTTGCATAGGTATGAGCCACCCCCGACCAGACCTCGTCCTAGATATCGCCAGTGGCCTAAGTACACGCCTATAGTGTTATTGAAAGACCATGGAAGCTACGAGTATTCTACAATATTACTAGTACGATCTTGGACCTTTGATGAACAAGCCGCTTCCGAGCGGCATAGCTAGTGTATTTCCCGTTCGGAATGCTTCCTGTAGTGTAGATAGATCATGGGCATAACGGCGTCAAGGTTGATAATCAACGAAAAGACAAAGGAAAAAGATGAAACAAAAGTGCGCATCCCAAGCATCGCACTAGGAAGACGGGACCAGTCAAGTCGCATATGAACAAGGCTCCCGCTACCTCCCTTGTTTAGACAAGTGTAAGAGTGTCTATCAACAAAAATTCCTAGAGATGCCCGTTAAGTGACCTATTTCACCTCCCATATGTCGTTCATAGCTCTTCATCGTCATCATCTTTTGATGAGTTAGGTGCAGTGGAATTCAGCTTGTCTCCGAATGACCCCGCCTGCTGAGCAGACTTGGAGTCGTTGTCGGTGGCAGTCCCAGTCCCAGTCCCAGTCCCGGCCCCGGTCCCAAGGACTTCGCTGATCCGTCCGGAGGATTCGGCAATCCGACGTCGGAGGGCATTTTCATCGGCAGTAGAGACACTAGCTCTTTGCTTCTTCAGCGGGCTGCCAAAAAACCCATCCGGTCCGTTGATGGTAGGAATAGGCTGTTCAGGGGCCGCGGAGCTCGTGGCTGCCTTTGGAGGGGTGATGGATCGCTCCGGGGCAGGAGGAGTGGTCCCAGAAGCCGGAGTGTCGGTAGATTCGGCGCCGCTACCATTAAAGGGCTCAGCCGAATGCTGGCGTTTAAGCTAGAAACATGTTAAACCGGACCATGGAGAGTAAGTTGAGGTGGAAATGAACGTACCCGAATCTTGCGAACGCCCTCCTCCAGTTCACCTTGGCGTTTTATATCATCAGGGGACAGGAACCGGTCATCATCCTTGCCCTCTTCGTCATCGGCTTTACTCAAAATGGGATTATCGTTGTCGTCATCCTCACTATCCATTTCATCGCCACCCTTACTGCCCTTCCGCCCTGATTCCTGATCGCGGAAGTTCAGGAATCCAACAGTACCGCCAGGCTTGAGAGCTCCGAGATTGGACAAATCCGCCTGGAGGGACTTCCGTTTCGCATTGGGCGTCTCTTGCGGCTTTTGATCCTTCTTGATACCCATCTTTTGCAATTGACCTGGGGTGCAAATGTCAGTATTCGTAAGGTTGGAGAGATAGGCGTAGGGAAGCACTCACGTTCGCCGCGATACATGAAAGTAAAGGTTGCATAGGGCTTGTCAGTAGGATCAATCCCAGTGACTGTCTGTGTACTGATGGTCTTTGGGTCTAGAGACTTGGGTTTTGCGAAGCTTGTAGTATGATCTACATCGGCATCACCTCCTCCACCACTATTACTCGCCTGTTCACCCTCGTCGTCATCGTGCGCATCAAATTGCGGAGAGTACTCTCCACGCTTGATCTCACCAGATGCCAGAACTCGAAACAGTGCCACCTTAATTTGACCAGCGGTTTCAGGGATGGGGTCGTCATCGTCCGAATCAGAAGATAGGTCATCGTCCGAGACGTTCTCCAGCGGATCTTTCTCGTCATTCCCGTAGCGCATTATAGTCTTGGGCTTCGAGCTGTTGGCCTCCATATCCATGCCGCTATTCTCGGCCTGGCGCTTTGCACGGCGCTTTTCCATCTTCTGGCGCCGGCGCTCAATTTTGGCCGCTGCATCCTTGCCTTCCAGATCTAAGCCGTTCAACCAGCGTTCGAGGCCGACTTCGCGGAAAAGAAACTCGCGCTCGGCAATGCCGCCGTCGTCGGAGTTGACCCACCGCGAATTCACCCAAGTTTCCTCTCCTCTCCGCAATAATGTTGCTACCTCCTCCTTTTGTCTCCCGTCGAAATAGATATAGGCGGCGACGGTTTCGTTCGGAGAATTCGTCAAGGCCTGGTATGGCGCGACAGCTCCGGAGTACTGGCCGCGTTCACTGGTCTGGCTCGGCAGTCCTCCGACAACCTTCGGCTTCGGGGAGGGGCAATCGGGCGTGGGTTTCGGGGTGGAGTAAGGTACATCTTGGCTGGGGTTGAGGAGGGTGATTGAAATGGCGAAAGTCGATTGTTCAGGTTTGCCCTTTGACGAGGAGTCGGGGACTTTGGGCGGGGGAACAGGGATGAAACAAGCTATCCGCGAAGCTCGTGACTGCCGCTGAATCGAGTACTCTGAGATCGGACCATCAGGGGTGTGGATGCTCACAGCAAGGCCTTTGAAGCAGGGCATGACGACGCTTCAGATGCAGACCGGACGCTGTTTGTTGTTGTGAGATATGATAGATAGTACAGTGGCGTGGATGTAAAGGAGGTTGGGTTCACCCCACGCTCGCGAGAGTGGTCACCGGGAGTGAAGCTGAGAAAGTAAGGCCGTAGGATCCGACTCGGGCGGGGGAGTAGCGTGTGGTTCTTCACTTTTTTCTTCTGAGTCCCACGAGAAGGGAGAGTTAGCTATAGCGCGAGAGGCGGTCAAGATAATCCGATTTAGTCTGGGAGCAACCAGCAGCCAACTGGGTCTGGACCCCACTGCTGCTGGTATAGCGGAGGCTGGTGTCGACCGAAATTTTGTGTGTGGGGGGGCAGGGTGGCTAGATAGCGGGGCAAACGAACAATCACGTCGAGAAGGATATCACAGTTGAAGCAACATCCGCAGTCACAGAGCCGGGTAGACCAGCACATCCATGAAGAATAGAAGCAGGTTGCGCTTGGGCAGAGAGAGGGGCGGGAGTGGACCAAAACATGAGAATGTCGAACCCCACGTGATACACCTTATACACGCGCGCACAAGAGAGCGTGACCTGAGTAGCCCTATGACTCGAGTCTTTTCAACTTACTTTGACCAGCTTAGATCTTGCACCTGATTATAGACTACTTAAGTTCACTTAAAGTCTCCTGGACATTGAGCTGTTGACCTCGTCATCCCCCACTGTACCCACATTCACCTGACTCTGCCGACCATGGATCAGATACGATCCCCCAGGGTCCGCTGGAATGAAGTGGGAATGACCAAAACAATGCCCATCTTTACGTAGAGGGGAAATATCAGCCGTCCTCAAAGTTGAAAAAATAAAAATAAATCAAAATTAGTTATTTCATAATTCATGTTTGCCAAAGTAAAGCATCTAGAGCGGGTATATACCCGCTCCAGCCAAATTATCCCGAATGCCCCCACAACTTCAAGTTGAACCTAGGAATTAATTATTAAAAACTGAAATCATCAAATGAACCTTGGAAGCTTCCATCTAAGAACTAATCTTTTCAGAAATAGTTCCACTCTTCTGAGTCTCCGTCACCACTTCCCGACTCATTTCCAGATGGTCAAATTGATAAAGAGGCTCCAGCTTGACGTCCTTACGGAAGATATAGCGTTTAAACCAATAAGGCAAAGCCTTGCACACCTGATACCTCATGTGAACTCGAGTGGGGACTGCAAAAATGTAATCGAGCTCCTCGAGAGTCCGCTGCTTTGTCTCAGGAACGAAAAGGAAGATCATCACTAGCGCAGTCACATTCAAACCACTAACCCAGATAGTCAGCGATTTGCAAATCATCACATCACACTCGAAGCACCTGACTTACGCATAAAAGCAAAATGCTCCAGTGGGAGTCATAGCCCACAGCATACGGGGAAAGGTAATAGATAGTACGGCGGCCCATCCTAGACATGTAGCGACGGCCCAAGACATTCCGACCTCTACGGTAAACATTAGCAAGAGATGTCGATATGGATTTGGGAGGGGGGACATACCACGATGCGATAGCGGGAACACCTCGGCGGAGTAAGTGAACGGCACAGGGCCTTCACCAGGAGAGTAGAAGGCGGCAAACAGGAAAATGAAGAGAGCAATGCTACCAAGGTGAGCTCCTCCATTACCTGGAACATAAAAGCAGAATGCAGCAGCGAGCAAAGTCCAGGCCATCTGGGGAAAGGTGAAAAGAAGAAGGGCACGGCGTCCATAGGTATCAATCGTCCAAATTGCCGGAAAGGCGAAGAGGAAATTGACTAGACCGAACCCCCACGAGGCAAAAAGTGCATCGGTATCACTAGCACCAGCGCTCTGTCAAAACTATTAATAATCCATCTCTTTGAAATTTGGTTGTAACGTTTATACTCACTTGAAACACGGTCGAGCTGTAGAAAGCAATGATGTTGACTGTGAGAGATTGAAATTAATAAAAACGCCTAGTATCAGCGGGTAATATGGGATAAACTCACTGCCACACATCTGTTGCGCAATCATGACTGTGAATGAAGCCAGAGTTGCCCGGCGAACCCGAGGAATTGTAAACAGCTCGACGAACCGAGTAACATAGTTACTCTCTCCAATTATACTTTGCTCGATTTGAATCTGCGCATGAATGTAGTAAAGATCACGAGCAGCTTGCAGAGGAGTATTTCGAAGACGGCAGAGAGACTTATAAGCCTTGGCCATCTCCCCTCTCCGGATATACCAGCGGGGAGATTCTGGACAAAAGAATACGCCAATAGCGAGGGGCACTGCAGGGATAAACGCCGATCCTAGCTGCAAACGCCAGGAGAGCGCACCGGTGTCCTTCACTGCGAGGTTCGCACTAAAGCCGAGGAAGATACCGAAGGCAGTCCAAAGCTGCCAGCACATAACCAATCCACCACGGATCACAGCGGGAGTATTCTCAGCGCAAAAGATTGGAACCGTAGATGCCTTAAGACCCATACCAATACCAAGAAGTAGACGAATAATGAAGAGCTGAGGCCAGTTTTGAGCGAATGCAGAGCCAATGGGACTAATCACGCAGAAGATGGCGGAAATGAAGATTGTACCACGGCGGCCAAGAATGCGATTGCAGGGGTCGGATAACCAGCAGCCTAGACAGGCACTCGCAATATATGGAGCGGCATTGACAATTCCAACCAGCCATTGATTTCGCACACTTCCATCTTCAGGTATACCAAAAGCGTCGGGGAAAGAAAGATTAGCGCCGTTTGAACCAGTTTGGTCCCAGCCTCTGTTGGTGGTCAGTATGGCATACAATTTGTCATAGAAAGGGAAAAGCATACTGTACAGCGGCACCGATGGAACAAAGGATAATAGTAAAGTAGAGGGACTTCGGCTGGCGCCATTTGTGAAGTACCTCATCGCTTAATGCCGTCGCTTCGGCCTCAGTAAGATCTGGGACCGATTCGAACGTCTCGGGGTCACGCGCAACCAAGGCACCTTTCTTCAGTAGAGGTAGGATGTCTGTGACCTGGTACTCATTGGCAAATTCTTCCACATCGTGGAGGACTTGAGACTTGCTTAGGTCGGCGAGGGGGGTTTTTGATTCTATGTTAGATTAGAAATCTGTCAAGTGGACAATGTAGTGAGTTTAAATAACCATGAGAACTTACTTGGCCGAAACGTTACTTTGCAAATTCACCTCTTCGACATGATGACCTTTTTCTTCACTGCTATGACCATCACTAGACCTGGTTTGAATTAGCCCTGGACATTGATGACATTGAAAACGATCCTACCGATCTGGCGAGTCAACTTGTGTCACCGTATCCTTCTCCATAGTGGGGATAGGCGGATCGATTAGATCAATAGAGCTGAAGTGTGGACGACAGGAAGGCGAAGCAGAGGAAAGTATAGCACCGGCTCAAGTAACTCAATGCTTCGAAAGAGAAAGAGTACGATATAGCGGGCAATGGGATAGAGGGAAATTTTCGGGGGCGACCACCGGACTTTATGCTTTTTACATCGGGCATACGACAGGGAAGACTTATTTTCACAGCTAGCAACTGGGTTCGCACTTGGACCAGCCCGGGTCAGATCTACTTCCTGAAACGGCGTGCCCCATCTTGGGGTAATAGCGTGGGGTCAACTTGCCCATGGGGGGAGCCCCCGGTTTCCCGGAAGAGAGATATACAGCTGCGGGGTCCAAATGTTACGCTAGAAAACGAAGCCCTGGATTTGCTCACTACTAGCTAGTGCATGGTCAATGGTCCGAGTATGTCTTACCAAGTCGTGCAGACTGCCTCGAAGAGCACCTTGACATAGACATACAACAATACAATATCTGAGCCACGCCAGGAGGTTAGACAGAGAGAAGATGCGTAGCAAGTGCAGAATCACCGTATGAGGTGGTTGATGCTTTCGACGGTAGGTTTCCGAGGGGCGGCATCCCGGTCCTCTTCTCGGAGTGGAGTCGCCCAATGGTGCAATGTGTAAAAGTCCAGAGAAACAGATGATGGAACGGCCAGGCTAGATTTTGCGAGCGGGATTTACCCCACTGTGACCGGCTCATAGATCGCGTGGCCCTCTTCCCCAGCCGATGTCCATGTGGCCCTGGTTGCGGAAGGAGGTCGCAAATCGCACGTCCTCGATCGCCGCACTGGGAATGTAGCTTCCAGACCTTTGATTTTCGAATTCGAATAAACTTAAAAGTCATCTGAGCAAACCTGGAGAACGTAACATACTAAACGCCACGAGCGTCACCTTCGGCGACCCGAGACAGACATTTGGGTTATATTGATTCGGGCACAGGCCGGTACAGGCTTTGATTGGCGGGTCCAGGGGTCCTAGGCATCATGTTTGCACAGGTATCTCGCTGATGGCCAAATTGAGTCCAGAAGATGTTCATTGACTATGCCGGATCGGGGTTAACGCGGCCAACCCTTGCCGGGCGAAGGCTTGACTTTGCGGGAGGCTGGTCAAATGTGGTGGCGATCGACCGGTCAGTGCAGGTGAGCGAGGCTTCACCGCGGATCGAGGGATTCTCGATCAAACTTGACATGATTTCCTATCCTATCCATCATGGCACTTGAGTATATATCAATCAGAGAACATCATCCGATCTCTTCAAGTGACAGTGGAGAGCGGAGGAAAAAAAATCCGGGGGAAGGTGGAGTTCAAGTTCGGCCCCAACTGCCTGCGACCAGGCACACTTTAATGCTCTCCCGTTGGTGCTGGTTGCCCGACGCTAGACAACCAAGGGGGATTTTGAGGCCCACTCTTTTCTTCTTTTTCACTTTTGTCCAGACTTTCGCTCGGGTTGCGCTTCCCTTGCATTCAAAATGTCCGTGGGTGGTAGGGAAATATTGAGCGACAAGCAGCCCGAGCTTACAAGTCGATGCCGACGCCGTTCGGCTCCGCACCGAGATATTTATGGATTAGGGAGATGTCTACTCCGTCCTCTCTAGATAGCCATGCCATAGATGGGGCCGCCCCATTTTCTAGCTCTTGCCCAGGTGACGAGTCTCATACATAGGGTGGGCGGAGTAATATCGATACTCAATAAAAGAGCTTCGAATAGAAGCAGATTGTCACTCTTGGAATTAAGATAAGGCATTATTACACAGTGCATGCTAGACTCATGCGAACCCATATTCGGCCACCGACACGGCAACTTCTCGGCGAGACTCGAGCGAGGGACCCTCTTTCCTCCCGGAACTTGAGGTTTGTACTACAGCCTAAAGGCGCGCGTGGCTTTGAACTACGTGGAGATCACTTATTTACCAAAGGCAGGCTTTCTCCAATAGGTGAGTAAACTGAAATATCTGAGCGTTCAAATAATCTACGTACTAGCCATAAAGCTTAAATTAAAAGACAAGACGATCCAGCTTAGCTAGAGCTTGGTCTCGATGCGGAGTGTTACACTCAAATGACTGTTCATACCCCGGCGATTCCGCATTGCCCTATTGCCCTAGCCTAGTCTATTTGGGGCGTTTGTGCGTGTAATGGATTTATTTTGCATTTATGGTTATTTTTGTAATACGTAGTAATAAATTCCACACGCTTGGCAGAAACAATTAGTGAGTATCGATGAGTCGGCCTCTTGATAATTACCAGTACGCTCAACTGTAGGCGAACCGGGCAAAATCCCCACAAGGAAGGATTTGGCCGGACTAGCTATTGCGTAAGCCATGATATGACCCATATTATTACGAATTAGCGAGGTTTTTATTTTTCTGAAATCTTCAAATCTATAAATGCACTGGCACCTATATGGTCGGCTGGCTCGGTACTACGACTAGCTAGAGTCGCAGGAGCCCTTCCGATTTTCAAGCTTATGCGTACTATTTAGGAAATCGGCTTCAAGTTGTCAACTGAGATATCTGGGAGTCATTTTCAACGTTATCTTACACTCAAAATACGGTCACTTTCCATAGGGTTGAATTATACCTACCATATACTAGTTTGCTGCTGGTCGGAGGTCAAGAAGGCCGATGACGGCGAAGTCATTTCAGCATCAACTATCTTATTATACAATCAATATGACTGCTTATCCGGAACTAAATGAAGAAATACCGACCGGGCATCGGTAATCAAAATCAGATATTCGCGAACTTTGAGGAGAAGCTCGGCGTTATGAGTCTGACATCATTTGTCATCGCAACAGCGAGTGAGCTGACAAATGGACTCAGTGCTGACCCGAGGACGCGGGGATTTCAAAACCCAGCCAGTCGCGCGTGTAGAATTACTCTTACATATATCAGTGATGCTCCCTCGTAGCTTCACTTTCAGTACATTCAAAGCTGCCTCGCGACTCTCCCAGCTCTCATCTACAATCGCGCCATATTCCACCATGTCGTCCAACATCACACTCTACTCCTGGCCCACCCCAAACGGCATCAAGGCCTCAATCACCCTAGAGGAGCTTGGACTTTCATACAAGACTGTTCCAATTGACATCAGCACAAATATTCAGAAGGAAGAGTAAGCTTTAGCGACTGACCGAATACGCATCGCGAAGCTAATCTCCCAACAGGTGGTTCTTAAAGATCAACCCCAATGGCCGTATCCCTGCGATTCAGGATGGATCCCAGCGCGTATTTGAAAGCGGATCGGTCATGCTTTATCTGGTCGACAAGTATGACACCGACCGGAAGATTAGCTACGCTCCCGGATCATCCGAGTACATCGAGCAGGTGTCCTGGCTAATGTTCCAAATGGGTGGCGTCGGACCGATGCAGGGTAAGCGGGGACAACGACCCAGATCCAAAGTATTGATTACAGCTGCTAAACTGTTCAAAAGGTCAAGCAAACCACTTCCGCCTCTACGCTGGCGCTCGATCAGACTACGGCATCAAGCGGTACATCGACGAGACAAAGCGTCTCTATGAGGTCCTTGAGTCCCGTCTTAAAGAGAGTCCCTACCTGGCCGGTGACAAGTACACCATTGCAGATATTGCAAACTACTCCTGGGTTCGCAGTGCACCGGGATCACTGGAAATCGATTTATCCGAATTCCCCGCTTTGAAGAAGTGGAGCGATGAGATCGGCAAGCGTGCGGCTGTCACGAAGGGTGCGGATGTGCCCCAGTCCGGTCGAACTGAAGAGCAGAAACTGGAGTTTAGCAAGAATGCACGTGCAAAAATCGATGCTATGACCAATTCCGATAAGTACTAGAGTGCGGAATTTGTCCGTGCTTCGTGTATCTTTAGAGCGCTCTGTGTCTAGCGACAAAATGTGAAATGATCAAACTATGCAAACAAATTAACTCTGTTATTGCTTTTATTTATCTGAAAGGATCTCATTGATGGCTCGAGATGTAAAATAAATAAACTCTTTGTGTCCCATTACCGAGGGTAAAATGAAAAGAACTCCCTTGTTGAGGATGGGACAAAGGACTTTGATCCGACAGATTATTTGATATAAAAGACGCTCACCCCTTCCCACATTCTAACTCGATAAGCGACTACCTAAGAGACGACTATAGTTAGGTAATTTCAAGACTAGCTAGCTAAAATCGCTAGCAGTGCTATTCAAACTTGAAATGTGTACCTACAAATTCGTCTCATATACCGGCCCACACAGCTGTGGCCACGAGCTGCTCGTGGATTCGAAACAATGCGACGAAGCAAAAGTAAGGGGCGTAAACTCTTGGTGCGAAGAGCCGAAGAAGAAGGGTGTCGTTCCTCGCATCAGATCGCTGGATGACCTTATTCAAATGCTCCGGCCGGGGTTCCCAAGACTTGCAGGTCCATGCCCAGCTTGCTTGATTAAGGGGTGCCCTGATTTTGAACTGCCCACATTTATGTGGCGCCATTCTAAAGGATGATAAAGGATCTTTTTGGCTTTTTAAACAAATATTTCTACATCCTTTTGATTGGTATTTTTATTGTTTTGTCTTCAGCCCCTCCAGTAAAGGAAAACGAGATACAAGTTTGGCATTAGGGATTTCTTTATAAGTTTCCAGTCAGATTCCAAATGAAGTTTTTGATATTTGGTTATTTCTCATGGCAGCCGATTTGCACTGGCTTCTGCTTTGCTTCGTCATCTGAAATTCAAAAACTAGGATACTTATGAACTGGATTGATGTATAATCTAATCGCTAATTGTAATCGACCGCTCATAGTGGAACGAAATAGATGGGGTAAAAACAACCAATGGGTGCCAATGAAGAAAACCGACCCAGAGTCATAGCAAAGGAAGTTGGGAGTATAGGCCACCCTTTAGATCTGACCAAGTCGATAGCTCCGCCAAATCTCAAACCCGGCCTTTTCATAATATCCCTGTAGAGCAACCCAGTCAACGAAAACCCCCTGGACGCCCCGTTGCTTCATGTTCTCCACAGCATGACAGACCATCGCCAGCCCGATTCCTGATTTACGATGCGCTTCATCAACGCCCACACAGCCAATCAGACCTGTATCCGGACCACACATCTGGGGAAATGCCCAAACGTGATTAATGACTTTAGAAGATCCCAGCATCAAAGTCCAGCCTACTTGCTGGCCTTGGGAGTCATATGCAACCATCACGCTGTCCGGGTATTTGCTGGGGTGCAGCGTCACGAAGGCCTCTACCCAGCCCTATAAAGGAAGTTAGTATCGTAATGCGTTAATAAAAGGTCTTTGGGGGGGGCATACCGCTTTGTCAGAGAAGTTCTTCCGCTGGCCAACCAAACACGCGTCATAGCCTTCAGGGTTCAGCGGAGCAAAGGTAAAGCCACGGTCTTTAGCACGAGTCATGTACTTCTCAGGAGCCTGAAAGTCCTTCATGGCCTGATATAGATCGACCGATCTACTTTCGGAAGGACTGAGTCGCCAGCCGCGATGAGTGAAGAAGTTTTGAATATCTTCACCAAGGTCGCGAGGCACACCGGGCCAGAAGCGAGGAAATGAACTGCCCAAATTCAAGTTCTCGAGACCGAATTGGCTCCTGAAGAAGGACCGAACTTCAATTAAAAGCGCAGTACCAATTCCTTGGTTTTGATGGGCCGGGGCAACTGCCAACACGGCGACATGAACCGTCTTTGGGGGCCCATCGGCATTGAAGTAGGCGAGACAAAATCCAACAACCTTTGAGTCGATACGAGCCACAAAGTGGCGGGCATTTGGGCGGAAAAATAGTGCGCGCAAACTCTCCCGGGGTAGAGGATAGGTTGGCAAGGCTGCATCCCAAGTATCTATCATTCCTTCGACATCCCCTTCCGCATCATACAATTCAAAAGTCGCGTTGGAATTAGCTGAGACTGTGGGACCAACTGGTAAAGATCCCTTCGATGTTCTGCTTCCAAAAATGATTTCCACCGCCACGGAAAAGGCCTCGATCGTGGGTTCATAGGTGGCGAGATATGTCTGAATTTCAGGGACTTCAAGGAAGTCGTAAGGGTTACATGCAGCAATTGCTACCAACGAACGAGTGAATTGTGGAAGTTCGAGACCAAGCTTTTCTTGATACGGTGATTCCCGTGCATTGAGTGAAACAAAGATCACGGTATCGGCGTTCTTGACTGTATTCCACTCTTCGGTAGAGAGACCCGCCTCTCCATACTTCAACTCGGTGGCAGACGGATTATGGGCTCGAATGGCCTCAAGGTACGGAGTGGACTGATATGATCCCTGTCTCCCCATACCTTCGCCATCCACCGCACCTCCGGCGGGAGTTCCATCGCCTGGGAAAAGAACCACTACTTTGGAAGATTGAGACAGTGGAAGTACACTGGCATTGTCGCGAACCAAAGTCGTAGAATGCGCGTATGCTTCTTGTGATAGAGCGGCGACCTTCTTGTTTATGGCGTCGAGTTGTGCAACATCATTTTTGTGCAAAGCAATATCCCAGCTAAGAAACTTGTCCTTCACTGATGCAACCCGACGACATGCTGACTCGAAACGAGAGGCCTCAATTGCACCAGATTGAATTGCTTCACAAACTTTCTTCACAGAACCCACTTGCACGTCGAATGTATGACAGATCATCAAGCTGTCACTACCAGCCTGTATTGCTAACACGGATCCTTGCTCTGTGCCGTAGGTAGCTCGAATTCCTTCCATCTCAAGACAGTCTGTGATGATCATTCCGTCATAGGCCATATCCTTACGCAATATCCCCAAGACCTTTGGCGATAACGTCGCGGGTAGTTTGTCATCTATCTGCGGCAGGGAGATGTGTGCAGTCATGACTGTTTCCACTCCTTCGGCCACAGCTCGGCGAAAGGGGATTAATTCTAACCGCTCCAGGTCATCCCTCCCTTTTGCGATGATCGGAAGCCCGTAGTGCGAGTCGGTTGCGGTATCGCCATGGCCAGGGAAATGCTTGACACTTGGAATAATTCGTTGCTCTCTCAGGCCTTGTGCAGTCGCGGAGGCGAACCGACCGACAAATTCTGGATTATCACCAGGGCTGCGCACACCAATTACGGGGTTTAGTGGTTCCGAATTGATATCACACACTGGACCGTAGTCCATGTTGATACCAAAGAAGTTCAGGATCTCGCCAGTTGATTTGCCTGCCTGATACGCGAATCTCGGGTCATGGGTTGCACCCAGAGCCATTGGGCCCGGGACCTGAGCGGCGATAGGAGGGGAAATTCGGGTGACAAGTCCATTTTCCTGATCGATCCCGATAAGAAGAGGGCGTTTATGTCCTGCCAATCGAGCTTCATTCTGAAGAGCGAATGTCAAAGCCTACATTGTTTCACAGTTAGTTCACCGAATCGATGTAATAGTGTGCTTTTCACTTGACCTGTAACTGCTCCTTATTCTGGAAATTGCGTGAAAAAAAGAACGATCCCACCAATGTGGTAGTCGTGGATCAAGGTCTTGATCTCTGGGCTAGGAGTATGGCCGTGGAAACCGACCGCAAATAGCTATAGCTGGTCAGACTCTTCTTCTTACCTCATCCCAACTTTCTCAAATACATACCTGGCCTACTTGCCTCTGCAGGTCCGTCGATGCCATTGTTTTGGACGGCAGCAGACTCGAAGTGTCAAGAGAGAAACCGCGGTCCAAAAGTGGATGCGCGCGGGGGGAGGAAGTGTGGAAGTGGAAGTGGAAGTGGCAGTGGCCCCCATTGGCGTCCCCACTTTGTTCTTCGATGCAACCTCTCAATGACAGAGTACCCTAGATACCCTAGGCTAACGAAGTCAGTGGTCAGCTTGAATACGACCATCCGAAAGACACATGGCTGATAAGAGATCTAAACTGATCGTCAAGGTCCTACCCTAAGAATGCGACTCCCCTGGAATGCGGGGTAGAACAACCAGGGCTGCAACTGGTCTGCAACTGGTGCCATAACTCTCCTCCTTCTTTATTCCGAGGTTACTCAAGTTCCTAATCGGCTTGCTTGAGAGTTATGGCGAGTTCAAAAGTCGATCAAATGAATGGGGAGGAGGGACCAAAACCTGATGCTGCTGTCAAAGTGGCAGCCACAACAACAACAACAACAACAACAACAACAACAACACCACAGACTCGTAACACGCTCGAGGAGTATGAGCGGCTGTTCGGCGTGGATGAGGATGCATACGAGCAGCCTACCACAACCCGCAAAGAGCTATGGGCATATTATCTTTATTACAATGGTAATGGAGTTCTCTTTCAATCATATTGGTCTCTGAGCTCCGATCTGACAAATAATCCTGGGGATTTATAGGCGACAATGGTGTTGGTCCCGGATCCTACAGTCAAGCCCTGTCAGTACAACCTGCCTGAGGTCAGGGAACAATCATATCTGACCGGATTTAGTTTCCAATGGGCCCTCAATAAAGCAGGGCACCAGCCCGATACTAATCCGCCCAAACCGTGTACCGATTCCTCCGCCTGCGTGGTACCCTGGGTGGGGGGCACACGATCTATCTCCTCAGTTGTCCTCATCGCAAATGGACTCTGTTTTGCCTTTATGACAGTGATTTTTGTTTGGCTTGGCAGTGCCGCTGACTACGGCTCGTTTGGCCGATGGTTGCTATTGGGACTGACCGTCGTTTGTTGGGCATTGCAGTATGGTATGCTGGCTATCCGGGACCCAAGCCAATGGCCGTCCGCTATGGGCATGTACATAGTTGCATACGTGGCATACGGTGCAACGCTGGTCTTTTATGCGGCAGTATTCCCTCGACTGGCACGGTATACGCCGCACGTACGCAAGGCACGAGAGGAAGACCTCCGAGAGGGCAAGATTAACCA